TAGAAGCTTTGGCTGAGCATATCGATCGCTTCCAGTAATAACCTTTGCAGTTGCGCAGAGTCCCATAGCAAAGCCCGTCTCATCAAAATTATAGATATCTTCTGGTAAGATGCCGTACTCAGATATTATATCTCGTACGCGGTCAAAATGGCCTTGTATAATCTTTGAATCTTCACATTTGGCACGTTCGTAGTTGTATTTTTGTGAGAATTTGGATTCAATCTCTGGGCGACGTTGAACAAGATTATATACCCATTTATCTCCAACCCGTTGATCTCCACGTTGTGAGAGAAAATAATTAGCCATATCTCGTACAAGAAAGTGCCGGGGTGGTAATCCACGTCTAGTTAAATCAAGCACCCATTTGACAAGTGATTCCTCCTCAAATTGGGTTAATTTATGGTTGCTAGCACGTATCGCATGTTGAAATGGTACTCCATGTAGTCGATCTTGGAGAGTTGTACGAGGGATTGTATAGATTCTTGCAGCTTCACGAATACTGCGAATTCTTCCATTTTTTAAATCGGAAATAGCTAATTCGATCTTCCCCTCATTCTGAGCTGATTTTAGAGGGTCTTTTTTTCGAATTGGTGGCATTTTAACGCGTTGTAATGTTGTAAATCAATATAGAGAGTTATTTTCCGGAGAGGTGGCCGGATCGCTTACGTGGCCGGATCGCTTACCGATTACGTTAGTTAACGTAATTCACCACCGAAGCGGCACCACTACCGAGCCGGCATTTTTTCCCGAGCGCGTACGCGATATTGATTTCAAATCCCAATTTTCAAAGCCACATACAAATTATATACAAAAATCTAACTACTAATACGACTAGGGCATTGGTTAATTCTATGCCCCATAACGTTACAACCACTGCAGCGATATTGGCGGCGTACGACTGCTTGAGAAGCTGGGAGCTCCGGCTCAGCCGGAGTAGTAGTAACAGCATGGGATGCCTCAACCTGACCTTGTACGAGCGCTTGCACTTCTTCTTTAGTAACCGCTTGCTCAATAGATATTTGCTTTTTAGATTTTTGGCGCTTTTGCTTCTCTTTCTCATGTGCAGCTCGTAAATCGTAGTTCTCTTTCCGTACGAGTAAAACATCATTCGCTATCATTTCGTAGGCTTTTGACAACCGTACAACTGCCTGATTGATTTCTTGATTTTGGTTGCTTTCTGTACGCTCATTTATACGTTTATTGATTGTAGTCGACTGGCGTATAAATTGGCGTATATTTTGAGGTGTTTGTAAGCAGGATGATGCCGTATTGCTTGATCGACTTGGAGGGGGGGTTGGTGTCTTCAATCGAATTTAAGCTGTTGTATAACTCGATCTGGATTGAAAGGCACTAATCCAGTGGCTGCGAAGCTATTCCGAATAGTTTGAGCTTTATATGCCACTGTACGAGCCTGTGGAAATGCTGTTAAGAAGTCCATTTTATCAATATGATTGAAACCAAGCCTCATTCGTTGCTCAACAAGCTGCCCATAATGTCGCTTTAAAACAGCAAAACAGCCAACATCAAGAGGCTGTAAGAGATGCGAAGAATGAGGTGGCATACAGACTGGAATAATATTATTCTCAGTACATATATGGTCAAATTCTGGAGTCAAATGGCTTCCATGGCCATCAAGAATCAACATTCGATATTTTCCAACCGTACGACCATTAATATAGGGAATAAAATGGGTTTTAAGCCATTCTAATCCTATCTGATCTGTAGTCCAGCCATTATCGCTAATATTGATTCGCCAATCATCTGGAAGATCATCAAACCAGCCTTCTCGTACGTTTTTCTTTGCTTTGAAAATCACGTACGAAGGCACAGCCCATCCAGTTGAATTTGTTGCCTCAATTGCAGTCACCCATTCTCGATTTCCAGGCTGTAAAAGCTTCGGCTGAGCATATCGATCGCTTCCAGTAATAACCTTTGCAGTTGCGCAGAGTCCCATAGCAAAGCCAGTCTCATCAAAGTTGAATATATCTTCCGGTAAGATGCCGTACTCAGATATAGCAGCTTGTACGCGATCAAAATGTTCTTGTATTATCTTTGGATCTTCGCATTTAGCACGTTCGTAGTTGTATTTCCTTGCGAATTTGGAATCGATCTCTGGACGGCGTTTAATCAGTTTAGTTATCCAATTTTTTCCAACTTGTGGTTTGCCATGTTGTGAAAGTATATAATTAGCCATTTCTCGTACAAGAGAATGCCGGGGGGTAATCCACGTCGATCTAAATCAAGCACCCATTTGACAAGCGATTCCTCTTCATATTGAGTCAATTTATGGCTGTTGGCGCGTACGAGAGATCTTTGTTGAATACCATTGAGTCTATCTTGTAAAGTTGTCCGGGGGATCTCGTAAATCCTTGCAGCTTGAGCTACACGTTGAATTCGGCCATTCTGTAAATCGGAAATTGCTAATAAGATTCGTCCCTCTTGCTCATCTAAATTTTTCCGGTTTTTATTGCGAATTGGTGGCATTTTGACGTGTTGAATAATATAAAATCAATATCGTGTACGCGCTCGGGAAAAAATGCCGGCTCGGTAGTGGTGCCGCTTCGGTGGTGAATTACGTTATTTTAGGGAGATAAATGGCTTAGTCAGCCGTGATAGTGGAGCTGATTCTTCAGGCGCCGAGGCCGCAAATTATGCCCCGCTTTCCAAGGTTAGGCCCTCAAGCCCTAATTCTGACTTAAAAGGGATGCAAAGATGAGCAATACGTACAACGTTTATATCTGTACTCATCCGACACCTCGTTTTTCTTTCATTGTAACTAAAGTATTCTACTGTTACCTGGGTGCCCCTGTGGACCTGGATATATATAAGTGTATATTCTCGTTCAGATATTCACTATAACTGGTTTCTAACCACAGGTGGAAGTAATTACTTTTCCTGGTTTGATAGACTGATATCTAATGCATAAATTGAGCCAAAGAAATCTTTTCTTATTTTCTACTTGTATATGTGATATGAGCTGGAAAAGTCCGCCCTGAATGTCGATCGCAGTACGTAAATTTCGACGAACTGGTTACGTCCTGGACGTGGGTTTCTGCGAAAACCAAGTTGGCAAAGTCCTTTCCTGTTGTCTTACCGCTGTAAGCGCGCCGATTTGGCTATACGGGGGGTAACTCTCAGCTGTCTACCGTCGTGATTACTCATATTTGGAAACTAATTGGTAATGGTGTCCTGAATGAATATATAGTACGATGCTAGTGAAAGATAGTAGCTGATACGCCGGCTGGTTTCCTTCACTATAGTTGGATTACCTTGGGACTATTATGTATAGAATGATAGCGTAAGCGTTTTAATTGCATTGAGCATAGACTATGAGTAATCGCGCGACAGACGGGATAGTTATTGCAAGACACCAGTCGCGATTAGGTAACTAACCGGCATATAGTCCCGTTGATCCCTGTAATTACGAGTTATGTATGTGCTGACAGGGGATGCTACAGTCATATATAACTAGGTATATTCCTACTTCGGTAGGTGTATGGAGTGTGCAGCCTTGAAAATCCCTGTACCTAGCAGTCATATTATGACCGGCTTATAGGTAGTTAGAGTAATCCTCAAAAGCACCCATGCAATGCCCACGGACGGCTGAGGTGCTTGATTGAATATTATTAAAATTTCACAAAATCATTCTATTCGTAAGAGTGCTTATTAGCTTGCGTAGAGATGATGGACATTCCGCATTCCATAAGTGAGGGCTTTCTCCCTCTGCCACCTCGCAGATCTTTCCAATATTGACCCCTGTGCCACCTTCACATTCCAAGTTTACAGTTCTTCTCGCTGGAAACAAAGTCAAGTAGTGAATATGCCAAAGCTTTTTGTCTCGATTTCGATCTGGGGTATACTAGGCCTTGCATCTGTCCAGGCTACCTCAGGCGCTTGGCCATATCAAACCTTTCGAACAGAATCATTCGAACCACCGGTGCTGGATATTAACAGAACCGGAGCGGAGCTTGCAGAGGGGTTCTTTGTCTTCACTCCTCAGGGTCCGCGACAGAATAGTCCTGTGATCATGACAGACTGTGGAGATCTCGTCTGGAGTGGCCCAAATGTGTCTTCTGCAAATCTTGTTGTACAGTCCCTGAACGGCACACCCGTCCTGTCATTTTGGCAAGCTCCTGCGGTGGTTGATGAGGTTACCCCATTCACATATGGAAATGTATCAATTCTGGACGACACGTATACAGAAATATACAACATATGCCCAGATTTGAATCTTATTGCCCCCGATGGCTCGCCAAGCGGATGCTCTCTCAATGCCCATGAGTCGCTTATTACACCTCGTGGAACCATTCTAGTCACAGTTGTTAACATTACAACTGCAGATCTGACCTCTGTCGGAGGCCCAGCAGTGGGCTGGGTTAATGATGACATGTTTTTGGAAATTGATATCGCCACCATGGAAATCCTCTTCAAGTGGAGGGCGCTTGACCACGTTCCGATTAACACCACTAAAGCCATTCTAACGGGTACTGATGGATTGTCAAGGTCAAATCCATTTGATTGGTTTCATATGAACTCAGTAGATGTATTAGGCGAGGGCTATTTGACCAATAGCAGGACAACATGGTCCTCTTACGCTATCAATTCGACAGGCGGTATCGATTGGATACTTGAGGGTTCGACAGGTGGTGACTTTTCGCTTCCCAGCGCAGCAGAATTTGTGAGCATTCCCTTAAATCTGCAATACAGGAACTATATCCTAGATATATGACTCAAACCAAATAGGCATGGCAGCATGATGCTCGAGTCTATAATGTAACACCTTCTTCACTCGTCCTATCACTTTTCAACAACTTCAACAGTCAGACCCCTACGTATCCATCGAGGGGCTTGTTACTTTACCTTGACCTCGATAATCACGTGGTCAAATTAATTGGCGCATACGAGGATATAGAAGATCAGACGTATTCTATCTCCCAGGGCGATTTTACCCAGCTGGAGAACAATAATTGGTTCGTGGATTATGGAGACGTTCCTCAAATGAAGGAATTTGGTAGTGCCGGCGATGTCCGTATGATTGTTCAATTTGGAGACCTCCCTGTACAGAACAGTTTGAAGAACTTTTCTAACTCGACGGTCTACGAGATGTCCTACCGTGCTTATAAGCAAGGTTGGGAGGCAACGCCGGGAGTTTATGGACCAGCTGTAACGATTGCCAACAGCAAGGGATATGTAAGTTGGAATGGTGACACACGGACAACACAATGGATTATTTTTGCAGGAAAATCGATTTCGTCGTTGCAGGAAGTAGCAACTGTGAACCGCACGGGTTTTGAGACTTCGTTCAGTATTCCAGAAGATGAGGCCATAATACAAGTTGGTGCTGTGGCAGACGAGATAATCCTACGCAATTCGAGCGTTATTAAAATATGGGAATAAATCGTATAGTCAATTCGATAGGCAGTCTAGCTGACAGGACGACGGTCCAAGGGACTATCAAATTGACTACTAACTCATTCGAAAGACAGAAAAGTAAGAGGCTGAGCCAGAAGCGAGTTCATGTGGGAATAATTATTTTTAAATTAGGTGATATGATAACTAATACGAAAATTAAAAATTCTGTTTGCTTCTTCTCCATGTTTAGTATGACGTACATCGAGGCCAATATCAAACTAAGCCTGAGACAATATCCTAAAAGATGAACGCTGTGCCATTACTATATTCAGAATTGTACATCTGTATGAACTACACTCAACTAGGGAAATGAAAAACTGTTTTTGGAATCAGTAATGCGTTTACAACACATGAAATTTAATAATTACCCTAACTTTATCTGCTTCGATTAAGTTTCGGGTACAAGACCGAGCCGCTAGGGCTCCCGCTCCAGTGGGGTTAGTGGGTCTAGACACAAACTAAAAATACGTACCACTGTTTCAAGTTCATACCAAAAATACTATGTCTAAACCAAACGCGTTGGGCCACCCTAAACTGCCAGTATCTGTCACCCAGCCCTAGGGTGTGATGGAAACTTATCAGCAAATGGTTATAAATATGCATAATCACTTAATTCACCCTCTAGGAAGGGTGGTTTGTTGACTACAGAGCAGATCACTATATAATACTAGTTCTGTGAGATAGTGACTCAGCAATTAGTACCAGTGAATGTTATAATATCTAAATTATTCTTGTGTTGTTACATTCTTTATCTTAACCTAAAGCACCTGGGTGCATCTCGCTTATTTTCACTCCAAGGTGTTGCCCCACCCCAACTTGCAATATAAACAGGTTACAGACTCACTTTCTATCGACAGATGGTAGTGTGGGGTATGAATTTGTCTGAACCTTCTAACATCACAACGAAGCCTTGCTCCCAAACAATGGCCCAAGGCTTATCTACAAAGGAACCTCGTCGAGTCTACCTATTTACCCACCCTCGCGTTACTTCCAACCTCCTAGTGAAGATTCTGAACGTCAAAGAGCAGAATGTCCCTCCTAGTGATAAGGGTGGTTATTTCTTCCAAACCCCAGTCTACAAGGCGATAGAACTGAAGATTCGCCACAAGGCAACCACCGCGTGGACTGATGACGAGGTCTCAGCCATCCGAGAACTCTACGAGAAATCAATTTCTGACTTGCAAAAATGGATAGACGAAGCTGAGAAGAATGGACAGTTTGTCTTTATCAAGGAGCATGCTATCTTCATGATTGATCCTGTCTCAGTGACCAACTATCATCCACATAAACGTGCAGATAAAGAGAGGGCTGATGGCACTGAAGCTCTGTCTGAATTGCGCAAGCAATGGCAATTTGGACGATCCTGTGGTGAAGTTGAGCTCCCAAATCCATCACCATTGAACCAGACAGTTGTCTCGGATGAGTTCCTCCTGTCATTTACCCCTACATTTCTCATACGTCACCCAGCACTTACCTTTCCGTCCTTTTTGAGGGCCTACATCGGCGAGGGCATGCCAAAAACTAATTTCGAGGCCTCGGCCCTCGTGGATGAGCTTGATCACTCAATGACGTTCCATTGGATGCATCATCTATACGATTTCTACGTCTCCAAGGGTATTGAACCTCTTGTGGTCGAATCCGATGATGTTATTAGCTCGCATGAAGTTGTCATTGACTACGCCCACCACATCGGCCTTGATACTGAGAAACTGCACTGGAATTGGTCACCTGCAAGCGAAAAGCAGCTTGAGATGGGTGGAAATTCTAGACTGCAGCGTTTCTTAGGCACAATTATGAGCTCGTCTGGGGTGATGAATGATAAGATGGCAAAGAATTTGGATCTTGCAGTTGAAAGGAAGAAATGGAAGCAAGAGTTTGGCGGATTGATTGGTGAGAAGATGGTTGAATGGGTCGAAGCTGCAATGGAAGACTATGAATACTTGAAAGAGAGGAGACTTAGACCTAGCTCTACCTAAGAAAGTGAGGTTAAGCTCGTGGCGAGGGCGAGCAGGAAGGTCATAATGTACGTGCTGGTTAACCCATGGATTACAAGTACTCAGCAATACGCAAAAAAACAAACAAATACTCTGGAAATATCAGAAGAGCTATGGGGTTGATTCTCGAGTAGGCGAGTGGGCTTGTACGTGATCGTAAGCGAGTCAACGCCGTGCATGAGCTTAGTCAAACATTACTTAATTAGACAATTTCAAGTGCCAATGGATTCTTCCGAGATTCCGCAAATGCATTACTTCTCTAGACTATATTATTACTCTTTGCTGATGAGATATGAGATATACATTGATAATTGTAGAAGATTACACATAAACCGTCGTACTTTGGCATTTTTGCCTACTCTCTTGTATCAGGTAATATCGAATCCGCCAATTCAGCATTAGATTATGACGACTGAAGCCATCATCTACGTATAACCCTCCCTGCGAGGCTGGGGAATTCTCTCAGTGATACATCTTACTGTAATCATCAGTTGTCCATAGTGTGCCAGTTACTTATCTATTTGCCATTATCTTCCTACCCGCGTACGTTACATTCTTGTAGGTTACATTTTTACGTCAACAGAGGACCAACTCAAGTCGATGCCAGTCTCCAGACATTGTATAAGTTCTGATGGGCTAGATCCTCAAGGGAAACCCACTTCATCTATAGGCAATGCTTGGATCGCCCCATATAACACACATATCTGAATATCGGGCTTTCCCCAGGCTTAATAGCGCCATAAGTGCTCCCAACAGTGTTGATCGGATAGTAAGTGAAGACTAATGTATAGTTTCCTATTATATTCCTCTAAATTCCGTCCGGTTATCTCTTATCTCCGCGTCTCCATATTAGGGTCATGTGAATTACAATGGATATAATATTGCCGGACCTGACGTGCCGATATTATTCTAGTACGGAGTAGTCGGGGTCGGTCACTTTTGCACCAGATATACAAATCTGGACCATAATCAATATCTCCATGATGGGTGGGTTTCGAAAGCTGCCGGGAAAATAGCATCAGACGGCAGGTTTCCTTTCACTGCGGAGCACAAGGTGGCGCTACTAGTCACGTAGTATCCGTAGTGTTTGGTGATCCTTTGATATGAATTTTCCGATTAGCAGGTAGTCGGACGGTTCGGAGCCCACAGCGGCGTACTGGTCAGTATTTCTAATTCTCTCTGCCGAAATCGATGACCGGCTGGCCAGTCGAGGCCCTTAAAAAGGCACCGGTGGAATCTTATCCTGTATGAGCGCACTGTGTGGCAGGATCCGAATATCACTATGTTATGCAGTATGTGACTACAAGTTCCTAAACGGGCATAAAAGAGGGGGTGCGATCCTTCAAACACGCACCTGGAAAGTGGACGCCCAGCCAGACTCCATACTAAAATATTGTGATGTCTTCGCTTGAAAAAAAGGACAAATGGTTCGTTGAGCGCGTTTAAGCTTCAAATAGGCTGACTAGTGATCGCCCTACTAGTACAGATGCAGATTACGCGAGGTAATTGTATGTTAGGGAGATACGTACAATGATTACAAATACGTAACTAATTTGAAAAGTCGAAGGGCGTAATTATGCAGCCTGGAGATCCCGTCTTGGCGCTCTTTTTGACAGTTTACTTTGTCAATTATTTGTGAGTTCTAGATTGATAGATTGAATGTATTTTGAGGCCTTTGGAAATAACCCTAAGTATTCATCATAAACGCTGTTTCAACACAAACAACTAAATAGAAGAGTGCTCTATATATTCGATCAACGTCATGAGGAAACATGGCTTTTTTTTACACACAGCGTTGGAGTTCCATGCGGCAAATTTGTGATATAACGAACAACGGGCAGTTTCCGGTCCACAGCCTAATAGTTGCCCCCTCCCTCTCCCCTCCCTGGACTATTGCTTACTGTATACAGTAGTTTTCTGAATACACTAGCAGATATTACGATATCGTTCTCAAATTCATCATCTACATGCAGGTAGAGCAGGGCTTACTATTTGTCCGTTATCGCCAACCTTCATGTATGGGGCCGTAACGAACTCTCATAATGATTGGCAACGATCGAGCGAGACATGGGGCAGTGGCAAGTAAAAATAGATTGCTAATAGTACGGTGGACCAGTATTGGTTCCTTCAGCACTGTACTTGAAGTTCATTCTGCACGAGGAACCAGGAAAAGACATTACCACTTGTTGAATATGATTTGAAGCTTTTGGCGTCTGCTTGGCGATGTTTTTATCTACTTATACGAGGTTTTCCGCATTACAGAAGCAGAAGAGACACTCAGAAGTCAATGAGAAGAAATGCCAAGCTCGTATTCATATAGTTTGAGTGCCTCGCTTGCTCATCATTCTTCTATACGAGTGTTTAACAACCTACGATGTCAACTAATGCTATTGAGGCTAGTCCTTCCAAGCCAACTACAACAGCAACTGCCATGAGTTCCACAGCTTCTGGTACAAACAGCACATCAAAGCTACGACAAACTTGCGATGCCTGTCAAGCAATCAAGACTAGGTGCTCCCGTGAGAGACCTTCTTGTGCGAGATGCCTCACGCAGAATATCCCCTGTCACTATAGCATCTCTCGACGCATAGGTAGGCCACGGCGCCTTGCACAGCCGACTTCACCAACCTCCTCTTCACAAATAAGGCGGTCCAAGGAGCGTATTCCGAAAGCATCTCAACCAAGCAGCGAAAGTACTCATGTTGCGCAGCCCCAAAACAACTTTTACAGTCTTGACTGGACTGAAGTTGATATCGACGCAGATAATGACACAATTATCTCAGATGTACGTAGCATGATTTGTTTTATGTTTTAATGTCACAGAAATTGCGCTGACTTGTGGTACAATGGAGTAGCAGACTCCCCCGCCTAGTGTTGTGGACCAGGAAAGAAGCCAAGCAAGTCTTACAACGACGCCTAGCATTGCCCGAACACAGACTATGAACGTAGAGACTTCTGTGTTTCCTCCTATCCATGGAGTTATGTCTGATCTTAATGATCGAGGTATAGAGGCCCATTCTACAAATCACCATCAAAAGTAGTGACTTGTTATACTGATTGAAGTGCAATTGGTATCTTCAGACTTCTTCAACTCATGTTTTGACAACATGGAACTTACAAAAATGCGCTCATCGTTGTCGTCCTCAATGACGAACAACGTGCGACAGCAAGCAGATCCGACTTCGCAGCAAAATTTAGATGATTCAGATGCAGATAAGCAATCAATGTGCGTTATTTTCCTCCATAAACTCAGAGAAAAATACTGATACGAATATTTAGCTCGTTATCCAGAAACTTTGCTCAGCATATAAAACCTGGTCAATCAACATTTCCTCATGTTGGATATGACGAAGATATGCCAGGAGTCTCTGCATGGGATTTTTTGAATGAGTTTCCACCACAGGCTCAGCACAATACATGTCGTTGTCTTGAATCTGCCCTCAGCATTACTCTGAGTATAAGGAAAGGTAACATGTACCCTGGGGGAATGGATCTTACACTTGATCTTGAAGTGCAACTGCGCGAGATTGTGCCGGTTGCCATACAGTGCAATGTATGCAAATCCCGACAGGGCGAGACCTTGAAACTGCTCTCCAACGCAATGGCGGACGTGGTAGACTTGCTTCAGCAATTGTGCAATGTGGAATTTGCTGATAGTACTAATATATCCGCTCTATCAAAACAACAACTACCGACACCATCGAAGCCCGACCGCCTTGAATGGGGTCAGCCCCCCTACCTAAATGCTCGATTTATGCCCAATTCTCATCAGCCAATATCACATGAGCGCAGTGGATCTGACATAAGCGGAAGCAGTGGAGCGCAGGACAAATTACCTTCGCCGAAATCTATTGCGAGTGAACAGAACCCAGTGGTAATGATTCCGACGAGTCCGAGTCCGGAAAAGGGCCATTGGCGTATCCTTGTTGGCCGACACCTACTCGTTGGAGACGATAGAAAGTTTGTGCTGATCCATTTACTACGCAGGCGTCTCTTCGCACTATCAAACGTTTTAGAAAGTCTGATTCGGGCCATGCAAGACTTACGCATAGCCATTAGACGTGAACAGTCATTTGTGGCATTTAAAGATGATGCCTTGAATACCACCTCAGAGATGGACACGAGAAGATCGATGAAAACCGCTTCAAAACTATATGATATCATCGACCAACTGGAGGGAATACGAATATAGATATTGATATTGCTTCTCGTACATTGTGTTTAAGTAGTAGAGCCACAGAGCGATCCGTTGTTAGATGCTATATCAGATTATATCTTCGCTCTTCTTAAACAGGCTCCCATTGCCAGTTCAATACTGAATCGGATCTACAGCTTGCACGCCTTAAAAGATGCCCCAGTCGTAAGAGCAAAGAACAGAGTAGTTGGGTAGCCGCGACCCTACTCAGCTTCTATGAAGTCCCCGATCGAGGTACGGACCTTGTGATAGGCTGCCGTCCGCTAGAAATCTGCCGGCTTATCTTTGGCCATGTAGACAGGGTTAACATCTGTAGAATTCTAGCCGGCAGGTTAAAATTGTCCGTACAGAAAAGTCATTTTGTTACGCAACATTTGGGCTTGGACTCTAGAAATGCAAACAATCTCCTTATTCACAGTGAGTTATGATCAAGCCCACGAGAACTATATGTGGTGCCACTTCGGATTGCCTACATACAAGTCGATTTGTCATTTTGGTAAGAGGTTAAAAATAGGAAACATTCGATGGCCTTTCGTGCTCTATATCCTTTTAAAAATTACAGAGAGGAAAGCTTCATGAACCGGCCTTATCCCTTCTTTAGTATACATTTTCCGCTAATTTATAGTAGGCTGATATGTAGTTGTAGAGGCCGTCGGATTGATTTTGCCGACCCTCCAATTCACAATTCAACGTGGATAATCCGGCAACATAGTTATAATGTCCGTGGACATAAATGTAGTTGGCTTTCTAACGCGTGGAACAGTAGTTACATGTTGTGGAATATCGTCATTGCAACTGACAAGGCAAGTTGATAAAGGCTATACTTGTCTATTCCGGAAGCTTCTAGCACAAGTCCTACGCTCGTACACTCATCTTTCACCTTCAAGCTCTAGATAAAATGTCTGGAGACGCCGAACGCCGTGACCTCACTATCGTCGCCAACAAAGTCGGTGCTGGGGCCGACGTTCTTGGTTTCGATTTTGATACCATGCCCTCACATCAAGTTGGAGCTCTCCGTAGTGCATGGCTGAAATACGGCATATTGCGCTTTCGTGGATACGACCTCACTGACGAACATCAACTCAAGTTGACTAAGTTGATTGGTAGCTTCCTCAAGAGAGAAGAGGACGGAGCGCCGACAACGTACAAGGACGATGAGAAGGTCACCGTAATGACTAACCTCATCAACGGCGTGCCTTCCGGTGCTGGGAGCAATGTGGAACTGGAATGGCATACTGATAGTTGGTTTTGGGAATATCCACCGGTAGGCGAGATACTACGTGCAATGGAGTTACCGCAAACCGGGGGTGACACATATTGGGCAGATATGTATGCTGTATACGACGCATTGCCTGAGGATCTACGCTCGACCATTGAGGGCCGGCTTATTCAATTCGATACCGTCTACAATGGACACGGTAATTTACGTAAAGGTAAAGAGGCACCAAAAACGGATGACTTTCGATTATGGGAACACATTCGCCATCCAATCATTCGTACTCATCCGGAAAGTGGCCGCAAGGCAGTTTTCGTTGGTCAAAGCAAGCACGAAAAAAATTGGATTGTCGGTCTGCCCTTGGAGGAAAGCAAGGAAATCCTAGCCAAAATTTTGAGCTATGTAGAGAAACCGGAGTTCCAGTTGCATCAAAAATGGCAACCTGGTGATACCGTTATTTGGGATAATCGCTGTACAATGCACCGACGTGAGACGTGGCCAGACGATCAAACCCGCATTATGCACCGGACAACTTGCAACACAAAAGGGCAACCCCGTCCATTCTACGTTTACTAAACATAGGTGGTTCTTGTATTTGGAATTTGTCGAAGATCCGGCTATTGTAGCAAGTTCCGTCAAATAAAGATGCTGAAATGTACACATGTTTTACGCAATCAGATATTGGAACCTTCCGGGGTAACAGAATTATAAATTGTGCTATATCATTTATTTCCAGTCTACAAAGAGAAATATCATGTTCTGCTACTTAGAATTGCACGGACATTTAACTCGTGGTTATAGTCCAGGCAGGAAGCTAGGGCTAACCCTATGTAAAGCCCTAATTTATCATAAGAACCACGGAGGCTCACATATTCCGTAGGAATACCTTAGATGTTCTTTCCACCAAAATTAACTCTTGCTATACGTTGAGAACCTTTGGAATTACAAGGTAGCACTAATCAATATAAAAGTACAACAGCTTTTATCAATACTGAAATGTACCAACGTAAAACTAGTTGAATAACTGTATATTCTAGTCACGCTTTTCTTTGAAATACTTAAACATTGCTTAAGTGAAGTAGAATTAGTACCTACCTTCCATGCATACTCCTGAATAGTGAATCTGTCTCAAGTAATTCTTGTGGAGGACCAAATTCCACAAGCCGGCCTCCATCTAATACTGCAACCATGTCAGAATCCATTATAGTGTCCAGTCTATGGGCAACTGTTATGATGGTATGCTCCTTGAATTCAGTCCGGATAATCTTTTGCATAAGCTGGTCTGTCGCACCGTCAACATTGCTCGTCGCCTCATCTAGGACCAGTATCTTGCTCTTGCGCATTAAAGCTCTGGCAAGACAGAAAAGCTGCTGCTGACCATGAGACAGAGGTTGAGTCTTCATATGCGCATCAAGCCCACCGCGAGAATTGATGGTCTCTAAAAGCTCTACCTTTGATAGAGCGTCGATAATGACAGAGTCTGTCACTGATTTTGAGGGGTCGGCATTGACGCGGACTGTATCATTGATAATAAAGGGATCCTGAGGGATCGTAACCACACGGGTCCTTATCTCTTCTCGTTTAACTGTCTGAAGGTCCAACCCATCAATAAGGATAGTACCTGAGTTCATTTCCAAAAGACGGAGGAGTGTTGACAGGAGAGTGCTTTTACCACTGCGCAGTATTAGCTTCTATATGCTCAACGTTCAAGGGTGTGTACATACCTCCCAGTTCTACCACAAATCCCGATCTTCTGCCCAGGTTGTATGGACATGGATATACTGTGAAGGATTGGTGTCGATGATGGACTTCCGTACGATGCTGTTACATTCTTGAATTCCACTGCACCGTGCGATGGCCAGTCGGATGGAGGAACGATTATTTCTTCTGGCTTGTTTTCAGACGCGACTGTTGCTTGGAAATTTTTTAGTCGCGCGACAGAGCCCAGTGATGTCTCAAGCTGAGTCCAGTTGGTAACTAATACTGTAAGAGACTGAGTGAACCCTAAAACATTATTCAGAGCGACACCAATAGCTGCGCCGCTTGTACTAGAGTTCAGCTTAACCGCAAATGAAACAACAACGAGTGCTATAACCGACACAACTAGATTGAGTACCAAAGTAAGCCATCGTTGAACACAGTACAGGAGGTAGTATGGCCGTTGACTGATGTCCATGAGTTCAGTATTCGTTGATAAAGACGGCTTCTGCCATCCAAAAGTTCTGATCGTTGCTAGTCCCTCTAGGGTCTCTAGAAAATGTGTATAGACTGGGCTTCTGGCTTCCAGATCTAAGAAGCGAAGTTGCCCTAATTGTTGTTAATGTTAGCATTATCCTGCATAACAGGGTTATGGACGGTTTCCATACGCGATGTCCGGAGATAGATGAGCTGCAAGACATAAATTATGACCAAAACGAATGGTATTGTTATTGCCATGAAGGTCGAGCCTTGTGCAATAAGCCCGGCTTGCGTAATGCTTGAGAAGACCTCTGCAAGAGTTAGTCCATGCATAGGGACCAACTAGGCTACAATGCATAGCTTACGAATAACACAAGTTGCAGCGGCCAGGGGAAGATTATGGTCAATCAAGCCAATATCCTGACTGAAACGGTTCAATGTAATTCCAACATCTGTCGTAGAAAAATACGACTGAGGTGCACTATTGTACTTTAGCATGTATATGAAGTACTAAAACTGGATAGATGGTGGCTTACTTGATTGTTGTTTGAAGAAGAGTATTATGTAGTTTGGCTGATGATCTTGGAGAAATGAATATAATTGCCGACCTGTTACCAAATTAGCTTTATGCTCATCTCCTTTGGAGAGTCTTGCAATGAAGACAAAGAGACGAACCATAGAGTCATGATTCTGAAAGCGACAGCGGCAATTGCGAGGATAACATAGACGCTCATATATTTGCCTATTTCTCCTCCATTTTGGTCGCTCCACCATTCAAGCCATATTTCTGTAGTTATCAGCATCTGTATGTTGTAGGTTTTTCCGGAGGTTTACTCACGCGGAAAGTACGTTGCAAAAGCAAGCAATGCAGCACTACAGAGAAACAACAAAGCACTTAGCCAGCCGATGGACTTGAAATAATAACTATAAACTGCAATGTCGCCGGTTTTTCTGGTCAGGTCCGTGACATCATCTTGTGTGACACCTTTGATCTTCGGCCGTTTCTTTGTAGACGGCTCGGAAGAGACTTGATGAGAGTTCCTCTCCGTTGTTAAAGGGCCAATAGTACTGATAAATCCGTCCTTAGCCCTTAAAGCATCGAAGGTCCCTTGTTCCGTAATTGTTCCATCTTTACTAAGGACAACTATTCTGTCTGCTAGCTGAAAGTGGCGTGCTATAATCAACCGTTAACAAGAAACCTACCATCTCCAGTGCAAAAGGGCTTACTTGAATGAGTGACAAGTATAACAGTTGCCCCGAGCTTTTTGAGAATCCCATTGGGCCCGAGTAGCCTATCAACAACAAGTCTTTCTGTCTTAGAGTCTAGTGCGCTCAGTATGTCATCAAGAACAACAATTTGTCTGCGTGCATATACGGCCCTTGCTAGAGCCTACGAAATCTTAATACCTATGTTATATAACGAGTTGAGGATCAGAAATACTTACAAGTCTCTGTCTTTGTCCTCCACTAAGAGTTAACCCTCGATTACCGACGATACTGTCATCACCTTGTGGAAAGTGAGCGATATCCTCATCCAATGCACACGCATGCATAACTGTTTGATACCATTTCTCGTCTCTTTTGGTGTCACTTCCTAGGCCACATATACTTTGTTTGATACTTGCATTGGTAATCCACGGACTCTGAGGACAATATGACATTGCCGTCGAAGAGACAATTACGCTCCCGCTATCATACTGCAGTTCACCTAAAATTGCTCTCATCATCGTCGTCTTTCCGGACCCTACAGGCCCGGTAACCACATTCAATGTGCGATATTCGATATCAACATTAATATCTCGAATTGCAATTTTCGCTCCTGGTGCAGGTCGCACACTCAGCTGGCGTAGTGATACAGCCACTGAGGGGTTAACAACTGAGCGAAGTGCAGCATTGGACCCCATATCGTGTAGTGCGATTCCATCTTTAGAGATAGAACTGGCACTCGAATGATCGGATGGATCTGGCGGGTCCAATACTTGTCTTTGATCCTGTCTGTCTGAAGCAAGAAGATATCTCTGGATGCGTTCAAAACAGCCCACACAAGCGATCGTATTTGGGATTGCTCCAATCAACATGGCAGCCGGCTGGGTGACCAATGTGATAATTGAAAGAGACATAAAGGCTGTGTTTGTATCAAGTGAGCCTGAGCCACTGACCCTTGCCCTGATGACAAAAGCGATAAAAGTTAATACGGGAGCAAAGTACGCTGGACAGTATGCTATTCAACGTTACTTTATTGTGCACAGACATACATCTGGTCATACTTACAGGCAACATTAGTGCTCAAAACCATCCACCTATACCCCGTGGCCATATCAAGCTCATGAATTCGTTGTTCTTGGATGTTGCGAGTCATAAATCCAGAGAGCCCCATCATTTTGACATTTTTCATTGATCCCAACATAGTTGAGGTCATACCAATGCGTCGTTGGATGGCGCCGTTCCAGATCTTTTGTCTAGTGCTCATAATGTTGGCCATTCGAGAGTTCGCCACTCCGCAAACTGCGTAAACTTTAGTTCGTAGGCAGAGAAGCAAAGCTAACAATACTTACTAGCAACGATGATGATCGGTATTATACACACGGCACCGAGCTGTGCTTCAAGAAGGTACATGCCAATGGCAACTTCTATAAGTCTCGCCCATGTCTCATTGATCGACTGCATAGCAAATGCTATTCTGTCAATATCGGTACTCATAAGAGTTACAGCTGCAGAGTCGTCGTGCAGGCCATCTGGCGAAGTGAGAGTTTTGTTATATATGATCCCGACTAGCGCACCTCTGAGCATTGTAACTGATCGAAAAAGTTGTTGGTTATAGCCCAGCGTACAAATCTGATTTTATACTAACTAAGCACCGAACATGGGTTCTCAGCACTCTAAAAGAAACTTACAGCAATTCCAACATATACCAAGAATGCGGCCGCAATGAGTCCGAGACCGTTATTGCTGTTCTCTCTCCACTTCGGTTCTTGAACATAGCTAATCGTAGAACTAATTAAAAATGGCTGAGCGTATGTAAATCCAACCAAGGCGAGCCGAGGAGGAGCTATTCGAAGAATGGGCCACAGGAGGCATCTGGCGCAAGCCAACGGCAGGCTATAGCGATGTTCTGGCTTAGCTGCTTATAATTAGCACAATATGCTACAAGAGATGGAGCCAAGAAGAAGGAACCAACAGTGTTTATCCCACATTGTCTGCATCTTTTCCCGAAGCATCTGAGAAGATAAGGCATCATCCGTAGGATAAAGGTCATCCAGTGTGAGTAATTTTCGAAAACCTTTGAAGAAAAGGGGATTGAGCCACCAAAGAAGGCTTCTGTCCAAGATACCCCGTCTTGCTTCCGGCGGATATTTCTTGTACGGTTCCTTGAGTATCTTCGTCTTCTCTTGGCTCTCTAAAGCCAACATCGCAGCCCTTACGGCCATGGTGAGAGTGAAAACTACGGCAATTGCCAGAGAGCCCTGTCGAAGGTATAGCGTTCTGACTTGAGGAATGTCAAGGATCACTGAGGCGAAGAGATACAAACATGCTACAGTTGAAGGCCGGACAGACCGTTGTTGCTCCATATATGACAGCAGAATGAGGCAAAAAGTTGCGATCAAGGATAACACGGCGGCTGGGAGGGTTGCAACAGTTCGCAGGGCCGGTTTGATCGACCATAGCGTTACCAGCGCCAATTGTAGTCCAGCTAGAACACTAGCCGCAGTCTGATGAACAGTTTTGAGTACAGGTTTGATATGTAAGAGGAATATAGATCGATACACACCCCTTTCCATGCATAACTTGAAAGTATAGACGTGCTCTTCACGCTTGACTTCCGCAACCAAAACAGCCTCAATGGAACGACCAAGAGTAAAATTGAGGTTGGCGCAATTGAAAGTATACTCTGCTCAAAGAGTAGGGTAAAATCCCACCCTTGGCGGCAAAGTCCTACGACGACAGGTCCAAAGATCTGGTCTGCATTTAGCGGGCAGCCAGCACCAGTGTTGCGCGTGTCGAGAGCCATGATCTGGCACGGGTAAAATGACTACTGCATACGCTTAGTGGAAATGCATCAAAAGACAAGTCTTGAGGAAGTAATTAGAAGAGATCTTAGTCAATAACCCTCAGTCCGTTACGAAAAATGTATCCAGATGGTTATTCGTTTAGAGATCAATTGATACTAATGCCGGCGACTTATGATCAAAGAGATTAGTTAGCTAGGGCGGTGCTTCATCCGCTTGTGGCCGGTACCGGAAAAGTAGGAGAAGCTTTGTAGTCCTTCATTGGGTGTGGTTCTATTTAGGTGGTTAAATAATAAATTATATGGCCTAGAATGTACACAAATCATGGATAATACCTCAATATCCATTTTCTGAGTTGACGACGCCTCAGGAATATACGTATGATGCGTTGATATGGATATTTATATATACACCAATCCCGCTGGTGAGGTGTACCACCGACACAGAGGACGTGAAAATCTTCCTGAATCTCTGAATGATGAAGCTGCATGGTCAGAATAATTACTAGAACAAACAATCAACACAGACATAGTTTGAGAAATATCTTGCCTGATCTCCATACAATAGTGTACTAAGGTCAACCAGAGTGCATACCTTCACTTGCATGAGTTGTTAATCAATTCGATGTGTCCTCAAATTTCAATTGTTGAGCGCGCCAGGGACGCTACTCTAGCAGGTCAGTCGTTCTACTCGATAGGAACGGAAGTGTGGATTTTCTACTTCTGTCTGGCAGGCCGCTTGCCACTTCCTTGCACTTTGTCCGGGGCTGGGTCCCCCTACCTAGTGGTATGAAATGAGCGTATAGCAAAGTAGGAATTATAATGGTTCCATGACATGTAGCTGAAGCCAAGGATCGTTGTGGCAATGAAGAGGATTCGATGCTACACAGGAAGAGGATAGATTTAGTGGCTTGAATGCTAAGCATTTTAACGGAATTGGTGCACACAGTGACCGTAACGGACCGGAACCGGCCACGATGCCTCATCAAATCATCTTTTCGGCTTTAGGTATTGGGAATGAGAAGAAGAACCGGACACTTTTACCAGCTAGGCCCCGCATTGAGTTGTTCTCTAAGCCCGGCGACAAGACATCGTAAGCTTGCATGAGTGGCGTTCATTAGATCATTGCCTGTTTCAGAAACGTGCTGGCAAACCCTGTTAGCGCCACAAGCTATCTGGTGTCGCTTCGTTTAGGGGAGAGAACTGATAAGGGCAAGAAAATTACAAAGGGAACAATGACACAGCCAATTAGATATAGGTTACTGCGTGTCCCGTTATCAAATTAGCATCTAGCCGACTATTACATTCGTGTTCAGGGACCAATATCTCAAGGGGGATGATAGTCTCGGCGCTCTAGATCTCCTCACTCTACAAATTGCTTTTGGTTTGGCTGAGTGATAACCAGTCCGTCCACTTACAACCTACAGAGTTGATTACCACTTGTTACATTTCAAGTTCGTGCTGCTTAGATTCCTACCATGGTCATTACATAGACGGGTACGCGTATTCTCTCCGCTAATTATTAATCTGTATGCTAGTGTTCCATTTCCACATCTAAACTTGCATGAGGCTAAGAAAACATCGATCTGCGGCTAAGGTCTCTGATTGCGGCTGCCATTTTGGTTATCATTTTGGCATCTGTTGGGATTTCATGGCCACCATCATGTGTCAAAAGTGTCGATGTCTCGGCGTTACATATCTTATAGAGGTTGAGAGAATAGTTGTACACAAAGTCTTGTCGTCCCGCTACGTGAAGTGTTGGAACCGTGAGCTTTCCCTCTAGTCCTTCATTTAGAATTGGCTCATTCTCGTCATTCATTCGAAATGGAGGAAACGAATTGAAAAATATAGCACATCGGAAAAGGGGCGAATCGTAAGGATTCTGAGTGATGTGGTGGACCATCAGACCAGCGGCAACTGCTCCACCGTGTGAAAAGCCCAGTATGCAGTCGAACGGCCCATCTTCTTCGATGATCTCGTACAGCATGTTGTAGGCTGTCGTCACAGAGTGTCCGTCATCATGGACGGTTTGTGGCCACTTATAGTAACTGAAAAACGGTCCCTCGAAAAATCCCTCAATCCCGGGCCCTGGAGAGTCCTCTACTTCTCCCTCAACGGAATGAAAAGTGGCAATCTGGTCTTTTTGGAGCGCTCTGACAAGAGGAGCGAGTTGGGAGTCGAGAATCTGTTAGAGACTTGGTAAGCAACTTGCGTTGAAAAGCAATCTGATTTGAGGGAGTCCTCACTTGTGCATTTGTTCCTGCTCCATGCAGACACAATATTTTCAGGGCAGACATCTTCCTAATCATAGAAGATCAATGATCTATAACGTAAAACCTGGACCGCTAAACGGACTAATTAGAATAATTTGCCGTTGCAGTATCGAAAGAGCAAGTTCATCTGATACTTGTAACAGTACATATGTCGATCGACTGAGAATCCAACCTGATATTCAGCATCAACGCAATCTAGGTAATCTGCATTGAAGTTTCTACTTCAATCCTAGTTCCTTTGCGGGACTATTAAGCATTTCGGTGTATGTGCTCTTCGCCGTGTAGCTGAGAGGGCACATAAAAATACACCGCATAGCCCCCGATCACAGCCATCACATAACTAAATACTTTAACTTAACCATGTTTTCTGCGCCTACTAATGAAATACGCCGCCTGTAAAAACATTTATGCATCTTCTGCTGGTTATGGGGTTATTGAAACATGAGTGAAGCGTAATGGATTTTTTTGATGGATGTTTTTGAATCTCAAAAGTAATTCTCCACCGAGGCTTACAAACTGTATTGTACATTCGTCTAGTTAAGTGATAAATTTTACGGGAGTATAAATCTGCTCCGCTTCGAATACTTCTAATTCCGGCTGTGTAGGGGAAATTAGATGGGATAGACTATTGGGCTAATCGGTACGGTATCATTTAGCCAATGAGAAAAGCCCCAATGCCAATGAATTGAGAGTATCACTTTTATCTTGTTATCATTTGACGATTAAGTATTCTAAGGGCAAATCCGAAAAAGGAAATGATCGAGGGCCGGGGCTGGTTCCCTCAATCAATTGACAAGTGACTGCAAGATAGATATCACGGATTCTCATGGTAGGAAAAATCGTATGGTCATAACACAAATTTTCGGTAAGTTATTTCATTGCTGAAAGGACATTTCTGGCCTCAAATATCCCTTAAGTACGAGCAAAGACAACCTCTAGTTCTCATAACCAGATCAATCTTTAGACATATCATAACATACTACTATCCGCAGTCAGACTTCATTAAGTGTTATTTTTCTCTTGCCATAACCATTCAGACTACTCAACGCCAAAATGGTTGCCTTGAATTCTTTCCTCCTTAGCCTACCCTTGGCATTATTTCAGATCCTGGCATCAGCCACCCCTTTCAGTCAGGAAAATCACCATCAACAACCTGTAGGTTGGGTACACCCAGATATCGAGGCTGCCGAACGGGATGGGTTTTTCTTTGAGAACCCAGAGACGGACTGTCGATTTGTCTCACAGCCATTTATTTACAAACAATTTAAAACACTGGAAACCGACGGCAGCGTGTTGTTCTCAATGATTAACAAGGATGTCCACTTCACTATCGTGGGCAGCCACCCTGGTGCTGGTGTATATCATGACTTGATGCACTTTTACGTCAATGCTTTGAGGCGAGTCGCCATTGTTGCAGGAACCGAGCATCCGGAGGCATTCCGCGTGTATCCTAAAGCCATTCACGGGGGCTGCAATGAGGAGTGGTCTGTGCAGGAAATGAACTTTCAGGGCATCTCAAATGCTGGTAAGTTGCTTCTTATATTCAGGTATATGATAATGTGATAATAACTAACTACCAAAAGGAACACCTTTTGACATCATCAACGTTTGGGTCACTCGCTGGGATGAAAAGAAGAAACAAATGGTTGAAATTCGTACCTACATTGACGCGATGAAAGTCACGCAACTCATTCACGAAAGCGAGGGTTGGTGGAACGGTTCCCGTCATCTACACCACTATGAGTGGATGCCTGGTCCATATGGCATGCCTAACTTGACCGAGCTGTATGCGCTTATGCCTGAAGAAGACCGACCAAAGGGACGTGGCCCTGGCGAAGGCCTTACTGGCCAGGTTGTTGGCTACATGCTTCCTGAATGGGAGGAAAGCGGAGAAGGCCATTATTAGACCTCGGACAAAACATAGGAGGTTTCTGCAATGTCTCAGATCGCGAGCCGTATTGAGAACTTCTTCATGACGTAAACGAGTTTCATATCAGCGTCGCCCTGATAAGAAACCAGGATTCGAGACTGATTAAGTAAATTTGAGCTATTTTTTACCGATATGATATGTCCAGCAAGATGATTGCAGGATAATTCTAGACCAGGGACGGGGATGTGTTTTACAAAAATGTCAATAGAAAGAGTTGAAAGGAAGTAGCAACCAGTTAGTAGAATTGATTAGGTAGTAAACCACCGGAATCAAGCTATTGTTATGTATAGGACTTTGTTATTACCTAGGTAGGCTTCCTGTCAGCTGGAAATATAGCCTACATTGCCCATGTAAATCGCTTATATTGCCAGCCCCATAACGGGCAACTTCTATGTTCAAAAGGTCAAATTTCCAGGCCAAACTTCCTTAGCTTCTTAAATAAATCTACTTCAACAGGAGCAATTACAAAGCAGTAATAGCTGGATCCTGCTCTACGAAATCAAATTACTGCTGTGTCTGTCGGTTCCTACTCAGGTGGAATTCAAGGGAACAAAGGAAGAACTGTAGGCAGACTAAGGGAAAAGAAAGAACTTATCATATTGAACAATTCGGATACTTGAATGTTAGATTAAGCAACTACTTCGCGTTAAACTTAAAAGTTCTATCTTCAACGAGAAACTATCTCAAGCTTTCAATTTCTGCAGCCATTCCTCAGCTCCCAAAACCTCTCCCCTCTTGCTGAAGATTTTGCTCATTAGTCCATTGTGTAGTTTCTCGTCACCATCTACACACAAGTCTTTCAACACAACAAGTTTGAAATCCTTATCCGCTGCCTCGCAAACAGTTGAGAGCACTACGCCCCCTGTGCTAATACCCGCTAACACGAGAGTCTCAACCCCTAGGCCTTTCAACACAAGGTCCAGGCCACTGCCGGTAAAAGCACTGACGCGCTTTTTCTCAATGAGAATATCGCCCTCTTTAGGGGCAATTACTGGGTCGATTTGAGTTTCTGGCGAGCCGCTTACAAATGAGTTGCTTTTAGCAGCGGCGCTGAAGGTAGCATTCGAAGCCGAAACCTCGGGATGACCGGGACGGAAAGCGACAGTCACATAGATTATTTTGGCATAAGGACGTGCAGTATCAATCGTATTAGCGAGGAGTTGAAGGTGGTTTTCGGGCAGCGACAAGCGAGAGATGATGCCCGCCTGGTAGTCCATCACAAGGAGCGCCGTTTTACTCATATTGCCGGATTCCGAAATGCAAAGACCGGCTTTTGCAAGCAATGGAAAATGAATACAAGACGAAGAAGTAGTTAGCACGGGGATCGTGATTTATTGATCAGGTCGACTGAACTTCAATCGCGATTTAAGGCTACGAAATGTCAGAGGAATTTACCCTGAACAGGAGCGGAAGTTACCGGTACCGGCAGACCTCTTTCGGTGTTAGGCTGTGCTGGTATTACGGCGATCAACCACACTGATGCTTTTCTATACCATGGGAAAAAATTAAAAAAAATAAAAAATAATCCGGAACATTGCTCTAAGAAAAGGGTTCCTCATCCGGTGAAATGAACCGTGAAATAAGTAAGAGTACGCGAATCATCTGCCCGTACAAGAACCATGCTTTATACGCTGGAAACCCCGATTCTTCTGGGGCTCGTAATAATACCTGGACGCTTAGAATTCGGGTGTATCAAATCAAGCTATAGAGTATTCTGTATATTCCATACAAGGTGTGGCCGCAGTGTATATTTCATCACCAGCCCCAAGCAATATGTCTCCCCTGATCGAACCTAATCCTGGCCAATCTACTGTCTCCGGAAAGAACGGCGCAGTCATTCAGACAAATGGAATCCTATCTGGTCCCAAAGCAACCGGAGCAGTGGTAGCAGACGAATCGACACCCTTGCTGCCACAGAAAACAGAGGAATATTCAAGCTTCTCGACGGCTCAGAAGACTCTTATCATATTCACAGCGGCATTTGCGTCCACATTTTCACCATTTTCGGCAAATATATACTATCCAGCAATTAATTCTATTGCACAAGATTTGAATGTGACAGCTGCTATGATGAATCTGACCATCACTGCTTATATGGTAAGTGAAATTTGCTTCCGAAGCGGAAAAGCCTCCGACTCACTTTCAGAATCACAGATCTTTCAAGGAGTGGCGCCAACGTTCATGGGAAATTTATCAGATACCGTTGGGAGAAGGCCCGTGTATTTACTTTGTTTCGGCATTTACATGTGCGCAAATGTTGGTCTGGCTCTGCAACGTAATTACTGGGCTTTGTTAGGGTTTAGGGCACTCCAAAGCACTGGAATTAGCGCCACAATCGCGCTTTCAAATGCGGTAGCCGCAGATACAGTGACTTCTGCTGAGAGGGGAACTTATCTAGGGATTGCTTCACTTGGAGGAATACTTGGTCCAGCATTAGGTCCGACGTTGGGCGGCCTGATCAGCAAATTTTGGGCCTGGTATGGGATTTTCTGGATTTTGGCATTGCTATCCGGTTTTGTCTTCGTTTCCATGCTTTTATTCTTTCCAGAGACATGTCGCCGTATTGTTGAAAATGGATCTGTCCCTCCTCCGTCATGGAATCGCTCCTTGATCAACGTTATAGCAGACTGGCGTAAACGGAAGGCGGGCATAAGCTTGGAAGATGACTACGTTCGTCACCAGCAGTTATCTCAGAAGACGCGAATCCGATTCCCCAATCCTCTGTCTACTTTTCGTCTCTTATTCGAGATGCCTACAAGCTTGGTATTGCTTGTGAATGGAACGTTATTCGGTGCATATTATGCTATCACATCCAGTTTACCAGCCGAGTTCTCTGCAATATACAGATTAAACGAGTTGCAGATGGGCCTTACATATATTCCCATTGGTCTCGGAACAATACTTTCTTCGTTCACGAATGGGTGGGCAATCGACTGGAACTTTCGAAGGATTGCAGCCAGAACGGGGGGCATGCCTTCCGTCAAGAATGGCAAACAAGATCTCACTATGTTTCCAATAGAACGTTCGAGGCTCCAAATCGCCATCCCATCCGCCATCTCAGGTGCTGTCTGCATTGCAGCGTATGGCTGGTTGCTGCATTTTGAAATGCCTCTGAAGGTTGCCATTCTGTTTTTATTCTTGATCGGCTACTTTATGACTGCAAGCTATAATGTCATGAACCTGTTGATCGTAGACCTGAACTACGAAGCTCCAGCTACTGCAACAGCAGCAAATAATTTTGTGCGTTGTTTTATCGGCGCCGCCTCCACCGCGGGAATCATACCTCTGCTGGAGTACATGGGTAGAGGTCCAAGTTACACCATACTGGCCGCAATATGCGCCAGCATGACCCCTCTGTCCATTGTGGTGTACATTTTTGGGTTGCACTGGAGAAATGAAAGGGATGCAAGGAAAGCAGATTCTACCGAGGGCTAGCGCATCGTAGCATGTTAGAATGGGATAAGGATAACATGGTTAAGAGGGATCTTCCCCTGCTGGTAGATACTAACGACTTTATTTTAAGGCACACGTTCTAAAACTCGTTCATTTTCAATATGGAGAGACTTTGGTGATTAAAAAGTTTCCTCAGAATGATGTTATCAAGATTTTAAGAGTCATGATTGTGCTGTCGCTTTTCGGTTCCCTGACATGCCGTGTTCGGTCTTAATAGATGGATTAAATAAATCTGACCGAAACATATGTACCTAGGCACGGCTTCATAGAGCCTGACCAGGTGTATATATGTTACCACCCTCGTTTTCTTTGGACGATATAATCCCAGGAGATTTTTCCATTTGAAGTCTCAGTATTCTCATGCCCTCCATATTCCACTATGTTCTCCATATATTTGATCACAAAACTGACAGGATTTTGTTTTTTCCCTTGCATGACATTGATCTCTACTACTGTCCACGCGCAAACACCTCCAAATTATCGACCATCTACATCCAATACCCTCAACGTTACGTTCAATGAAGGGTTACCAATATCGCCAGGCCAGTTTCTGTATCCCTCTGGTAAGACATGATTTTGCTTATTGCACGGTTAGAAAATATGACCAGTGCTAATTTACCCTAGAGGCAATGTTCATGCCTACGCTGTCCTACAGCGACTTAGACCCCTTCGAGCCCTATATCGCATTTATGATAGACGTAGAAGTGGTTCATTCAGGACTCGCGTACCCTTTGCTGCACTGGTATCAGGCAGATTTATGGGCTGACACCACGACCAATGAGTTTACTCTACGCAACCTCACCAACGCCGGAGCGGCATACGTTGGACCGCAGCCAAATGCCGGTCCCAGCCATTCATACGTCCTTCTTCTATTTCGGCAGCCATTGAACTATAGGTTTCCGGAGTGTTTTCAATATATGCTTCCGCTGAGCATGGAGGCCAGAGCGGGATTTGATCTCCAATCATTCATCGAGTTGTCTGGCTTGGAAAATCTGGTGGCTGCAAATTACTTTCTTTCTCAAAACCCGGAATCCCGGCCAACTACGACTTCGTTGATGAAGCCCCCATGCGCGACAAAGAAATTCCGAGGAAGTGCAGAGACTGCGGTTCTGAGATCCGATCTGTAAAGCAGCGCGGACGGGATAGGACGCTTACTATGATCAGGGTATTCACTTCTGCGGACTTTGGAAATTTGAAATATGAAGGTATGCCAATCTGCTTTTCTTCCCTATGACGTTTTACACGGCTGTATCTAGTTATAGATTGTCGTTTGATGCAACTAAAATCGTCAAAAATCAACATTAAATTTCATATATAACGGTATCATCCACACCACAGTCATAGGTTATAGTCTAGCTGCACTTTGTCTAATTTTCTGTCTCTCATAATCTCTCAATGTACGACGCAGAATCTTTCCACTCGGACTTTTTGGGATAGACTTCACAAACTCAATGCCACCTTTGAGCCATTTGTAATGCGCCTTCTCTTGCTTCACATAGTCATGAATTTCTTCAATGAACTCAGAGTGGTTCTGAAAAAATTGGCCACGATTATGAAGTGCAAGTACCACAAAGGCTTTAGGGACCTCCCCAGCCGCGTCGTCCGGTACTGGTATGACTGCGGCATCAGCAATTAGCGGGTGGCTAATCAAGCAAGCTTCAAGCTCGGCTGGTGCAACCTGGTGCCCCTAAATTTTGCTCATAGGTTAGTAAGTGACGTCGCGAGGATGAGATGGGCAAGTGTACATTGACTTTGATTAACTCTTTAATCCTGTCTATGATAAATAAATGCTCGTTGCCGTCTCCATTGGGATTCTTGAGGAACATTGCTTCATCTCCGGTTCGTAGCCAGGCGTCCTTACCACTGCCAAAAGTTTCCACTGTGGCCTTTTCATTGTTTAAGTATCCCAAGGAAGTCACATTGGGTGCTCGGATGAGTAACTCTCCAGCCTTTCCATATTCACTTATGTCGGAGCCATCTGAAAGGGAAACTATGCGTGCCTGGACTCCGGGGGCGAGACTTCCCGAGGATCCAGGGAAAATATCAAGGGCTGAAGTCATAGATACAGCTGACGTTGTCTCGGTCATTCCGTACCCTTGACAGATATACCAAGACGGGTAGTTTTTGAGAAGTGCCCGATACGTCTCGACTCCTAAGGGTGCTGCTCCACTGAAGACCTCGCTGACAGAACTGAGGTCAAATCGATCTAAGAATGGCTTATTGTTAAGGATCTGTATAATGATTGGAGGAACCTAGGAGTAATCGGATTCAGTGAGTTGGGTAAACGAAGTTCGAATCTTCAATAACTTACAATAAAAAGGACGTTTATCTTGAATTTCTCAATGGAAGCTGCTAGTACTGGTAGGTCGAATTTTGGAAGGACGAGCACGGCATCTCCTCGATAGATGCTGATATGGCAGATAGATACGATTCCGTATATGTGGCTCTGAGGTAGTAGCCCAAGAACAACTTTGGTTTGGCCTGGTCTACGCGCTGGAGACTCGTATGCAGCCACTTGCAGAACATTGACCATAACGTTATAATGAGACACCTGTACACCCTTCTAGAATGTCTGTTAGCAGTGTCGTTGAATGGGCATTTCGTAAAAGAAATGACGTACTGGTAACCCAGTAGTTCCACTTGAATACATAAGAAATGCACATTGACGAATGGCTTGTCCTTTTTCCCATTGAAGCGGCTCTAACTCCGGCAAACGAGAACCCTCCAAGATAAGCTGATCAACTGTCTTTATATCCGATGGCAGCATGTAACCAAGTTGCTTCTCATAGCTCATTGACAATAGATAAATATGTTTCCTTGGAATACCACTGGTAGTTGCAGCCTTGATTGCTGTTTCCAGTAATGAAAGACACGTGAAGATAGTTTTTGAGCCAGAAGATTTGATTTGATGCTTGAGTTCCGAGACATTGTATGCTGAGTTAGCTGGCGACGAAATGCCAGAAAGGTTGTGCACTGCCCACGAGAGAGGTACACTGTCCAACTATGGTGTTGCGGTGTTAGCAATCTGTAATTTTCTGCAAAATGTTGAAATATGCTTACAGTGTTGTGGGCAAAGATCGTAATGACCTTGTCCCACTCTGATCCTTTGTTTGGTGCCCAGTTGAGCTCCTTAGCTAATCCTCTAGCAAGGAAGTCCACGCGTTGTTTAGCCTCTGAAGACGTATACTGAGAACCAGATAGTCCACATATAAAAGGAGATCTACTATCACGTAGCTTTGCCCTCCCATACTTCTCATCTAGCATGAAATAACTGACAGGAATTGAGTCTGGTACTGTCTCCAAATCGACATTCGGTACCCATTTTGGTTGTGTGAACACCATGTTGGTAGGCGAAGTTAGTAATACAAAGCCGAGAATATGCTATGACAACTTTTTTGAATAAGTTTTTAGCTTCATGAACAGAAATGTACCTAGGTAGGCATTTAAAAGTCCAACAAGGGCGCAGTGACCCCTCAGCATTAAAGTACCGATCAGTGTTTAGGGAGCCCGATATGGTAATCTTTTTCTACTCTCTTATCTCTATTTTTTCTTACTACGTACTATTAATTACTGTCATCAATTTGCTCTAGGGGTGTATGCAGGAATCAATTGGTTATTATTAACCCCCGGTGGTGAAGCGAATACCGGGAAAGACCCAGGATGCGTAATCATAGATTACAGGCCCTCAGGTCTACAAAATACAATGAAGCAAATTTTGTGTTACAAAAAACTGTTTTTTTTAGTTTATAGCAAATAGCTTAATGGAGTATTTGACGTGATCCCCATGGATTTTAGCATTGGTAACGTTGAGCAACGTGTGGTGTATACCGTTTCACCCACTTCCTGCTCAATATTAATCATTTGCTCATATCTCGCCAAGTTATATGGACAACGAAACAAAGAGGCATTACCAGCAACTCGAGTCTTGATAGGAGTGCGACAGAATCTGGGAAGGATATAAATGGAACATTAAGACCGAAGCAATTCCTCGCAACTTGTCCTCGTCCGGATTCTTCATCTACTCAGTCGATGCACTTCTGGTTTCAATCATACTCCAATATAAAGGTCCCTATGTATCGCATGACAAGTGAAACCCTAGTTTGCCTCTCATGATAATGAGCAGACCCGTGATGGCGCGAATCCCTTTTGTTAAGATTCTTGAGGAAGATCTGATTGCCGAGGATTATGAGCAGTAGTAGAGATGTCAATTGTACGTTCCCCTTTGGGGATAGATGGATTTTCGATGGAGCGTTCTCAATGTTCGTATTCACTCTCTAAGAAACTATCAAAGGAGATCTATCCCGTACGGATAAATATAGGCCCGAAGGTCATATGATCTTTACACCTTTATTTTAGATTGACAGTTCCGATAACTATACTCCATGTGTGTTCTGGAAGAGAATAAATGCGGTAGAGCACGTTGTCTTCCAGAAGCTCGACGTCACTTTAACCGTCTGAGTAGAAGATGATCCTATGGGAGTTAGTCACCATATACGGGGAACATGAACCCTGTCGCCGCTACTCAAAGTACACCAGGGATTAGAATATTTAGGTGAAAGCAAGGAAGGGTCAAATTAGCCAATACAAAGCACATTTCCCCAATACCGGCTGCTTTCCGGACAATTTTACCTGTACCGTGGACAATTCCCGCCGGTCCAGATGAGGATGGAAAATAAAGTAGAAATGTCGATGTTCACAGCAAGCTGAATTATACCTCCTTCATCTTGATCAAAGATTTTACAATTCTATGACTCTCTTCTATGGTGCATTTCGTAGTAGATGCAGCGAAAATAACAATGTATCACCTCACTTACAGCACAAGCCAGAGTTGTCTATGCGATGTCCTTTCTAGGAAATCGCCAGTATTAAAGCCTGGTTAGACCATATATATCCAATCCCAAGTTTAGATATAAATCAGCCGCTACATATGTAGCCTTTGGCACCTAAATAGTGCATATCATAACGAAGAACCCGGACTGGATCAATATTTGTTTTCCTTTTCACTCACTCAGAAGGATACCTCCAACATGTCTGATTACGATAATGCTCAGACTGCCCTGAATCTTCCTAAGAAAGACTCGGAGATTTTAGGACTTGCCTTCGGTAAACGCCAAGTCGTTCCAGGAGAGCACATTCCTAAGACTGGTAAGTACTTTCTAAATAACATAAGAATCCGGTATAGGTTAACATGTTACTTAATTAGAGGCGCAACTGGCTCCCAATCTAAGTTTAACTCAAGCCACGGGCACATATATCGCAGTTTGTATCGACCTTGACGCTCCGTTCCCTTGTTTTAGTTTCCTAGGTCCCATTCTTCATTGTACGAGTCCGTAAATCGCTTGACACTAAAGTGGCACTAATTTACTAATCGATCCTAGGGATTCAATCGGGTTTGAAGCCCACCACTACCGTCAACGGAACTACAAGATTACGAGCGACAGACACACCTTTTATATCGGATTACGTTGGCCCCGCACCACCACCTCCCAGCCGGCCGCACCGATATGTGTTTCTGCTATACGAGCAACCCGAAGGATTCAACTATACTAAGTTCGCGCCTCCGGATGGGAAGAAGATGGGAATGTGGCCACGGATCAGATACGACCTAAAGACATTTGAGAAGGAGGCACATCTTGGTCCTATTGTGGCGAGTAATTTCTTTCTAAGTAATTAAGAGCAATGATTCTTATTTTACAGTAGCATCAATAATCCCTGTTCGCAATAACTCCAAATTTCTTGTACGTGGAACCGTAGCTATTTCATTTTATTACTGACTTCCTTGGACGAGTCTGTAGTTGTTGGTTTACCTTCGTTAGATCGCAAGATCTAAGAAGGACAGCTAATCCAACAAGCTGACTGAGCCAGTAATACTGAATTCCTAATATTGCGACTAATCCTCCGTACGATATAGCGCACGGATAAACTATATCCCATTCCCGCGCCGAGATAGGTAAGATTGCTATACCGACAGTAGTACCTCCGTGAACTAAATCAATCTATCTGTCTTTGTCTCGCTACCCTATTATTGTTAGAATATCGCGAGATCCACTACGGGGAGAACAAGGACATTTGAACAGACTCGGAGACAAGTCATTCCCCTATTTTCAGCTAATCAGAGGACCCCCGCACACGATGCCTCACTTTTCATGAAACGTCATATATGATACATCATATTGTAGATCACCGGGAAATTGAGCTCAATTCCCGTGCCAAAGCACATATAAGAAAGCCATTCTTGTGGTATGGAAGACAGAAGACCTCAGAGAACTCAATACATACAATCTTGCTAGTCACTCCTTCTTTGACCGTCCTTGTAAGATACTATTCAGGATTGGCCTGGAGTAAACCCAACAATGCGACAATTATCTGACTATATTGGTGTGCGTAACCCTTTCAGATGTCCATGCAGGCTGAATGAAGTGCATAGTATATATATTTGAGCCCAGGAAGAGCAGTTTGACGAAGCATACCAAAAATTAGAAATGTGATAAGTAAGTCTAGTATAGAGAAAGTTGCCGAACGTGTGAACAATTGGGACAAATTCCCCGTGTTATTAGTCTAAGCTGTCCTAGTTCCTCGTTATGCATGGTAGCCTTATCAATGCTGATAAATTAGCTGTTTTTCGGATAATTCTTACTTATCACTCCTTGATTATATGAAGTTAGGGATCTGCTACATGCCTGGTATTACAGTAAAGAAATAAATGCAATTCATCATGTCTGACGGGACTTTGTTCGTCGAAGATTCGCGCTCTGGGAAGAAATATGAAATTCCCATTCGCCATAATACTGTCCTTGCAACGGACCTTAAAAGGATCAAAGCCTCATCTACAGCAGCAAACCGGGCCGACAAAGTCGCAGATGGCCTTCGTTTGTATGATCCAGGTCTTGAAAATACAACTGTGGTTGAGACGAGCATGACATATGCGTAAGACCCAACACCCGGTAAAGAAGCGGTAGAAATCGAACATACTAAAATTTTAATTTTTCTCAAATAGAGACGCGGATAGGGGATTGCTCATGTTTCGCGGCTATGCTCTTGAGCAACTGTGGGAAAGTGAATTCGAGGATATGCTTCATTTGATGGTTTGGGGAAAATATCCAACGCCATCTCAGAGTGCATCACTTCGCAAAGACCTCGCTTCACTGATGGGAGACATTCCCAAGACCGTATTTGAAGTGATTGAAAAGTTTCCGTGTGTAATCTCAATACAAATGGCATTTTAATCGAGACCTTATAAAGTACGAAATGCTAACGGGATGTGAAAGACGCGACTGCCCACCAATGCCTATGTTAGTCGCCGGACTTGCAGCCTATCTTTCAGACGATTTAGACTCCATCCCTACGTTTAATGGGGGTAACATTTTTCATGGAAACGTTGAAAAAACGGATGAGGCTATTCTCAAAACAGTTGCAGCATTTGCGTCAGTTGTGGGTATCGCTGGCAGTCACCGGAGAGGAATCGCGTTTACACCCCCTTCCCTGGACAAGGGATACCTCGACAATCTTTTCAAAATGATGGGGATAGTCGATCCCACAACTAACAAACCTTCTCCGGAGAAACTGGATTGCTTTCGCAGATTTACAATCATTAATACTGATCACGGAATGGCGTTATCTGCATTCGCACATCTTGTCGCAACTTCAGCTCTAGCAGACCCAATCTCTGGTCTTATCGGTTCCCTCGTTGCTGCATACGGACCCTTACACTTCGGTGCGCCAGAAGCAGCATACAAAACGATTAAAAGCATTGGGGGTCCCCAAAACGTGCCATCATTTTTGGACGAAGTAAAAAGTGGAAAACGGAGACTCTTTGGCTATGGGCACCGCACATACAGGACTGTGGATCCAAGACTCGCTCCGATCAAGTCTGCGCTGCAGACGCTTAATGTCGAGACTGACATACCTTTAGAAACAGCCTACGAGATTGACCGTCTTGCATCCAATGACGACTACTTCTTAAAGCGAGGGCTTCATGCTAACGCAGACTTCTACACTCCGTATTGCTTTATCAAAATGTAAGTTATCTGCTATGCTTCAGTGGTATGGTTCCCCTCTACTCACCTTTCCAGTGGCTTTCACCCAGAGGAGTTTCCGATCGCGATGTTTGCGCAACGAATTATCGGTATAATGGCACACTGGAGAGAGGCCATGCGTATGTATATTGATTTCCCCAAATGCAAATGAATTTTCACTGACATGCATTCCAACTTAGTACGCAAGGTAAAGCTGTTTAGGCCTACGCATATCTACACTGGCGAGACAGAGCCGGTAGAGCATATCAAGATACCATCTAAATTGTAATATGCGAAATGCAAATGAAGCCAGAGAGATGTAAATAGTTTTTATGCACAAATTCTGCGTTGTAATTTTACCGTTCAATGACAAATATCCAGACACATTCGAAGTTTTACTGCTCAGGTACCTATGCCTATATTCCGATGCAACACACCGGCAACTTCTAGCTAGGTAGTTTATTTACGTGTGAAACAGGCAACCTTGGAAACTGGCCGGTCGGTGTCAAAACGAAGATTTCACTAATCAAAATCTATTTATAAGTAGAGAACATTGAGATATCATAAAACATGGGATTATTTTAAACAGGCTCTATAAGACAGTGTGCTAGCGTTCTCCCCGTTTACTGCAAATCAAGAGTGGGCTTAATTAGAGACAATGGCTTCTTCACAATTTGATCAGGTCATCATTGATATCAAAGATTATGTTTTCAACTACAGGATTGACTCTCCAAAAGCATGGAAGAATGCTCGCACAGCTCTTCTTGATGCAATAGGTTGCGCCATTGAAACAGTATTCAAAAGTGATGATTGTAAACGGATGTTTGGACCTATAGTACATGGGTCAATTACTCCAAATGGATTTCGACTACCCGGTACTGCCTACACACTGGATCCTTTGAAAGGTTCATTTGATATGGGAACGGCAATCAGATATCTTGATCATAATGATGCGATAGCTGGGGCAGACTGGGGACATCCGTCCGGTAAATCCCCACATCAATTGATCGTCTGTACGTTCTAATATATGCCATAACAGATAACCTCGGAGCAATCCTTGCCGTCAGTGATTGGCTGTGTCGTTCTTCAAAGGAAGAGGTACTCGTGCACAATGGACCACCCCTGACCATGAAAACAATTTTGGAAGCTCTTGTCAAGGCATATGAGATTCAAGGGTGTATGCTCTTACGAAACGCTTTCAATGCGTACGGATTAGATCACGTCATTCTTGTCAAGTTGGCTTCAACTGCGGTCGTCAGCTGGCTACTGGGCCTGACGGAGATCCAAACAATGGCAGCGATATCTCAGGTCTGGATGGATGGACAAGCTCTTCGAGTATACAGGCAAAGGGGGAACACGATACCTCGGAAAGGATGGGCTGCTGGGGATGCGTGCATGAAAGCAACACAGCTTGCCTTATTGACTAGAGCTGGACAGCCCGGATCTCCGACGCCGTTGACAATGCCGCGTTGGGGGTTCTATGCAAGTTCATTTGGCAACAACAGATTCGATCTACCAAAGAAGTATTCGAGCTGGGTGATTGAGAATATCATATTCAAGGTCATGCCAGTGGAAGGTCATGGTGTACCGTCAGTTGAAGCTGCCATGATCCACTCCCGGACGTTGAAGGCGAGACAACTGAGTGCTATGAATGATATAAAAAAGATCATTATTCGAACCAATGCAGCTACTGATACGATAATCAACAAAACCGGACAACTGGCCAATGCAGCTGACCGAGATCATTGTCTACAATATTTGATTGCTCTTACCTTTCTGAAGGGCGATATCCCTGAAGCTGAAGATTTCCTCGATAACAGTATTTGGTCAAGTAGTTCAGATCTTGATAACCTTAGAGCCAAAATTGAAATCTTCGTCGATGATCGACTAACGAAAGATTATATGGACCTGGATGTGAAAAGTGTCGCTACCGGAATGACAATCATGCTGTCAGACGGCACACATCTTAGCGAAGTACTCATAGAATTTCCAGTAGGCCACGGCAAAAATCCAAGGACGCAAGATGTTGTCCAACAAAAATTCCAGAAAAACATGAAGCTTATGTTCTCTCCTGAGGAAATTGATGAGATTGTCTCGATCATCGAAGATAAAGAGAATGAAGATAAACCCATCTCCGAGTTTCTGGATTTGTTGGTGCGGGAGAGCTCTTTAAATTCGAGACTATGAACATAGAATATCAACTCAGTGGTTATTGCAAACACATACATTCCAAAAATAACTCATATTAATTCTTATATACCTCAAAATACTTTTCAAATTCACGGAGATCAGGATGTAGCCCGGACTTCAGGAGAAGTAGGCGGATTGTAACAGTACTGACAAGCCACACCAATTAGATGGACAACGCGAGCTCTCATGTTAGCGACTCACACATTCATAAGAAGGAGGTTTCTTGTAACTAGAATTCTTTTCTTCTCAAGCTTCAGTCTCTGTTGTTAGCAACAGTACCTTTGTTAATGAAGATTAAGACACCAAACACCTCTGCCATATTGATAATTCCTCCTGCTCAACTCTTGGATTAACCTCCTATTACACGGACTTGAGAGAGTTGAATAGACTCTTGGACATGTTGAAATATATCTGTGAATGGAAGGCTGTCAAGGACTTGTAGAACTTGAGATACCTAGGTAGGTAAACAGCAGCATTGGGTTTAATGTTTCTTTAGCTACTTCGTCGACATTTTACTAAAGGATTGAGTTCGACTTATACATTTCAGGATATTTCTAAATTTATAGGAATAAAAATATAACATATTCTTGATTTAACGACAGCCACCAAAGTCATCTACACCTTCTCCGCCTCGTTGAGCTGAACTAACCTTGATCGCTGAGCAATCTTGGTGGCCAGTTGACTTAGTGGTGTATTTGCCAACAACTCTAAGATAGGAATTGTCGAGTTCATCTCCTTTGAAATCCAATTCCGAATTTCTACAGCCACAAGTGAGTCAATGCCGTAGTCTGATATAGGGTTGCCAACATTGACATGCTCAACGCCAACCCCCGCGCGAGATGCGATCTTGCTGATTAGAGCCGTACAGATAAGTTCTGATGCATCTTCCAAGCTGGTTGCTTTGCGTAGGTTCTTTCGCAGTTGTCCGGCGGAACCTGCGGCTTCGACATCACCGGAGCCTTGGGATGTGAGACTGCGGAAGTGTGCAAACAACGGGAGATTAAGCGAGTCAAGCGAGTTACCCTCATTCCAAACGCCAAGACCAGTGACACATTGCGAGAGAAGTGCTGGTCGACGTGGATTTTCGATTGCAAAGTGGATAAGGCTCATAAGCGTCTTTTTGTCTGTGAGCTCAAAGCCTTGTCGTTGCATGGCCTCTCTGAGATCCGAGTTTGTTGCAAGATAACCGACATCAGAAATTGCACCCAGATCAATCGTTGTCGCGGGGAGTCCTTGAGAGTTTCGATAGCTTGCGAACGAATCTAGGAAGGTGTTTCCGGCTGCATACGCAGCTTGGGTTGCATTTCCAATAATTCCGCTTACCGAGGACTCCATGATGAAGAAATCCATATCTTTCGGTAGATGGTTATGTAGATTCCATGTTCCTGGTAATATAGTGATTAGAGTCGATACAAAGAGACACCTTGGAGGGGAATATAATTCGTATCGTACCTTGCACCTTTGGATACAAAACTGCTTTATAATCTTCCAGGGTCATATTTTGGAACAAAGTATCCTAATGACAAGAGGTTAGTACGGTATATGAGGAATAGAATGAGAGGAGATCATGACAAACCCGAAGTAGCATTGCCCCCTGAATAACTCCTTTAATTGGGGGCATATCTTGTTTAGCAAGCGCGATAGTTGACTTCACCTGGGCGAAGTCCGTGATATCACAACTGTAAACGGCAGCTTTAACCCCCTTAGACTCGAGAGCCCGCACTGTGTCTTTGGCGTCAACATTATTTGGACCGCTACGACTGACAAGGATGAGATTGGTCGCCCCATGATCAGCCATCCAAAGAGCGGTAGCGCGGCCTATGCCTCCCAACCCGCCAACCAACATGTAAGATGCATTCGCGTGAAGTAAGGACTTGGTATTATCTTGGGGAACTACTTTGACCATGTCTTGAGGACTGTTAATGGCAACAAGTTTTCCCATATGACCACCGGTCTGCATTGTGCGTAGGGCCTGTTCAACTTCGGAGATTGGATAACTGTGAACCTGGGCTGGCCCCCGAATCGCTTCAGTGCGGAAAAGGTCTATGACCTCCGCAATGACCTTGCTTGCTACTTCCGGTCTCTGCTCAAATAGGTCATCAAGCAAGAATCCTGCGAAAGTTGTATTTCTGCTTAGCGGCTTCATTTCGAGGCGAGTGTTGATCATGATATCCCTCTGACCAAGCTCGACAAAGCGACCCCAGGGAGCGATACAATCCCATGTGAGACGAAGATTTTCTCCAGCCAGGGAATTCATGATAACGTCCACGCCTCTACCTTTTGTCATTCGTTTCACTCCCTTTGCGAAACTACCATTTCTGCTGAAGAAAATATGGTCTTCGGGAATTTTGAAGTAATGCATCAGGAATTGCTTCTTATCCGCTGTACCAACGGTGGCATAAACTTCTGCGCCGACTAGCTGACAAAGTTCAATAATAGCTTGGCCAAGTCCGCCACTTGCAGCATGCACCAGTACAGTTTCTCCCTTCTGTAATCTTGCGATGTAATGGCATGAATAGTATGCAGTCGCGTACGTCACAGGAAGTGATGCAGCTCTTTCAAAAGACAGATGTTCGGGAATCTTATGAAAACGATCGGCTGGTCCACGATAATCGGTACTGAAAAGTCCGGCACCGTAGGATAGAACCCTATCTCCAACTTGCACATGAGTAATATCTTTGCCAATTGCTGTCACCACACCACTCGCCTCCCAACCAAGGCTTTTGAGCTGAATCTGACCCAAAGCAGTCATGACATCCTTGAAATTAAACCCAGTGGCTTTAACTTCCATTTGGACCCAATCCGCTGGCAAACCATCGTCAAATCTATTGTCATCCACAAAATAGATACTGTCTAGCAACCCTGGAGTACCCACATGCATGCGAAGTGGTCTTCCTGGCTGTCGGAAGGGCTGGAGCTCGGGTTTGGGTTCAGCCGTCGTATTAGTTATGAATTTCACAAGTTGGCTATCTTCAATCAGCCTTGGGATCATGAGGGTACCATTCCTTTCGGCATATTCAGGTTCTATGCCCTTGGGTGCTGACCCAAATTGGAAGTGACGCTCGAATAAGGTAACGATGAGTTGTGCTGTTTTGGCATCATCTAACAGTGTGGCAGAGTCAAGGTCTAATGTTAGAATTGGAGATTCGCCGTTTTCAGAGCGGACTGTTCTTGCAATGCCTGATATAAGATTGCTACTGGGGTCCGAAGACAATATAGTGGCTCCGCGAGTAACCCAGATCACACCCCCACTTTCGAGGAATATGGTTTTCAAGACGTCCCACTGAATATCTGAAGTGTTAATCAAGGTTTGTGATGATGGATCACTAAGCACAATGCAGACTTGATCTTTACGTGGCTTGGCAGTCTGAAACGAGGAGATATCGACGTCTATGTGGTGAGCGTTCAGTTGCTCCTGAAGAGTCCGAGTAGATATACTTTTTTCAGCTCCATCCCAGATGACAAGGGTGTTTGGATACTTTGGCGCGCTTGGCTTAGTTGGTAGTGCTGTCAGAAAGGCGGCGGCATGTTTGGTCGTATCTGTGCCGTTAGGAATGATAACATCCTCTGAATAACGAGTTTCTGACAGAATATCTGTCCAAACTTCACGCGAAACAATAGCATCTCCGTTATCTGATTTTCCTTTCGCGGGTAGTAGGCTGGGTAAAAACCCAAACATGGTTGAAACGATGAGAGACTTCATAGGCCGGCCGACCAAAAGCAATTTTCCGCCGGGCTTCAGAAGTTTATGGGCATTTTCAAGAGTACTTCTGACTAAGTTTTCAGATCCAAGGGATTGGAAGACAATCAAAGCATCGTACGACCCTAGTGCAATGTCCTGCTTTGAAGGATCAACCGCGATATCCAGTTCCTTGCGCGATATTAAACCGTTCCATCTGGAACATTTTGCCTTCACTAGGTCACTGAGGTCAAAATCATCGTCTGCATATTCAAATTTCGAAAAATAAGGCAATTGTCCTGCCTTGGAATCCAATGCTGCAAGAACCGGGATGGAAAGGAACCCAGATAGCTTGCCACAAGCCAAGATGGAGACATTAGGCTGCTTAAAAGCTAGGAGCTCTAAATATTTTGCCACCGTCGAGCTATTTATAAATGTATCTGAGGAACTGAAAAACCCTGATAATTCAATCTCACTTAGTAATGATGATGGCTCCAGTTCACCTATATGTAAAATACGCATGTTAGTACTGGAACACGGTACCGGAGGGGAAGACTATTAAAAGCAATGAGAAATGCTGAGTGGTGATTTGGGTGCTGATCTTACCTCGCAATAAGCTAGGCAATCTTTTACCAATATGGAGAAGGGTGCGGCCCTCATGGCCATAGGCCTTAATTTTGTCCAGAAAAACATTTTGTTCATCTTTGCCGGCCGAGATCCAAATCTCAGCTAAGCTACTCTGGTTTTCCTCAACAGTCTTTTTGACAACACGATCTACCAAGTCCCAGAGATCCTGCTGGTAGGATGTCGTAATTGAAGATAGACTGCCTTTCATACCCTCAATGACTGATTTCAAAAGATAGAATGCCGCCACCTCAAATCTATGACGAATATTTAACGATTGGACAGACGGCCCAGACCGGATTACGGTTGCTAAACTCTCTCCAGAGAGCATCTCAATATCTGGCTTCCAGTCGAAGTTGTATGCACGAGATTGGCTCTCAGAGGAAGCGTCTTGGGATTCCGCTACTCCCAGGGTCGTACAGTTGATTCCTCGAATAGTAATAACGGGATCGCTTTCGGCCCCTTGGTGAGCACTTAGAACGGTAAGAGAGGCAGAGACAGTCCGAGGATCCTTTTTCTCCGTAGAAGTGTAGGCAACCAGTTCTTCCCCAGGTGTTGACGTGATGCTGTTGGAAATATAGATGTGCTCCACGGATACGGGCACTGCAGGATCTTTCATTTCATCTGCATCTAGAGAGACGAAAATGGTGTGGAACAGACTGTCAAGTGTGGCAGGATGGACAACGAAGGGAAATTGGTACTTTTGAGGCATTACAGCAGCAGTGTCGGGGATTTTGATGGAGCCCACGCAACAACCGGGACTGGCTCGTGCCTCTGACATACAAGCAAATGTTTCGCCGTATTCAAGACCAAGCTTGGCGATTGTTTGGTAAAACTGCGCGACGTTGATTTCCTTCTGGCATTCTTCGTTAAATCGATCAATCATTGAAACAAGATTCTTTCGGTCACCGGCCTTCTGAGATTCTCCATCAATAACATTTGCTGACTTAGGTGGCGTTTGTATAGCTATGAGTCCGCGACAGTGCTCAGTCCAACGGTCATCGCCACTAACAGATGAGACAATAAATTCATCCCATAGGTCTGACGGAGAAATCATGCTATCCGAATAGGACTTCAAGGTCACAGACACCTCAACCTCTCCAGGGTTTTCAGGGATGACAAGGGCAGCTCCTATGACCACCTCTCGAATGTTATAGCCGGCTATCGTAGGTACTGACCTCTGAATGGCGCGCTGAGTTGCTGCTTCGATAGCCTATATTATTGTCAGTATCGCTATATTGTTTCACATGATGCAATCCGCTTCGATCATGCACAACTAACTAAGTCGTGTCTTACGAGCGTGAAATGGAAATATCTTACCATGACAAGGTACCCAGCCGCTGGATAGACAATATTTGCTTGAATAACATGATCACGAACCCACGGAACCTCAGAAAGCCGGATGTGGTTTGCCCAGCGGGGTTCCATGGGGCTACACGTTCTCTCAAGAGCACCAAGCAGATCTGTTCTTGGAAATGGTCGATTCTTATATGCTTTGCTTTTCCAAGATTCATGCCAGTAAGTGTTGCTGTGGTTCCAGGAATATGGAGGAAGGTCAACTAGTACGGAGAGCTTCTCTGTGCTAGACATGCGATTAACAGTGGATAGATCTACTGGATATCCAAGAGTAAAAAGCGACGAGACTAGTTTTAGAACTGTATCCACTGCACTCTTGTTTCGCGTGAGGACTGAATGATAAGCGATGGAACTGGAACTGAGTTTTTCGTTTGCCCGAATGATTTGCTTAATTGGACCAGCAAGCGCTGAATGGGGCCCAATTTCAATAATATCGTCGATTTGTGATTGCTGGTTGCGCTTTTGTGTCTTTTTCCCGGATGATGTATCCAAGCAAAGCTGCTGTAATGACTCGCTGAATTTTACTTCGTTGAGCATGTTGGAAACCCAATAATCAGGTCCTAATTCAGATGCAACAGCCTTTTGAGCCGTGACGGATGAAAAGAACTCTCCTTCACTATTGGTTTGGACCTTGATGTTAGAGAGAGCATCCCGGTATTCTTTTTCAACCTCGGCCATATGGTGTGAGTGATATGCGACCTCAACTAGGAGAAAATTAGTGCAAAGCTAAATCCTGATCACTGTAGAGCCGGTTTCTTACCGATAAGTTTTCGCGCAAATATCTTATCTTCTTCCATAATCACGAGCAATTCATCGATCGCAGTCTCGTCCCCAGAAATTGTAACGCTTGATGGACTGTTTGAACAGGCCACCACTACCTTTCCTTTTGTCAGTCTGGCTAGGTAAGGAATAGCGTCTTCTTTTGAGAGTCCCAAAGCCATCATTGATCCTTTGAAGATACCTTTCTGTGCGAGGCTCGTAGAAGCAACACCTCGGAAATATGCAACGTGCATAGCATCCTCGAGACTCAAAGCTCCGATGGTGTAAGCAGCGGCAATCTCGCCACTAGAATGTCCGGTTACTGAACTTGGCTTGATGCCAAAAGAGGTAAGTAAGTCGACCAGAGCTATTTGGACAGCTGAGCAAAGAGGCTGACTGTATAGTGCACGGTTAATGCTGGAGCCTTCGGGATCTCTAGTAAGCTCAGCTAATAAGACTATGTCAGCGTGAATGCATCAGATAATGGCATGGACCGGAGCATACTGATAACGTCAAACGGTGCCCCGACATCTTTAAGACAGGCGGCAGCCCTCTCCAGAGAGGCCCGGAAAAGAGGATATGTTGATATTAATTCCTTACCCATACCACACCACTGTGCACCTTGGCCTGTGAAGACGAATCCCAACTTTCTCTTTTTATTCCCACTGCTGCTGAAGGTTGCTCCATTCTCCAGTGAATAGACTAAATCTGTTGTTGACCGCCCAACTACTGCTGTTTTCCACATGTGATGAGTCCTTCGCTCGTTGAGAGTGTATGCCAAATTTTGTAGAAAGTCGGGGCCCACATCATCCACTCGCTCTTGAAGGTACTGCCGAAAGTTTTCAACTTGCCGCTTGCTGGTGGATTCGTCGAAGCTGGAGAGCACGAAGAGACGAGCGGAGTCTTCTTCTGGTAGATTGTGGGAATTTTCTTTCCAACCATTGCCATTGGAGTGATCATTGACAGCACTGTTAGGATGCCCATTGGTAATACCGTTCGAATAGCCATTGATGATACCATTCCCGTGCCCATTTGTAGTACCATTGGAGTGACCATTCGTATATTCTGACTTCAACTGCAAAGTAACTAGGGATTTGGTTGTCCTGAAATGTCCATGGTAACCTCGTAGTGTCAAATAATCTTTCGCACTCTCGAGAATAACATGGGCTATATAGATTTTGAGACATTAGAACATAGGCTGCCAACAAGAATTTAGTATATGTCCATCACTCACCAATCGCTCCGCCGTATCCAAAGCTGTTAACGGAGGCGCGACGGGGTAATGGCCCATCCCAAGGTTCCACGGCCAACGGAACCTACAATATACGTTAGTAGTGTATATCTTTCCAGGTAGTCTGCTTCAAAGGTTACCTTAAGCTTCCACTCCTCGAGCGGAATTCTAGGGTTCGCTTTCTGAAAATTCCTGTTCGGTAGGTAGACTTTGTTTTCGAGCATGAGAACAGCTTTTATCTAGATATCAATGCAATTAGGTAAGCGGAGAGCCTAGCTAGACAATCTCAAGCCAGTAAGTCAGTTCTTACCACCCCTGCTACTCCACTGGTTGCCTCCAGATGGCCAACGTTCGTTTTCACAGATCCGATCCGTACGGGGTTGTTAGCTTCCCTGCCTTCACAAAAGACACGAGAGACTGCTCGCGTTTCCAATGGATCACCCTAAGACGGGCATGTTAGTCTTGACTAATAGAGGATATTGGACTTGAAACAGGCTCCTTACGGCTTGAGTCCTGCGCACTATGTCAGCAACCATTTCAAATATAATCATATAATAGACGACGAAACTAACCCAGTTCCATGGCACTCGACATAGCTTGTTCCCAAAGGATTGAGCCCGGACCTTTCGTACACCCCTCTTATCAACCTTTCTTGAGCCACGCCGTTGGGCATGGTTATTCCGGGAGTTCTGCCATCTTGACTAGCACCGGTTCCCCGAATAACAGCGCGAACGGTATCACCATCACGCAGTGCGTCACTTAGTGGTTTGAGTAGGAGAACGCCGACGCCTTCTCCACGTGCGTACCCATTCGCACGCTCGTCAAATGAGTAGCACCGTCCATCGGGAGACAGAAATCTTAGAAATTCGGTTAGTGGTGTTTTGAAGCATAGAAGGGGGAGGTAAACTCACCTCATCATACTCATGGTAACCCATGCCTCATGGCTCAGAATAACATTCACTCCCGCCACCACGGATAATTTAGCTTCACCAGTCCGCAGACTCTGGCAGCCAAGATGCAATCCTACAAGACTGGTTGAACAAGCCGTGTCTACATCTACGCTCTGGCCGTGGAGATCAAAAAAGTAGGATAGTCTGTTTGCAATGTTTGATCGACACTGCCCAGAATTTGTGCACTGATACATTGGTGTTGATTCGGGATCTCTCCAAAGAATATCGGTATAGTCAGTGGTGAAAGCTCCAGCGAAAACAGAGGTATCACTACCACAAAATTGTTCCATGGTAGTACCAGAGTTTTCCATTGCTTCATAGGTGCATTCCAGCAGAAGTCTTTGTTGAGGGTCCAGAGCTGCCGCTTCAGCAGCTGACATTTGAAAGAACGGTCTATATCTTGAAAGTTAGTTTCTTCTGGTGATATTATATCTCCTGAGAAGGAATTCAAGAGTCGCAAAGAAACTCACGCATCCCATTGTGATACATCTTGCTGCAAGAAATGACCACCAGTGACATTGTACTTTACACGGTTAGAAACTTTTTTAAAACAGTTTTGGCAAAGCGAATAACTTACAGTTCCGTGCCTATTTGCATCAGGATGATAGAATGCGTCATGGTTCCACCTATCTTTGGGAATCTTGGACCAACTCTCTCGGCCCTCTGAAATCATCTTCCACAGACTTTCCACATTAGTTGCATCACCAGGACCTCGGAACCCTATGCCAACAATTGCAATAGGCATTGAGGCATCTTCAGTTAATTCTTGCACGGCCATAATGAATCAAATTCGATCAACGATAGGTATAGCAACTTTTTCCAAGCTGACGGGAAGGGAAAGAGAAATAGAAGAATATTTGGAGTAATATGGTGAATCTTGCTCAGGCTACCTCTCAGGAAACTTAACTAAGAGCACAAGCACCACAATAAGAATTGTCGCCTATCGCAAGATATATTGATATTCCAGGAGGGTTTTATCTTACTGGAAGTGGTCCAATCGCCGGTATTGTTATAAGGAAAGTTGTAGTAGACTCTGGGAAAGCTTTCTAACACATTTGGACCTCGCAACACTGGTTCGAAAGTCACCGATACTTGTTCAGTGTTCTATTGTCCTGTAAAGTGGCCCACATTTAGTCAGCAGAGAAAGGTAGCCAGATGGTGGTATACCAGAATTGTCTAGCCCAACTCTCATATTGCGGGACAGGATGAGTTGAGCATACAATCTCGGCTAGTTACGGACCTTTCTTGTTCCTATGAAGATAACTGAATAAACGTGTTATTTTACTTTCCAAAGGCATCATCGTCCTCATATCTAGTGATATCTTGCGGAAGTCTACATAGTTCTTTGTGGCCATCTCACTGGCGATTCGTCTCTACGTCCTCCTCCTTCCGAGAGAAAAAATAATTACAAATATCATCATGATAGGATCTTCACACTGGTTACAATGTCACAAAATTTGGTCAGAAAACAATCACTTACGGTTTACGTTTTACGCAAGAAATTTAGATCGGAGCCATATGTCCTCGGCCATTTTCTGCTTGTACGGGGTATTTCGAGGTTCACATCCGGAAGCTGAATTCTTTAAGTCGGTTGTCCCAAATAAAGTACCAATGTAATTACATCCCTGATATTACGGTCTATTTGTGTCTCGTCTTACTGGTTTACGGAAGGGAAATCATAAGTAGTGATTAGTAAATTTTGTATTAGTCGAACATTGCTCTGGATGTGTGCTCTGTGTTCCGGACTTTAAATATGCTAGGGTACCTTCTCCTCTTCCATTGCAATAGGTCTAGTTATGCCTTGCTAACTAAGCTCTTTATCAAATTAAAAACATCATTTTCTGCATAATTTCCATTACTTTTATCCTTCGCCTATATCAAATAGGGGGTATACCAGTTGTATCCATAATGGCACTACTGGACGCCGTCGCACATCATACTCTGGTACTAGCTTGCTTTATCACAGTTTGGTTCCTCTATAGATCCATACTATACATAAAAAGCACTCGAAAATACAACAAAATTATACGTGAAAAATGTTGTCAGCCTTGCAAAACCTATCCTCACAAAGATCCCATCCTCGGGCTTGATCTCTTCATTGAAAATTTCCGCCTTCTGAACAAAGGTGGATTCCTAGACAAACTTTCCGAACGATATTACCGTCAGAATGCTTGGACATACACACAACTGTTGTTCAGAGAAAAGGTTATCAACACAGCAGATCCTGAAAATATCAAAGCCATTCTCGCAACCCAGTTTACAGACTTTCAGCATTCTCCTCGCCGAAAAGCGGCATTCTATCCCACTTTTGGTCATGGAATCTTCACCACCGACGGAGCTGAATGGGAATTTTCCAGAGCACTCCTACGTCCGAGCTTTGTGAGAAGTCAAGTTGGAGATCTGGACATATTTGAGGCGCACATTTCGCATCTCATTAATAAAATACCCCGTGATGGGTCAATTGTGGATATACAACAATTGTTCTTTGCTCTTACCATGGATACAGCAACTCAGTTCTTGTTCGGCCAAAGTGCTAATGTTTTAGTGGAAGGGGAACCAAGCGCCAGAGGTGAAAAATTTGCGGAGGCCTATGACTATGTAACGGAAATCGTTGGGATACAAGCTAAACTTGGTCAAATTGTGGCCAAGATTCCAAACAAGCGATATACCGATTCCATCAAATATATCCATGAGTACGTGGAAATGTACGTACAGAAGGCCGTCGACTTCGCAAAGTTTGGACATTCAAGATCTGTTCACGATGCAGAAGCGAACGGCCGAGAATCACACGAGAAGTACGTGTTCTTAGAAGAGCTAGCAAAAACAGGAGTCGACAAGAAAAAGATCCGGGACGAACTCCTTAATGTCCTTTTCGCAGGCCGCGATACAACAGCGGGGCTTCTATCGTTTACCTTCTACATTCTTGCTCGCCGCCCAGATGTTTTCGAGAAATTGAGGGCTGAAGTTATGACGCTGGGTTCAGAGAGACCAGATTTTGCACAAATAAAGAACATGAAATATCTTCAGTATACTTTGAAAGAAGGTATGTTACATTCTTCCTTATAGACTATTTTTTGGCCAACGTCTATTCTTCTATAGTCAATCGCCTCTACCCAATTGTCCCATTCAATGCTCGTGCTGCCGTTCGAGACACAACTTTACCAGTTGGAGGTGGTTCGGACGGGAAATCCCCCATTCTTGTGAAGGCAGGACAAGCTATAAACTACCAGATATATACGATGCACAGACGAAAAGATTTGTATGGCGAGGACGCTCTAGAATTCAAGCCGGAGAGATGGGAGCATATTAGGCCAACGTGAGTTTTTTATTTGTATTGTTTAACGCCCTTTATGCACTGACGATTTCCAAAGATGGCAGTATCTTCCATTCAATGCCGGTCCTCGTATTTGCATCGGCCAACAGTTTGCTTTGACTGAGGCGTGAGTCTGCTCCTCACAAAATCTTGCAAATGTTCCATATTCACACATCAGTAGTTCCTACACGATAATCCGGTTGCTTCAAGCTTTCAAATCCATCAGACCGAGAGAAGGCGAAGGACCTTTGACGGAACTACTAGCTTTGACTTCGTCAGTTCGCGGAGGGGTTAACATTGGGCTGACACCAGCCTAGGGCTGGGATTGTTTTGAGGTGATATATCCAGTTCTTTTTGGTGATGGACATTTTCTACCATTGGGTTATCAACCCTTAGTGCTAGTTCTTGACCCTAGCTTGGACGAGTTGGAATTGAATGAAATATCCAAGTAACATTCGAATCCCCGTTACCAGTTGATTTTTCTTATGTGGCAAAAGGACAATAATATCTTGTTATCAAGGATTTATTATGACTTTTTGCATTACTTACTTATTGTTTTATGGTCATTCACTGCTAAGACCTTACTTTCGGATTGTTGATAACTGAGCTGAAGTACTAGCTTACGACTCATAACTCAGCAGCCGACTCTATATCCGTGGGACTTTTCACATGGTCGGCCAGCTTTGCTACTGCTCTTTCTTAGGATCGGCGTCCTTCTTTCTCCATTACTTCGGTCGGCGTTGCAATTTCGAGCGTACTTCCAAAAAAGGAAATTATTTCACTTTCCTATTTTGGTAAGAACAAGCTCTGGCTAGAGTTAGGGTTTTGCTATACATAGCCCTATACCCGTGCCGCTAGCACCCGACCTCACCATACAGGTCACATAAGTGGAATTGTCACATGAACGGAAATTTGTATGGGAACAACTAATGAAATTACACATTACCCTCAACAACACGAATTAATCTTTGATCCATTGGTTGTGGGTAAACTGGAGAGGACACCTCCAGATTGAACTTGACGTTTAGTTTTGGGCGCCAATTTGCGTTGGTTGAGCGTAGTAAGGCGGTTAATCTGCTCCTGCTGTTGTTCCTAATACGGGCCTGCGTAAGGCTCCCATCAAAAATCATTTTTAGGCTCCTCCGTATTCCTGGAATCGCATTATTAAGCTCACTTAATTGAGAGTCAACATCCATAATGCTTTTCTGAAGTTTATAAGCGGTAGTTGATGGTGAGAATGAAGCATTAGTTGGTGAACCTAGGACGTTTTGCACCTGCTCGTTACCATCAAAAATCTGTAAATCCGGACCTAATTAAGTGTCAATTTTTGCTCAAAGAATGTCAACAATAAGAGCCGGATTGAACGGCCCAAGTCCGCGTTCACTAAATCCTTTCCGGACTACTCGTGAAGTGAGAACTTCAGCACGTACGTGAGCAATATTGCTCAAAAAGTCTATATTATCAAAAAATGAAGCCACCCAGATGAACCCGATACTTTACAGCCATTTTATGAATGCGTTTAGTGTAAAAATGGCATTCCATCCAAAGGCTGTAAAATGTGCGTTGTTTGAGACGGAAAAGCAAATGCTATAATCTTTTTCCCTATATTCGACGAACTCGGTAGTAAGTGGAGCGGTATGATTATCCATAAGAAGAAGTCGATAATTGTTTCCAGCTTGCTCTTGTGTATGATCATTGAAATGATTAAGCTATTCGAATGCAAACTCATCATTAGAGGAGCCTGAGTCGCTTATAGCCATTTTCATTTATCCTCTTTAAGACATTGAAACCAATTCTCAAGTATAACTTTTCCAGTAAAAATAATGAATGGGGAATCGCATTTCCTGCAGCGTTTATACACTCCGTTGCAGACACCAATTCTCGTGAGGAAGAGCTTGGAACCTGTCTTAAAGTTTCCGGATACTTTGTTATAACATTTTCATCGAATTTGAAATCCGGATTCATCAAAATTGGATGGTGTAATCTTGCGTTTTTCCATTTCAATTCCTAGTTACTCAAACCATGCTTGTATGACACCAGAATCCTCGGCGATATGACGATTTGGATCAACAGTCTTTTGCTTCTGTTTTTTGTAGTCGTTAGGCAGTCTTTTTATGAAGCTGTAGACCCAACGATCCCCGAGTTGAAGTGGGTGATCCGCGTCGGGGTTCATATTTTGAAGCACTTTCTCCGCGTAATTTTTAATCGTGCCGATGGTTGGAGGTAGACCTCTGTCATCTAGATCACTTAGCCATATAAATATTGTGTGTTCTTGATCATCCGATAATTGCTTGTGCGCTGGTCGTCGGTTTAGTTGAGAAGCACTCCCTTGTACGCGTCGCCAGAGCCGCTTACAAGGAACGTCAAATTGCCGTGCCAACTGCGTGATTTTTTGCTTCGGAATTTGCGTATACAGTTCCAACGCTTTCTAGATCCTTGGTTCCTCGATTTTGTATTGCTCCGACGGCATTTTTGGTGGTGTTTTCGGGGATTGTAATGCTTTGGGAAGATTTTGGAATCAGACCTTCCGTTTATGTGTCGCACGCTATGTTAGGCGCGAAGATTTATGAGCTACTATATAGTATAGGCGAAACCGGCAAATAGGCAGATAGTGAAGATCCCTACACCTTGGACAGATCGGCTATAGATGGAATGTGGGTATAACAGAGAAAGCTATTAAATTCGCTAACAGGGAAGAAGGCATCCTGATCGCCACAAGCTCGTCTGCCAAGGGGAGGAAGCATTAAGGACACCCAGATCAGCATTATAGAAGAGGTGATAACAAGCTACACTATTATACTAGCAAGACAAACAGAACAAAGCCTGAATCCAGCTGAATTAGCTGTGATAGCAACAAGATTAAGACACATTCCACCATGGATCTACAGTAGATGGATAACTATCTTGAGTAGCAGCCAGTCAGCATTAGCTACAATTAGACAACCGTGATCCAACAGAGATATATATTACATTCTAGAAGCTTTAATAATACGTTGTGATGTTCGTCCTGCTTGCAGATCGTCGCTTTTAAGTCAGGTTGGGCTAGAAATTCTTAATAAAGCGAGAAATATTGTTAACCACTAGGAACAACATTCGCATATTCTTCATTCTAGGTATACCGTATCAGTCCTACCTACGGGATCACAGTAAACAACCGATTCTGTTTGGAAATACACTTGATAGTAGCTGAGATCTATCCGCCCATGTATCCTGTGAATTCTTTTCGTATAAGTAGATTTTTACATGTCCTTCTCAACGTTATTGAATTACTATTTGCTGCTATGTAGGTACAATGACACAAATAAATCATCCGCATGTTATTATTGCCGTTGGGCGCCTTCATTTGTATGCTGAAGTTATTCGAATCAACAACGATCCCTGCTTTGCACACGACGATTCTACCAGCTATATTCCTCGCATTTAAAATCTATACTCGGACCGCCTGGTCTTGTATTCCTCGCCACTGATCGCCTTGCCGTTTTCATGAGTCCATCGGGACCACATGCGGCTACCATCAGACGATCTGAAAGATTCATCCCGCCCACGACGTTGTCGATGATCTTATCAATATCAGGCCGCCCCGCCTGAATTTTTTCCATGGAAAAGTGTGGAGTGACCATACCAGACCATGCGTACTTTTCTACATCGCCCTCCTGGTCACTCAAAGAAGAAACGTGGATGGTAAGATTTACGCGATTCGAGAGGGCGAGTTCCTCCAATTCATTGGAAAACCAGCTCAAAGATCCTGAATACAGGTTCAGTGGGTCTGAAACAACATAGAGGGATAAAGTGTAGAAGTTTACCTTGATGTCGCACAACCCATATAAATTCAATACCAGGCTTCGCGGAATTGCCGCCGGACTTCATCAATGCCATGGCAAGGGCAAAAGTAAAACTTGCACCGCTACCACCGGCTATAAAGACGACTTTTTCCAAGTTGGTAAAGTCGATACGGGCACCGTACGACCCATGAACTGAAGCCCAAACCGTTTTCTTGTTTAGCGATGTCTTATAGAGCTCCCCAGTAAACCCGTCATAGCTAGCGATAACAAATTCCAAGGGATCTGTCGACAGCACTGCTACTGGATGAGTCTCTATAAGGCGAATAGAAGGGATCCACAGAGAACAGTGAGAGCCCGGAGTAGTCTTGGGTGATTTGTACATTACAACGCGGACCCCGCCGTTCGGCAACGGCGAAAGAGTGGCACGGTTGCCGATACTATACCAAAATAACTGTATAAGTCTTATCAATAAGTCTGCGGACCAAAAGCCTGCAGTAATGATACAAACTAGGATACAGCCCCAAGTATCTGGATGGAAGCACATTGTTACTAGGATCACGATGCTCAGAGCAGCATGGCTAGTGTAAAATGCCTCATAGGGTATCCATCGTCGAGTCACTGCCGTACCAAGGATTATGAGCATTGCGAAACCGCCTACCCAGCCAACAACTATCTTTAACTCTTTAGCCTCCGCAGAGAAAAGGTCTTTGCGAGCCCCATCTATAGAGAAGAGGATGATGTGAAGTATCGTCCAGAAAATTGTTGAGTAGCCCGCGACTTTATGCAGCAGTATCAATTTGTCGTAGCTGTATCCAGTCAAGAAAGATAAAGGACTGTTCCTCAGTGCAAGAAACGTAATCAGACTAAGGTTTAAAAATGACAGCCTAATTCACACTATGTGTTAGCTTCCAGTAGTCATATCTCTCTACCCACTCACTAGAAAAGCATATAGGTTATACAGGCGTTCCAACGTACCAACCAGTGCGATTTGCGTATACATCCACACCTCTTGAAACCGGCATATCAACGAAAACCAAGACGATGCTAACGATAGCGTATAATACAATGACGACGGCTTGCCCAACAGAAGCCACCCCAGGTAGGGGGATTAGTAGAATCCTTCTTGCGTTTCTGGTAGCAATGGACATCTCGTAAGTATCGGTACGGCGAATAGAAACCGCCGTTTTCAAGCGTGATTTGGATAAGATATAACATTACCTGGCACCTAACACTATCGCCCGCAGAAATATTGTGTTCCTACCGACATTGTGGCTTGACCTAATGTAATAGAACTGAATCCAGTGGAAGATCGCGAACGCCAGCACCATAACACCCATGCACCCAGCAAACCAACCAGATATCTGATGGTTGATCCTCTCTTCCACAAAAAACTGCACCCTACGCAGTGAGCTCGGGTGATACGTCGAACCCATATTGATGCTGACTACTGACTTCCTGATTCAGATCGCAGAAAATACCGTGATACCATACAGTGACTACCTACATTTGGGGGCTAAAAACTCTATTTATATGAAGAAATATATTTCTTGCTTATCTAAACGCCAAGTCAGTGGTGAAACAGCTCTAAGCTACCTGTCACGAGGGAAGAAATGGTAAAATGTCTCTCAATCATGCAGTTTACTTGCATAAGCCTAGCGGTAGCTTTTATTGCCCAATCAGTTTCGACCGGAAGACATAATCCACGGCTTGGATTCCATCGCGTTAATAGTAATTCTGTTATATACAAGCATTCTCGACCCCCAACTCCCTCACCAACCTTTAAGGAATGCCGCGGGTCTAGGTGAGGAAGCTCTTTGTATTTCCTCACTGCAAGGCCAGACTTCGCGTATACTGAATGAATGTCACTCAATTTCCAAATGACATGCTTGGGAAACGCTGAAGATACATCACAGCCATCTTTCATGGATGTTCACCTGGAAAAAATGGACATGACCTCCTCCAGCGGCCCAGAGAGAGACGAGTGCTCTGTTGCAATTTTCCGACTTTGCCCACCCCTCAAGACCGGTTCTTTTTGAGACCAATAGCACTGACTTCCGCAAAAGACAGACTATGAAGGACCCGGCTCTTGAAATCTAATGATCACCTGTGCATTTCTGGACGCATGCAAGCTCGTAAAGCCAGTGTTACCGGTACATAGAAAATCAAAGTATCCGTAGACATGACACACTGTTCTAATCGTCGCAATTAACTTCCCTATTGGCCTTTTATCTAAGTATAATATAGCCTCTGTTATGTCGCTTGCAAATTTGCATTATTGCCTGTCTATGTTTACCCCTCCGCCGGCCATTTAACAGAATTTACTTTTGCGATTTCGGTTTTATTCATGAACAAGTTGATAGAGATCCTCATAAATCCACCTTTTGGTACGCGTCCGTAGCCCTTGACAAATCTATTTTCCTACCCCATACTAGCAGACAAGTAAGTGGTGCCGTACTTTGTATAGCACCATCCATCATGGCAACTGCAAAAATAACTACCCAGCATACCTATGACATTCCCGCGCAATTGACTTACCTTGAATGGCATGACCATTATGAAACTGAGAAGCCTTTCATGGTTATTCGCTATCCTGATGACCCTCCTGAGATGACGGGTGGAAACGTCACATTCAAGGAAGGAGAAGAAGAAACAATACACGATATCCGTGGACATGAAGATGATTTTACCCTTGATGGAAATGGTTAGTCCGGCTCTTTTCCCAGTGTTTCGTCTTGTTATATAGGATGGCCATGGTTCACCTAATCCTGCGAATATAATCTGATAACTGTAACTCATGACAGGGTTCCTGTTCACCCATGCCCCTACGTCTCTCGCCCCATCCGACTTTCTAGATGATGAAAAAATCAAAACGAAGTATTTACCTGAATGTGAGGCATACCTTAAGGGTCTTTTAGATGCAGATCAAGTGATAATCTTCCACTACCGGGTACTGTTATTTCTTTCCATTCTCGCTTCTTCGAACTACCTATCCATTGCGTCCTCGACTTACCAGTATTCTGACCGAAGATGTTTAGGTGAGAAATACAATCACATCCGACGACCCTTATTCCGACACTGGGCCTGCACGGAGTGCACATGTCGACCTGAGCAGTCAAACCATTCGTGAGCGGATTCGCAACCGATATCCTGACCGCGCAGACTTTCTGCTCTCTGGCCGTGTGCGGCTCATCAAGTATAGCATTCCCTTACCATATGTTTCACAGTTACTTTTAGAGCACTATTTTACTAACATAAACTACTAAACCAGCCTATGGCGTCCTATCAATGGACCTATTCAAAATTGGCCACTTGCCGTCTGTGACGGCAATACGTTGCCTGAGAAAAACCTCGTCCTCACCGAGAGGATCCGTACAAGAGACAAGGCAATTGCACGGTTTGTCGTACACTCGCCAGCGATGAAGTGGTACTATCAATCTGGGATGGAAGACGGTACGCTTCTTGTGCTGAAGAATTACGACTCCCATGCCGAGGAGGGTGGTGTCGCGAGATGTAAGTAGCAATTGAACGATCTACACATACATCTTCCTTGCTGGAACAATGATTAACAAGCTTGCAGACTCGGCACACTGCTCATTCCCCCTCCCGACAGCAGGCCCTGATACTCCGCCACGGGAATCGGTCGAAGTGAGAGCGGTAGTTCTTAACTATCCTCGGGATGATCCCTCGCTTGTTGAGCCGAAACCCGCCATTTCTAATGTAGACAGCGCATCCATTACAGTGTAAAGCGACTTTCTAACCTTACTCTTTACAAATGGAGTAGCTAATAGCCTATTTTGTGTCCGTGTTCTGTCTAAGCAGGGCAGCACGAGTCTGGAGGGCGTGTAGACGCCAGAACTAGTCGAAAATTATAAATATCGCAACGCATGCTTCATTGATATAGTCCTGATGAAATGCTCGATCTTGCTAGTTAGGAAGAATTTAATGGTTTTATGCCTATATAAAGCAAATTCGATAGCCTCTTTATCAGTATCATGTAGTTCCTCCGTTTCACCGCTACATATTATGTATATACGAAAACGCAAGGGGTCGGGTGGTAACCGCTAAGTACGTAGTTAGAGTTGGGAGGATAAGAATAATAGCTTAAGTATATACCAGTATGTAACGATTTACTGTGCACAAATTGAGGTCGGTAACTAGCCAGAATTAGTAGATCATGGACTCATTTGTTGAGATGCGCTGTAGGCATTGAGCGCAGGGAAATACGGAATATAATGTATGAATCGGTGAGAGTGACTATCAGCTGGAGCTACCAGTGGTCCAGTACCAATACAAGCAAGAAAACCCAAGCACCCTGTTTTCCTCAATTAGGAGGTCTTCTATCAACATACCCCGCGCACACTTCTGCCAACTGTTTGAGTATTATTTACAGGCTTGGGCATAAATTTGGAAATTGACACGTAACAGTAATGTTAACGCTGCTACTGATTCAATGGAACGGCGACTTAGGTTACGCTGCGTCACTCAGAATCTGCATACCGTAGATCAAATAGCCGTCGCCGTTGGAATTGGAAGACTACTAGGTGGCGGTGGAATGACCCGGGGAGTGAAATTTCCAGTCAACGGTGTTCCCATGATAACAGCATTTCTGTTTTTGATTTTCCAAGAACCATTTGTACGGACAAACTGATCCTCATACTTTAGCCAAAGTGTAAATAACTGACCGGTGTTGTTCGCCCCGATATTATTTCCTGTTCCGTACGTTTCTGCGGTAAGGCTGGATGAAATAAGTTATAAGTGTAGAAATGATAACGAAATCAAGTTATTAGCTTACTATGCGGTGCTGTTTGCATTATTCTCATCGAGAACATCGACATAACTTGTCGTCATAGCGTGTTGAGTCACATCATGAGCCTGAGATATTGTCATGCCTTCGATGATCAGTGGTAATCCAGTCAGGATACCGATGCCAAGGACGGTGTAATTGGCAACGGCATCTTCAGTGAAGACTCGAGAGAGATCTTTCATAGTCTTGGCATCAATGATGGTGCCATAGAGTGATTGCACATTCTTGATCTCCGTTATAGCAAGCGTTTTCTCAAGTGCAGATAAGTTTTGGGCGCGAGATACACTCACTACAACGGCAGCGGACAAAATAGATAAGAAACGCATTTTGGTGCCAATATCTTTAAATGCAACGAATTCGATTTCGATGTTCCGTCTCAAGGACATCATAACGGTTCACGGGTGTCGTCGATGTATATAAGGTTAACTATTTCGGAAATATACCTACACAAAGACCGCCCGTTTATTAACCAAACCGGCTACTTTTCCTTCTAATCCAGTTACTTATAGCCTACTTTTATACATGCAGGCGCAGGTCTCAATACAAGGATCCCTCTCCCTCAAGCTAGTTAAGTAATCCCACTTTAGGTAACTACGCTTCAACAATATGACGATACTCAATGATTTGCTGAGACAAATCTACGAAGACGTATACAGTATGGGAAGATCGAGTAATTTCTTCAAAATAAATACATTTAAACCCAGAGAATGACCCGTCTATTATCAGTATCCTTCTTTTTTGGGGAATCATACAGATTGTCATGATTATGTAGCTGTTTTCTGTCTGACCATGCTTTTTACAACGATGCTAGGGCAGTTGGTGATCTAGGTATGAAAGACTAACTCTTTCAAAATGTTGAATTTTAATGACTTGTAGTTCTGTTCGGTAAGTGAAGATTACAGGTCTACCCATCTGCAAAAAAAGTTTACGTGAGAATCGTAGATCGACATTTATATTGTAATGCTTCTAGTACACATAGATTGGCGTTTCAGTCCCAGTGCCTGTACGGTGCATGATCCTCATGTCCGTCTCGTTCCACCCATCTCTTCGGTGCATAGTACAGCGATTATCCCACATGATAATATCGTTAGGTTGCCATTTCTGTTGGAAGACAAATTTACCGCTATCAATCAAGCTGTATATCTCTTCTAGAATTGCTTTGCTTTGCTCTAGAGGAAGACCAACAATCCAATTCTTCGTGGAATCAAAGTATCCGATATAGACAGCCTTGCGTCCAGATTCCGGATTCGTACGAACGATGGGGTGACGAACATGCTTCCACAGACGGAAGTCATCAGTCTCAGGTTTTTCCTGACCAGGACGCACTCGGCCAACTGCGTCATACACAATATTGAACTGGATCAGGCGGCCCTCAATGATCTTGCGCGTGAACTCTGGGAGCGCATCGTAAACTGCGTACATATTGACCCAGTAGGTGTCACCTCCGGTCCGCGGGAGCTCCAGTGCTCTCAGGATCTGCCCGCAGGGAGGCTTGTCGAAGTACCAACTGTCAGTGTGCCACTCTAAATCGACATTTCCTAGAGTCCCAACGGGCTTGCCGTCAACTTTAGCGTTGCTAATAACCGTAATTTCTTTCTGATCATGGTGTGCAATCGATGTTCCTTTCACAGGTACGTAGTGTCCGAATAGATTTGAGAATTTGGCGTGCTGTTGTGTGGTGATATCATAGCCACGGAAGCGTAGCACACCATAATCACGCCAGGCTGCTCGGACTGCGTCCACTTGATCTGGGTAAAGGTGTTCAAAGTCAAAGCCGATGATATCAGCACCGCAGCTGGCCTGGATGGGGATCACCTGAATAGTTCCAGCACCGTTTTGTACCATCGTGTTAACAGGGGAGTATTCAATTATTGAATAAACGAAAATGGTGATTGTGTGGCCCTTCTTGCTTGTTCAGGCGTGGGAAGATTGATTTTATTCGTACCAGAATTCTACGCAATGTAGGACATTTCTCATACTTATATTTATGACCGTATCATCTACAGAAGTGATCAAAGGAGGCAGACTTTACAATGGAGTAAGAAACTATTACGGACTTTACTCAGGAGATAAGAATTATTCCCACATCATTATAAACTCCATTGTTACACCAATACGTACATTCATAGATGGAAATAGTTTAATTTGTGTATGGCAAGCAATTCTTATTGCTTTCTAATGAACTTTGGGACTAGGACTTCGGTGATTCATGTCTCCTGATGCTGGATATATGCGCATTATACCTCGACGAATCAGTGTGCACAAGACAGAATCATCAAATACTACATGTAAATTCCCCTGAATGCGAAATGAGAAGAACATTTACGTACTTCCGGAAGACCGATAGTCTTCCAGGCCATCCGCAGCTATACAGATTCATCCCTTCCTTAGGTCGACACCGGCGACTTTAAGTAGACAAAAGTAACCGGCATGAAGACAGCGAATGAAAATAAACAGACCTCAATCTTACATCCTAATTTTATTTTCCGTTAGGCTACATTTGACATTATGCAGGCAGATTGTATCCGTTTCATTTGCAATTCCCTGCACGATCCACGCGGTGTGGAGCTACGAGCCGTCGCCTATGGCAATAATAGAAAAGGTTAATTAAATCCGTTCTATTGGCCTGAAAGTTGCCTTCCGTGAAAGGAAAGTCGAGTAGAATACCTTACATACATGACTGAATGTCAACCCGTAATCTAAGACACTGATTTGGTTCGTAAGAGAGGAGAACTCAAGAGTAATTGCCACTTCTGGTTAAAGAGTAATTATCCATGGATCTTGTGTATCTCAGTAGCTGATGTACTTATGCTATTGGGAAATCACAGCCCTTGATAGAGCCTTAAGCGACTGACAATTACCTATATACACAAAAGCTCCAAGGTTATCTAAGCATGCATGTCTGGATTTTTTCTAGGTCGTCTTCCGACACAACCGCCCATTGTTATTCCACGAATAAGGTAACGGGTCTTCAACCTGAACCTCCCAATCCTCCGAACCAACCGCAGTAAGCGCAAAAAAAAGACTTGTAGGATCGTATGTCTTTTTAAGCTCATAAAGCTGCGGATAGTTTACGCCGTAAAATGCGTCTTGCAAATTGGGTTCTAAGAAATCGGCCTCGCTTAGATAGCAACCAGAGTCAGGCGCCAGAGTTCGCAAGACGCTTGTGTAGTTCGTAACGAACAATGTTTGGTTCTGAATGATAGCCCAGTCTGCAGTTGCTGAGAATCTCCCCACGAATTGGAGATGTGTGGTGGTGTTGCGCCATGCTGGAAGAACTGCAGTATCTGTAGGAGGATCGACTGCGATTCCTTTACCACTAAGTTGCAATCCTATGACGAGAATCCCCTGGTGATTCGTTAGCCATAGCCATTCCCGTCAGTTATAGAAGGGGTTGGCAGTTCAAGGTCATAATATGTTGCATACATTATCAACGGCGTTTTTGAAACCGTCTTTGAACAACTGGTTTCGAGATGTGTCATTCTCGAAGACGTATCGGGGCATGAGCCGAGAAGAGATCATGGTAGTATCGGACCCCACAGTCTCCTCAGGGAAACCAATATACCATGCATCGTAACTTTTGACACGTTAGTATGATCCATAGCAAGTTCAGGGTTACTAGTAACTCACAAGTTGTCCTTGTAAGTATACACCGGATTATAGGATATGTTCAGCATGTCAAGCACATCGAACCAGGGAGAGAGAAGCGTTTTTGTCTCGGCGATAGTCATGTTGGGCGCAAAGAATGGTCGCATTTGGAACTCGTGACGCTCATTGCCGGCGGAGTCTTCGAGAATTGCAAGGGCATAGTAACCATATGTCCCTGCATCAACAAAAGCTTGCATGTTATTCACGTATGATTCAATTCCGGTCCAAAATGCGTCGAGAGCTGGGCCATCTACAGCCGTGAAATTGAACGTGACAGTTGTAGCCGGCAGTTGAGGATATGCTTTCATCGTCAAAGACGTCATTACGCCAATCGTGCTACCTCCACCACCTCGAAGCATCCAAAAGACATCTGAATTCTGCTCCGCATTCGCCGTTATGAATTGTCCATTTGCCAGTACAACCTCTATGGAGACTATCTGATCTGCTCCCAGGCCGTAGAGGCTGCTTAGAGGAGAATGACCGCCTCCCATACTCCAGCCCGCTAAACCGACAGATTGAGATTCACCACCAAGGACAGTGGCCTGGACGGACTTAGCATACTCGTAAGCTTCCCGAACTTGGACTCCGGCACCGAACTTGATAGCTGGTCCAGTATAGTCTTTAGACACAAAATTAGGGTAGTATGCCTTGTCTTTTAGCCAGTGCGTCCAGACAGACAAGGCACCTTTACCAGAGGCTTTGCCTATCAAATCATGGCCGGTATTCTTGACCACAAATCGTAGCCCTTTATTTCGTGCAAAGTTTACGGCAAGTTGAATTTGCGCCACACTACTTACGTTCACAACGTAAGTCGGATACGCCCCCATATCACAAGTATTCGTGTAATTAAGCCCCGGTGGCATACAAGAACGTCCTACGTATAGAGGGTCCATGACGGAAGTTGGGTCCGACGTCCTGCAAATTACATTAGTCGACTCTCACCGTATATGGACAAGTATTGTTACTTACTGAAACCCTTCGGTATCCCAGTCGCTTATAATCGACGCGCATTTTTCGGCAGAGTATTCTAGACCGTAGCATGCAGCTGCTGCAGGGCTTGCTTTAATCAAACTTCCACCGAGAAGAGAGTTAAAAGTGTTCCACTCCGACGGACTGGGCCAGGAGGAATCGCCTGGTAGTGGCTTGCAGTGGGACTTGGCAGTACTGTTAGCCGTTGATAGGGCGTCTGAGCCAAACATAAACAGGCTGGCGGTGCTGTTGTCTTGGAGCTCACGAGAAATAGCAGCAATGACATCGTCTGTGAGCTGGACTGTCTCTGATGGAAATAGCGACGGGAATCCTGAGTCATCAGAAGTGACTGTAACTTCTTTGATTAAAGATGATAGCGCATCGATATCTTGGGCCAACACGGAAATCGCATAGCTGGCTACGGCTAGCACGAAGACTTTCATATTTGCTGTGTAACACCACTGGGACCGTATGAAGCATGACTATGGCGACAGAGATGACCATGAATTTGTAGTGACCTATTTGTAGTTGCACTAACCCGTCCATATAGCTAGCTGCCGGTGACTTCTCGAGAAACTAAAAGTGAGCGATATAGCCCTAACCCTTGTGACCATCGTAACCCTAAGTAACTCCTGAAAGATACAATTTGACTACATATCCGACTGAAAAATGAGCCCCATCATGTGCATTCCGAAGTCACTAGTTTTTTATATGGGCTAAATCGACTGTACACGGCTTGTAATTCGTGAATTAGTTCTCGAATTGAGCAACATTTCAAAGCCCTCATCAATCGCGCAATGAAGCCGGTCGAACCCCGGAACCGGGCAACCATCGAGGGTCTAGTTCTAACTAGCTGTATTAATTGTAATTCCGTTTGTGCATGATTTGTCAAATAAAGTGAACGGTGGGATAGGCCTGCGCATGTACGTTATCTGCTCTGGAGAATTCTTGTTGCCATTTTCTCGTGCATCCAAACAAAGACAAAGAGACTGGCTAGCGTGGTGTGGTAAATACAAGTAATTGCAAGGGTTGAACTGAACCCTCCAATTTATCTATTTCCAAGGTTGTACAAACGCATCTGGTTTTTGTAGTTATGAAATATCCATTCCCCTCTCGCTCGTGTTATTTATCTCCTACATACTTGTCTAAACTTCCCTAAACAGAGTCGCGACTGCTCCCTTAGAACAAAAATGGCGTCCCCATCCATCAATGTGCTTGTGACTGGCGCCAACGGATACATTGGCAATGCAGTCGCTCGCGCTTTTGTTCGCGCGGGCTACAGAACATACGGCCTCGTTCGCCAACCAAAAGCCCTGCCCGCTCTCGCGTCAGCAGAAATCATTCCGATTTTAGGTTCCCCCGAAGATGTCTCATTTCTGCACTCTGTCTCGGCCGAGGGAATCGTCTTTTCGATCATCGTCTCCACCACTACAACTGAGGGGGTGTCCGACTATATCCCGCACTACAATGCCATCATCTCTCTCTTCCGTGCACTGGCCACCACTTCCAATGCCGCTGGTATCCGGCCATTGGTGTTTTTTACATCAGGATGCAAGGACTACGGTAGAACAGCCCTTGCGAATTCACCGGGTTTGGTCCCTCATACGGAACTTACGCCTCTGAATCCGCAGCCCAGCCTAGTGAATCGCGCAAGCTATGCAGTCAAGACCTTTGAAAACAAGGATCTGTTCGACACGGTCGTGCTGAGACCTACTCATGTGTATGGCTACATGTCCTCTTTCTATTCTTTCTTCTTCCGTTTTGCACAGGAAGAGAAGAAGAAGGGCGAGTGGGTGGTTGAAGAAGATCCCGAGACAATTTTGCATTCCGTCCATGTGGACGATTGCGGGGACGCCTACGTTGCAATTGCCCAAAGCAAGAGAGAAGTAGTAGCCAATCAATGCTACAATATCTCTGCTAGAGAGTATGAGACACTAGACCAAGTGTTGAAAGCCTTGGTGAAAGAGTACGGGATCCAGGGAGGACTGAAATACGCAAAGAATGAAGGAAAGCCAGGACCGCGTGCGAAGCTGTTTGGTTGGAGCCAGTGGGTTGAGAGTGAAAAATTGAGAAGGGATACCGGATGGACTGACAAGAGAATGATCTTTTCTGAGGGCATCAAGCAGTATCGTGTTGCCTATGAATCGGCAGTCGAGACCGGCGATGAGGGCTTGAAGAAAGTGTTAATGAAGGTCGCGGGCAGGGCTGCTAGTCAAAAGTAGCTTTTTAGTTTCTGCATATACTAATTTATTTATTTGGTTACAAACTAGGCTTTAGAAAAATCCACAAAGCTTCCATATCCGCAATAGTTTCTCCCTTACCGTCCTCTAACACAGCCTTTGCCCACACTTTCCGACCTTCTACTTTGCTAATCCACGCACGACATAGGACGGCACCTGGTGTGATTAAGGCCTTGTGGTATCTGATTGTGCTGGATAGAGTGCGAGGATTTGTCGACACAGGATACGTAATAACAATAGAGCCTGTCTGCTGGTCAAGCAGACTGGCAAGAAACCCCCCGTGGGCGACGTGCAAAAAGCTCTCCACTGCCCTGCCAAAGCAATACAAAGTCCATAGTTCAGTTCTGCCTTCCACAAAGCTATGATTTGGAGGGCTCATGCTCCCTTTGCAGAAGGACTGGGCTGCTGTAATTGCGCCTGGCAAGCCGAGAGCTTGCCACATGAAGGTCGAGGGTACATCTGACCACGAGTGCTGGTTCACTGTCAAAACAGGCTGGAGGCTGGGATCCTCAAAGATTTTGTCACACCAAGAATACTCTCGAAAGTGTCCTCGCGCATCTAGGTCGATGCTGGTTGGGACGAATTGCCTAGGCAAGCGGGGCATCTTTCAGAAAAGAAGAAAGGCAGCAGTCAAAAATACACTGTAACAATAGTATCTGTTTTGAATTGGTACGTAATCAGCAAGAGCATGAGGGTTCTGCCCAGCTGATAAAGGAATGTATTGAACAAGTCGCCGGCAGCGGGCCGGTAGCGTTCCTGTACCGGATGATGTTGACAATTTCGCACAGGAACGATTTTGAAGCCATATAGCGCGGGATAGTTATAGAGTATAGTTTATTTTGGGAGTAATAAATGGACCACGGTAATGAGTTAAATTCAACCTCACCAAAACACCCCGGGAGTCAAATCCATCTGCAATCCTATAGCAACAACACTTCCCGTGAGTTGTAGGACCCCTTTTTGGTCTCCCTTGCTTTAAAAATCATTTCTTTTACTTCGTACAATAGTAACTACGGAAAGATTCGACTCCCACTTTGAATAGACATTCAATGTTGCAAAGTCTCTTGTAGCCGCCAGAGAACTATGTTATAGACCCGTTTTAGAATTCAAGATAGTAGTAAGGAATATGCATCGGTATTGTTCACACAAGATGAGCAAAGCTACGCGATTAGGAAACGCAAATCAAGTAAATCAATTGACGCGAGCTTAGTGGCCGTAATCAATACATACGCTTATCTCCAAGAGCTATGCTATGAATACTAGAAGACGCCATCTCTGCCGGCGATTTGAGTTTTTGAACACCTCGAGCACCCGGCAGTATTAAACCGTTAGTTTCGGTCACTTTCATCCTCTGACAAGGTACTTCCATCTGTTGTGCCACTTTTATTCATTTTAGGTCATAGCCGGACTAGACAGACTTCTCATTGCGGGGATAATTGAAGAGGAAAGCGCGGACTTCAATAGACTCACGAGGCGGTGTTGATGCAGTAGCGGTTGGAAGTGAGAAGGAGCAATGCGGTACATCTTTGGGATTAAGGATATTTAGTATCAACCAGTAAACAAAATATTGACATAGAAGTAGGGCTACCGGGGCAGATTGGTATCGCAAAAGCACTCACATTTTGCAACACCATCCTCCGAATCATAGTTCTTCAATACCAGAAGAGTGTCATCTTCCATTCCAGATTGATAGTACCACTTCAAAGTTGGTTCGTGCACCACGAGTCTGGTGACTGCCTGGTGTGTTTTGCGGATACGTTTGGTTGCCACCAGATGCTTTTCTTGGATGCTATTGCAGTCGGCGACACAGAGAGGCCAATTCTGGAGAGGTCCGTTGATAGGGCGCCATAGACTGAAACCCAGTCATCTTGGTTAGTGAATAGTAATAGATTACAATAGCATTTGAAAATCGAGAGGAAGTAAAAGACGTACTTGACGAGGCGTACTCGACCACGAAGAATAAAATCCGCTCTGTCCGGGAAAGCCTTGCGGATACGTGCATTGATCTCAGGACCACTCAAGTCAACGTGAGCTACTCTAGCAGGTCCTGTAGGTGAGTTGTGGTCATCGGCTGTGATACTGTTTCTTGCCTAGACGATCCTTCAATCAGTCTGAATATTTCAAATCATATACTGATGGGAGAGAAGTATACCCTATAGTGGATAAAAACAACTTCATCGATGCCCTTGAAATACTCTCTATAGTACTTTTCACATTCGGGTAGGTACTTTTCTTTGATTTTCTCCTCGTCTAGAAACTCGGATGGTGAGAGACTGGTAGGGGCTTTTGTAAAAACGAATCCTGATAATTATGATACAATGATCAGCATCTTGCGGTTCCTTCAACCCCCTGCTGTGATCCCATCCTCTCCTAAAAAGCACAAAGTATTATAACTAGCAAATTGCGGAAATTGCTCTCACCCTGCTTGTCCAAGGTGAATTTGTCCTCGTGGCCTCGTATATCATGTATGATCTCTTCTTCTCCCTCTTTGAAAGTGACATTTCCCGCATAAGCGTCGGGAGGGTCATCTGGAGTATTGAGGACAAAATGAGGCTCCTCAGTTTCGTAGTGGTCGTGCCACTCGATATAGGTCAATTTGGCGGGCACGTCACCACCGTTCTTTGAGGTAGTAGCGAGCGTAGTTGTGGTAGCCATAGTGGTTGTAGCCGTCACTAAAGGGCTTGAGTCGTCAGATTTGGAATGCGAGAAACAGAAGAAATTTAGAATCTTCGAGGCGTAAGAACGTGAAGCTAGCCACATTGTCACTTAACTAATATGTAACAGATCTGAAGCAAATAGACAAAGGGTGATATATTTTTTTGTATGCCAATCGGCTACTTATGGTAAGTTTAGGTATTCGACCGATAGCTTAAGAGATTTTCCGGTTCTTGAGTTTCTATAGGTCTGCCTTGTGTCAACGGTGACTGGATGCCAGATATTCATTGCCTGATGCGAGGTTTTAAATGCACCGATACTAGACTGCCTTGACTTGATTTGTCTCGTATGGTACCTTACCAAACCGCAGACTAGTCATGAGGACAGTTGCAACAAACCGATCACCTGTAATACAATAGGTATACGTGGTGCTCGCGCTCAGAAAAGTGACTCTCTTCAGATTTATCGTAAAAACTACGCAGTACAGATGCCAACCAGAAGATAATTTAAAAAAAAAAAATGACGAACTAGTCTATGTCATTGGTGCTACTACCACCGAGTATAATATAATGTTAGTAGTTATCATAGTTAGAAACAAGTTGAAAAGATAGATTATACTCGAACACTATACTGGAGAAAGTGCAGCCAAGTTCGGAGTTAGGGTTTGTATCAGTTCTACAGACAACCCGATCTGTAAGTTCCAGCCATTCACCACGTAAATGCTACCTAGGTCGAGTAGTCAGCTAAGTTCGATTATTTCTTAACAACGCGGTACATTTATTTCAACACGAGGTAGCAACATTCCTGTCAGAAGATGTCCCCGGTTAGCGAACGGGTGAAAATTAGCATAGATACGAAAGCAATTGGGGGCACTGGGATACTATAGTCTCATTCGTTAGAAGTTATTCGTAATGCTATAGGATGATAGTAGAGAGTTTTCACCAAGAGTGACAGGGGAATTTAACCTATCACTAAAGATACTGAGTATTGCACAAGAAAACCTTCCTCAAAAGGCCTGTTAATTCACCCTATCAACTATACATCTTTCCAGCTGGACTACTTTTATTTCTCTTTTGACATGAAGAGCATACTCTTTCAGTTGTTGGCAGCTACGATTGCTACCGCATCTTCTCTACCTGCCTTTTATAATGCATCAGGCGCTCCTCCATTCTTTCCAGGAGAAGATATCCAGCTCACTGAAGGAAGACTTACAAATGCATCACAAATTTTCCCAAATAGCAGTATCCATCGTTTGTTCGGATTCGGCCGAGAATCGAAAATCACAAATAACATTACTAGTTTCGGATGCAAACTGCTACCTGGCGATGCTGCTTGGCCGTCTCCCTCTACATGGGATATTTTCAACTTCCTCCTAGGAGGTAGTCTGATCAAAACAAATCCTCTAGCCGCTGTCTGCTATCCATTATGGCCTGAGTATTCCGCCCAGCGATGTAAAGAGGTCTCAGAGAAATGGTTAACGTCCGAGCTGCAGTAAGTTTCCTAGGTTTCCTGGTATAATAACGGCTCTACAGCATGATACTAACGTACTCTTTTAAATTCAAACAGATTAGCAAGCCCAGGAAGTGTTATGCAGCCTTTGTACGAGGGGCGGAGTTGCATGCCTCCCGGCTTCAATTATACCACCAGCTGTGAGATGGGTGCATATCCAACCTATGTTGTAAATGTGTCGACCGTGGCACAGATACAACTAGCTGTAAATTTTGCACGAAATGCTAATCTCCGGCTTGTAATCAAAAACACGGGTCACGACTTCCTTGCTAAATCTTCTGGCAAAGGTGCTCTTTCAATCTGGACTCACTACCTGACAGATAAGGCCTTTTATCCGGAATTCGAATCTGACGATGGATATACGGGTCCAGCTATTAAGGTGGGTGCTGGGGTACAAACTCGTGAAGCATATGAATATGCTAAAGCTCATGGAGTTACCGTTGTTGGTGGCGAGGACTACTCCGTGGGAATTGCTGGGGGCTTTACTCTCGGCGGAGGACATTCTCCCATGAGTAGTATGTATGGAATGGCTGCCGACCAAGTTCTTGCCATGCAAGTCGTACTTGCATCCGGACACTTTATTACCGCAACAGCAAAACAGAATCCTGATATCTTCTGGATGCTCCGCGGCGGAGGAGGCAGTACCATCGGAGTGGTGACATCCATGACAATCAAGGTTCATCCCAAGGTACAAATGACGACGGTTACTCTCAATTTTACCGCCGACAACGACGGGCCAGATGTCTTCTGGAAAGGTGTTCGTGCTTACTTCGACAATGTTGAAAGTTTGGTTGATAAGGGCACATATGCGTATTACTTCATTGGAGCTTCTGCCGATGAGCGCGGTACTACGGCGGCGGGAAATACTTCCTACTATTTCCAGATGCAGCCATTTGCAGCACCCAACAAGACTATCGAAGAGACAAAGGCACTTCTTAACCCTTGGTTTACTGCAATGGATGAATTCAACATCACATACACCCCTGTCTACTCTCATGCAGATAATTTGTCAGTGGCACCACAGAAGGATTTAATAAACTTGGTAGGAACGAATGCTAATTTTTATATAGCCATGATTCATGGGTTGTCGCTTTTCCGGAGGAAAAAGTCGGCCAGGATGTCGTTAAACTTGCATCGCGCCTCATGCCCCGATCCGTAATTCACGATACTACGCTTCGCAACCAGCTCGTGGACGCAATCCAGGACGCCATTGCTAAGGTGAGCTGAATGATATGATTCTTCTCATTTTGTTGTCTCAGGGTGTGTATGAAGTGAGATTAACTTCACTAGGGGTTTTTCACATCCGGCGTTCAGCTCAGTGGAACGGGAATTGCTGTCGAGCCACCAAGTACTTCAGCTGCCGCTGTCCTTCCCGCTTGGCGCACAACTCTAACTCAAACTACTGTGGGAGGGGAGTGGACCTTTCAGTCAGACTGGGGGACAGTGAAAGAGGTCTCATTGTCTCTAACATCCTGGATGGATGTTCTACGAGACCTCGCCCCTGATTCGGGTGCCTATTTGAACGAGGGCGATATCATTGAACCTAATCAAAGTGATGCATTCTATGGCAAGAATTATCCTCGGCTCTATGCTTTAAAGCAAAAGTATGATCCCACAGGTGTCTTTTTTGCTCTTACAGCAGTCGGATCAGAGGATTGGGAAGTGCAAGTTACTGATCCTTTGCCCTACTCATGGAATAACAATGGGAGACTGTGTCGACGGTGGAAGTAAAGTTCTAACGTTGTGCCTACCATGCGGCACAAGGAGGCAATTGTTTAAATCATGGCGTCAGACTGAGAATATTGGATTCGATAATATAACCTTGGAACGCTTAGAACGGCTTCAGAGATGAGAGGCGATATTAATCGCATAAAGATAGCTTCGAGTACGTATTTCAATTCTTGGCTTGATAGGATTACCTACAAATACGAAGCTAGGGCTTTCTGTAAGTTCGAATCCCTTACAAACACGTTGGTAGAACTACATCTTTCCACGGCTTCATCTATAATGGTTTCAGCTAGATGCAGCCACGTTGCACAACATCGCTGCACCTATGCAGCATATCGAAGTTTTGAAAATCCTGTTGATACATACCACATACCGTAACTTTCACTGACAGTTTACTATTGCAGCAATATTATTGGCTAGCGTAAAATTACTGAAAAGTTAATACGTAAGATTCAAAATAGTCCTACCTTCCTGATTAGGCAACTCAACAATGAGCCTCGTGAACAACATATACAGCCCTACCTTGATGTACATCCTTTACAAACTCACATCGATAGAGTCTCTATCGTACCTTACCTGAGTGGCGTACCATTCCATACAGATTACTTGGCAAACGAAGTCGGTGTAGGTTCAGCTAAACTCCTAGACCAGCTACCCCCTACGAAGATAGATGTTTTATACCTTCCTGATTAGGAAAGCACGAGGCATTGAGGGTATTAGCCCACTCCTATTTGTTTCCAAATTGACTGAATCGTTCAGATACTTGCGGACCATTAACCTCCGAAGTCGACTTACCGAAACGCTTATATTGTGGCTAGCTAACCGATACAGTATCGGGATCTAAGGCACAGTGAGTCAGTGACAGGTCCTGGGTGTTAACTACTATCCAGGATCAAGTTCACTCTTTATCTTACCATTTTTATGTAATACACTCTTTACAATTAGTCATCTAGACTGATTTGACTTCTACCCATGTCCGCTGGGTGGGTTATCCGGATGGTATGATTGCCACTCTTGCATCTTACCAACCTGGAACGACACATACAGCTCCATGGAGACATCTTCAAAACTTCATTCTCAACATAATTTAAGCTAGGGTCTACCATTTCATATCTTTGCGAGTCAGCGCTTCTCTCTCCATTTTCTCCACTGCACTCCCGCTTTCAAGGGATTCGATGGAAGCCCCGGACTCCACACACTCCCCCCACAACAAGAACAACCATTTTGTCCGAAATCCCAGAGATTTGCTTTATGCGATGGTGTTTACCATGCATTTCTGACGATTACACGCTTATCTAGGCATCGAGAGTCGAGACCACTTCGGATAACGCTCTTGGACGTCTAAGCCACCATTGGTCCGAGTGATCATCTATTTTTTATAGGAAAGTAAATGCAGAATCATACATTTCTTACAAGAACATTCTTGATCAATATGTCTAGAGCCGAGATAGATGTCGTAGCTGTACTTAATTGGGCGATATTAATCCTGCTTATTGAAGGATTGAGCCGGCTCCACCAACGCATGCCTATGTCTCGTAATGGTACTAAAGCAGAATGAGAAAAGCCTCCTCGAAATACTCACAGTGCATTCGTTTTGTATAAGCGCCTAAACGGACCTCATTCAGTATTTGAGAATGAAACTTCGCTTTCGATTATGGCAAAAGCTATGCTAAAGATGGTGCTCGAAGGCAGTTCAATTCAAATGGTTCAACGCCCCGGAACAGAAGAAAATACCCAGATCTAATAAGGGAGACAAATGTGGAGGCATGCCGTACGCTTCAAAATCCAGCGTGTTGCATGCTTCATCAAGTGCTGGGGTTGTATGGCTCTGGCCACCTAGATCACAAATCGATATACGCCAGAATCAAAGGCCTTGTTAGTGGGTCGATAATCTGTCCTATCCACTGTGGGCCATATTAATCTTAACTCCATCCATCCGGAGAGTGGATAAGTGATGATCAATGGGGGCCATTTCTTGTAACACTGGACGAATAACAGCGTCCGATTCAAAGTTCCCGGTCTGTACGAGACAAGTTTGTTCACAAAATATGTATGAGCTTCGCTGTAACATAACAGACTGGGTCCCGTTAAAGTTGTCTTACTTGAGAACACTATAGCATTTAGGACTAGAGCTTAATTAATATTTAGCAAAGCAGTAATCCACTGTGGATAATATCTCGTTCTCATAGAGGTTTGCAGTCCAGAAAGATGTCAACCAGTAGAATCCTACTTTCTTAGATGCGTGGGTATGCTTACTATGCTACGGTTATCTTTTAGCAAGCGAAAGATCTACCATCTGGGACAAGCAAGCCCGGCGTTCTAGGGGAAAGGATCACATGCATATGCGGTCTCACACATTTTTGCTACTTCTTTCTAAACTAGATCAACATGAAAAGGTCTCGTTCCATACTGCAGTCGTTTTCTTTTCGCGTCATAGTCTTTTTTTGCAAATCTGTTCGGGATTATTAGCAAAGGAAGGATATCTGATCAAAACGGAACGTTTAGGTACTGGAGACAGTGGCCTAGTTTATTCCGTGTGGCAAGCTTCCCGTCTTAGCTTATTGAGTGGCTTGCATTTTAATCCTATTTATAGGCGGTTGGACGGCTTGCGGAAATATACCATAGTAGGTTATGGCGACTTCACTTAAGTCCCCGTTCAGTCGCAGACAAAAACCGTTGGAAGTCCGCAAGGCAGTTTAGTAAGGCTGCGCTCTATACGAGGCGGATAGCACTGACGAAATTGATCCACTTATTTACGTACGTTCATTTTTCCATCCGCCGGCGTTCAATGCTAATGTGTAATGCTACTGGGTAAAGGTAAGAAGACACTATGGGCCTTACTCAGGTTTTGCAGATCTATGCTGGCGGGGTTTGTATTATGAAACTCATCGGATACTTACATCTTCCAAGGTTGTCATGGTTTACACAACTATGATTATCCCGGCTAATTCTTCATTCTGAAAGTAACCTCTCCATTATCAGAATCTTTAGAACTCCAAAGACCGCCTAATAGATTCCTTCAAAGTATGGATTTGTTGTGGGCATATTAGGCCTCAAAACGGGCCATTTTGTATGTGACAGAACGGTATCAGTATCCCAGTCGAAGCCCGGTGAGGATGCAGCTTCTAATTCGCTTTTATAAAAGACGCTAATTCCTGCATGTATAATCTGATGATACTACCCAATGCTTACTCATTTGCCAATTCGGGTTCATGGTAAGATACATCCAATTCTCGGAGCTATTTCATTTCCAGTTTGACTTACACCGTAGTTCCATTTACCGTGATGATACTGGGGAAATGGGGTTTCTGGTTCTGCACCTGATGTTTTACGTATCTGCTGTCTAAAAGAGAAAAGATAAGCTCATTCCCGCTAATTGCTGCAGATTGTGGGCATGACTGTCCTTGTCCAATTAATGGCCATTTCGTGACTTCCAGGGATGCCCATATACATATATATAGCCAACATATTCATCTGAGGGGTTGTGGAATAGCATTTATAATACATATGAAAAAGAGCTACTTCAATTTTCTTGTGCTTTCCTTTTCAACACTAGACCCAGAGTTTACTCTCTTGACGCAGGACCGACACCAAGAGACGATATTGAAAGATCTACATCTCATCATATGCTATCTCCTTGAGCCCAACCTTATTATCTCATATATACTACGAACCACGATGGCCTCCAAAGATGCCGGTAACCGCCCTCCCGAGCAGCGGAATACAAATTCAAACGAAGTAAAGCTACGACAGACTTGTGATGCCTGTCAAGCAATCAAAACAAAATGTTCTCGTGGAAAGCCATCATGTCAACGATGTCTGACGCAGAGCATTCCCTGTCACTATAGTGTCACTCGACGAATAGGCAGACCACGGCGTCTTGCACCAACTACTTCACCGCAATCACAACCGCAACCACTTTCTCAGGCAAGACAATCTAAGGATCAGGGTCCCATACTACCTCAGGAACCAAGCAACAATACTACTACATATGTCAGGCAGATGTCTAGCCATTTCTATGGTTCCGATTGGGGTGGGTTTGATGTCGATGCGGACAACGACCAAATGATTGCTGATGTAATTCTACGCCCTGTGTGACTTTTGAAAATTCCGGTCTCACTGAATCAGATTTACGTATAGTTACTAATCACCTGCGAATCTGATAGGATGACGACGCTCCCTCCAGTAGTGTCAATCAAGATAGAAGCCAGGCCAGTCATTCAATGACGCCTAGGATGACGCCGACTCCCAATGATAATATGGAAGCATCATTTATTCCAGCTCAAGGATTGGTATCCGAAATTGGTGATCAAGGTTGGTTTTCCTTTTTCCCCTTTCCGTCTTTCATTAGTTTATCTTTTACGAGTTGACATTGCTGACTAAAATCTCCCTAAAGATATGGACCTCTTTGATTCATGCTTTGAAAGTACGGAATTCTCAACGATGCCTAGCTCATCCCTGTCTTCTTCGGTGACAAACGACATTAGAATGCAAGTAAACCCAAATACACAGCAGAACCTAGACGATACAGATGTAGAAAAGCAGCGCAAGTAGGGTTCTCCCACTCAATATCCAGCAGTTTACACCGGTACTGATAACATCTCCCAGTTCATTAGAGATGACCTTCGGGCATAAAATCGAGCAGACTTGGCAATCCTTTATGCTAAGCAAGCAGGATGAGGACATTCCGTTTGGGTGGGAATTTCCAGGTGAGACTATACTACCAGCGCAGGGAAACTCATGCCGTTGCCTCGAATCTGCTCTCGGCATTACTTTGAGAATAAGAAAAGGCCATGCATTCACATACGCAGGCGCCTTGGACCTCGCCCTGGATACTGAAGCACAGCTGCGCGAGATTGTGCCAGTTGCTGTACATTGTGCTACATGTAAAGCGCAGCGGGGTGAAATCTTGAAGTTATTTTCCAATTCAGTGACGGACGTGGTAGACTTGCTTCAGCAATTGTGCAATATTGAGTTTGCCGATTGCGACGACTCACCAACATCATCATCTCGACAAATGAAATCGTCTATAGTTGATGGCCTGGACTGGGTACAGCCGCCAAATCTAAATGGGGCTCTTGGTCTCAATTCCCATGAACGCAATCTCTCAAGGTCCTCTGTGCACATGAACGGAAGTATGATAGGCAGTTTCAACAGCAGTGGTGCACAAAGAAGACTATCTACTTCAATCAACAATATACCAAGTGAACAACATCACCTAGCAAGAAATCTGAATATGAACTTGACAAACGTCGGCAGCGCTGATGTGGCTGATTGGCGCATTCTGGTCGGACGGCATATGATTGTTGGTGACGATAGAAAATTTATGCTGATGCATCTGTTGCGACGACGCCTCCGCGCGCTGTCAAACGTGTTAGAAGATCTGATTAGGGCAATGCAAGACTTACGCATGGCCCTAAGGCGCAAACGGTCGTTGATGGCGCTCGATAATGACTCGAATCTTGCTGCAGAAATGGATACCAGGGCCCCGTTGAAGGCCGCTTCGAAACTATACGATATTATCGACCACCTAGAAAAGATACAGATATAGTGGTTGGCATTGTGTGACCCGCATGTATTAGCTCTCAGCGGTATTTCTTTGATCTTTACACTGCGTTAGGGTGATTTGTGGAGTGTTCTGACTCCCGAGCAGGGCTCCTTCAGGTGCTGCATGGAGGAGCACCATTCATATGGAGTTAGCTTTTGCACCTGATTAACCGAAACAATAATATATTACTCTTTCAAGGCTGGATGAGCCAAGTTACGTTACCACAAAATACTTGAAGTTTCTACCAGCCGCAGGATACGGCCACCCCAAGAGAGGATAGAACTAAGATGACAGTCTGAATCATAAACCTGTGAATGAACATCACTAAAAATAAGCTTAAGACAACTAAACATGCTATTTATTTGAGGTAAGCTGTTACAGCTAATAAGTTTGTTGACAGTGCCGAAAAATAAGGAGACTATTTTATGTAAGACCCTATCATCGCCTTCGTAATGTGCTGGCTTGTTCTTATTGAACCAATTATAACCGGGTCACCAGGATGCTAGATAGCCAGTAGTGAAGAGATAGTTGCATTTCGCCAACAAGCTAGTAAGTCATAAATGACATGCACATACTCTATCCTGGCTATGAAAGCACGTGATTTTGTAAGACCTAATTCCGATGAATGGTACTCAAAATATGCCATCAAAGAAAGAGGTGGCAAAGAGTGAACAGAAAACAGGACTATTATTGGCACAGCATCTTATGAAAAGTGATAGACATATGGATCACTTTAGAAAGGATATAATCTATTATTTACGGAGAATCTACCTAGGCCGAGGTCAGATAATTAACTACTCGAATACATGCATACAAGACGGCTATGGTTTATCTTCACCAGTGTTGGAATTGAAAAGACTCTCCAGGGCAGAGTCAGGCATAATTAGAATACTAGATCATAATATAAGGAGCAGATTACATTCGAAGATATGGACAACACTAAATAAAACCGGAAGAAACCACAGCAACGCGGTATTAATAAATCTTCCAGAACGACCGAGGATTCTGTTCAAGAAGAGTCCTGATCAGAAATGGGTTGGCTATCATTGATGCTTCCAACATGGTAGCGAGAGAACAAGAGCGCCCAAGTAGGACCCCACCAAAGCAGAGTAGATAATATAAGAAAATAGTGATATGTACAAATGCAGAAGCCAAGCGCAACACACCATCGCAACATTTGAATATATGTAAGATATGTCTTCCGCTGAGTATAAAGTTAAATGGCCGGATTCCAATTTCCCTCCGTTCTTCTCCAGCAATGAGAAGCGATCACTGTACGTCTGGCCGACAGCTGTTCGAGTATTGGTCATATATGATTATGCATTGAGATGCAATACGGTCGTTCAAATGAAAAATAAAAACAAGTCCCTTATGGTCGTCGTTTTTTCGTTTCCGGGAGTCGTTTTTTAGGCGACATTCGGGAATTTCATATATATAATAGCGAAGACAGAAGCGCAGAGGGCGAAAAGTGAGCAGCTGAAATCAGCCGAGAGAAAGGCATCGATTCGACACTGTACAAGATGGAGAGTCTTCTCCATGTCGTAGGTACGCTCATGCGTAAGATGGGATAACCTGTGTATGATGCTGGTCCTCAGATTAGCATAACGTTTCTCGGTACACGTCAAAAAAAAATTCGAGTAGTTAGTCTCATAGTTTAACATACATCGCTCATCAATCCACAAGATCATCGTCCCGGCTGCATCCACGTGCAGCAACTTTAGAAGCATGAAATACCAGCATGATGGCACCAGTTATCACGGGCTTCGACGTCCCCAGGAGCATCCGGAATTTCGCGAGCTTCAACTTCGACGGGAGCCGCAGCAACGCCGAGGGCAAGAGCGGCTAGGAACAAGACGTGGAGCTTCATTTTGACTTGGTGAATCGGTAGAGATACAAATAGAAAAAAAAAAAAAGGTAAAGAGCCAAGACTTAGTATGTCCAAGATATGTAGGTAAGATATGATTGTACCTGCATCAGAAGAAGAAAGACCTAGCTAGCCAAGGCAAGGGCCTCAGCATCTTTTTATAGGCTGGAACGGCATACGTACATGGTTCAAAAGTCCAAAGAAACAATCAGAGAGGAGCAATTAATGGTGCCAATTGGCTTACAATAGGTTTCATCGTTTAAGCGAAGCAGAAGTGACGATAACGATGAGATCCCCATCGGTCCAGACCGAGTGATAATCTCGATTAATAGTCTGGTTCAGCGAGTCAGAACCTCGCTTGTCATAGCAGGTAAATGGTATATCTGAAGCAGTGAGCTGATCAAGTCTGGTAGGTTCAAAAGTTAGATAAGGTGGTTCGTTGAGCATCAATAGTGGTCTTCCGAGGGTGTGTCCCAAAATGGTAAGCAGGCCGCGCCTCATGATTTCCGTTTTGGTGTATCAATAGGCAAATATCGCGATTGAAGCGCCACTTTTCTTCATAAGCCCTTTCATGTCGAAACCAGTCTAGCTGTTCACTCAATAAGCCGTGTACTTAATATTTGAACAAAGATATTCCTCTTTTTTTTTGTTGTTGTTGTCGTTTGTCTATCAGGCTTTAGATTCTTTGTTTAATACATCTTCATCAATGTTCTATTAATTATTTCTTTGAAACTCGGTCCGTCTAATATTGAACACTTAGGGCTATTGCACTTCGGCACTGGCCTGCGGGTAGTGCTAGTACGATAGTATCCTCCGCGCGGCCGACCTCAGCGCAACCAGCAACCATAGCGTCTGGATCAACAGCCATGTGACATATTTCTTAACACACGCTTCGAAAAAAAAAAAAAAAAAAACTTCCAACTGATGTGCTTGGATAGCAGCTATTTGTCTGGGTGCGAGATGTCTGATGCCTAGTGAGTCCGGATGCTGCCCGGTTCGAATTAGTACCGAGCCCTTGATCTGGCACATGCCACCACGAATAAAGGCTCCTTCGCTGGGCGAAATCTAGCTGAGTGGAGTGATAAGAAAGCCAGAAATTCTAGATCGAATAATGTAATGGAGAGCTGAATCTGCGTATGAATAACTTTAATTGAACAGAGCATGGAATCCCCCAGATCAGCTTGCATCCTAACGTGGCCATTCATCCCATGAAAGAATGTTTCGAAGTAGCCCTCAGTCCACCCACCGTGCATGGCGCATAGCAGGTACTTTCAAGGTTCTGATCTCAAGTGGCCGACTTGTTCCACCGATGTTGCCTCTCGAGAAGCTGACAACATCTTGCTTAAGGCTGGGAAATGACAAGAGGCCTCGGTTCGTGCTGGAGATGACGGCTAATTAGCCCTATCGATGGCCAGACTTTGACATAACTCAAAGAAGCTTCCGGTTTTCTCGAGACTCTTCTGGTCTTCATTCCAGTAGTTGATCGCGTAACGGTCGTCGTAATACAAGCGATTTCACTACTTATTTTCCATAAGGGGTCACAATCACCATTCCACCGGCGAGTTGACAACCGTTAGCACACCTCTGGTTTTGGCGCAACTTCCTCCTACCCACGCAAACCATCCAGTCGTAAAAGTCTAACACTTTCTTTTTATCTGGGAAAAACTTACCGAATTTCAGCTATCACTTTCTTTATCTGGCCCCTTTTACAAGTCATTTACTCCCCCGATTTGAAGGAAGATGCTGGGTCTTCCTGTCACTCATCCACCACTGCATATTTCATGCTGCTTAAGCAGACTAACGACAGGAAGTCTGTTCAATTCCGATGAGTAAACATTGAGTTCCGCTCTATCAGAGTGTGCACTACCGCGGCATTGCACGGTTAGAAGATCTCCCAGTTCATTGGTTAAAACTACCGAAGAGAATTACGAGTGTGTCATTGGCCAGGAGCGCCGGACAGGCTTCACACCGAGCACATCCACGATAACAAAATTTCGCAAAGATGGCCGATAACGAACACTCTAACCGCGTTTTTACGTTGCTGCTCATTGTAGGACGAGGAAAAGGAAAGCGAAAGAAAATCATGACCCGGCACGTGACTTTCAATGACGTTGATAGCTCGGAGGGAACGAGCGAATCATCGTTGAAACCCTCGCCGCCAGAGCTCCTTCTCCATCTCGACCTGGCGAACATAATAACAACTTCTTCCATCTCAACTCTTTCTTGACACCAATTTCTTTTCTGTCAAGCTTCCTGCGATTCCTTCGGATATTCGACTGTGAAGGACACGATAAATCATCAATCAGTACCACCACTAGCTCTATCAGGCTCGGAACTGAACGGGCGCCAGCAGTTCCAACCTTGATTGCCTCGCTCAGCTGTCCGATTGGGCTGGATCGGCTGAATTCGTGAGGAGGGAGAGATACCCCTCACATATCATATTATCAGAGGAGTGTATTGGCTAGCCGCGCAACGTCAGAATTTTTTATAAATCACCATGGAACGAATCGTTCGACCGCTATCTCGACAATTGACCAGACAACGACTGCGATATCCCTTTTCCGTGCCTTCATCTCCTGTGATTCTGAGATTATACAGTATGGGTCACACAATTCCTCCTGTAAGTGATACCGCAACCGATAACATGGTTTAAATTCTCGGCTCATTGAATCACATATCGGGTGCAGTTGAAAGATAAATCGCTTTTCATCGAAAAGGCATATGTCAACGGCGAGTGGGTTGGTGCCGAGTCGGGAAAGACCTTTAACGTTCATGGTGAGGATGCTCAGTCCTTTCCGAAGATTAGGGTTGACAGTTTATTGACGGATAACAGATCCATCCGATGGCAAACTGATCGGTACTTGCCCTGAATTCACTGTTTCCGACACAGAAAAAGCTATTCAAGCTGCTACAGCCGCGTTCCCCAGCTTCCGCAAGACTCTAGCTCGAGAGCGTGCCCGCATGTTGCGAAGATGGTATCAATTAATGGTTGATAACGCCGATGACCTGGCAACACTGGTTACGTGGGAAAATGGCAAGCCCCTTGCTGATGCAAAGGGTGAGGTCATGTACGCAGCAAGCTTCTTCGAGTGGTTCAGTGAGGAAGCTCCTCGTATATACGGTGATACTATTCCATCGTCCGTTCCCGGAAATCGGATAATTACGCTGAGAGAACCTGTTGGTGTTTGTGGCCTCATTACTCCATGGAATTTCCCTGCGGCTATGATTACCCGTAAAATTGGACCTGCTTTGGCCGCTGGTTGTACTGTCGTGGCCAAGTCTCCCGGTGAGACTCCATTTACTGCTAATGCTCTCGCTGAGCTCGCCCACCGCGCCGGCATTCCCAAGGGTGTGGTGAATATTGTAACAGCAGATAAGAATGTCGCTGAGGTCGGAGAAATCCTCACCACGCACCCCGACATCCGCAAGGTATCTTTTACTGGATCCACGAACGTCGGTAAACTACTCATGAAGCAAGCGTCTTCGACTGTTAAGAAGGTTTCTTGGGAGCTCGGTGGCAATGCGCCTTTCATCGTTTTTGACGACACCAAAGATATTGATGCGGCCGTTGCAGGAGCTATCGCATCCAAGTTCCGCAGTTCAGGTCAGACCTGTGTCTGCGCCAACCGCATTTACGTACAGAAGAACATTTATGATGAGTTCGTTGCAAAGTTCACCGAAAAGGTGAAAGGCTTCAAGCTTGGTCCTGGATTTGAGGACGGAATCACACATGGACCTGTTATTCACTCTCGCGCAATCGACAAGGTTGAGCAACACGTCCGTGATGCAGAGTCCAAGGGTGCCAGAGTCACCGTAGGTGGAAAGCGGGCAACAGAGCTTGGTGACAATTTCTATCACCCTACTGTCTTAGCATATATGACCAAGGACATGCAGCTTGCTTCAGAGGAGACATTTGGTCCTGTTGCAGGTCTCTTCCCTTTTGAGACTGAAGAGGAAGTCATCAAACTTGCAAACAAGGCAGAAGTTGGACTGGCAGGCTATTTCTTCTCTAGTGACGTGAAGCGTTGCTTCCGAGTAGCCGAAGCATTGGAGGTTGGTATGGTTGGTATTAACACTGGACTTATCAGCGACGTTGCCTCCCCGTAAGTTTATTTTTTGCTGGCCCCTTGATTAGATCAAAGTTGCTAATGCTTTATAGATTCGGCGGAGTTAAGCAGAGTGGATTCGGCCGTGAGGGCAGCAAGTACGGCATTGAGGAGTTTATTGTCACGAAATCCGTCACCTTTGGAGGGATCACCGAGCCAGGATTGTAATTGATGACTTTTGAATTCTATCGAGCATTATGAGAAAAAGATGGGCCATTAGCACTAATGTTATATATCGTGAAATGGATAATGATAGGGAAAATGCAGAAAAACTTGTGGGACTTGGGAATTGCTCTTCAGGGTGGGCTGTTCCATCAAATTTTGCGATGAGCAATTTAAGAGGCATTGAATTTCTAGGTAGTAACTAGAGACAAATTTGTATTTAGCAATTTTTAAGAACGGATAAGGGTTGTCTTATCTTATCGGACATCGTGGGGACCTCTTGACGTGTCTTTCATGTGACTTTTTCTTCCTCCTATTTACACTTTTTTCATCTCCGTGACTCAACGTCTCAAGTATTTGTCAATTATATATAACCATTGGAAACAGACAATTGACAATGGATACGAAATCATCTCCTCTCAGAGGCAACCAAGTCCAAAAGCCATCGTCCCAGCATGTGTTATCACATTCACGATCTGGACTTCGGTTATCTAAGCATCACCGTGACCGAGCTGTGTCTGATGCCAAGGGTGAGTGTATTTCTCCTTCCCTCGAAAATTCAACTTGAGTTATATGAATAAGCTAATAATATCATATTTTAGAAAAAGAACTCCCCCTCGTGGAACGCACCAATGCTATGAGCGTACAAGACTTTGTCTCTCGTTATATCGATCCATCGCAACTACAATTAAATATAGCCACTAAACTAGAAGACGATTCTTCAACCACAACAACCACAACTGCCCCAATCCAAATATATTCAGCATCCACCATCCCATCACTAGATTTCGAGGGCTGTTTCTCCCTGATCGAAACTACCTCAGCAGAAAACTACAAGGCCTCGTCAATGGGCTGGTCACCATCCAAGAAACGGAAGGAAATGCGTCTGCCAGATATGCGATTCATGGTTCTTAGAGGACCACCACAGGCATCACCGATACCTCAACGAAATAGCAGTAATAACAACAATAATAAGCGCACCACCCGCAACAGCTCTGGTACTAGCACCCCTGGCGAAAGTGAGGTTTCGTCCACATCTGAATCGGGACCTGAAACTGCTCCCACCGCAGCTGCGACAACAACAACGACATCCCCACACTCCGAGGTCCTGGGTTTTCTATCATTCATGACCACTTACGAAGACGGCAAGAAGGTACTGTACTGCTACGAAATCCATATTCATCCTTCCCTCCAGGGTCAAGGAATCGGTCGCCACCTTATGTCTCTATTCGAGGAGACAGGACGACGGATCGGGTTGGAAAAGGGCATGTTGACTGTCTTCAGGGCTAATAGTCCCGCGGTGGGGTTCTATTCCCGGTTGGGATATACAGTTGATGAGTATTCACCTGGACCCAGAAAGCTAAGGAATGGTACGGTCAAGGAGCCGGATTATTTGATATTGTCCAAAGCGTTTTGATTTTCTTTGCTTTTATATAATGGTTCACCTGGCATGATATAGAATAACGGGATAGAGGTGATATTTGGTTTATAGACTTTAGACGGCGGTTGGGCTTGGCAGTGAATAGATTTTCTTTTCTAGTTGATGATATGTTCAGTCAGATTTGTCTAACTTCTTTCCCTTTCAAATCTGGGTTGTCTTGTTCCCACTCGTCCCGCAAGGCTGCGAATATGAGGTCGGCGACGAGGATTGTCAGACCCAGACTCCATACTAGCGTGATAGCATAGAAAAAATTGGCGTTTCCTGACCCAGCATAGATCCAAAGATGGTAAAAAGCCGGCCCGAGTAGAGTAGCATAGAGCAAAGCAGCAGCCGCAAAGAAAGTGTATCGTGTAACTGCAATGTGAAAATTAGTTTAGAGCTGCTTGGGGGCAAGTGAACCTTACGTGGTGATAGATGTCTGTATAAAGGAAGAAGAGCAAAATACAACGAAACGTCGGCAATACTAGGATATGGCTTGAAAATAGCAAATATACCGATCAAGGAAGTGATCACGAATAATGGCTGCCGCCGTAGCCGAATCGTCAATCCTCCGACATAGCCGACTAGGTGTAACCAAAAGACGCCGAGAAAGAATTCGCGGAACGAGTCGAATATCTCAATGAAAAAGTACCACCATAAACCAACGTTTGGTGAAAGATCGGGAACAAGCAGATGGAATCCGTAGATGGCGGGTATAAAGTCCCAAGAAAACCCTGTCACTAGGAAAGAAGCTCCGAGTAATCCAGCGACGGCCGTAATAAATGCACTAAAGTGTTTTGCGAAAAAAGCGAATTCGCTGGGCCGCTCAGAATCGCTCTTGTTCCGGATTGACCGGTCATAACAAAGGTAAACCAATGGTAGGAAGAGGAGGGAGGGATAGAGAGACAAGTAAGCTGCCGAAGCAAGAGCCACAATGGCATTCACACTATTCCCGCTGACAGCATTGGAAATTGCGTATAGGATTGACAAGTTGGTGAAGATAGTCGTTGAGCGAGCGAGACATGTTGAGATAATGAACGGATTGAAGAGATACCTGGTCAAATAGTTAGACTTGTGTAAACCAAAGTTCCAGGACACGGAAATCACCATGCAGCGATAGCTATTCCATCCCACCTGACATGCTTGCGTAGCGAACTGTGTAGTCTTCCCGTAACAGACTCAGCCGAGTCGGAGATGTTGATCAGCGCATTCGCGTTCAAGAGGTCTATTCCCGTGAAGAACAAGCTCGTAGCGAAGGGGGAATCTCTCGGATTCGGAAGCAGAGCAAATATAGGAAGAAGGAGAGGTGCCTAACGTTTGGCCGAGATTAATTCAACAATCTCTTTTCAAGTCATGCCGAAGCCCAGATGTACCTGATGAAATACGCCGCCGTCGTATGGGGACACGTTGCGCGTGTACAGAAAGAGGCCTTCTTGCACTGCGATGGGACAATGAGCGACTGAGACATTGATGAAAAATTCTAGCCGCACTCACATCTCTTGAAACTGCTGACCGGGGTGGACACTTCAACTCTTGATGTCAAAAGATCTGGTAATGAGGGAAATGCCACGAAAAGGAACAGTCGGACAGCGACCGCAGCAGCGAAAACGGCTGTTTTCCGCCGGTCGACAGGCATTGCGAATAATTTTAGACGGACTAGACACGCATAGTCAATCAGTGTGATACGGAGCCAAATCAATCCTGAACGAAAGTCCAGGTGAGCATTATTGAACAGTTCATGCTGTCCTCGACTCCTTCCCGAAACAACCAAACAACCTGTGCACGGACTACAACCAGTCCCGCTCTCCGATTGGTCGACGAGAAAAAGATTTGATAGACAACTTTTTTCTTCTCGACTTCTCTTATCAGCAATTTCATCTCACCAGAACATCTAGCGGTCTTGCACACTCGCCCACCATGGCAAAGATTAAAAAGAAAGGTTAGTTATAGTTTGCTCGGTATGCATGCAGAAAATTAAATATCAACTTTTGTCTAGGAACCTCTGGCCAGGCCAAAAACTATATCACACGCACTCAGGCTGTCCGCAAATTGCAGATTTCTCTTCCGGATTTTCGACGACTATGCATTTTCAAGGGTAATAGACATGCAATATCTCTGAATAAAATAATTCTAATGTTCGAATCGTGCAGGTATTTATCCTCGTGAACCCCGAAACAAGAAGAAGGCAGCCAAGAACTCCACACCGAACACCACTTTCTACTACACCAAAGATATCCAGTACCTCCTCCATGAGCCCCTGCTTCGGAAATTTCGCGACCAGAAGGCGCTCGCGAAAAAGATCGCTCGTTCTCTCGGTCGTGGTGAAGTCGGAGATGCCGCGCGATTGGAGAAAAACCTTGCGCCGAAGCTTACCCTTGACCATATCATCAAAGAACGATACCCAACTTTTATCGACGCATTGAGAGACCTCGATGACTGTCTTTCGTTACTATTCCTCTTTGCAAGTCTTCCGTCTACGACATCCGTCCCACCCAAGACCATTGCACGATGCCAGAGGCTCTGCCACGAATTCCAGCATTACATGATTACTACGCATTCCCTTCGCAAGTCGTTCCTTTCCATCAAGGGTATCTACTATCAAGCTACCATACAAGGTCAAGATATTCTCTGGCTTGTCCCATACCGTTTCGTCCAACAGGTCAACGGCGACGTTGACTACCGTATCATGGCGACCTTCGTCGAGTTTTACACTACTCTGCTTGGCTTCGTCAACTACCGATTGTATACATCCATTGGCTTAGTTTACCCTCCCCGGTTTGACTCCGCTAGCGATGAACGAGGCGCTGAACTGGCTGCTTTCAAGCTTGAAAGTAAGAATGTCGGTCATTTGAAGGCACTTGAACAGCCAACAGCAAACGGCACTACGCCCAGCGAGGTTTCCAAAGAGATTCAACAAAAAGTGGACGACGTTGTCAAGTCAGCTGGCCTTGACGAAATTCAAGATACTACTGTGGCTGAAGATCAAACAACAAATGAATATGCGATTGACAAGTTTGAGCCCGCCGCCCCGGAAGCAGACACATTGCCTCAACCAGATGGAAGCGAGAACGAAACTGGAAACCTCTTTTCATCATTCACCTTCTTTATCTCACGAGAGGCTCCTAAGGCGCCATTGGAATTCCTCCTGCGCTCATTTGGCTGCAAGCGTATCGCATGGGATGCAGTTGCAGGAGAAGGTGCTTTCACCAATGATGAAACCGATCCTCGTATAACCCATCAAATTGTTGATCGCCCGCCCCTTCCGGAGTCATCACTTCCGGCTGTTCCTGAGGCGCATGCAGACTCCGTGCGCATTCGCACTGGCGGCCGCATTCCAGGACGCACATACGTCCAACCACAGTGGGTATGGGATTGCATTAATGAAGGGAAACTTCTGCGACCAGATCTATACGCGCCCGGAGCCACACTCCCACCGCATCTGAGCCCGTGGGTCAAGACTACTAGAGGCGCTTACGATCCTCGAGCAAGTCTAGCAGACCAAGAAGAGGAAGGTGAAGCTGAACGTGCGGAAGAAGAGGAGGAAGAGGATGAAAGCGAAGACGAGCAAGTCGGAGATGATTCAAAGATGGCCAACGGTGCTGAGGAAGATGAAGTTAGCGAAGCAGATGATGACCACGGTATGGACGTGGATGATTCCGAGCAGGATGAAAGTGACGAAGGGGAAGAAGACGAAGAAGACGAGTTCGGTGGATTTGACGATGCTGCAGAAGCCGCATCAGAATCGGAAGATGAAGACGAGGCTTTGCGATCTCAGCACCAGAAAGAACTCGAAGCCGAAGCCGCTGGTCTGCCATTCAGCGGATCTACTAAGAGCTCATCCACCAAAAAATCCTCTTCCAAGACCAAGAAATATGAAGCCGAGCGACGCAAGGAAGAAGAAGAGCTCGAGAGACAGAAGATGATGATGAGCCGGAAGAAGCGGAAATTGTTGGATAAGATGTTGTACTCCAATAAGAAGAAAGAGGAAGAAGCCCAAAAGTTACGCAGCAAGCGGAGAAAACTCGAGAATGCTGCCAAGACGAAGGCTTGAGTTTATAGATAGTGTATGTATCGTATTTTTCATACGGCGTTTGATGGTGTTGTATGGGATATTCCAGATTGAGCAAGAGTAAGCATCTGCGAATGAAAAGTTGGTTTTTTGATAGACTTTGTATCGACCCAAAGCAAGTAACTTTGATTACTCACCCCACTTTGGATCTCGATCAAGCTTAGCGATTTAAGCTACCCCGGATTCTGTTCCTGCCAATAGTTTACTTGGACGACATGTGTCATTTGAAGGCAGATGTCTCAAAACAACAGACAGCATCTTCTTCCAGAGTCATGGATTCTGTCTCCGATTTCTAGCTCGTATAAACTGATACAGAAGCGCTGTGGTGTTGGCATGGCGTCCTGACAACGATGATGGGCTTAGACTAAACAGTCAGCCTCACAGTCTTCCGGTCTTATTCACTGCATCTGCCCACTTTCATCAAAAAAACCAAGCAGTTTCTCTGCATATCGTTGCCTAAATTACAAATAAGAATGGCACTTCCTATAGGATCTCACGAAGACTATTGAATCGCGTGGATCTATACCCGGGTGTCGGAAGTGGCAGGCTGGCAGCTGCGAAGTTCGTGCTGAATGAGACTTACTCTTATCTATCGTACCAGCCAACCGACCATAATCCGTATATTCTCGGCAGAGTGGACGATCATGCAGTGGTAATTGCTTATCTACTATGGAGATTTAAAGATACCAATTCAGTCGCCACCACGGTTACTAAGATGCAATCGACATTTCCATGCCTTCAGCTTGTGTTGCTCGTTGGCATTGACAATTAGCCACGATACCTCCTACCTTGACCAGCTTCCTTGGATATGGCGGAAGTACGTAATATTATGGGACGAGGATGGTTATTGAACGGCACCAGCTCCCTTTTACACTTACTTTATTCCTCGCTTGAGTTTGGCAGAACAGATACCGCCATGTTCAATCTCACTCTTGATTCATCAGGTATAATCGAGCCAGACGCTCTACATACCACTTCTTCGACGATGCAAGTCTTGCTGAGCCCCGATAACCTAACTCTTCATTTATACCACTCGTTGCAAGGCCAGCAAAATGACTTGCTAGTATCTGCAAGTCAACTCAGAGATCGAATTGAGCAGTTATTCGGTATGTTAGAAAAAAATTATGGAATATCAAGAAGAAGTGGCAGAGTATCAGAGTGTAAGACGTCGCCAAGGTGACAGAGAAAAGAAGCAGCAAACTGAGGGATATGACACGAAAAATCCTCGAAGGTTGGGACTCCAAAGACCTGGCAACTTTTACGGATCCTGTGCAGCCTCGATTCTGTAAGCTGGGAACTATGAGCAAGAGTTGGGTCGGCTTCACCAGAGTCATATGTGCGGTGGCCTTATTCGGCAAAGGATTCGGGGAAGTCATTCGACCAATGCACAAATCCAGCACGTCCTGCTCTTACTAGGCCCAGGTCCCCAAGGGGAAGTCATAGCTAGCAGTTTGTGGGCCTGATATTGCGATATTGCGGCTATCAGTGATCTGCATGGGGATCCAGATAGCATCCCTGTTAGACTCACAAAAGACTTCGTTTGGTATAGTAACGACAGAAGCCACAACTTTTGTAGTTACGTTCCCAATTGGCCAAGGAAGAGCATTGTGAACTTGCTCAAGTCATTCTACACACAAAGATGGTGAGGCGATGTCTAAGAGATGTAGAGCCTACGAAGGGTGGTAAAATGGAGCTATAATTATCGGCTTTAATAGCGGCCTCCCGCGGTTTTGGGAAGACTTTGATACCCAGAGCACGGTGAGGTTCCTTCCTCTTCCGAAGATTCCGACTCGGATGACTTTCATGACTCTGGACTTGGGCTGAGCATCAATTCTAGTTCGACCAATGAAGAGCCGACTGATACTCTGGCTTACAAGGACTATGAAATAGGTACAGTATGCGCACTAGCTAAATAGCTCTGTGCCGTCCGTGCTCTATTCGATGATGAACATCGCAGCATGAATCCGGTCGAAAAATATCCTATTGTCTATTTTCTTAGCCCCATGAGTGGATACTATGTTGTCGTTGCTGGCCTTCCTGTCAATGATTATAGTGATAACTCCGGTACACACGTCGCATCTCACATGATTAGAACGTTTCCAGGAATCAAATTCTGCCTCTTGGTTAGCATCGGTGTGGAGTTCCTTCAGCAGAAAATGATGTCTACTTAGGTGATGTGATTGTCGGTACCAGTATAATGTTTATCCAATACGATATGGGAAAGCATATTCAGAACGGCAGGTTCGAAATGACGTGAGAAAAGCAACGACCCTCTTCATTTTTAAGTTCAGTCATCACTGAGATAAAATCTGAACCTCCGATGTCAATTTCGAACGAAGTTCGCAAAGATGTGGAGATGATTGCCTCAAGGTATGAGGGGTACGCCCATCCTGGGATTGAGACAGACAGTCTTTTTGAGTCTCATACTGTCCACAAGAGAGGTGAAGTGATTTGTGTAAAATGCGCTGGCAGCCCAAAGGAGAGAAAGGATCGGCCATCTCTTGATCCACACGTTTTTTATGGCTTGGTTGCCTCTGGAAACAAAGTTATGAAAGATGCAAGACTTCGAGATTGCCTTGCACAACAAGATTATATACTCTGTTTTGAAATGGAACCAGCAGAAGTTATAAAAAGCACTGACTGTCTTATCATCAGAGGGATTTGTGATTATGCCCACTCTCATAAGAACGAAGAGTGGCAAGAATATGCGTTTGCAACGGCCGCTGCATATGCTAATTATTTTCTTTCTCGGTGCCCAGGCGATACCTGTAGACAAAGAAACTTTTACTAATTACTGTACGTAGAATTAGAGAGCTAAGAAGACTATGTTTTGCCTGTTTTGGTCCAACTATGCAGCTATTTCCGTGCATATCTACCTCTAGTCCAACACTATCAAATCTACCCAGTAAACATGTTCCCTGCCTCAATCACCTCAAAAGCCTTCACAGTATGGTCCCAAACCTTCTTCCGCATTTCATCTTTATCAAACTCCTCATAAAGTTCAGGCTTAAAATTGTTCTCTCCTTTCCATCCCAGAGAATAAACACCGCTGCCCGGTTTTCCCTTCGTGTCAACTTCAACGCTACCTTCTTGATAAGACTTTGGAGAATTAGAAGACCGAGGGAGATACCGAGATGATGCTAGATTGACCATTCTAGCTCCACTTTCTTGTCTGGGGACTGTGAGGAATCTCCCGAATATAGGGTTGATGACTCGAAACATGATTCTGAACCACAGAGGAAACTCGGAACTGTAGAACGTCGGTCCTATAACGAGGCCCGGGAAAATATGTATCAAAGAGAGTTTGTCTGGATATTTCTCTGCCAACATCTCCATGAACAAAGTGTGCATGTAGACCATATGCGATCGTGCCTGCCCGTAACTGTAGAGTTTCAAGTCTCGAAGCGAGAGATCTTCCGGGTAGAACTTGGCTTCCATACCGGCGGCGTAGACCGAGACTACCTTTGAGGGAAGTGTTGATTTGAGTAGCAAGGGGAGCAGTTGGATGATAGCCCTCATTCGAGAGTAGTACATTAGAGACATGGTCATGTCAATTCCTTCTTTTGTTTCTGAATGGTGTCAGATAAAGTACGAGTGGTTGATAATTAGCAAGCATACCTGTTCTCGGAAGAAATATTGAACCACCTTGGGACAACATCAGGTAGTCAATCCTCGCATTTTGACCGTGCTTCCGTTCAGCTTCGAAAATCTCAGCGCAGACTCGGTCGACATTTCGAATCAAAGAAAGATCATCGATTTTGAAAAAGGTGTATTGACCTTGTGGGTATAAACTACGGCATTCAGCTAAAATTTCGTCGGCGGCGATTGCATTTCTGCCCACAATGTATGCACGCAGTCCTTTTCCATTGTGCTCGGCTTCAGCGCCAGCCAGGGCACGTAAGGTTTGATGTCCGATGCCGGATGTCCCTCCGAAGAAGGCGGCAACTAGCGGTCGGCTCTGAACCAAAGTAACGTTTTCTTCGTAAACGTCTTTGAGTTCAACCATCCTGGGTTATCCGACTAGTCAATTGTACCTAGATCAAGACTGATATGGTCTGACGTCCTTCGACGGAGGGTCTAGCACTCCTATTTATACTTATTCCACCACTATACCTTGGTAAACCTCTGAGTATCCTTAATGAACTCGAATTAAGAATTACTCATCAATAGCTGTAGCTTGGAGCTTGAAACAACCAACAGAGAGATTGATATCGTACAGCGTATAGAGTTCCATATGGGGACTAGTGCACCATAGGGACAGCTTATTGGTTGAGCTAATCGGTGTCGATCCCAAATCTTGAGACCCACCTTCATTAAGATCAACCAATCAATATGTAGCAGCGTATAAATTACCGTCTCAGGGCAAGCGGCTCTTTCCTGCCATAATCGGCTTTCCAACGTCAAGTCTGATGACTACAGACAGCTGTCGGTCCTCAGCCCTCGAGCTAGAAGGCTTATCCCGTGTCTTCTATTATGTCGTGTCAGGCTCGATGAGAGCATGCTTGACTAATGATTAGACACCCATGATTCGGTTTCATCCACTTTGACTCAAGCCGAAATAATGCCATCTACTATTGCCTGGACCGCAAACTCTGATGGCCTCTACCTTTTTGCCGGGTCCTGTATGCTGTTGACTTAGTTCGTTATATGAATTAGTGCGAACCTACGTAAGCGACCTACTGGCATAGTTTAATACTAGCGACCGTGGATCAATATATATATCGCTTGACTCGTGTGTCTTTGCCATGTCCCGAAGACGCTTTCATACGAAAAGTCGTTATGGCTGTTTACAGTGCAAACACAGCCGCAAGAAAGTGAGATATTTGCTGCTTTTGTATCTGTGCTAACTGACGTTTGCTCTCAGTGTGACGAGAATCGCCCTCAATGTGGACGATGCGAAAAGGCCGGACAGCACTGCTCCCTGTCCGACATATCATCGAGTTTGATGTTCATATCCACTGATCCTACAGCTGAGAGGTTCAAGAAAATTTTAAATGTCGTTGAGAGACAACCTAATAGTGAAATGGCAATTTCATCAACAGTCTTCCATGGCCGAAGCACCAACACCTCCCCGGCTGATACATCAAGTTGTCCATCTTTCACATCTACTTCCGAAAATGTCTCCGAAACCCACATTAGCGATACAGAAAAAGAGCGTCTCCGACTGATGCACCACTACACTCTACACACAGCCAAGACTCTCGCAGAGCTCAGCATACCCACAGACAGAGACCAAACAATCTGGTCCGACTTTGCGGTTGACCTAGCCCTCGAACACGATCTTGTTCTTCACGGTCTCCTAAGTTTGAGCGCTCTCCACCTAGCACTACGTGGTATCTTCAAACAGAGACACACCATACTAGCAATCCACCACCACGATCTAGGGCTAGCAATATTCCGAACCCATCTCACAAATATTACTAGCCACAATTACGACTCCATATTTGCGTTTACATGTATAGTCATGCTATACGCGTTCGGTATCCAGAGATGTTCTGAATCTACGGCGAATACAATCGCAAAGGTACATCAAATTCTTACATTAATCTCAAACTCTCGGCCAATCACGAAATCCCATATGGATGCATTGAGACATAGTCGCTGGTCTGTAATGATGATGTCGGAGCCGTATCCAACACTAGATCAGAAACTGCCCGATGACATGGAAGCCATGCTCGCTAAGCTTGCACAACGTGTTGCTGTCACAGCCAAGACGGCGAGTCAGGCTGATGTCTATAATGCAGTTGTTCAGAGCTTGAGATACATTCTTATACTCACGTCGACACCGAGACCGGCACAAGTCACGTTAGTCATATTTCCGATGTTGAGCCCAAGAGAATACTGGGATATGATGAGGGACCATGATCCGCTGGCACTGGCCGTACTGGCTAACTATGCTGTTACACTTCACTGGCTGAGATATAGTATATGGTTAGAAGGATGGGGGAAGGAGACCGTTGATGCAGTGCATGCGACGCTTCCACCGGAATGGCATGATTGTATAAACTGGGCTGTCGAGCAGACTAGATTATAACAATTTCTTTACTCAGCTTTGTAGGTATAGTAGTAGACTGTAAATAATGTTGGACGCATTGGTCTTGTGATGACGTCAGATCATGTGCCCAGGCATACATATGACTAGAGCTGCCTAACCTGCTTTTTCTTAGTTGCTGGCTAGACCCTGAGATAGACCCCCTTAATTGATAGATATCCTTGTCTCATATGAACCCTTGCGTCAGTAGATAAGCTTCTTCATTAAAGATTGTTCTCCATTCATAACTACGCAGATTCACCGCGGAGGCCTCCAAACATCGTCTGGCCAACTATCTATCTGGGCATCGTTTCCCTAGAATCTAATAATGCCAGCACACTCTCACTCAACATATCCCTTCACCCCCTCTCGCCGTATCATATCAACTCATGACCCCGCCACCGGACGAGCAGTGTTCAACAATATCCCCGAAAACCCACCCATTGGCGAGATACCAAACTCCAGTTCTGCTGAGCCATCGCGCAATGTAAAAGTATACTCGACCTATACGTTCCCCGTCAGCGGACTATCGCCTCAATCTCAAGTCACGAGTGAGGAGGACTCCAATCTAGACTTGAAAGCCTATGAGGACGACCTCAAACATCCTCGTCCTCCGGATGGTTCGCAGGGGTGTCAGACGACGTGTCGATTGTTGGAGATGGCTCCGGGAGATGAGGCTCCGATGCATCGGACGATTACTTTTGATTATGGCGTTGTTATCGATGGGGTGGTCGAATGGGAACTCGATTCCGGAGAAACTAGAATCTTGAAGAAGGGTGATGTGTGTATACAGCGAGGTACGGCGCATGCTTGGAAAAATGTCACACCAGTCGAGGAGAATAATGGATGGGCCCGGATGTTCTTCGTTATGCTCGCTAGTGAGAAGATTCGAGTCAAGGAGGGAAGGGAACTGGGGTACGGCTTTGGTTTGTCGCGACATGGTGATGATTCGAAAAGTCCAAAGTAGTGTGTCTCCTTTGTGATTCCATTTCTCAGCTCGGTGCGTGTCTTTTTATGCTATCAAGTATCGTTTCTAATGAATATATGACTTCCACCTTATTCGAACTATCAGTAAATGTTCTTTCTCGATCGAGTAAGATCGCACGCCAGCCAGCGTTCGTTGCGCCTTGGTAGTCTTTTGCAAAATCGTCTCCAACATGTATACGCGTCCATTCGATATCATTCAGATCGTATTTAGTAGACTTCTCCGCGCTCAGAAGGCGATCTGCCTGTCGTGCCGCAACATCAAAGATTAGTTGATTCGGTTTCTCTTGTCCTGCCTCGTAGCTTGTAATGACCATGTCGATATCGTTCGGCTGCAGTCCTCGATCTGTCGAGTCTTCAGAGACAGTCACTTCAAATCCTGGTAGCAGTGTACTGGATCGATCTTCATCAGCACGCGTCCGCCCTACCGACAATCCCAACGATCTCAACACAGCAGAAACACGGTCATCCGAATTCGATACAGCACCCGTCACGACACAATCAAACTCAGATTGATGAACCTTGTATTTTATAAGCTCATCAAAACATGGCTCGACATCTTCGTACAGAGAGTAACCCTCTCGACTAGCAAAAGTCTCGATCAATCTCTCGACCATCCCACCAGGTAATTGTAAATCCGGCTGATTCAAAGCATTCGCGAACGTGGATTTGATCACAGCAGTCCACCATTGTTTTGGTCCTCCATATTCGCCACGCAGCACCAGGTCTCGACCGTAGTTCGGGTAAGCTTTACTTTCTGCTTTGTACGCGGTTTTGAAGGCTGACTGCAATGTAGCAGGAGTTATGGACGCGTCGTTCAGACCATGCGAACGGGCAACTGAGGCGTACAATTCCGGAATAGGACGGCGAGGATGGAAGAGAGTCGCAAATGCGTCGAAGGTGATGAGTAGGCAGCGTGGCATGGTGGCGAGATTGTGTAGTTGTCAGGAACAGCTGTAGCTACCAAGGGAGTTGTTGTGGGTCGTGCGGGGAGACATAATCGGCCCCTCGTCAAAGTTTGAATATTCCCAAGTAGCTCCGTACTATCGCCACAACTCTTGAAGAACCTTTTTGACCGGTTTGTACAGAATACTGTGGTAGCTATTAAAGCGACATATCCCTTGAAACTATGGCGAACGAGCGGACTCCAGCGCCTGTATCGGTGCTTTTTGTCTGCCTGGGGAATATCTGTATGTAGGCTTCATCTACAACTTCTTCTCGATGCTAACTTGATTTTACGATAGGTCGCTCTACCATGGCCGAGGGTGTATTTCATTCGTTATGTTCCTCATCGCAACAGTACGGCGCTCTGATCGATGAGATCGATTCAGCAGGCACAGGCGCATACCACACAGGCGATTCTCCCGATTACCGCACGATGGCGACTCTGAAACAGCACAACATAACGAATTACAATCATGCCGCGAGGAAGGTCAACAAGGACGACTTTCGCAGGTTCGATTACATACTTGCCATGGACGAGTACAACCTCAAAGACTTGCTACGTCTACGCGATAATATTATTTCGCAGTCAGCAAGGACAAAAGCCCATACGAATACGATAAGTACAGAGTGTACAACACCAAAAATTGCAGAGGTACGATTGTTTGGCGACTTTAACCCCGATGGTACTGTTAATAAGAAGGTCGGTGGAGGGCAAGAGATTGAGGATCCATATTATGGAGGAATCAACGGCTTCGAGATTGCGTACGAACAGGCGATGAAGTTTTCAAAGGGGTTTCTAGTATATCTGGAAAGGAAACAGCAGCAGTCGTAACGATAAGAATAGTTGTAGATGAGATGTGATACCCATGCATATACAAGATTCAACTCTTCTCCAGCCCGTCGGCAAGCCGACGAAATGATGAAAAGTAGTTCGCGTCACTTGGTGGTAGTGTAAGACCAAGGACACAATGCATCGAGGCATGTGCAAGCACAGAGACCTCAATGCGAGATCCAAAAATGAGAATAATCAATGTTGTGTTCCTTAGAACACTTTCAGAGATTAAACTGAAAAGAACAGATACTACACTTGATCTAAGCCAAAAGGCAAAGAGAGCTGAGAAAAAGAAGGAAGAAAAGAAAATGGAAAAGGCGAGGGGGAAACCGCGGTATTTATACCCTGCCTAGGTGGCACGTGCCCAATGTTTGCATGTTTGCATGTTTGCATGTTTGCACGGTTTGTTTCGGTCATGTGACCCACAACAATTGAATTTTCCCCAACTACCAGATCTCGTCCTAAACAACCACCTTCCTCTACAACAACACAAAAGAACCAGCACAATGCCTACCCATCTGTCCAAGACCAGAAAACAGTCAGTCTATTCTTCGTCTCTTTTCCCCAATACTGCGTACTGACGAATACAGCCGCGGTCATGTCTCCGCCGGCCACGGTCGCATAGGAAAGCACCGCAAGCACCCCGGTGGTCGTGGTATGGCCGGTGGCCAGCACCACCACCGCACCAACCTCGACAAGTACCATCCCGGTTACTTTGGTAAAGTCGGTATGCGCCACTTCCACCTTCAGCGCAACCACGAATGGAAGCCTGTTGTCAACTTGGACAAGGTTAGTTCGCTGCAACTAAACATCGATTCCTACAAATGCTAAAGATAGCAGCTTTGGAGTTTGCTTCCTCAAGAAACCCAAGACAAGTACCTCGCCGAGGGAGCTCCCAAGGATACCGCACCCGTAATTGACCTTCTTGCCCTTGGCTATGCGAAAGTTCTCGGCAAAGGCCGTCTCCCTGATGTTCCCGTTGTCGTCAAGGCACGATATGTCAGCAAGGAAGCCGAGCGCAAGATCACCGAAGCCGGAGGTCGCATTATCCTCGTGGCATGATTAGAGCATTTGGTGGGTTTGGAGACAAGGAAGAAAGATACAAGATACCCAAGGGTGCTTGATAGCGTGGTCGCAGGAACGACCAGCATCGATACAACCGGAAGGCGTTTCAGCGTGGTGGCTGGGTGATGATTCGATCGAATTAGCTTTTGCTTTAGAAAATTGAATCATTGCCGAACAGACCAATGTGCGTCCTCCGTGCATTCCTTTTTCCCGTGTGGATTTTTTGGCCTGGCCTATGCTCTGCAATAGTCTTGTGGGCTGTGCTGCATGTTGCCAACAAACGCCTCCCAGAGGTTGTCATCAACTTGCCAGAACAGTGTTGCTGAACAGCTTCGGAGCCAGGACACGTAGAAAAATATGATTCCATAATAAGCACCTCGAAGGTAAGTTTGTAGACCTGTATACTCATACTTCAACATTGGCTATACGTACCATCATTTTGAATATTCTGTCATCAAGAAGTCCTTCAAGCTTATCAAACTGGCTCATCTACCCTACTGAACAGCTTTACTTCTTCCACCTGTACTTCGTCGAGTATCATCCATGGATGGCATGGTCCAGTGTTTCTCCATAACCTTATCGCTAGAGCAATTGCTATGTTTCTGCTTCATGCTAAAGTAAGAAACGTGAAGCAGAATGGATCTCCAAACACAATAACCAATAGCATCCGGAGATAGGGCTAGAGCGAGGGTGAACCCGAACATGAACAGCTTTACCCATCGAAATTACAACATCACTGCGAGCCCTTGTTTCTCTTTGACATGTTATAACTAGGTGCGGTTGGTAGCTATCCACTCGGGAAATAGATAACGATCAAAACTTTATAGATCGGGTGAGCCGATTTCGAAGATTCTATCCAAACCTGATCAGTAATCTAACAACTACCGAATATATTCCCTTTAGCTAGGGGCATCACATGCCTACCTAGGTACTTAGACAGGACGCAGAAGTGGTTTGGAATTATAACTACATCATTATCCAAGGACAGGTCCATGGACGTATCCGAGCCCTCGTTTCCACTTCTACATACTCTCCTTGGCCTCCATCTCTTTGTTTTCGGGCTGCTCTAGAAGCTATAAGCACAATATAGCTCAGTAAATAACTCCGTGCCGTCAAAGGTCACCACCGAATCAGGCCAACGGGGATCCAAGGTACAACCCCAACTATAGCCGCCATGGCATGTCAATATACCATTTGATGAGGGATTTGACCCAATGTACATGCACCCGTGAACTTTCCTTGATTCAATGTGAATGGCCGTACTGAGGGTACTCCTGTTGCTTCGCTGGGTTCCCAGGTATATGCATCTGTTACCTGATATCCAGAGTTACATACATCACCCCAATCCAATTGTGAGCAGGACAGGTCATAACCAGCCAGGTACTGAACTCCTACGCCGGTATCGTTCTTATTTTAGCGCTGTGAAGAGATAAAAGGTCCGAACCGAAAATTACGGTATAAAATATAACCTCTCCACCACTCGGAATCATAGCCAGAAATTGGTACCATCAGGTTAATCAATACAATTGTCTCTAATACACTCGGAGGCAAAACTAATGTCGAGATCTCACTCTTTTATCATAGTTTATTTTCAAACCATAAGGCTACTTGATAAACTACTTTAAAATTGACTCCAAGGAGATAGACACTCTGGCTCCATATCTCAAAAATGGAGGTAGAATTTGTTTTTTGAAAAGTAGCAGCGAGATACATTAAGAGTCAGTAAGCCGTAAACAGGTCAGTTCTCATATGTAGCAAGACAGGTAGGCATACAACTGCCATAGGACAAGCATGGGTCCGTTAGAATCTATGTACAACGCTAAATGCAACTATCACCCCGTATTTGGAATTCAGGGAATATAAAGGTTGATCATATATATGCACCCAGTACAATATCGCACATGATACAGGATGCCAGGGTTGCTTTGGAGGGAAGCCTTTGTTTGCAATGAAGACAGTGCTTGTCGACTAGGAGAGTGAGAAAGATGATTGAATGAGCATTATGCTTAAGACTAAGGAATTGCAGTTTGCAGCAATCTGGCTTTATTAGTGAGAAGGGTATCGCAGGATTTTGAGGTCTGAGGCTGGTGTTGATTCGAGAACTACCTTATATTTTAGGTGAGTTTTGGGATAAGAAAGAAAGAAGAAAGCCATATTTCTTTATTTAAGCATGTCCAGGTACAATATATCATAGATTCATGTGATAGGAACTCAAACAGGTTGTCTTTATCCATTGGCTTTGCATGGCCTGTTCCCATTTCATTGATATTTTTGACACTCCTTTTAATACATATAACAGGTTATACAAACAGCCATGAAAAGAAAGAAGAATATTAGTCTTTGGACTACAATGATTCTTTCTTATCAGCCAGCTGAGCTCATCTAAAAGAGATAAAGACAGGCAAGATGAAGCTGGAAGTTTCTACTATGACAATGTATCTTCTCTCCATAACGGTTGACATTGGTATATCCTAGCAATTTTCCTATTTGATTTCATACCAAGTTACACTGGTGCTCTTTCATCATCAACTTCTTCTTCTACATCATTACCTACATATCCTAGCCAGGACACGGGATACTCGGACCAGCATTCGAAACCAGTGACGGAGAAGCAAAGATGACAGCCTCGCGAGCATCTGAAACGGCATGGAGGGTCAACAATTGGCCAGTTCTCGCTAAAATAGACACGAGACTGAATTTCGATAAAGAGGACCATGTGAGGGATTGTTTTACATTTCTTTTCTTGATCCTTGAAGAAAGAATGGAAGATTAATAGGGTATAAATATCCGAGTCTTTACCTCATAAATAGTGCGAATTCATGTACTACAAGAGGCATGATATGTCCAACACCAGATTCGAAAACGGAACTGACCTCAGGAAATACGTTCGTGACGAAATTATAACAACAGCAGTCTGGAAAATGGACAGTAAAGCACAGCGTATCGGAAACGACGGGGCTCTCACCTTGGTTGAAGCTATGGAGGAGCGTATGGCCAGAATGGAGAAGGAACTGGCTGATCAGAAGAAAAAGACAGCTGAGCAGGCCGAAGAACTTGCTGATCAGAAGAAAAGGACAGTTGACCAGGCCGAAGAACTTGCTGATCAGAAGAAAAGGACAGCTGACCAGGTCAAAGAACTTGCTGATCAGAAGAAAAAGGTAGCGGGTCGTAACAGGCTGTGGTGGAAATTTCGTGTTTCTGAGCTTGAGAGAATCATAAAAAAGACCCATAATGCAGCCCGCTTTGAACGAAATGAGATCGTCCATGGTGCAGACGTGTTGAATGATTACCAAGCCCTGGAGTACGCAGATCGGCCAGACAACGAAGCTCAATTTAAGACTGCATCGGAAGGATTTAAAAAAGCCTACGGGTTACAGCTGGGCTCTTTCAGTTACGACAAGCTTTCTAAAGCACCAGAAGGGGTGATTGATATCATAAGTCTTAGAGGAAATGTGACTTTTCTCGACTGGTTCTCAAATCACAAAGAGGAAGCAGGTGTGATAGCAAAGCAGTGCGATTTGGCCGTGCGCAAATGGCTGAAATCCATCAAGACAAATGGTGTGCCATATCCGGAGGATGCAGTAAAGGCTGACTACAAGCGAGTCAAGGAGCTCTACGATAGCGTGAGAAGCCAAGAAGTGTGATGATACTAACTTTATTTCATTTGTCGTCTATCCTTTTGCTATATCATTTTGATTTTTGTTTTACGGCTGAAACTATATCTCAATTCAGAGTTGGATAACTACAGGGTTGCGTCGGAATTCATCTCAAAGTAGTTTAGCTTCAGGGTTTGGAAATACTTGTCGTGTCGCCTTCCCCCACCCTAGACCGACAAGTAAACTAGAAAGAGTGAGACCCCGACACCAGTTTTGCCTCCGAGGGAGATGAATACTATCTAAGGCTTCATTCTCTAACATTCATTTCAGTTACACCAAACGATATCTCCCTGGATGCAGATTATGCTACGTAAACTAGCACACTTTCACAAGTAGCATTGTCTATTTTTTCGTTTGCAATCACAATTATAGACCTGGTCTATCGCCAAACCCCAACAGTTGACTATTGTGCCTTGCCACGGACTGCTCTTTTAGGGTTTTGGACCCGAGCCCTAAGCAAATGTAGACGCGATGTTGTTAACCTGGAAGGAATGCTTTCACAGAAAATAGCAAGATAAATTATGCAATCACGCCAATATATGATATGTAGCCTTACTTCGATAATGATCTCAATAGTCATTGGCCATCAACTCGGTTTATCTTGCTGTCATTCACGCTCTTAGACTTGGTGATATCCACACTTGCCTGAAGACAAAAACTATATTGATAGTACTGACAGTTAATTCCCGGAATTAATCACCGTGCACATTCAAAAGAGGTCTGAATACTGCCTGAAATGGACAAGAAAACAGTAAAAGCTGCTATAACTCGCTGCTCATGCCCCATCGAATTGATTGGCAAATGGCTCGGCTGTATGTTGTCATTTTTAGTATATACACATCATCCTACCGTGCGTTCATTCTCCGCATGGCGAGAAAGACCCTTAAAAAGAAGATGGTATCTAGATAATGTAGAATTTTAGATCGTGCGAGATTTCTGCTTCGGAAATCAGAAAAATTATTTAGCAATGGCATCGTTATCTCAAGAGATCAATTCCGAGGCCGCGACCCATACAAAGCAGAGGCTCAATGTGGAAATCTCTAGGACTGAAGGAGAGGTAGTACTCCGCGATGATCCAGAAGCAAAAGCAGCATTCTTGTCTACATTTACCGCGGACGAGGAGAAGAGAATCATGCGCAAGGTTGACAGAAAGTTCTTGGTTTTGATCGGATTGATGTATATGATCAAACAGGTCAGCTCGCTTCGTATGATATGAATTCGGCCTATCTAAGTCTCTTGCAGATCGATGTTATCAATGCTGCCAGCGTCAAAGTTCTTCAGGTCGGGCAGCCGAGTAACATCCTCAAGGAACTTCATATGACTCCAAACCAGTACAACTGGGTACAGTCCATATACTATGTCCGTGCCCATCCCTCCGTACTTGAATTACGCCATCACAAACTAATGATAGACAGATAAGTTATATCATCTTTGAAACTCCCAGCAATCTATTACTCAAGCGAATGGGACCACATGTCTGGCAGTCACGCATCTTCTTCTCTTGGGGCGTTATCGTTGCCTGTCACGCCGCCATTCAAAATAAGGAGGCCTATTATGCCGTGAGATTCTTGCTCGGCATGATGGAAGCCGGTATGTTTCCCGGAGTCGTTGCTCAGTTGGCTAGTTGGTACCGCACCGAGGAAATGGGAAAACCAATTAAGTGGTTTTTCGCAATTCAGACGGCTTCGACAATCGTTGGGTCTCTTTTGTGCTATGGAATCAGTTACATGGATGGTATTCGAGGGTTGAGCGCATGGAGATGGTAATATCCCTTGATGGATGGTAATCGAACATCTCTAATGAGTTTGTGGTAGGGTCTACATCCTTGAGGGCGTCGCTACAATCCTATTCTCTGGTGTCGTATATTTTGTTCTGCCAGACTATCCCAAGTCCCCCAGTAGCGACAAATGGCTCACAAAGCGCGAGCAAGAGTTTATCGAGACACGGCTTCCTGAGCACGCGCCTCTGACCAGCGACCCGTTCTTCAGCAAGAAAGAAGTGATGGCATCTCTCAAGACGCCAACCATCTGGTCCTTTATGCTTTCGCAGATGTTGGTGAATATGGGTGGTTATGCATTGACGTGGTATTTGCCGACAATTACCACCAATCTGGGCTTTGCCTCGTTACCCAGGAATCAGCTGCTAAATATTCCTCCTGCGGCAGCGGCAGTCATTGCGTTAGTGTTTGCAGACTACGTGATTAGTTTGGCGTTGATTCCTCGGCCTGCCGTTATCATGTACGTCCCTTCATCTTCCAAAGATGACTTTGTCTGACAATTTTTAGGATCATCATGACCGGTATGGTCGTCTGTTTCGTCCTCTTCTTTACTATTTCAAGTCGCGTAGGGATTTACATTGCTTGTATCCTTGGTACCATGTTCTACCAGTCTTATTTCATCCCATTCTGGGCGTGGCGGTCATCCACACTCAAAGGATCGACCGGTGCTGCATTCACACTTGGTTTCCAAAACTGTGTTGGGCAAGTAGGCGGTGTCGTTGGACCACAGCTCTTTCAGTCCAAGTGGGCATATAATGGATACAAAAACAGCTTCGCCATCGCGGCGGCAGCAATCATTGCCGCGTTCTTTGCCAACATCTTAACATGGTGGCTTACCAGAAATGTGGAAATGGATGTTGTCCGGATTGCGAGATTGAAACGACAAGCTCGTAAAGAAGGAAGGGTTTTTGCTGATGATGATGTGCAGGTTTTTGAGCAGAGGAAGTACAAGTCTGTGATTAGGCTGGGGAGGAAATCATCGAATGAGGAAACGAGTAGTCTTGAGACGGTGTGAGCCGGAGCCTATTTGGTGGATATAGTCTGTTGGTCCCTTGTAGGGACTCGAGTCGGACACTTGTATAACCTCATTCCAGATGCTCCTAGATACTATTAGATGTACGTACTTATGGGTTGGTATTGCAGGTCCTTCAGACAATACCTAGATAGCCATACACGAACGACCAGCGATCATCGCTTAACGGTCTTTGTTAAGAGTCGAGGCAAGCACGCTGCTTAATCCCCAGTGTAAAGACTCGGACCCGTCTGTTCCTGGATCAACCGAAAGATTGAAAATTGATCCAAGGTTCTGTTGTAGTGTACTACGTTGAGGTTGAAGCATCAGCCACGGCACAGCCATGGGTCGGATGATTATGTAATAATTCAAGCTAACTATGTTAAGTTAACATAGTTAAGTTAAGTAACTATTCTTAGTTAACGAGAGAGCACAGCCCAACTCGGATGTTTTTTCAACAAATCAGAGTCTCTAACATTGATCGTATTCCTTGATCTTGAATCCACTCATAGTACGTATGGAGTTGCTGGTCACAGTCTTCAGACGAGGCGCAGGAGTTGCCGTGACGCAGCCTTAGACAGATTTCAGTCAACAACATTCTGAGTCTTACAATCAAGCAGAATACAACCACTTAGTTACTCTCGACAAGTACATACATAGAAATATAGTATCGCCTTGATACTGTATAATATTGTACGCTCTGACAGCGGGCCGGGCCAATCACGTGCGGGCATATTCATGCCTGAGGAGCTCTTCCCTAGTAACCAGTCAACATCTCTTCTCTGTCTCATCCTCTGCCTCCGTTGCATCGCCATCAATCCACCATGTCTTCCTACAATCGCTTAGGTGAGTGTTGTCTTTCTCGTTTTTATCATCGCAAAAACCACCTTGGTCGATCTCTGAGCGCTTCGACACTCTGTTTGTTTACAGCGGGGCGACCGTTGCTAGCTAAAACCGCACCGGTTCAACTCTCAGATTCTTTGGCTTTGTATTGCTCTCCACCAGATAAGAAAAGGGGCAAGAGAACTGCGCAGTGCATACGTACTTTCCTTTGAACGAGTCGACATTGTATCTATGCTTGTTTCTGCGTTTCGCTCTTCCCCGTTGGATTATTACCCTCATTTGTCGCCCGTCGCATACTGATGCAGCGCTGGACAGATCCCTATGCGGATGATGGAAGTCGCTCTCCCATTATGAATCCCCATTATACAGACAATCGCACTCCCTCTCCGGGGCGCCCATTACAACCATATCAGCATGAGGCAGAGTTTCGACCATTGCAGATGCCCTCGACAGATCATCTACTAGATCAACCAACGGTACCTCTGACTCATGAGTCTATGCAGCTTGATCAGCGTGACTAACTGTACCGGATCCAGTACTCTGTTGAAGGCATCAATAACTCGTACGGCCACAACGAGCGATTCGAGCAGCATCACATCCAAAACTATCCCCATGAATATACACTGCGCCCCGAAGATCATCACGACGCGTACTATAACCAACCTTATGAACCGACAGGAATTCCTCACGACGATTACGACCTTTCGAATTACCCACATCAACAACCTTCTCCCTACCAAGATGATCGAGTTCCAATCCTGCAAGCGGATAACCCTTACGGACCAAACCCCTACGAACCACCCGAGTATACGCATGGCGACGACTATGTCGCTGACGAAGCCAGTGGGCAGCCTGAGCATGTTCCAACCCCACCCGCAGCAAGTCCCAGTCCGGCACCAATTCGACGGTGGAAGACAGTCAAAGAAGTCCAGTTGTTTCGTGGAAATTTGGTCTTGGACTGCCCCGTGCCTCCCAAGTTACTAAATCAAGTGCCTCATGCTCAACCACCCGAACGTGACGAATTTACGCATATGCGCTATTCTGCCGCTACTTGCGATCCTGCAGAGTTCTACAACGATCGGTTTACTCTGCGACAGAGCTTGTTTGCGAAACCCAGACACACTGAACTATTCATCGTCATTACCATGTATAACGAAGACGAGTTTCTTTTTGCCCGCACATTGATCGGTGTCTTCAAGAATATCGAGTACATGTGCTCGAGATCGAATAGCAAGACCTGGGGCAAGGATGCATGGAAGAAAATCGTCGTGTGTGTCATTAGTGACGGTCGTGCCAAGATCAATCCTCGCACCCGTGCAGTGCTGGCCGCTCTGGGTGTCTACCAGGATGGAATTGCTAAACAGCAAGTCAACGGCAAGGACGTCACCGCACATATTTACGAATACACCACACAACTGGCGTTGGGATTGAAGGGCACACAAGTCTACGTCAAGGGCCGTTCAGCCACTCCCGTACAGATGATCTTTTGTTTGAAGGAAAAGAATCAAAAGAAGATCAACTCGCATCGTTGGTTTTTCCAGGCTTTTGGCCGTGTGCTGGATCCTAATATCTGTGTATTGCTCGACGCTGGTACAAAACCCGGCAAGGACTCCATTTACCATCTTTGGCGAGCCTTTGACTTGGAACCAATGTGTGGAGGTGCTTGTGGTGAGATCAAAGTGATGTTGGACCGTGGAAAGAACCTCATCAACCCGCTTGTTGCCGCGCAAAACTTTGAATACAAGATGAGCAATATCCTTGACAAACCACTGGAATCTGCTTTTGGTTTCATTTCTGTTTTGCCTGGTGCCTTCTCCGCTTATCGATATGTTGCTCTACAAAACGACAAAACTGGCCAAGGACCTCTCGAGAAATATTTCGCTGGTGAGAAGATGCATGGTGCCAATGCCGGTATCTTCACTGCGAACATGTATCTGGCAGAAGATCGTATCCTGTGTTTCGAGATCGTGACCAAGCGCAACTGTCGATGGGTTCTCTCTTATGTGAAATCCTCCACTGGAGAGACGGATGTGCCCGATCGCATGGCTGAGTTTATCCTTCAGCGTCGTCGATGGTTAAATGGTAGTTTCTTCGCCGCTGTTTATGCAATCGCTCACTTCTATCAAATCGGACGCAGCAGTCACAGTTTTATGAGACAGTTCATGCTCGGCTTCGAGTTCATCTTCCAGACTCTCAACATGCTCTTTGCTTGGTTCGCGATTGGCAATTTTTTCCTCGTCTTCCACATTCTGACACAATACTTGGGTTCTCATGACCTTTTGGGGACCGCCGGAACGATTCTCGGTATCGTCTTTGAATGGATCTACCTCTCGACTCTTGTGGCCTGTTTTGTCCTCTCGCTTGGCAACCGTCCGCAGGGCTCAAATAAGTTCTATATGACAATGGTCTACTTTTGGGTTATTGTCATGATCTATTTGACATTTGCCGCCGTTTTCGTCACGGTAAAATCCATCCAAGCACAAGTCCATGAGAACGGTTTTACTTTCAGTGATTTGTTCACCAATCAGCATTTCTTCACCATTATTATATCACTCGCATCCACTTACGTGATGTGGTTTGTGGCATCGATTGTTTTCTTCGACCCATGGCATATGTTCACCTGTGTAAGTCTCTCATTTATCGTAGGGTTAGACTATCTGCTAATGACAACAGTTTATTCAATATCTCCTCCTTACGCCTACTTACACGAATGTGCTCAACGTGTATGCCTTTTGCAACACCCACGATGTTACTTGGGGTACAAAAGGAGACGACAAAGCGGAAAAATTACCGTCTGCTACCGTCAAGCCAGATGGAAAAGTCGACGTTAGCATTCCACAGGATGGAGGTGATTTGAATGCACAGTATGATCTCGAGCTGTCGACGTTCGCTACAAAGCCAGCCAAGGAAGTGCGCGTGGTGTCCGAGGCAGAAAAGCAGGAAGATTATTACAAGGGGTTCCGAAGTGGTGTCGTTCTTGTATGGATTTTCTGCAATTTTGCACTTGGCGCTGTTGTTTTGAGTACAGCGGGATTAGAGAACCTCGATTCTAAGTCGGCTGAGACTGATACTAAGCGAGCTGACATTTACATGTCGGTGATTTTGTGGAGCGTTGCCGGTCTATCTTTGATCAAGTTTATTGGTGCAATGTGGTTTTTGGTTGTACGAATGGTGAGTCACTTTTATTCTCTAGTGTGTGATGTCTTGACTAAATGTGGTGATTTAGTTCCGCGGCGTCTAAGGAGGTAGTACTTTATACTCACCCCGCCACGCCTTGTATATTGATGTCGAAACATGGTCGAGATCGTGAAGTCATCTTCACCTGTCATATTTCCTTTTACCTTCGGGGCTACCCCAGAGATGTATGTTTAGTTCCCTTTTTTCTGCTCACTCACTATGCATGATTACTCCGAGCATCACTACTGATGCTATGCGATATTTATGATATGTCGGATCTGTTTTCTGATCGACCACATGACGTTGATACCATTATACGCGGTTGATGATTCTCTCATGCTTATACCCGTCCTTGCACGTGGTGGAATGGGTGTTTGTTTTTCTTTTTCCGGCGCTTGATTTGTATGCATGGTTAGTGTGTATTTCTGTTGAATGTACGAATTGGCATCTCAGTGCCTGATGATATAGACCTAAGGTCATAGAGTACCACATTTCGATTCTAGACATATATACATTCCTACCGTAGATGCCTTACATTAGACATGATTCTTCGATTGAACGCACAGCGCTATACCACCGAGCACCAAAAACATTCCCAGCCACGTCTCCCTCGCAATCACTTTCCGTTCCACGTACCATTCCCCCAAGACCGTAAACAAGAAAGCCATTGAATTCGATATGGGGACTGTCAACGAGAGTTCTATTCAATTGCAGTAAACATAACGTATTAGCTGTCGATTCATTCCAGATGGATAGAGAACACATACCATGCTTCCCAACAAGTAAGAAAAACCACACACTCCCCGTCAAATTCACCACCAATGGAATCGCATAAGCCGGCGTTCGTAAAAGATTAGCTACCGTCCAAAACAGAGCGATTGCTTTCTTTTTAATATCTAACATTCCTCTTCTCTGCTGTTGCAGTTGTGAATCATCGTCGGCTGATGATTGATTTGTATCTTCTTGTCTTTTGTTAAAGTCGACTGCGGCGCGTCGGATGAATGGTGTTGTGAAGCCCCAGGCGATTCCGACGAGGACGAAGGAGAGGATGTAATTGAAAGCAGAGGGAGCTGATTCTGTGGGAGGGGTATCTGGATCCATATATGAAATATAAAGTAATTGATCGATTATACAGAGCGTAGATGTGGTATATTTAATTCAATTAGGAGTTGGCGTTGACTTCGCGACACCGATCTCTCGCCGGAAATAGAGATAAGCTCTAGTCCAGAACTAGACTAGTGCGATCTACTAGCTCTAATACTCCATGAACTTTCGACACAAGTACAAACTTGCGATATCTTCGCTGACATATACAACCCAGAATTGAAGTGGTTGACAAGGGAGATACAAGTCGCTTCAGCTATACCATTGACAGGCTCTGTTAACGACTCAGTCTGGGTTTCCGGTGTCTGTGAAATTGAGTTGCTCATGCGGGACATATTTTCAAACTTGAACCCCGTCGATATACATCTTGACTACTGAATGAAGGTACTGAGATAGGCTGCGCATGACCCTACAACTGTCCACATAAAGCAATCCTCCACCGAAAGAAGCTCAGGACACATTCATAATGTCATCATTATACCCCCCGGACACTCTACACTTCCCACCTTCATCACAGCCTTTCCTGGAGCCATATCTGCCCCCACTACCAACTGCCGAAAATACTTCAAAAGTTTATCCACAAGAAAATGAACCAACTCGACCATTTACAACCCTCACATTCGCTACATCCCTCGACTCTTCCCTCTCATTAGCACCAGGTGTGCGCACTGTATTATCCGGAGCCCAATCAAAGGCAATGACACACTATCTCCGCTTCCGTCATGAAGCAATTCTCATAGGTGTCGGGACCGCAATTGCTGATAATCCCGGTCTGAACTGTCGTATTGAAGGTGCGGGTGGTTACGAAGGACAGACCGGTGAGAAGTCTGCTGACCCTGTCATTCAGACCCTGGCTCAAGATGCAAAGTCAAATCCTGAATTGAAAGATCTCATGGAAAGGGCCTGTGCTCGGATGGCGTCGAAAGGGGAATTGCAAACATTTCAAAATCCCATTGATCAGATCAAAGATAAACAAGACGTGGATGATGAGGAAATGATTATACGCAAGCGACAAGAAAAGCTACACCAGCCGAGGCCGATAATTATCGATCCAAAGGCTAGATGGGTGCCGCAGGAGACTTCCAAGATCATTGAACTAGTAAGGCAGGGCAGGGGCAAAGCACCATTCGTCATAATCGCGAAATCAACATCACCGCCTCAACACGGTCGAGATCTTCTGGAGAAGTACGGCGGAAAATTCATTGCCTTGGACACAGTTGCGAGCGATATTAATGATGAGAACGGCGAAACTCATCGACACTTCGACTGGCACGACATTCTCCACGTCCTAGCGACAAAGGAAAATATTAGAAGTATAATGATTGAAGGCGGCGGGTCCATCATTAATTCGCTCCTTTCAGAACAGAAGTTTAGCGGTCTGATTGACTCTGTCATTGTGACTATCGCACCCACCTGGTTGGGTCAAGGGGGTGTAGTTGTCTCGCCCAAAAGACGTGTCGATGAGCACGGATATGCGATTCCAGCTTCGAGACTTACGGATGTTAAATGGTACCCGTTTGGCGAGGATGTTGTCTTGTGCGGACGAATTCAAGGTCTTGATCGATCTACGTAACATGATGAGATTGTATGACGATTCTACTTTCTAACCTTGCTTGGGACTCCATGTACATAAACCCCAGAAACAAGACAAACAAGAGCGTAGCCCAACGCCATAAGAATAATTAAATTCCAAACCCAGACTCCTTCTTGGACCATGCCAACAAACCATTCTCCAGCGACTTCTTCTGTAACTGCGCGATTTTAGCAGCAGTAAGCTTTTTACCACCACGCTCTTTCATTCTCAGCTCACGCTCTCTCTCCCGTTCTCGAGCCGCAGTATAATAATTAACGGAGCCCTTGTTGGGGTTAGCCAATGCTGCATTGGAACCGGACGAGGATTTCTTAACGCCACGCGTTGAGAAGGAGGATGACGAGCTATCAGACGTAGACCACGAGGACGTTGCACGGCGAAGCAGCGGTGGCGGTCGGAACCCAACATTAGCCGTATCCCAGGATGATTTACTAGCCAGAAAGGCCGGTTTGGCGCTAGCTTGCGCCGAATTAGACGATGTAGCGCGGCGAAGAGCCAATCGATCAATGACCGGACCACGAGTACGGCGTGGATTCGGCGGAATAGCGAACCGCTCCACAGACGGCTTTCTGCTGGGGCCTGCTTTGCTCTCATTCTCATCTTCCGAGTTGCGCTTATCAGTGCTATAAACAATTTCATCGTCAATCGCTGCATCCTCGTAGAATGAATCGTACTCAGGCGTTGCTGTCAAAAAGGACAGAGTCTCTCGAATCTCTGCCAGAGAGGATGGTTTACGTGAGACACCAGCTGTAGTACGTCGAAGGTGTGGTGGAGGCCTGTTGGTAACATCTTCAACAGCAGGTTCAAGGGGTCGTTTGCGCTTGTGAGACGTAGTTTCCGAGTTTTCACTTGCGACTGCTGCAGGCCGTTCCTCATTCTGAGGATCTTGCTCCTCGGGATTGGCGCCGTTATTGAATTCAAAATCCATTTCATCGTCATCGTCTCGATCCTCGAGTGCTTTGAAGAATGCCTGTTTCTTGGGATTACTGGCGATCTCGCTGACCTTCTCATCAGCAAGCAAGGCTTTGCGCATTTTGGCAAATTCACGTTGCTTGGCTCTTCGTCGAGCCATGCGCTCATCATCCGAATCGTCTAGGTCAAGATCATCGTCGGCTCCTCGCCTACGACGCAAAGCACCAGTTGTGATATCTTTGAGCAATTTGGAAACTTGTTTTTCATCCATAGCACGCTGATGGTTCCTGCATCGCGGTCATTAGTGATTGTAAATAAGTTGCTCACGAGAAGACTCACGCATTCAAGGCTGCTAGCTCCTTCTCATCAACAACCTCACCACTGTTATCGTTGATCATTTCCCTGTCAAGTTCATCTTCCTCCCCGTTATCATCATCACTAGCACCACCTAGACCTGCATATTCATCCTCGGATTCCTCGGCGACCTCGTCAATATGTTCCTTGGCTTTGCTGTTCGATTTGTCAAAAGTTGACTTGGTCTTTTGTTTGGACGCCTTCTTCATCACATCAAATGCGCTGGCTTTGATCTCAAAGTCTCCGCCCTCCTCATCCGATAAATGAGCCGGCCGTCCACGGTGGAGAAGTCGACCTTTTCTCCGCACCACAGGCGATTCACTCTCTGGAAGTATAACCGTGTCGATTGTTGAAACCGGTGGATCGACAAACCGCTTAGACAGATCAATGGGCGAGTATATAAAACCTATATCCTGTGTGGGGTCCGGCATCTGTGAGAACTGTGACCAGTTGGGTCCAGGTGACTCTGACACCCGAGAATTAGATTGGGTAAATCCAGCGAATAGATCGACAGATCCACGGCGCTCATCCTGGCTATCCTTGACTATAACCTGGGAGTCGACAGCCATTTGTTGGAAATTGGGCAACCCGGGATCCGGGAGACTTTGGAGAACTTTGAAATAGTCCTCTTCGTCGTCCGACTGATTATCTGCAATGGTTCCGGCGAATGCCTGAGTCAGACTCATTGTGAAGGTAGAAGCTCCTGGCATGTCAGGAAATAGTGGCCGTTGGGCTGAGCCGACGGATGCAGGTACTGATCTTGCAGGAGTTTCTGGTTCTTGTATGGCTGTTGTCGGTTGGACCTCGTTTGCTTCATCTTCCTCATCATCGATGACGACTCTCCTACCGCGTCTACCTCGCACGGCATGTGTTATGGTCTGCTCATCTTCAGGAGATGACTCTTCTGGCTCCTCGTCCGATTCTGCTTCCTCACCTGCTTCGTTGTCGACCAATTTTTGAACTGGGCGGACTGTTTCTCCCTCTAGCTGCTCGTTACCGTCTTCGCCTTCCGCATCAGATTCAACACCTTCCTCCATTCCACATCCTTCCTCGTCCTCCGAACCAGAAAGCACGTATTCATCTTCTTCTTCATCCTCATCATCGCCGTCTCTGGACTTGCCACGTGCAGCCTTTTCGCGACGAGCGATCGCGTCAGCCTCTTGTCTAGCCTTTTCCATCAAATCCTCAACATCCGCCTCCATGGCTTCTCGCTCTTCAGCAGTTTCGATCACAATACCCTTTGCTCTTAGCTCTTCAATCCTTTCTTGCCTTTCTTGAAGTGCTTGCTGTCGAGCTTTTAACCGCAACAGGGAAGAAAGCTCAGCGGGACTCAGGGATTTATTGCGGCGAGTTGGCGACATCAAATGAGCAAGCAGCCTGAGCTTAAGCATGGCTTTGCTCTCAGTCGAATTCTTGGATCGGAAATTCTCGAAAATGGCTGTCTTCCGGGCCCTACTTGGTGATGTGATGATCTCCAAGTCATCATCAGGTTCTTCGTTTTGACGCTTGGCGACCTCTTCACGAGACAGTCGAACTACAACACGAGAAGCATTTGACATCTTGGGTACTTTGCCGGTGACCTTTTGAAGTGATTCTGAAGGCTGATTTTGAAGAGGTTTTTGCTCGTCGAAACTCATTTCTGCAGGTGACGTTGGCGGTGTTTCCTTTTGCTTATCTCCATCAGCATCAAATGACGGAGCGGAACTCGAAGACGCTGAGTCTATCGTTTCAGAAGTTTGTTCATTCTTGTCGGAATTCATTAAAGCAACAAAACTGGCTATTGTTATCTTGCGCTTAACTCGTGGCTGATAAGCGAGTTGTCTATTTCGGCTCAATCGTTGCGTCTCTCGTGCCATTTCTTCCAAGGCCTTCTTGCTTGCCTTGCGGGCTGGCCGGGATGACTGAGTTAGCTGCTTGGAGTTTTCCGGATCCTCATCACTTTCGTCACCAGCAACAATATCAGAGTTGAATTTTTTCATCTTCTCTGCTCTCGCGGCTTTCTTCGCTGCTTCAATTCTTTCTCTTTGTTCCCGTTCCTTGCGTTTCTGCTGAACGAGGGCCATGAATCGTGCATTGGGTCCTTCGGGGAGATTGTTTTGTGTTCTGGGTTCTGGTTCGTTATCTTCCTCCATGAATAACGGAGACTCTGTTCGTTGAGTAGACCGTCTTGGGGACTCATTGTTTTCTGTCGTGGTATTTAATTCATAGTCTTTCGCAAAGATACGCCGTCTGGTAGGGGCGGTATTGGGAATATCGTCTTCCGAGGATTGATCTTCATCTACGTTTTGACCGTCACCGGCTGTCTCATTCGCAGATGGGAGTTGTAGAGTCTTTGCTACTCTGTAGTAAGCTGTTTCCGCTTGATGGTTCGGTTTTGACAACCCCGATGCCGGTGTGTTTTCAAGTCCAAGCATACGGGCAGCCATTCGGCCTCTGGGTGCAAGAATTGCAATATCCTCGTCTTCATCGTCGTTATCTCCGTCCAGGGCTGACGCGATATTCGTCTTCGACACAATAGTAGTAAATTTCGAAGGAGCAATTCGATGTCTAGCGGGTGTATTATTTTCTGATTCTGAGTCGCTATCAAACTGGGCAAGCATAGCCTTGATCTTCTGGCCGGGAGTGAGTATATGTGCTGGAGAGGCGTCTACCGATGCAGAGCGCGGAGTGGACTGAGTAGACATGGCTTGATGTGTTTAGTAATTCGAACGGTTAAAAAGATATTGTTTCAAGTTTCTTCGGTTATTTATTGCATAGTCCCCATGAAATCGCGGGACACATCAATTGTTGAAGGGATAGAATGGACAAGATGTTAGTAGTTAGTAGTTATGTTGAGACGCGGCGCGTAACCCGCGTTCTTATCAGCGCGATATTATTTAGGGGGCGTGCGCTGTCACGTGCCGATAAGCGTCACCAAAGACAAACCGCTACAAAAAATGGTCCAAGTCAAGCTATGTTATGTGGCTTTATGGCTTGAAGAATGCCAGATTGACTCTCATTTCATACGTTGATTATCTTTGATGGGTATGTGAGACAAAAATACAGAAAAGCTGCAGCATATCCTGCAGAATGACATAGCACAGCAACCACCCATCTCAAGCGCCAAATGAACTCCTGTTCTGCAATGCTTTTCTTGTTGATCGGATGCTTCTAATGTACATAAATAGAAAGAAAGGAAAATCGTAAGAAAGGACGGTTGGATATTTGTCACGGGTCTAGCGTTACGAAGTACGGCAGGAGTGATGATACGCGAAATTTAAGTCAAATATGCCAGAATCCATGAAGAAAGAGGCTAGCCAGGAGGTACTTTGCCAGTAACTTTCGTTCGGTCCGTACCTTGTCAGTGGCCGGTAGGTGTTCCCGGGGCGCTCAAGAACCTCTTCACTGGATGATCGTCATTAAGAAATAAGCCAACGTGTCCGAGCCTCTGACTCTGGGGTGTTTCCCTTTGCTCTTCATGAAAATCATACCGTTTAAAATCCAAGGTCAAGATCACCATCAAGATCCAATTCCAGAGCAGCAATGTTATCATCGTCCATATTTCGGTGGCGAATGACAGCAATGCCTTTCGGCTTGGACTGGACTTTAGAAGGTGTAGTGCTGACTTGAGATGCGGACGGCGATTCGGACTTTTCCGCAGGGGTTCCATTGCCGTTATCGGTAGGAGTTTCTTTGGCCGGCACGCTGTGTGCACTCGCATTCACGTCATGATAAGTCTTTGCACGAGTTTTGACGCGAGCAAAAGGATCTGCTGTAGCTTCCCCACGAGCCACAGCTGCGGCAATCTTGCGGTTCATACGTCTTTCTTCAAGCTGTGCACGGCGGACATTCTCGCTGTTGAGTTTCTGGTTTCGACGATTGAGCTCGGCCAGCCGCTGCTCTGGAGTCTGTTGTTTCTCGGGACGCGTCTTGTTGAAAGCGCCGTTGAAGGCAAGCTTTGAAGTAGTTTCCTTGGCGAGCTGAGCCTGTATGCTAGCCACTTCATCATCATTTCCCTGGGCAATGGCTTCGTTCAACTTCCTCTCGAGTTCAAAGCGCCTTAGAAGTTTCTCATTGGCGTTATCAGCTCCTTGCTTTCGCAATTTCTCTTCCAACTCTTCTGGTGTAAATTTGTAATTGATGAGATTGTTGATGTCGACTACTTTCGCAGCGAGCATGGACTTTGTGGGTATCTTGCAGTCCTCTACGACCATGGTCTGGCGCCACCGGTTGAACTCAGCCTAGGAAGTATAAAGTTAGTGGGGTCCTACAGGTATAGGTAAACGAGTACAAACCTCAGTGAAAGGAGAGTCTGAGCATTGAATGAATGGAAACTCGCGCTCGGCTTTGCCATGGGCAAGAACAGCGTACTGATCTGTCACGTAGGTACGCCCATTGGCTCCTTCGAGCGCATAGGGGCGTCCTTTAGTGAACTCTAGGGGAAAAAAAATTAGCCGGCACTTTTTGGAAAGCGAGAGGAAACAACGCACTCTTGATGATACAGACACGATACTCATTCTGACCAGTATCCCGATTCGGCCCAATATTAACTCGGGCGAAGCAGTTGGTAAGAGATGGTACAAAGGTAGGATGAAAGCAGACGCTCGCAAAATTGCTACGGCCCACGCGGACTCGTTGGATATCTTTGAAAGTGGCAGGAAGGTCATCCTTGGGAACATCGGGTTGTTTCGGTGGGGTACGACGCGCTTTCTCCTCGTACTCTACCTCGCTTTCACCTTCTGCATCAACGTCCGAGTATGCCCCCTCTTCATGAGACGAGCTGCGCTCTCGGGCTTGTCGCGCATCTGCATCGCGGCGACGTTGCTCATCACGCTTGCCTTTCTGCTCTCGCTGCCGTTTATAGGCCTCGATTGCGTCAGATGTTTCTCCAACTCGGCGTCCACCTAACGTAGTCTTTTGGCGTGAACTCTTGCGGGTGCCATCTTCTATATCGGTGGTACTAGCTTTGCGCTTTGATCTCGATTCAGCCCGTGCTTGTTCGCGCTCACGAGAAGCAAGTAGGCGACGAAGAACAAGATCTTGATTGTGGCGGTCGACTTGCTGGGAACGTTCTGATAGTATCTGCTCTCGTTCAATTTCAGGAAGAGCCATAATCCTCTTCTTGTCGTCGGATGAGTAATACAGCTTGTCATAAGGAAATATGGGCTTGTCGCCCTCGATTTGTAGATCTGCATCATCAGGTTCGGACTCTGACATGCTCGCAGAGTGCTCAGAAGCTAGCGATTCAGCAGCAGATCTAAATAACCACAATGCTCGATTAGAACCTCTAAAAAAAAAAAAAAAAAAAAAAAAAAAAAAAAAAATCAAAGACCAAGCTGCAGGAAAATAGACAGATAATCTTACAGTTCACCCTCCTCGTCAGATTCCTCTCGCTTTTGCTTATTGCGTCTCGCCGGCTTTGAGGCCTTCACAGACTTGGCGACACCTTTGCGAGCCATTTCTCTGGATTTCCTGGGAGGCGATTCTTTGTATTTGTCCTTCTCTGCTTCATCGTCGTCTCCTTCGTGGTCTGCTTCTCGCTCGGCGGGAGGAAATTGGGAATGAGCATTGGGTCTGGTCTGCGGGGAGGCATTGTTCTCTTCATCGGAAGAGTCGCCGGCCAGGGCGAGCAATTCATCATCGAGGCTAGTCATTCTGACGTTCTCAGCTGTTACAAATGGCGGGAATTGCCTGCGAAAATGAAAATCAGGTCACGGGAAGTTGCGGTGGTTATTCAGGGCGTGATTGTGGTGTCGACCGTGCCAGAGCTCCTTGAAAGCAAAGCAAGATGTTATGCTGGTTGGTGCAATAACAATAGCCAACTATATATTCCCCAGATGAGGACTACTCAGACCCGGGTGGCCGATATAGCGAAATAGAGGTGGTTGGAGGGATTCTGAATGATTCGAAAAGTTGTCGCAAACAACGAACGCCGTCAAACATTTGACGTTTGACCTGACTTTCTCAGGCAGCAAGGCAGCCAAAAGTCTTGGCCGACGCCACCACCAGCTTCTCCGGGCGACAACGACGATAGGATTATTCTTCATTCAAGAAGTAGAAACAATGTGCCCAGCTGCCAATTCTCTACAGTATCGGGTCCTAAGAATCCCCCGAGGTGTATTCACCCCACAAACGCCCTTGTACTTGGATTTCCTTGCTCCGAGCACCGTTCGCCACTCCTCTCGTCGATGTTTCTTTTTCAGCGCCAAGACGTCAACAAGAGACGTTGCAGAGCCCGCAGAGCCCCGGGAGCCCTTCGAACAAAACCGATCGAGTAGTCCGTCTGCGAAACCTCGATATGTTCTCTCACGTGCACAGAGAGTGTATCTTGATCGCGCCCTGCGAGTGAATCAAGCCGGCGAGCTTGCCGCGACACTGATATATGCAGCGCAGAAGCCGCCTATTCTACGATCGCATCCTCATCTACGACCGTTGATGAAACATATGTACGATCAAGAAGCTGTACATTTTGCCAAATTCAACCACCTAGTGGCAAAACATCAAGTGCGGCCCACTGCCATGTATCCAATCTGGGAAGTTGCTGCTACTTTTCTAGGCTGGTCGACAGCAATCATGGGACGGGAGGCAGCAATGGCATGCACAGAGGCCGTTGAGACAGAGATCGGAACGCATTATAATGAACAAGTCAGCACAATCATAGGGTGGATGAAGGAAGCGGAACAGCGTGGAGAAGAGGTAGATGACGAGATCAAGGACTTGTTAGCGCTATTGAGAAAAACGCGCGACGAGGAGTTGGAACATCTAGACCATGCTGTCGAAAATGACTCCAAGGAAGCGAAGCCGTATGATCCCTTGGTAAATATTATTCGTACCGGATGCAGAGCTGCGATCAACATCAGCGAGAGAGTTTAGCCTGCTCTGTTCGGTACGGCGAGTTCTTGTTTGAAGGCGATTGTACAATACTGAGCATGATGGGATCAGGACTGATTTCCGCGTTGAAAGGAAAAAAGTGTGTGTTCTTCTACTAAAACGCCTGGCCTGGATGATACTATAACACAAGACAAATGAAGATCTTCCTTCAACAGTCATCATCCAGTCGATTAGCTGGATTTTAAGTGTGTTTTGAATTACCCAAGTGATTTATGATAATAATACTATCTTTTCCGTCTTTGCTGAGATAGGCGAACCTAGAGGAAGATCTCGGTTGCCTTAAAATCGATCCATTATTAGTACCATACTTCTCCAAATGCGTCAATGGGAACAGAATAGGTTGGCTTGTTTCCAAATCACTTCCACCGCCCGGTATAAGATGCCCCAATCTCAAAGGAACATCATTGATGGTCGTTAGATCAATTAAGCTGCCTGGTGAAATGGTAGCTTCATCCAAAATACGTTGCCTATCACCACCACTGTACCATAAATGTACAGATACCTTGAAGCTGCCAACAAGCTGCCAACAAGCGGAATTCTCAGCGGATACAATTGCAAGGTATACCTTGCCAGATGATGTCTGTCGGAAATCATCTTTAGATTCCTCCACCCCCCAATTTGTCATTTGAAGTTTTCCGTCTATTCTCCTCCTGGACATCAATAAGTATAACAAGCTTAGCATGACCATCACTGCCTTCGAGCCATCACAGTGCATATTTATAGAGCTTATTTGTAGTCTCACTAACACCAACCTCAACAGTCCTCAGAATATGGTTATATTTATGAGCGAATTCATATAAGGGAATTGTCGGTTTATCTACGTCTAGGTCGCTAGCACTAGTCACGTAGAACAGCTATTCCGACAAGCTGACGAGCCAGATCAATATGGTATGGAATTCCTGATATTGATGACTGCCCCCCAAAAGCAAGGGGGACGGGGGATAGCTAGCTAGATATATACTCGGCACACACGTGCCGTGTCGGACTAACTGATATCCAGTGCTGAAACGCGTTAGGTTTGATATTCAAGTTCCGACAGGAATGGATCTGTTAACATACCTGTGCTGCCTGTCCAGAAGTAGGCCGAGTCAGTAGCAGTGCTCATCCTTCCTTGTATTTTATTAATAAATATAGAGATTACGCCAGTAGCAGCTTCATGCATTCAGTCTTTCTGGACATACATTGTTTTAGTGTTACACTACATGCCTAGGAGTGTATTCTGCAATACCTATCATTACCTAGAAAGTTGAAACCAAATTTTAGAAAGGGTCGTCTGGAATGCTAGATCAGTCACCACAAAGGCGCAGAGTTCCTCTTGATAAAGTCAAGGACTAGACAGAATTCATCAGAACCTCTATAATATCAATAGATATTTTAATTGTATACTAATTATTATTACATGTATACTACTGTCGTATCGACATTGGATCATTGTACTCCGTAGTAATGACAGCTCTGGATTGCCCTAATCCCACACCACGTACGAATTCGTATTCTTGGCCATTATCGCTCATTTCGTAGCATCAACTGATGTCTTGCTTACAGCAATAGAGGCCTTATGTTTATATATTTTAAACTTGTGCTAAAAAAGCAGCTAATTCTTGTGTGGCCCAGCCACCTCCCCTAGATATGGAAATTTCTTGAAGATCGTGTTGGATAATCCATCTATTCCAACAAGGCAGAGATCAACTACATCAATCCCCATTTGGGCCCCTAGATTTCAGCCCAATATTTACCCCTCATGATAGCTCACAAATCATCCCACCAAGAAAGGTCTATAAAAAACCCGGCTTTGGAACCTCATGTACTCAGAGAAAAAAAAAAACAACAGAATACATACAATCTTGCTAGTCACTTCTTCTTTTACCATCCTTGTAAGCAATTATTCAGGATTGGCCTGGAGTTAACCCATCAATCCGACAGATCGCCTTTGATTTTGAACGATGCTAGGTTCGTGGGTCTGAATTTCTGGAAAGCCATCGCGATTCTGCAGAAAAGAACTCACTTTAGTGTCAAGTCTAGGCTCAATACTGGATAGATCCCCCTGAATATCGCCGAACACAGTTTTATGGCTGGCGAATGTCAACTTATCGGCATCAATTTGAGCCACTCATAAGAGGGAATTTCTTTCAGCGGATTTTACATCCTGTGATCTAATGTGCTCTTCGGATACAGCAAGTTGATAGATTGTCAGGTGTGCATACTCGATTCCGGCCATCCAACCAATGATCCATACATACTTCAGAGTGCAAAAAAGCAAACATGTAATGCAACTGAATTTAATTCACAAAAGCCCCTCACACCAAAATACGCGTTTCCGGGAGTCCGGAGTTCGAAAAGTTTAGTTTAGTAGTTGGCCGACTGTATAAACACGAAGCATCCCTTGCGCATTCTAACTAGAACAGCCTGCTTCGTCGCGGAGACGAATGGATGCGGTCCCGAAATCACAAAAATATCTGAATCAAACGACAACTACAAGGAGATTGCTATGGGTAATACGACAAGTGCTGTAGCTCAGCAGTGCTTGCTGAACGCCGTAGGAAACGATGCATCCCTAGTCGCATTTCCGACGGCACCACTGTACGAATCAGTCGATGTGAATCCTTATAACCTGGATTATCCAGTTACGCCAGCTGCTGTCACATTTCCTGAATCTGCCGAGCAAGTTTCTGCCATAGTCAAATGCGCCGTGGATGCAGATGTTAAGGTGCAAGCCAAAAGTGGCGGCCATAGCTATGGTAATTATGGTAGGCTTCCCTGTTTAACCGCATAAGATGCGAAGAATAAAATTTAGTTAACAACGCTCATTGAATTCAGGACTCGGAGGCAAAGACGGCGCGATTGTCGTTGACTTGAGACATTTCCAACAATTTTCGTATGACCCAGCCACCCAATATGCCACTATCGGCGCCGGAACTTTGCTTGGTGACATCGATACAAGACTTCACAACGCTGGTGGTCGTGCCATGACTCACGGTACCTCTCCACAGGTCGGTATTGGTGGCCATGCCACCATCGGAGGACTTGGACCGACCGCTAGACAATACGGAATGGCACTGGACCATGTCGAATCTGTTCAAGTTGTTCTAGCAAATTCCAGTATTGTCACTGCTTCAACTACCGAATACTCGGATATCTTCTATGCCATAAGGGGGGCTGGTGCTAGCTTTGGCATCGTCACGGAATTCACTGTCCGCACAGAAGCGGAACCCGGCATTGCAGTCCAATATCAATTCACGTTCAATTTGGGAGACACGAGTTCACGTGCTAACACATTCAAGGCGTGGCAGCAATTCATATCTGATCCCAGCCTCCCGCGAGAGTTTTCATGTCAGCTTGTCCTGGCAGAGGGCATACTGCTGATTGAAGGTGAATTCTTTGGCTCGCTTGCGGATTTCGAGGCCCTCCAACTTGAAAGCAGATTTCCTGTAAATCAAGGATACAACGTAACAGTATTTAATGACTGGCTTGCTCTCGTCGCTGCATGGGGTGTTCAACTAGGCGAAGACCTCACCGGTGGAATCCCAGCACATTTTTATAGCAAATCTCTTCCATTCAGCAATACCACTCTTATTCCGGATGACGTTGTCGATAATTTTTTTGAGTACATCGACACGGCTAACAAGGATACGCTGTTATGGTTCATTATATTCGATCTCGAAAAAGGCGCAATCAGCGACGTGCCCGTCCATGCAACCTCGTACGGTCATCGAGATGCGTTGTTCTGGCTGCAGTCATACGCTGTCAACCTTCTCGGGCCTGTGTCTGTCACAACCAGCACCTTCTTGAATCAAGTCAATAATATCTTCCTGACTGGCATGCCCAATGTTACATTTGGTGCATATCCTGGATACGTCGATCGCGAATTAACAAACGGACCGGAACAGTATTGGGGGACTAACTTGGAGAGGCTCATAGAGATCAAATCGATTGTCGACCCTCAGGACATATTCCATAATCCGCAAAGTGTTCCATTGCAATGAATGATCTACACTTGAAGGGACAGGAACGATACGGCAGTCATTGGACATGTGTAAAGGTCGTTGTCCAGGGGCATATGTGTTATGTTTTGTACATAGTCAGTTCACTTCCTTGTCGATAGTTCTGAAGTAATATGTTATAAGCATATCGGATTGCCAGGCAGCTGAAGATATCGCATTGGCTTGTAACTGTATCCGGCGGTTCCTTTTAAGTTGCGGTATTATGATATTCTGTTTAGTATTACTGTGCGAGCACTGTCTATGAAGGCATGACACTACAATTAACATTGAATAAAAGATGTTGCGCAAGAGCGGAAATATAGTAGCGATAGTAATAAAAATAGGCAAATTGCTGCTAGGCCTAGGTACCGTACATTAATATAAGTGCCTAGCTAGGAACGTATACTTTGTGACCTCTTGTAGCATTCAGGGTGGCTTTCGCAGTGGAATAGGCGATCCATAGTAGAAGTAATCGTTCACCCTAAAGGATACCTTGTTTAAGATGACGCTAATGTCTACATGGGCAATGTATGAAAACTAAATTCTGCGCTAATATGGTGCAGCTTGGTGGTAATAATCATTCCACTTCAACTCCAGCCATCATATCATGCAAACACTACATTGTTCCTCAAAGTCCCGATCTCGGAGATGAAAACATCCATCTGCGTACCTGGGACTAAATATTTGGGAGGATTCAAACCAGCACCGACGCCTATATTTGTTAAGAAATCGAGGCATCGCAAGTAAAGGGGGATGGAGCGGACTAACCTCCAGGGGTGCCTGTCATGATAACACTCCCTTTTTGCAATGTTGTTCCTTGTGAGAGGTATGAGATGAGATACTTGCAGTCGAATAGCAGATCTGAGACGTGTTCGTCCTGTCGCACTTCACCATCAATGACTGTCTTCAAGTGAAGCCTGGATGGGTCTGGTATTTCTGATGCCGCAACCAAAACAGGACCAAGAGGCGCAAATGTATCAAACCCCTTGGAGAATCCCCACTGCGGAACGCCACCAGCATAGGCCGGATCTCTCTGGAGCTTCCGTGACGAGATATCGTTCCCAACTGTGTAAGCAGCTACATAATCCAGGGCATCTTCAACCGTCACGTCTTTGGCGTCTTTTCCGATCACGATACACTTATATCCGAAATCAGTCAATCTTCAAGTATCAAAGGCACTTCCACATACCAGCTCCCCTTCGTAATCAGCTTGTTCATTTTGCGCAATTTTCGGAATCACCACTGGCGCACCATGGTCGTTTAATGTGGTGTTTGGTTTGAAGAAGATAAATGGGAACGGAGGAGGCTTTCGACCTGCTTCTTTAACTATATGATAGGTATACAGGTTAGTCGAAACGGCATAGTAAAGTGAAGTTGGATTTTTTTTGTCTCGTCCCCTCCTGATTCTCTCTCGTTTCATTTTCTTTTTCCAAACAACTTACTATGTTTTGAGTAATTTAGCCCGACGCATCGTAGAATGGGTGTTTCACTTGGAGTAAGCGGTCCAAGAACCCGCTCGACCTGAGCAACCTCTTCTGTGAAGCGAGTCTTTCCAGTGGTATCATAGATATCGTCTCCAGATAATACTCTCACTTGGAGTTTGTCGGCTGCGGTAACAAAGCCCAAATCGATTTCCTTCTCGCTAGGGAGTATGGGTTCACCGCGAAGAATGCGACCATCAACGGCCTCGAAGCGTATAAGTCGTTTCCAAGGTAGTCTCATCGCGGATATAACCTAGTATGGAATACAAAGTTCAGATTGGTTGCACTCGGACTACCTAGGCATTTATTATAACTATACTTATGAGAGCTCTTCGGGGATACATCGGGAACCCTTTCCGGAGTTACCGCTACTACTCATTTCAATCAATAATAGCGTGGCATTACCTCTGAAGAAATTACTTTATCCTCACACTGGGTGACTTTCAGAATTAAGGGAAATTAGGTATCCTCAGCCTATCAGATGATGGATCAGCGACACAGTCAAGGCTCTACCTGAAATATCTCTTCAGCCCTTCGGCCGTTGTTCCTCTTACCTGGGCACTGACATCCGATATCTGTTAGAATATCGCGAAATCTACCACGAGGAAAACAAGGACATTTGAACAAACCTGGATACAAGTCATCCCACTATTTTCAGCTAATCAGAGGCCTCCGAACACTATGCCTCACTTTTCATGAAACGGCATACAGATATATCATCTTATAGATCACGGAGAATGTACCGGGGAATTGGACTCATTCCCTGTGCCGAAGCACATATAAGAAAGTAATTTTTGTGGTATGGAAGACAGAAGACCCGAGACAACTCATTACATACAATCTTGCTAGTCATTTTCCTCTTTTCCATCCTTGTAAACTACTATTCAGGATTGGCCTGAAGTTAACCCAGCAATCTGACAATATACTTACTACAGCCAGGTACCGCTCAATATGGAGTCCAACATACTATTATAAGCAAACAGATTAACTTGTGGGGACTAGAGTGTTTGTAGTTTCCGTACATACTGGGATTGAAGTCATAACTGCAAAAATACGTGACAACCCATTCTCTTTTCGAGATGCAGGAATGCCAAGGTGGTAGGAAGAACGGATTGCTACCAAAATTCATAGATATCTTTATAGTCGTCATATATTAAACTAGTTAATTTATCTCCAAATCGCTCTCTTTTCATGTATGCTGATAGATAAATCCTGGTCAGTAGAGTCATCATAGGGTTAAAAGCCAGTCACATGACATGCTAGTTATATTTCCCCACGCTTTCCCCGGCTTCCCCGGTTTTTCTCTCTCCTAGATAATCATCTAGGACCCCATGACTGATCAGGCCAGCACGCATGGCCATTCGGTCAAACGCCGGCGAGTTGCTCTAGCTTGTGATGCATGTCGAACGCGGAAGTCAAGGGTAGGACCATCGCTCTTTGCAGCTTGCAAATGTAGTAACTCCTCTTCCAGTGCGATGGTCGCCGCCCGAAATGTGGCATGTGTGAAGACTTGGGCCTTAACTGTGTCTACACAGCACCGGTTACTACCAAGAATGTGATTGTTCAAAAGGAGTATGCTATAATAACTTTTCATTGCTTTTTTTAACCATAGGGTTCATTGGCTTATCACTCAACAGCTATCTTAGCAACCTCGAAGACCGTGTCAAAGCGCTCGAGGATAGCCTCAACATTGTCAAATCTGATGTTTCCGCCGTTAAGTCTAAGATGAGCAAAGGAAGCTCTGATGAGCCTGTCAAAGAAAACGGACATGGCCATCAGAACGAGCAATCTCCCGAATTTGTGGAGACAGAGGACGCAATTGATGCGATGGGCGCTGTTGCATTTGCTGACGAGAAAGAGTGTGGATTTTTCGGTACGTCCCTCTATCTTGTCCCCAGATGAAAATAACTGAGTGTCATCTTCTAGGCGCTTCATCAAACATCGCCTTCCTTCACTATCTATCCTGTGCTGTAGCACGAAGTGAAAATACACAGAGAAACATTATATCTCCTAGGATAGACCGTGTTGCATTTGATGGGGGTTTCGTTAATGCGACGCGTTCCTCATCACCAGCGTCAGCAGCGACGCCTGAATCTCGGTCAAATATGTTCATTTTACCTCCAGCGGAGGAGGCGTTAACTCTGATCCACCGATATTTCGGCGACACGGGACTGCTTTTTCCTTATATTCACCCTGATACAATTTTTGGAACATACTCTGAACTGAGGAAGGGCTCAAAGAAGATTCGACGTACATGGCTTGGATTGCTAAACATGATACTCGCGATGGCCAAGCTGACAACGGTTTCGGGGCATTCACCTGCCGAAAACTGCATTAGGGAATCCTCTGTATACTATAGCAGGGCATTCAATCTCTGTAGGGGAGAGATCTTGCGTGGGACAACACTAGAAGTTGGTAGGTCGCTCATGTGAATGCTTCCAACTGTCACTAATATGACGCAGTGCAATATCTATTGCTCATGGGTCAGTATCTGCAAGGGACACAAAAGTCGGTTCAGGCATGGACCATACATGGCCTTACCGTAAAAGCTGCTCTTCAACTTGGACTTCATTCAAAAGACGCATCTAAAGCTTTCCCTCCCTTGGAACAGGAAATGAGGAAAAGAACATGGTTCGGATGTGTGGTTTTGGATAGGTACTACAAACCGCTGTCATTGCTGCCATCAAACCGATCCTAATTACTTCCTCTCAGAGTTCTAGGGATGACCTTTGGAAGACCGACCGCTATACCGAACTGCTATGTCAAATTGGAGCTACCGACTTTTCAGGGCGGTTCGGACATTCTCCTGACAGCCGCTGACAAGGAGGCCTACCATAGTATCCAATTCTTTAATTCAACCATGTTAGTGACGTTACTTCTGGACCACAAGAATCTACACCATACTTAACCCTGATGCAGAACCTTATACAAACAGATGGGATGCATCATCGACCAATTATACGCCCAAAATCTTGGATGCGGACCACCTTTGTCTGTGGGCGAGACTGTTTCCCGTGTCCTTGGGATAGAAACCCAACTTCACACCTGGGTGTTGACGCTTCCCGACAGCCTCCGACTAGTGACAGTTGCGGCCATTCGAGACGAAATAAGGCAGGCAGGCAGTCAACCTCAGTTCTTTCCGTTTAAGTTTCGTGTTATTCTGACTTTGCGATACCTGCATGTCCAAATCCTCCTGCATCGGCCCGTCCTTGTGAAGTTCCTGGACACTACCGGAGTCTCAGAAATCGATACGAGTGAAGACAGGCTACTTAATGATATTGGGTGTAGTAGCATGAACAGGATTATTGAGTCAGCCAGGGGCATCATCGATATTGTCCACGAGCTTGTTTCATCTCCTGAATGGACACGAAACCTCCTTGGCGCCTGGTGGTACTCACTCTATTATAGTATGTTCCCATTGAGTTTCTTGTCTGCATGTATCTTATGGTTGCTTTATTCTAGCATTCAATGCGGCACTCGTCATTATTGGGGCAACGTGGGTCCATAGGACAAGGCCATCTGCTATAAACTGGGATAAGGCATACACCAACATTCATATTTATCCCAGTCGTGCAGTTACATCTTTGTACAAATTGAACAGGAATCGAATGGTGGACCGCTGCAGATCCTATCTCGAACAGTTGATGTCTGCTCTTTGTCTTCAGCAGCGTAAGGCCTCCTCCTCCACTGGTGATCGTACATAGGTTAATCGGGTGAAATAGCGCAAGGAATTTCGGATGCATCTGTCTCAAACACGACCTTCCCAGATATGAATATTGAATTTGGCGAGTTTATGATAGACGACCTATTTTCGAGCTTGGCACATGGCCCAGGTTTCGAACATTGGTAAACCATTGTTAAGGAATGTGGACTGTACTTGACACTTGGCGAAGATATTGCTGTCAAAACCAGGCACTACTCAGGATAGAACGCCTATACAGGAGGTAGTGTCCTTCAAGAGTTGATTTGCGCCGGGGTATGAAAACAGGCCTCTGGACCATGTGCCTTTTCAGGAAATAAACTTCTGTTTTGCAAGTCAGAAAATCAAAGTGGGCAAGAGAGTTGTAAAGGCGATATCCGAATTCTGAGTGTTAGTTCTTGGTCTATCATGTCAAAAAAGCAGTGCCGGTAAGGCCGCATGAAAAATCAGTCATCTATCCGATAGGACTCGGAGTTACCTGCTTGGAGAACTTTGGGTTCGCTCAAGTTCAGATCCTCTATATATATTCCTTACACTAGAAAGTGACTCCGAAAGCACCGGTTACCATTCTCTCGAAGGCGGGGTAAGACCGGGTTTCTCGATCCGATAACTCCCCGTGTTCCCTTCCAGTCTGAATTTACGGAATGGCTGACCACTAGGGGGTTATCCGCCTCGTCACCGTCAATTAATTAAGAGTGTTTGGACTTTTCATTTGCCCCATGGCCCGGATCACCGTGTATAACTAGAATGATTGGATAATAGCTTAGTCGTCTTGCGGTGGATTCTCCTCTCTACGACTTCGGAACCTTTCGATGTTGCTCAGAATGTCAAAACCAGTGAAGGGGCCAAGCTGTCGAACTTATTGATAAACTGTATTCGGAACAAATACATAGTTGGACCTCAACAATCCAAGAGGGCATTAGACAGTGAGCTGCTTGATTTCCTTAAAAAATTTGATTCAATAATATGGCCTTTCAATACCAAGCGTTCACGCGGACTATAAACAGCCAACCTGCCTAGGTAGGCGTACTGCATCCATGTTATGTTTATAGTGTACAGTCTGTCGCAGAGCAGAATACCATGCAATAATGTGGTTTCTATTTCCCTTGTGCGTATGCAAAGATCTTGAAATCAACAATCCAACATTCATCGGCTATGGAATGTTCCCTGGATCGTGGTCCCAGCTGGCAATGAAATGTGCCTATTCTGAGTACGCACATATATATTGGTAGTGTTAGAGCATGGAACTGTTTTCATGTGCGGTCCCAGCCTTTACCCAAGCCTCGTCAATTGCATTCTCAGAATCATAGCCATAGCACCACATCTGTGTGGCAGGATCACTCCACTGGTTCGGGCTGTGACTGAAAGGGAGCCCTTCGACTTCCGGGATCATGGCAGCATCTCGGGCCTTTTGCAAAGGACCATCAGCGAAATGCCACAGTTGACCGTTAAGAAGGCTAGCCTCTTGCATCTGGCTGGAGCGTTTAATTCGCACCGTCTGAAATATATCCACGGCATGCTGCCACTGTTCCGGAGATTCCATGTGGGATAACGAACGGGCTAGAGCGATACCATCCTCCACTGCCATTGCAGCACCTATTTAATGGATGAATATATGTTTGAAATACACCAGGCGTGCGGCTAGTCTTACCTTGTGACATGTACGGCAGCATGGCATGAGCAGCATCACCTATCACGACTAGTTTCCCAACCGCCCAACGTCGGAGTGGAGAACCGCTCATCAGGGGCCATTTGATAGTTTTCTCAACCATTCCGATGATTTTCTCAAGTCTGTAATTGGTGAGCCTCAAGGAATATTAACGGAAGCGGGATTACCAACACTGGATCCCAGCCCTGAAATTCGGCTTTCATATCTTCAAGTGCTGTCTTTTCATTCCAAGTAGAGGGGCCCATTAGATCCGGATGTGACAAGACCATATTGAATGCCTTTCCAGCACCAATTGTATACGTCATCGCATGTCGGTTGTCTCCAATCCTTTCCTGTCGATTAGCATCAATAGAATGATGTGTAGTAGATCATACAAGATGATGCGTACCAAATGTTCAAGGCCGGCTTGGCCAAAATCCATGATAATTCCGGATCGTCTCTCATCTTGTTCACGTCGAGTACTGCACGATAGACTGCGAACCCAGGCTTCCTGAAAGGCATTTCCTGCCCATCCAGCACAATCTTTCGAGCCGCTGATTTTATACCTATTGACGTTTAGATCTCCTTGAACTTCTTCGTAACGGATATGTACAAACCATCTGCAGCAACAACAAGATCAGCCGAATGCTCCGTACTGTCGGCAAGTTTGATGCTGCCATGCACGGGGTCATAATCCACGACCTTTGCTCCTAATTGGATCTCTATACCCTCATCCCGTGCCTTTCGGCACAAGGCCGAATGAAAATCAGCTCTATGAATCACATAATACGGTGCATTAAAGTTTTCCCCGAAGTTTGGAACGAGCTTGGTTTTCCCAATAAGCTTGCCGTTCTGCCACCTCCTGAAGTGGATGGATTCTGGTTCCGTGACATAGGGCGCTAAATATGGCTGTAGTCCCAGTTTGAATAGAATCCGCGTGGAATTGGAGGGAATCTGGATACCGGCACCTACTTCGCCAAGCACTGGGGTCTGTTCGTAGACCTTCACTTTATGGCCGGCTTGAGCGAGTGCAATGGCCGTTGCTAGGCCTCCCAGGCCAGCCCCAACGACTATGATGTTCAAGGTTACACAGGAGCTTCTTTGGTTTGGGGCCAAAGAATGGTCTTTCAACAACTCTTTCGCGAAGTAAAGGCAGTTGCTAGGGTAACTGGGAACCTGTACACAGTGTTGTCAGCACAGAATGTGGTAGAGCAAAGAAAGAGAAACTGACAGCAACTGGTTTCCCACCATCGATTGATCCCAGTCCTCTGCAAGCCATCGTATCTCAAATTCGATATTGATGGACCTAGAAATTCTAGACTCCAGGACCTAACTAGCCCTAGTGTAATCGTGGTAGTTCCAGTGACCTTTACTGCCAGGTGCAGAGAGTATACAGCTTTATATAATTGAACAGTTGAAGACTTGCTACAAGACGTAGACAGGAAAACAATTTCCAGGTACATTGCGTCTAGGACGGGTCAAATGTTTCCCGCTGGCATGCTTCCCGATCTACCCCCGGACAACACGAAGTTCGGATAGGAAACCCGTTTGGTCACAACCTTGGAATGCCACAATCTGCTGTTGTACATATATTCATGTCGAGATCAGGTCAGTTGATTTTCTCCATGGAATTTAATGGCCACCTTGAAAGACGCGAATCTAAACAACCATCTTTCACCATGGCACAAGCAGGGGTAAATACCACCATCAACAGCGCCGACAGCGCAGAGCTGTTCCTGAAAGAGCTTGAAAACAGAAATACTCTCCCCCTCTGGACCCAAATGACCAGGCTTAATCCACCAGAGCCAAACCCGACGACTGTACCGTTTGTCTGGAGATATGATAGCATCCGTCCCAATCTGCTTCGCGCTGGCAACCTTGTCACCGACAAACAGGCTGAGAGAAGGGTGCTAATGCTAGTCAATCCAGCTAGAGGTATATCGGTCTTGCTTCGTTATGCGTACATGGCGACTAACGTATGAGTTAGAGGCTCCATACACTACGGATACATTGTATGCGGGTCTTCAGCTTGTCATGCCAAATGAGACCGCTCCCGCTCATAGACATACAGCGTTTGCAATGAGATACATCATTGAAGGTAATGGGGGGTTTACAGCTGTGCATGGCAGAAGAATCAAGATGCAGAAAGGAGACGTGATTCTGACACCCACATGGAATTACCATGACCACGGGAAGGATGGCAATGGTCCTATGATATGGTTAGATGGTCTCGATCTGCCTAGCTTTCGCCACTTCCCTGTTCACTTTGTACAACACTTTTCTCAGCAACGATATCCAGCTGAAGATATCGATACGGCTACTTCGCCCATAGTATTCCCTTGGACCCAGATGAAAGCTCAGTTAGATGAAGCTCCAGGTGATTGGGTCACCAAACGATATCTCAGAGCGGATGGCAAGGAAGGTACGTACGAGGGACCTTTTTCTTTTTTTTTCAAAATTAGCGTCTGACCCTGAATAAACAGTAAGTCGTGTCTTAGGCGGCTGCGCGGAAAGGCTGAATGCTGGTACTTCTTCTCCTCCTCGCCAAGAAACGGTTTCTGCCGTGTATCATGTTATCACAGGAAGTGGAAGATCTCAAGTAGGAAATGAGGGCCTTGTTTGGAAATCAGGAGACACTTTTTGCGTGCCTACGTGGCATAACTATCAGCATTTTGCTGACGACGGGGAGACAGTCTATCTCTACCGCTTCGATGATAAACCTATGATCACTGCTCTGGGGTTCTACCGGTCAGCGGATACTGATGTGGAAGCTTTGGTTTCGACCTAAGATTTCGTGGACTGTTAGTCTAGACAGAACTACGTCTCCGGAAATAAATTGTGTGGATTGATATCGTCTTCGAGGATGTTCCAAAGTTATGTGGTATCGGATGGTTCAGTCCTTTTTTTGTCCGTAGCCTTTTTGGATATGATTCTGCAGTGCTTCAGGTGCATTCATACATATTTTCAAATTTCCCGACGTGTCAACCTCCGAGTGGACTTCGTCCTAGGTAGGAGGCTTCGCAGCTCCTCATGTGAGTAGTGAACCCTTGTGGTACGTGAAGGGGGTGAAATCAGCTGGACGTTTCCCTGCTGTAAAACTTTGTATAATCTGGCAAACAGCTTTTCCTTAATCCGGTTGGTTGGCGTAATTGTGGTTATCCCCATTGCCACCAGTATTGCTATCTGCCGACGGCCTAAATTCGTCCGGCATCGACAAAGCAGATCCCTAGTAAATATCCCAGCAGGATCCTCCATGAGGTATTTGACCAAACGCTAGAAGCAGTCGTCCGTTCCGATGTAGATTATACTCGCAGTCGTCATGAGCTCTACGTACGGCTTCAGACGTGGTTTGCCTAAATGATAATGGACGGATAGACGGACAGACGGACGACACAGGCACCACTCAGCACTACGTAAATGATAATTGTATAAGAATGCACGAACCTATTAAGATGGATTCTTCTAAAATGATAAATATACACAATCTACATAACGTACTACCAAATTCTGCTGATCAGTCATGTTCACCATCTTGAAGAAGTCTCCTGCCTTCGAGCCCAGAGAAAGAGTCGGAGTTCTAGTCATCGGCGCCAATGGCTACCTTGCTTCGCATATTCTCGACCTGCTTCTGTCCCCTAGGGTATCTTGTACGAGGTACAACCCGTGCAGGGAAACCCTGGCTTGACAATTACTTTAGAACTAAATATGGCACCGGCATGTTTGAGAGTTTTGTCATCCCTGATCTTGCTCATAGGGAGTCCTTGGTTAATGTGTTAAATGGTATCAGTGGAGTTCTGCATGTGGCATGGAACAACCCAATTGAGATATAATCACGGGACCACCGCCATACAGGTAGACGTCGGTACCGCATTGGGCCTAGCGTGATCGTAGCAAGGACATCAACCTCGCACGCCACGAATCTCAGATAGTTAGTTAGACTTCTCAATATCACTCTCTCTAGCCCATCATCATATAATAATCTCTATTCTACGGAGTCTATGCATAAACTCAGGTTATTTCTTTCTAGATGCATATGCTGATCTAAACTACTCTTATCTAGGCTTCGGATCCGTCTCATAGTGCAGACGCAGAAAAGGTTATCAATGGTGTTCTCAAAACCACTCAATCTGTCCTAGAAGCAGCTGCTGAGAAGAAGTCTGTTAAGAGGTTCAACCCTACTTCATCTTCCAATGCAGTTCCTCTTCCGAAATGTGACGTGGAGGGTATAATCATTGACGAGAGTGAGTCTCAGGTGGATTTCTTTTTATATGTGACTTTTAACCCATGCCGCTAATTTGACAAATTAAAAATAATAACAAGAATGATTTAGATTCGTAAAATGACCAGGTTTTCCGGCTCACTTGGGAAGATACTCCTGCTCCCTATAAAGCTTTCTACGCCTACAGCGCTTTCAAGACAGAAGGTGAACGGTTCGCCTTCAAATGGGTTAAGGAACATACTCCTCATTTCTTTTTAACCTCTGTTGTTCCTAGTTTTATCGTAACAACTGAGTCATAACCATTATAATCTATCTTTCTTTTTCTGACAACAAATAGATGGGACTCTCAAAGATGCAGTTGGGAGTGCTAATCCTTATAATTAAACACGATATGTATTTGCTATATCTGAGGGTCTTTTTTTTAATGGATGTATCCAGGCAGTTAACTGAAATGACTGAGCATGAGGAGAAAGAAAAGGAGAGAAGGAATTTCACAAAATAAGGAATCAACCATATTACTAGACTCATTGGCTCGATTGGATTGTAACTACGTATTCCTTGTGTTTGGAGAACCAACAGGTAATGATCGGGGTGTATGCATCCGGAGAATCTTCTTTTGCCTCGGCTCGGGACGTGTCCACCGGAAACGTTATATGCCTCAGAAATGATTATAAAACCCACTCAATAAATGCCAATCCCCTCTCATTTTTCAGCTGACTGGTGTAATTTCCGGTTTCTCAGGACGTGAACGCTGCTAAACTCCATCTTTCACCCAATACCCGACAATGGCGAACCATACACCCTCCAAAGATAATGCTTCATTGCTTCCTGCCTGGGTCAATCCGGATCTAGATCGCTTGATGGTGGTGAAACATGCTGACGGCGATTTTCGATCATGGTCGGAATCACTTGTCGACCTTCCCGCGGGGGCGCTATTCGCTCGCATTACTGGAGTGACAACCATTTCTCCGCCGAATTATTTGTCCGTACAGGCTGGACCTGATCTGCATCTCGAACTAAACTCGGATCTTCAATATATCAACCATTCGTGTGAACCAACACTGGAATGGGACATGTCGTGCATGGAGATACGGGTAAGCCGTGATCGCGACCTAAAAAAAGGGGACAAGCTTTCTTTTTTCTATCCAAGTACGGAATGGGCAATGGCCCAGCCTTTCGATTGCTGGTGCGGTGCAGGAGAGGGGAAGTGTTTAGGTCGTATTGAGGGTGCCGCCAAACTCGGCACAGAGAAATCGAAAAATTGGTGGCTTAATGAATACATAAGGGAGATGTTGGAGGAGCAAGAGAAGGCAAACCCAAGGGAAGACTGAAAGCATTTAGGCGTCTTGTGGGTAATAAAAAGGAAGAGGCTAGATTTCGCTTGAATTTATAGAAGTGCGAGTTACTGGGGCAGAAATGTGGGGTTGGAATGCTACTACAATGGGCTTTCACGATGTACTCAACCAAAATTGGGGTGGACACATGATGTGCGTCGGAATCGATTCATGTATATGGTCTTTAGGTAATCTGAAGTTGCCAGACCATCGAGCAGAATTGGACACAGGAACTTGAACAATAGTACCCTGGTCTGAGACATCAATTGAGTACTGGTCTCCAGCCACGTCTAGGAATGAAGCCCTCGACATTCTCGTCCTTGAGAACTTCGTTGCCGGTTCGTCCGGTCACTACACTCCTTTCAAATTCAGGTCCGCGAACGTAGAATGGTTCAAAGCCCGAGACATCCTGATCGCAGGTTGCTTCCTTCCTCTTCCAAATCTTGCGTTTGCTATCACGAATGAACCCGCTGTTCATACGGTCTAGTGTAATGAACCAACGACGCTGGTGGACAGAACCAATAGAATTGACTGCTCCTGGATATGCGTTGGTGAGACGCGTCTTCATATCCGCGGCTTGCTCCGACTCTGATTCCGAAGCAGAGTGACTTCCATGTATGTCTTCTTCGCCATGGTTATCGTTGATAGTTCGCACTGAATTCGACGATTGCCGGTGGGCTATTTCGGGCGATGGAGAGCGAGACGTGGAAGGCGTTCGAACCGGTTTCATAAAGGCAGGATTTATACGTCGACGCCGGCGCTTTTGATTCGTCGGTCTCGCTCTAGCGGCATTGTCGTCTTCCATAGAGAGACGAAGTGACATTGTGTAGTTCTTCGGCAAGCGAGTGCCGTGCAACCGTAAGCGGATTTTGCGCTGTTGCACTTGTAAGTTTCTTTCGTTCGAGAGCATAGGATGAGAGATAGTTACGTTCTGAAAAGCCTGCCGAAGTTTCTCACTTTCAGATGGACGTTGCTCACGGATAGGAAATTCAGCAGAAATAGTGGATGCGTCCGATGCCGAATCCTCAGTCTCTAGGGGGTTTTCTGTTGCATTATACGGTAACACTTCATACTCGCCGGTGTCCCAAATAATCATGCTTCCCGTATTAGAAGACCCTGTCTCAATCAAATGATTCTACGTAGTAGGTGAGCTCGTATCCGACCATCCATGATTTGGATCCTTACCCATAAGCAATGTACTCTTGTCTCCGTTGCGTTGCGATTCAATCTACTGCTATTCGGATTTCCAGGTAAGCCATACATTATTGCCCAGCTTAGCGAACTGGACTCAGAAAACTGAAGCCTGAGATCATAATGCGGACCCGCGATGGGATGGTCGTGCTGATGGATTACGAAATGGCAGCCATTTTCATGCTGGTTCCTTGAATATAGGTCAATCCAGTCTTTGACAGGCAGCCTACTACCTTCTGTGAATGTTGATACTGGCCGTGATGCTGCAGCGAGCCTTGCTGAGAACAGCTCTACCGGGTCATCAATCTTCACCTGACCAGCTTCGACTGCCGCTAGACTCAAGGAAGTCGTGTCGTCGTTCTTAGGTCGATTGGAGTGGTACCTATCAACTCTTGACGCCGACTTTTTCAATCGCGGTGGAGATACTGAGGAGGTCAAGCTTGACAGTGTCCGAGTGCGAGTGCGATCCTGGCTGATGTTTCGATTCCTGAATGGCCGAGGCGTTTCAGGCGAGTGACTGCGCTTCATCTTCAGTGCTTAGGCACAGAAGTTTGGTCTTCCATTGGAGAGGCATCTAGACGAGCTTCCAGGCATATTGCAATTGCCACCGGAAGAAACTGACGTTGTCGTCTTTGATCAACCCTTCAGGAACAGAAAGTGCGCTGTGTGATGAGGCTGAAGAAGTTGAGGTTGTTTCCGCCCAAGACGACAATTGCCCGGAAGGCGGTGGCAGAATAAGCCCACAAATACAACAGTTTTCTCCATGTCCATTCTTCTGACAATTTCGCATAGTTCAAGTAGGCACTATGTATCTATGTACCCTTATTCTATGAAGCTAACAGAAAGTGGGTACAATAATGATTTTGGCTAGAGTGTGATATCTGTAGAGCGTTGCATTAGGCTTGCGACGGCGTCATTGGAATAATCAACTCTGCGTCACTTATTGGAGGAATACATTAGCATGTATGACAACACATACCTAATGGTTGCAGCAATGCAGGGTGATCCTAAGAGAAGCGCAATGGCTTGCATATACCCAGAAAACTCAAAGAAGTTTTGTATCCTCTTGTTCGACCCATAACCGGATGAGGTAGCCAAAAGAAGAACAGAATGACGTCCCCCAGACAGGATTCAGACAAGCCCGTTGTTGACTCTTACTGGTTTTTCCGTGAGACTTGCTTAGGGTTAGAATAGTCAGGTGCTTTGCTGGCCTACTACGTACTAACTCGCAGGCAGCTCTGTATCTGTTACAGATGCACTCAGCTATTTTGCAATATAATTTGTCAACCGAGTTCAGCAATTTTTGTCATCGCAAAACCATTTCTCTACATCGTCTCTCCAGTAATTTGAAGGTGCATCGCCATGGCGTCTCACACTTACATACTCTTCGATATCCCCACCAAGGCACCACAAGTGTGCTGGTCGATGAACACTTGGAGGAGTAAGTCCTGCCTATCACATTAGTATTCATCGACACTAACGCATGGTAAAGCGAGATTGCTTTTGAATTATAAAGGTCTGGACTACAAAACAGAATGGGTAGGGCGTATTGAATACATTATAAGTTCGATCTAACAGTGACAGCTCGAATATCCTAATATCGGCGTTCGACTTGGTCATCAGTATGTCATTGCTAGATTTGAAGGGCGATGCGCATAGGATTATTAACCGACAATTACAGTGTCCCTCCAAATGAACAGGGACCTCATTTTACACTGCCTGCAATACAGCTGCCTGATGGCTCCTACGTGATGGATTCTTATAAAATCGCCGATATAATCGAAGAGAGACATCTGGAGCCAAGAGTGCATCGTCTCAATATACCAGCACAGCTTACATTCAGGAATATTCTTACGAATTTAATGCGACAGCTCACACCACTCTACATTCCAGGAATAGCGCAGCGCCTCCTTAGCAATGAGAGTATCGACTTCTTCATTGCTGCACGCCAGAAGGATGTAGGCATGCCACTTGATGAATATGGAAAACAGCACGGCCCTGGGGCATTTGATAGAGCAGAGCCATTCTTGCATGAAATGACAGCATTGCTGGATGAGACTGCAGGGCCATACTTTTTGGGCGATACCGTTAGCTACACTGATTTTATATGGGCCGCGATCTTGCTTTTCTTCAAATGCTTCGGCGATGATATTTATGGAGAATTGCTGATGAGAAGTGGAAATTCTCAAGTGCATACGGAGTTCTTGGATGCATTGAGCCAATGGACAAAGCGAAATGATTATCTAAGATAGGGTGAAACACTGAACGAAGAAAATGGTGCGTGGATATAGCAGAGAAGATAAGATAAGAATGATGCTATCGATAAGCGGTCAGTTGACCAGATTTGGCCAATAGGAACACAGTCCGCAGTCTCAGGGGCCCACTTGCTATCGCAACAACAACACAACTCACTATGTGCTTTCCTCTTCCTCATCTTCTTGATTTAATTTATGTCCTTAGCTTGAATATGAATTGATTCGGAAAACACAGCTGCCGCAATGTCTAAATCATCTGATAACGTCTCCGTGGCCCGTCCATCAGTATCTGGCGGTCGAGTCTTACAGGCAAAATTCATCAGACCTGCTCAGATGTCCCTGTTTGCTAGAGTTACATGCTATCCGCCTCTGGGGGAAGTAACATGTCTCAAACGATCATATGAATCTGGACTAGTAACCAAAGACAAGGTTTGTGCGTCTATCTTCTATAAGGCACCGTTAAGCAGGAAGTTGACGTTGCTATACCGATAGATCAAGTTTACTGTGATGCTCTCATCGAGTACTTCATTTCCGGAACGAGATTGGGAAGTCGAGATTTGGCATAATATTCTACAGAATGAGCAGTGGACGTCCCTCCCATTAGCGAGATCGAAATCGTCATTCAAACCTACGGTTATTGGAAACACAGATATTTTGGAGAATTATCATCATTATATATACTCGTCAGAACTGGAACTTCCTCCCTCGGCTGGAAGAGGCAATTTCACAGTCCGATATAGGACAGGACCCGATACGGAGTGGCAATGGGCGAACCAACGGAGATATGTCAAGGATGGAGAGGTAATTTTTGGAGAGAAAGATCGTGTAATACGGTCTAGTATAGATACCACATCACAATCCGACGCTGGAGACTCGCCGAGGGATGAAATTGGAGAATATATTCAAGGACTATCAATGCAACTGGAAATTCAGACAAAGAAGAGCGAAGCACCCAACGCACTTTTATGGAGCGTTACTGGAACCGCACCGCCAGCAACAGGTGAGAAATCTGGAAGGATTCAAGTATCACTCGGTATACCAAAATCATATCTGCGTTACTTCTCATTGGTGCGGGTTTGGAGTCCTTGGCTAGCTCCACGACATGGTGAAAAGAAGTTCAGATTGACAGAAGACGCTATTCTCTGTTCATTTCTAAGGGCCGATGGCCTGAACTTGGTGCTTCTCGCTGTATCAGGTGTCAACGACATCCTCACTGTTTTTGGGTCGGGAGACGATGGTGACACTGTGGCCAAAGTCAGAAACGAAAATACAGAAGAAGCTCGATTTCAAATCCTCGTCTCTGTTGCGGAAAGCTTCGAAGTGGGCATATGTGCTTTGATATATGAAGCCCGAAAAGTCGTTCGTGATTCAAGTACTGCAATTGAATTACCTCTCGTATCTGATCTGCCGCCCGAACCCGACTCTCCCACTAGCGATGACATGGTCATCGTAGGAGACGATGCTCGTACGCAGTGGCTTGCTGATTGGTACGAGGGTCTCTCGTACTGCACCTGGAATGCACTAGGCCAGAATCTGACCGAAAAGAAGATACTCGAGGCTCTTGATGCATTGAAGGTCCATGGAATAAAGGTTGTGAACTTGATCATTGATGACAACTGGCAGTCCCTTGATAATGAAGGCAAAGAGCAATGGTACCGTGGCTGGAAGAACTTTGAAGCCAATGAAGGAGGTTTCCCTTCCGGTCTACGGCATACAACTAGCGTCATACGACAGCGACATCCGAATATTTCACATATCGCAGTCTGGCATGCTCTGATGGGTTACTGGGGCGGTATATCACCTACTGGGGCTCTGGCTCAGAAGTATAAGACCAAAGAGGTTATGAGAAAGGACTCCGTTGCGAGCGGGAAAATGCTGGCAATTGATCCTGATGACATTAATCAATTCTACGACGACTTTTACTCGTTTTTAACGTCATCTGGCATTGATGCCGTAAAGACGGATGCTCAATTTTTCCTCGATTTACTAGACAGTGCAGAAGACCGAAAGCGATTCATCTCATCGTATCAAGATGTATGTATCTGCACTGAACATATTGTTTTTCTGACGCGGGAAATGCTGACATATTCAGGCCTGGACGATTTCTTCACTCAGATACTTCGGCACTCGCGCCATTTCATGCATGTCAATGACACCGCAGCAGATATTCCACTCTCAGATACCGACCAACAAACCTAGTATACTTCTTCGTAACTCCGACGACTTTTTCCCGGATATAGCGGATTCTCATCCTTGGCATATATTCTGCAATGCACACAATGCCCTCTTGACAGCTCATCTTAATGTGATTCCTGACTGGGACATGTTCCAAACTAGTCATCCATATGCCTCGTTTCATGCTGCCGCCAGGGCTGTATCAGGCGGACCGATTTATATTACCGATAAACCAGGCGACCATGATATTGGATTGATCAATCAGATCACAGCGCCTACGACTCGAGACACCACGATAATCCTTCGGCCGAGTGTCGTAGGTCGCACATTGGATGTCTATCACAATTACAATGAAGGAAATATACTCCGTATCGGAACATACAGTGGTTGGGCTCGCACGGGGAGCGGTATCCTTGGGCTTTTCAATATTAGCCCAGGAGATGTTTCGACTATTGTTCCACTTGCAATATTCCCGGGTATTGATGCCACTACAGCAAATACACCCTCTTCATTCCCTATTCATGATCATAGTGACGGCTATGCTAGCTATATTATTCGCTCGCATTCAACCGGCATTATCAGTGATATCATGACTCCGACTGGCGCACATTCTTTGGTCTCTGTGACCCTCGCGTCCAAGGGTTGGGATATCTTGACCGCATATCCTCTCCGCACATTCACTCTTGAAGGCAGTCGTGGCTGCTCCTCGATGTCGTCTTCCACGACTTCCTTGCTAACACATGTTGCTGTCTTGGGCCTCCTCGGCAAGATGACAGGCGTCGCTGCGATTGTCACCTCTGATATCACTGTTGTCGAGAGCGGTCGACTCAAATTCGATGTTAACCTCAAAGCTTTAGGGGTACTAGGCATATATCACTCCACGCTGGAAAGTAGGGATATTGACAAACACGTCATGGTCATGATCTCAGGACTGGCCGTGCCAAGAGAGACCGTGTGGAAAGATCACGATAATGTCCTCGCGGTAGATGTGCTACGGGCATGGAAAGCGCTGAAACTGGATGCTGGTTGGAGTAATGAGGTGCGAGTGCAGGTATTCATTAGCTAGGTCAGGAACAATCGTAACAATACGAATCATTTCAATACTGGTACCTGGGTATGTAATATATCCAGTATTGTCATTTACGAGCCATGGAAGATGGCGTAATGTGGCTTATGATCTACGTGCCCCACCAACAACAACGAACGAATCACAATACATTACTTTCTGGCATCTCCGTATGGAGACCGTATGGACTTTACATATGAACCTTGTATCGATATATATGGATGTTGTTTCATAGTTTCATCGATAGCTTTCAATCAAAACTTCATTACCTGTTGTGTAGGAATTTCATCACAGGACACAGAAATGCACATTTGATGGGACTTATACAATCAGTCATTGGCGTCTGCTTGTCTTAGATTAGGCATCAGCGATCATCAAAGATCGGCGAGAAAAGGTGAGACCAGCGGATGGTCATCCATGGATATAGTAACCGACGTACCACTCTTTATCCCTGAGATGTGTGCGGGTCATTATTGCTTATGTTGACATGTGTAAAACATGCTCTTTGAGCTGAAAATTTATTAATAAGTAGATCAGATATATTTTCAAATATTTATCCGATAAGAGTGCTACATCCCCAGAATTGACATGAAAGTCGATAACATTTCACCTAGGGATACTCAATCTACGCACACTACGAAATGAAGCTCAACAGCATCGTCACGTCTGCTCTATCCACCCCAGGAACAATCCTGACTTCTACTGTATTCACAACCATAACTTCCACCGTGACCACCGGTTCAGCCAGTACAGCATACAAATTTGTGCCAGGAAACCCTCCATCGTCAACGCCGTCTCCAACGAGTGCCGCTGTACTTCGTCAAGGTGAAAGGAGCGCTTCTACGCCAGCCGACGTAACCATCGCCAGTACCGTCACCGAAGTAACGACCATCAAAGCGCTAGCTACAACCAGCACTCTCTACCCCTGCGCCAGTCCCTTCCCTTCCCTAACACCTACATTACCATACGGCGACGCCTCGCTTCCCAGCAACTTTTCAACCCAGAATTCCCTCTTCGCACTCACATCTACGAGGGAAGGCGCTTCCGCTCAAGCCTGCTGCAGTGCATGCTTCTTTGAACTAGCAAACTGCATCCAGGCATATTGGTACAGCTATGAGGGATGTGTAGTATCACTGGCTATCAATGCATCGCTCGCGGGATCAGCGTCTGGGAAACATGTCAGTAGGAATTGCCCGGCGGGTATATTCAATGGATTGTCGTACGAAAGGGACATGAACCCTGCATTCAGAAGTACAGGAAATATTGCAGGACCGTGTGGTCAGAGTTATAACAATCTCTGAATTGTTGCGATAGGTTCATCCCATGCTCCATAAACTAAGTTGAGCTAATTTCAATAATACATTTCAGTGTGATGAATATGTAAGATTGGCATCAGTAGCCCTACATAACACGCCGGTAAGAATAACCAAATATTCTGCACATTTCTTCTTTTGATTCTTTGTATTTAAAGTATTGTATGGCCAGCTTCGTGTAGAAGTGTCGAAGTGGGCCGATCTGGATGTCCGATAAGAATGCTTATCTTATCGGAAGACCTACGTCATCAGCCCAGTTCGCGATTTTTTGCAGTAAACAAGATTATAAGATCGGATCTCCCTGTTAACCACTAGATATGCTCTTCTATTTATGTTGATCTCATATTAAGAATATCTGTTTTAGCTACAGATCATCAACATGTCGCTCAATACAGTCACAAAAGGCGTCGGCAACACCACAGGAAGCCTCAACAAGACCGTCGACTCCACCAAAAAAGGCGATGTCTCATCAACAGTCAAACAAACCAAGAAGCAAGCCGATACAGCGACCAAAGATCTAAGTGGAGTCTCGGTTCCCGGCGAATTCCCAGACAATGACAGGGCCAACGATAAGAAGGCACAGGAGATGCCTCAGGTGTCCATTCCATCCTTCTCCTCGATGCTACAGTGGCTGATGGACAAGTTTGAGTCCACAGTCAGAAATTTCATTTCCAAATACCTGCCGCAGCAGCGTCAAGAAGCTATATATAAATCAGCCATGTCACGGCCTATGGCTACAACGTTTATTATTTGTCAATTGATCTGTTGCGGTGTTCCACTCCTTGTCTTTATGGCGGGTGTATTCATCTTTGCCGCTGTTGCGATCTTGCTTTGGGCGATTCTGTCGCTACTAGTCCTCGGTCCTGTACTATTGGTCACCGGCTGTTCAGGATTCCTCATGTGGGGATGGGGCTGGCTCTTTTACTCTTTCATCAAATGGGTCGATCAGCGATTCTTGGGAGGGGTACTTACCAGATTCTTCTTGCCATTATCTTCTGGCGCAGATGATGATACACGACGTACCGAAGAGGAGGATAAGGAGTCAGGCAGCAGCGAGAAGAAAAAGCCTTAATGGGCTGCAAATCACCAGTCATTCTTATGTCGGGGGAAGTCATTACTTTACGTTTTCTAACTTTGGTGTACGGTTTCTGGAATATTTCATATTTTGCATTTCTTGCTTCAATCAGAATTGACCAATTGTTTTATATATGGCCTCAGGCATCAATTGTATCCGGTGGTTGCCTGCACTTCACGTTGTGGCCTGGCGATCATTCAGGCAGCAACTACCAAACTAGGAGAAACTCTGGATGTCGTCCCTTGTGACGGCATAAACAATGGAATTCTAGGCTTCAAATCTGCTTTACGATGTGTTCCGCTATAAAACCGTCTCCAAACATGGTTCCTTCTCAGTCAACAACACAAACCAGCAATTGGATTTGGGATGTGACCTGATCGCCTTAGATGCCTGTGTAGGCAGACGACACAATTGAAAGTCAATTGGAAGATACAGGGAGGTATATAATAACGGTGGCAATATACTGACGGCTCCTCCTCTTTTCTTCCTTCGTCTACTCAGTTATTTCAATATCTCCAAGCAATCTCAAGTATTATTCAAAGTTGAATCATTTACACATATCAATTGCACCCTGAAAGCTCACAATGAACTTATTCCAAGCCTTCATCGTAGCCTTCGGGCTCGTAGTTGGCTGTGTCTCTTACGAGCACTCTCCAAGTAATGCCACTCACCCCTGGAGTGAGCGCATTGACTTTCCTCTCATCCCCGTTGCTGTTTCAATGATCCCCCAAACCGGAGATCTGGTCATCTGGTCCGCTTACAAGAACGAATCCTTTGGGGTCGATGCATCTGGTGTTACTCAAACAGCCATTTACAACCTCACCAACGGCACAGTTGCCCATTACTCTGTTGATCATACCGAGCACGACATGTTCTGTCCTGGAATCAGTTTGGACTTTAAGGGCCGTATCATTGTCTCCGGGGGCGACACCGAAGAAAAGACAAGTATCTTTGATGGGGAGTCTTGGAAACCTGCTGCTGATATGAAAATACCACGCGGCTATCAGGCATCTACAACCATAACCGATGGACGTATCTTTACTATCGGTGGATCTTTCAGCGGCGGAATTGGAGGCAAGGATGGTGAAATCTACGACCTCGAGGCCGACGAGTGGACATTGTTGCCTGGATGTTCTGCCGAACCGATGCTGACCAAAGATGCCGGCGGTCTATATCGCTCTGACAATCACGCCTGGCTTTTTGCTTGGTCCAATGGCTCTGTGCTCCAAGCTGGACCTAGCCCCAGAATGCACTGGTTCGACACTCGGGGAAACGGATCGATGACTTTTGCGGGAACTCGAGCGAATGACAGCGACGCCATGACCGGCATGGCCGTCATGTATGACGCTGGAAAGGGCAAAATACTTACCTTGGGAGGCGCTCCTTCATATAACGACAGTATCGCTACATCCAACGCCCACCTTATCACAGTACGCAAGCCTGGAGAGCCTGTGAACGTTGAAGCGCTTGACAACATGCACTCTGCTCGCGCATTCGCCAACGCAGTTATTTTACCTGATGGAAAAGTCTTCATCGTCGGCGGTCAATCGCATCCCATTGTCTTCACCGATGAGAATGCCAGCATGATTCCGGAGATGTGGGATCCCAAAACGAAGAAATTCACTGAACTGCCGGAACTCCCCACACCACGGAACTATCACTCCAGCGCACTTCTTCTACCCAATGCTACAGTATTTGTAGGCGGCGGTGGCCTATGTCCGTGGAAGTGCGACGCCAACCACTTAGACGCACATATTTATACACCACCTTACTTGTTTGAGTCTGATGGTGTCACGCCGGCAACACGTCCCATCATCAGCCATGTCGCCAACCCAATCTTGAAAGTCGGTCAAACAATCAACGTGACGCTTTCGAAGCCGGTTGAGTCAAATCAAAAGCTCACTTTTTCGATGGTCCGCATGGCTAGTTCGACGCACACCGTCAATACTGATCAACGCCGGGTGAACGTTTCTCCACAAGCTGCCACATCAACCTTATTCACCCTTGGTTTACCGCGCGATCCTGGTGTGCTGTTGCCTGGTTATTGGCATTTGTTTGCCATGCTTAACGGCGTTCCTAGCGAGGCTGAGACAATTCTTGTTGAACCTCCTCTGGCATAAGCACCCAGGTAGATGTGGCTGAGCTTGTTAGACACTTTTTTGATATATTGGATTTGATTTTGCCATTATGCCCGCGAAGCAGAATGATTCACGACAGAAGGAAGTTTCATGTATCAGTTTCATATCACTATTTGTCTCCAGTTCATGAGGGCGGGACATGGTATATTGGTTAGTTTGGATTATATCAGGAATTCTACTTTGTTGACAGCTTTGACAATGTAACTTACCTCGTTTATAATCTGCATCGTAGAGAATATGACTCATTCTCTCAAAATATTCGTAGTTGTGTAGGTTGATTTTTGTCTGTTGGTGTCCGGGTATTCGATGGAGCTCCAGTTCACTAGTCCGTATCGAGTTAGCCCCCTATAGATGTAGGATTAGTCTTAGTGAGTCACGTGCGCTAAGCCTAATCCAGAAAGAAAGAGCAAAGGGACACCCACATTCCGCCGCCACCGCCTCGTGCTCCCACCAATCATTGAGTGTCCCGCCGGTGGTTCCTGTAGAAAATCCGTCAGAATTCTTTCTGGCTCGGTGATTGTTATCCCCGCCACCAGGAACTGTTTCTTATATTCGTGGTGAATTGCATATCTCTCTAATCTTCCTCTTCTTGTCCTGTTTAGTTCCATTATAATTATATCTGCTTTCCCCAGTGCACCGACGCAACCCTGAGTATCACTCAAATTTTAAGCAACCGATCAATAACATCAACACGGCGTTCACAGAGCTCTCAAATCGCAATTTTTCAACTAGCATGAGCGTCACTGAGGCCTCAGTTGCTGCTCCCGTGGTGGCGAGCTCAGAAAACAACATCAGAGGCCATATGCGATCTCGAGGCCGGGGACGAGGAGGTTTTGGTCGAGGCTCTAACCGAGGTCGTGGTCGCGGTCATGGTCGGGGGCAAGGTCGAGATGGGACGAACGAGGCCTTTCAGCCAACGGCACCAGAGGATGCAGAGATACAAGCTCCTGTACAATCTATAACACAGCAAGGCCAGAGGAATCAAATACAACAGCCTCGACAAAACAGACATCGCGAACAGACGCAATCTTCAGCGGAGGGTACGAGTGACGGACCTCGGAGAAGAAATAAAAAGCCAGCAAATACGCAGTCGCGTAAGAGACTGCCCACACAAATAGGCGGCAGATCGTTTGGAGGCCGGTTAACAAGAGGGAACGGAGACTCGACAATGAATCTATCACCGGATAGTATTAGCAGGTCCAATACAGGCGGCCAGCATGGTGATCATTTACATGCTGATGTTCCTGAGTTCGTACCAGGTCAATTAGGCCATGATGCCAGATCCGGCCCCCAGCCCGTCAAACAAGCTCACAACCACCCTCCAAAAGTAACGACGAAATCCGCCGCTCCTGATATCGCCACCCGAACACACGAAGACATTGCGAATGGTCTGTACGAGTGTCCAATTTGTACAAATGAACTTGGTCGAAAGTCACGTATTTGGTCGTGCAGTCATTGTTGGACGGTATTCCATCTGAGCTGCGTCAAAAAGTGGTCAAAGAACGAAGGTTCGGCGTTCCAGCAGCGTCAAAACGAGAACGGCGAGGATGTACAACGAATGTGGCGCTGCCCTGGATGTAATCTCCCTCACGATGTTCTGCCAACAACATATTCGTGTTGGTGTGAGAAAGAAATTGATCCCCGACCTCTACCAGGAATTCCTCCTCACTCTTGTGGACAAACCTGTTCTCGAAGTCGAAAACGATGCCCTCACCCTTGCGATTCAACCTGCCATGCGGGTCCTTGTCCACCGTGTACTGCTATGGGACCGACACAAGACTGTTTCTGCGGAAAGAACTCAACGACAAAGCGATGTCTTGAAACAGATTACACTAACGGTTGGAGTTGTGGCGAGATTTGTGGTGACCTGCTTCCTTGTGGTAAACACACTTGTCCCCGACCTTGTCACGAGGGTCTTTGCGGATCTTGCGAAGAGAAAGTCGACGCTCGTTGCTATTGTGGAAAAGTCGAGAATCAGATCTTATGCAGCGCCACCGAAGAGGAAATAACGAGCGAGTCGGCATCTTATAATGGTTCTTCACCAGACACGTGGGTTGGCTCCTTCAAGTGTGGTGAAATATGCAACCGCACATTCGATTGTGGTGTTCATTTTTGCCAGAAAGAATGTCATCCTCAAGATCGTAATCAGCCTCACTGTCCACGCTCACCCGATGTGGTTCTACGCTGTCCATGCGGAAAGACACCACTTTCTATGATTAAAGGGTTCTCTCCGAGAACATCCTGCGACGACCCCGTTCCGAATTGCTCTGAGCCGTGTGGGAAAACCCTACCTTGTGGACATTCATGTCCTATGATTTGCCATACAGGCCCATGCCGCCCCTGTCTCATGAGTGTTACCATCGACTGCCGATGTGGCCGCAACACTTTCAAGACCATCTGCCACCAATCGAATATCGAATCTCCTCAGTGTTTCCGCGTTTGCAAGGCTACAATGAGTTGTGGACGACATATATGTGCGGAGCACTGCTGCTCAGGTGAACGCAAGGCCATTGAAAGACAGACAACCAAACGTAAAGCAAGGCCTCTCGGTTCTACACAGAATCGTGCAGCGGAAAACGACATCGAAGCCGAACACATCTGTACCCGTATCTGTGGTCGTATGTTGAAGTGTGGCAGGCACACTTGCCCTGAACTTTGTCACAAGGGCCCTTGTGGCACTTGTCGAGAGGCTATTTTCGAAGAAATCTCCTGTCATTGTGGTCGTTCCGTATTGTACCCCCCACTCCCATGTGGAACAAATCCGCCTCCATGTCGCTATGATTGTGAACGACCAAAAGCTTGCAACCACCCGCAGACACCGCACAACTGTCACACCGATAACGAAGAGTGTCCAAAATGCCCATTCCTCACGGAGAAATCCTGTCTATGCGGTAAAAAGCTTCTCAAGAACCAGCCATGCTGGCTGACCGAGCCGAGGTGCGGAATGATCTGTGGTGAACCTCTCAAGTGTGGTTCTCATACATGTCAAAAGCAGTGTCATCGACCAGGGGAATGTGAGGATGCCGTGGAACCATGCAAACAGGCGTGTGGAAAATCCAAGAAGATTTGCGGCCACTCTTGTTCCGAACCATGTCACGCCCCATTCGCGTGCGCTGAAAAGCAACTCTGCCCTACTATGGTCATGATTACCTGCCCATGTGGCCGACTCCGTAAGGAGAAGCGCTGCAATGCCGGTCGAGCTGTAACGAGTAAAGGCCAAACCACTCAAAACGAAACTCCGCCGTCGATCATGACTCTCAAGTGCGACGAGGAATGTGCTCGTCTTGAACGGAACAGGTCTCTTGCTTCTGCGTTGAAGGTCGATATTGATCCATCCACAACGTTGAGTCAAACTACATCCCAGTTGCCCGGTAACAGCACAAACATGCCTTATTCAGAGGAAACACTCGACTTGTATGTCCAGATTTCATCATCAGCGACCCTCTCCACTCTCCAAGATTACGAAGCGACACTCCATAGTTTAGCAGCAAGCACTACTCAGAGATCGGTCCGATTCCAACCGGCCAAAGCACCTCTTCGCGCATTCGTGCACTCTCTTGCTGCGGACTGGGGCTTCGCTTCCGAGAGTTTTGATCCTGAACCACATCGTCACGTCTTCGTTTTGAAGCCGACACAATGGTCTTCGCCCGGTTTGGGGCTAGGCTCAGGAATCGGCATTCGAGGAATATCTGTCGGCGAATGTGTACGTATCCGCGACCGCGAACTTTTCAAGGAGCGGGAAGCGCGACGCGTCGCTGCTGCTGAAGCAAAGGCATTGCGAGATGCGTTGAAGATAACATCTACCGAAGGGACTGATGGTAACGGAGGATGGGCGCAGGTAGCTTCTTCCCGGAAACGGCAAACAGACAGCAACTCGCCAGCCAACATAACTCGATCCGGTACTCCACTGACAGGACTTGGTGGTCGCGGCATCGGTAGTACTGGATCGATGTACGCAGCTTTGGGACTCGATGTTGCATCGTCTTTCGGCAATACCTCATCTAAGAAGAAAGACGGCCTTCTTGTCCTTCGTTCTGGAGTAGGATCTTCAAAGAAGAAATCCGAGCAGCATCAGCAGAATTATGAGGATCTTGCCGACAGCTGGGAGGAGCAAGTAGAACATGAGGAGCAGCGGGAGAAGGAGGAAGAAGAAGAGAGACGGCGGTCTAGTGAAGAAACAGAACGGATAGACTCTGAGTAGCAGATCCTGACGGACCAGATTGTTGTTTCGACAGAGTAACAGACCACGGCTTGTTATACGTATTATGAGATTACGATGCTTTATGATACATGTCGATAGCGACATAACTTTGATCGTTTACTTCAAAAGAGGATTATTAGAACCAGAAATAGAATCACACATCATTAGACACAATTTCTGAACATTCAATTGTGCCTCGCAGTCAGGGTTGACTTCCAGGTTGATAACCTTACACAATGCTTTGTAGAAATAAATAACTACTTAAGGACCCTTGAAGATAGCCTTGGATGTGAACTGGCCTTTGCTAAGACTACACCGTAAAACTTTGCCCAGGTGGAAGCTTCAATGCCTCCATTATCTATTGATATCACTATCTACATATGTACTATCGACTGTGATAACCCCCATCAAAACAAAAGCTGAGCACTTAATGACAAACTAGGCGGCAAATCATCTACACCTTTACCCCAAAAACTAGCAGTCTCATCAGACCCTACTGTCAACTCCAACGTCTGACCCTTCAAAAAGAACTCATGACCAATCCAATTTTTTGTATACGTCTGCCCATCAAGCGTCGCATTCATAATGTACATATCAGTATAAGTAGGATCAAAGTTCTTTACTCGAATCGTTGCCGTTTTTTTAGTCTCTGGGTGAGTGATATTCACCGACTCAAAAAAAGGGCTTGAAATGAGATAGACATTCTGGCCGGCCACTGGAAACAGACCTAATTGCGAGAAGATTGAGAATGATGCCATTGCTCCAGAGTCATCGTTACCTGGAAGACCGGATTCACTTGTGTTGAAGGATGACGGGATGTAGCTATGTGCGCGTTTGGTGGATAGACCTGGACGACCTGCATAGTGATAGGAATAGTCGGAGAGGAAGACGGGCTCGTTACTGATATCTGCTATTCCCGACTCGTAGTAATAATCAAGTCTCGAGATGAATTCGTCTGGGCCACCGAGGGTGGTTATCAGGGAGCTCATGTCGTGTGGGACATAACTGTTGTAGTTAGAATATGTGTATTATGGTTTATCGGCGAGGCAAGCGATGAAGTAGCGCAAAGTGAAAACGAGCGGATGTGAGAAAATAAAGCATACAATTGGTATTCCCAAACACTAGACTCGAATGTCTCGGACGGATTACTAGTCAGCGAGCAAAAGTCCGTTAACGGACTGCAAGCGATAGGATCCTGAAAACCCCATGTACCATTGAGATACCTGGGCTGGAAAAACCCAACAAAGCCGGTGTCAGTTCCATTGATGAATGAAGTTTGATCTGCTTTGAAAATGTTTTTCCAGTTCATTGATCGTGTCAAATATTTTGTAAGGTTGGTCTTTCCCAATCCTTTCCCTACCACGCTCACGCAGTAATCATTATAAGCATATTCAACGGTGCGCGAAATTGAACGAGAATTCGTTCCGAATCCCAGGTAGTCAAAATCCAGATAAGGAATATATTGGAGATTCTTCCAGCTTTGCAAACCACCACGTCCCTGAATGGACCACTCTAACGGCTCGTTTTCGGCATCGTTAACCAAAGCGTCATAGGCAAGGTTCCAGTCTATCCCGGTGAGATTCTTCACATATGCATCAGCCAGGACCACGTCAGCATTAGAACCGCCTTGGGTCCACCCTTTGCAAAGACTCATGCGGCAGTCGGGTAGCCATCCTTCATGTTTATATATGTCCACTAAGCTACGAACCATTTGCGATTGAGCATTAGGATCGACTATTGTCAATAACGGATATTGCACACGAAACGCGTCCCAAATACTATCCTACGTTAGCTTATTGATCAGTACTAACAAGCTTCACGCAGACATACCAGTAGTAAGAGTCGAAGTAAGGCTCGTCACTGTTCCATAGTGGATTCTCACCGGTATAATTCTGCGGAGACAGCATCGTCCGGTAGATACCACTCCAGAATATTTTCTGGAAATCCTCGCTGACGCCCGTCGCATTTACAGACACAGGACTCAGCTTTTCTCTCCACACTTTCTCGGCAGCAGACTGAATGTTGGCAAAATCTGAGGTAGGCTCAGGAATCTCCTTTTCAGCATTCTGACATGCTTTCTCGGTGCTGACCAGACTGACTCCGACACGAGCATATAACGTATGGCTAGATAAACTATCAAACATAACGAAACCACCTGCTTCGAGATAGAAGTTGTTGAAACCACGAGTGACATATAGATCTTGCGCGACTGTACCTGCACGGTTATTGACCCATATTCCTGTATCGTTGACACTACCACCTGCAAAGTCAACACATACAAACGATCTGTAGGAGCCTGCGCCGAAGCTCGGCAGGAAAGTCCCATTCGCACGAATACGGCCACTCGATTCATCCACGCTGACTGTAGCATTCTGCCTACTTTGCCATAGATCGGTCAAATCTAGTAGAATCAAGGGTTTTGTTCCTGAGCTGTTTGCAAGAGCACTTTCAAAGTTAAATTTATACAGTGCGGCGTGTCGAGTGGCCGTCATTTCTGCAGCAATACCATTTACCAATTTCAGACCAAAATAGCCTGGAGTAGCCTTGACACTTGCATTATCGTAGTTGACAGCACGCGAACCAACAAGAAAGTTGCAATTGTCAATCACATCGTCTGGACAGATTTGGGGCATGATAGGGAAGTTTCCCAAAGATGGATTACCTCCGGTACCTGAATCATGCATAGCTGAGAAACCAGTTACACCACTGCCATCGGTAGCGAAGCCACCGGTATTTTGTCCATTGACGTCGGCAACCGGCTTAGCCATGCCGTAAGGCAACGTAGCTCCGGCGAATACGTTTCCACCATTGTTGGTACCGATCAATGGATCAACGAAGCGCAATGGGTCGAATTCAGCTCGAACAGAAACTGCAAGAAGGATGCTAGCTGTCAAACGTTTATTTATCTTCATTGCGGAGGCCAGTCGTGGCTAGTAAACAATCGAGAAAAGTAGAGGGGAGGGGAGATGAAGAGGAATGAGACACGCGAAGTTTCTACATTTTGCACGCAGATCAGCTTTGCGGGGTATGCGAACTAAATTCGCGGAGATAGTGCTAGGCGAATTGATGGGATATTTTCCAGGGCACAGAGCGAGGTACAACAAGATGTTGACTGTTGAGGTGACATCGGCCAGAAGATCATTCCTTAGCTTAGAGCTAGGCTTTACTTGCTTAGTCAAATGCTTTACACGGTAAATATATTACCGACTTATCGTGTATTGAAACAATATTACGAGGTACTACGTATCCGTATCAACGATTGCCTTATCTGCTTATCAACATACTAAGGTGGAGAATGAAATTTAGAGTGTTTATATCCACAGTACTATCCAACATTTTCAAATCATGACACAGTACGGAGTATCTCGTAGTGTATGACACTAACCAGGCAAATATTGATAACAAGAGTCAGCCATACTACCTGAGATTTGTCAGAAGTTTTCGATTCTCATAAGTAGCTGAAATACATCGTTCATCTTGAAGCGGAATTCCCCCCTGAGCGGCTTATTCTAGAAGCCAGCCTTAATAATCGGATGGCCCCACTGCGGAAGAGTCCGCCCCGGCCTTACAAACCTTATCGTCCAATCGGAGCAAATATCGGGATTGTTTTTAAATTTTGCCCTTTTTTTTTGCAAGTCTTTTATTATCCCCGAATGGTTTTTTGATACGACTAGTCATTATCATATGCTACTCTCTCGGAGATACCAACATCTAGGCAGCAAGAGAGCATGATTTAAAAAGTCAAGTCTTTTTGTGTCGGCTTGGAGTATTTAGGTACGCTTTTTAGACATTTTCGCTATTATCTTCCACTAATATCATTGCGCGATAGTACTTCAACACGGGGAGAGATTTATTCCGAGGCCACCATGACGGACATCACACTTGATCAAAAGGAACCCGACCAGGAGGAGAACGCTGTCGGTGCTGTACGTAATCCAAACGAACGTCCTGAATGCTTTTCAAGCACTTCCCAAGAATGTCTCTTCGTTCTCACCTCGACTATGGCCATCGGCATGACGTCTTTCTTTCAAGGCGCTATTATTGTCGTTTTGGCTGAAATCAGCAGGGATCTGAACATGGATTCTGCCGAGACGACGTGGACTACTGCGGGTGTTGCGTATGTTACCCTATACCTCTGTTAATCATTTGATCGACTTAAACTAATCCTTTGCTTGGGTTAAAATAGACTGAGTAGTGGTACCTTTCTGCTACCCTTTGGAAAAGTGGCAGATATGTTTGGCCGCAGGACCCTTTTCATCGCGAGCATGATAGGATTCACCCTTACTCTACTAGTGATTGGCTTTGCAACTTCAGCTCTGTACTTCGACATATTCTCAGGTGTAATAGGGCTCTTTTGCGCCTCATCTGTTCCTCCTGCTGTTGGCCTACTGGGGATTGCCTATGAAAAACCATCTCCGAGGAAGAACAAAGCGTTTGCCTGCTTTAGTGCTGGTATGTCGCTGTCATCTCATTGCTTTTCCGGCCTCAGATCGTTGCCTTTCTAGGCAATTTAGAGGATTCGTAAGCCAGAAGTGAAGGAGTCATTGTTGATAAGTATTACTACAGGTAATCCTCTTGGCTACGTTGGAGGCATGCTTGTCTCCGGAATCGCTTCTCAGGTCTCTACCTGGCGAGCATCTTTCTGGGCTCTAGCTGTCATATACGCAATTTTCTCGATTCTTAGCATAGTTACTGTTCCAAAAGATTCATCACAAGCCAAGGCTCCATTGACGTGGCAAAGCTTGTTAAAACTCGACCCTCTCGGCATGCTACTCGCTGTTACCGGCATAGCTCTTTTCTCAAGTTCTTTATCGTACGTTTCTTCAAGCACTTTTCTCTCCAGTCCGGGACATAATGCTAATATATCCTAGACTCGCGGGAGATGCGCCCCAAGGCTGGCGTACCCCATATGTCATTGTTCTCCTTGTACTAGGTGTCTTGCTCATTGGGGCTTTCCTCTACTGGCAATCGATCTATTCCACACCCTTGATGCCTCTCCACATTTGGCGTGACCGAAACTTTTCCTTGGTGAGTCGCTTTCTAACCTGCATTACCCGCTTCCCTATACTAACATCAGCGGTGTTTTTCCAGTTGATGGGCGCCCTTTCTCTTGGCTTTATGGCATTTGTCTCCGGCCAGTTTTGGATGGCTCTGTACATGCAACAAGTCCAGAACTACAGTGGCCTGGAGATCACTGTTCGCTTATTACCCATGGTTGTGGGCGGTGTCCTGGTTAATGTCGCCTGTGCACTGATCCTCCATCGAGTCAGTAACAAGCTTCTTATGTTCGTCGCCACCGTGGCATATACGTTATCTTTCCTGATTGCCAGCTTTACGAAAGAAGATAGCATTTACTGGGGCTGCTATTTTGTGCCTTTCGTTCTAATGGTGGTTGGAGCGGATATTGAATTCAACGTCGTGAATGTAAGGATATCTTTCCCTGTCTTGCCCGTTCTTCGATCGAATGGAATTTGATGATAAATACAGATGTATGTCATGTCCTCACTTCCACCGTCCGAGCAGTCCCTAGCAGGCGGCATCTTCAATACCGTCTCCAAATTAGTCTCCAACGTCGGCCTTGGTATATCGACTGCTATCTACAACGCCGTACGAGACGAAAGAAGTTCTTCTGTCATTCGACCGTATCTGGCAACTTACTGGTTTGCTACTGCTATTGCAGGCGTTGCTATATTCCTAGTTTCGTTTCTCAAGCTCGGGACTCAAGGGGGCAATGATTCGAAAGAGCAGTCTGATGAAGACCCATCATCAGAAGGAGTGAACATAAAGGTGGGGTATAAATCCGAGAACTGAACGCCTGGGGCCATGTAGATACGACGCACTCAAGATTCACTTCTGTTAAACTAAGCTGCGAATTATAGACGATGCTAATACAAATTTCAACATTTTCAGCACTGGATACAAATAGACTGAACGGATCATGGAATGCCTGGTATTTAAACGTTGAAATATCCTTGGAATCTGTTCCAAGCTCGGTAGAAATCTATGCCTAGGAAGTATGAAACAACCTTGGAAGGCCTGTGGATGCCTCGGTGAGAGGACTGTCCGAGCTTTACTGGCTACAAATACCGACCATATCCCCTAGCTAGATAGATTCCTCATGCTTAGCTTTCTCCATCAACACCACTGCAGCGATCTCTATCTAGTGAACGCCTCTCTAATGAAATTGAGATAGATATATGCCCCCTACCTCGCCCCAGCCGGGATTTCCGCGAGTTGAAATCGTCATGGGGCGTCTGATCGTCAAGAATGAAGACAGAGGTGTGCAGTCGTTTATCGTTTGGTTGAATGATGGGAATCGGATGTGCAAGGGGGTCTATGCTAGGTACAAAATCATCCACAAATTCAATCATTACAAAGATCGCGGATTGTTCATGAAGAATGTATAGCAAGAAACTAATACATATGCGATCGATAGAGTCCTCCCCCGCCGAGCAGGTTCAAAACCCCTCGACCACAGTATAACAAGCTTCCGTCATGTCCGGCTCCCTAGCACTGCACTGCTCGGAGATACGAACAATAACCAAAACTTCCACTCCACTATCCACCGCGTACACGTCGGGACCCTGGCCCTGTCCACGGTTCTGATTCCCCAACTTCAACATGCTGCATATGTTACAGGGAAATATAGTCTTCGTCGGCATGTTACAGGTTCCAACGGCATTGCCAAACCGGTCATCTCATTCCGGACACAACAAGCACCTATTTTACACTGCCTTGCTCGGAGTAAGGTTTACAAAGCTTTCGCGAAGGAATGTATTCACGTTTTCATGAATAAAAACATAGAGTACAGAGTGAGACATGGAATAGCAGCGACTTTCAAGGCCGTTGTGACACATGCAAGTCAAAAAACGCTTTATGCGCTGGCTGAGCGGTGTGGAGCGCAGGGCTTATTTGAATATAACGGTGTTATTGAGAGTCAGTTGACTGCGAGGGGAGTTTCTATTGCGGAGGGGGATATGTTGGTTTTGACTATCCGTGCGTCCCTGTTTGATTTTCGTTCTCATTATGACTCCAGGGTTTGTGTTTACCAGGTGCTGACTAAAGCTGAATGATGCTATAGGACTAGCGACGGAGTTACTCCTTAGACGATACAGCCTGCCACCACCGAGAAACGCATTTTGTCTTTTGGCGAGGTACGAACATGGGGTTTTTGAGTGGAGTCGAAAAGAACTCAATGGTATTTCGAATGGTCATCATAGTGAGGAGTATAACACACGAATCTTACCACATTGTCATTCTTTGGTTAGAGCAATTGGGAATAGACTAGCATATGAAGCTGCGTTGGAGGAGGGCGTGGAGAAGGATCTCCTCGATCTATACGAGGCAGGGGTGTTACTGCAGTCACCAGCTCTGAGTCTCCAAGGCACTGGCATCGATTTGTGGAGAGAGATCCAGAAGGAAAGACAGGCGATGGATGCCATACTACCTAGGCTTGAGCACTTGTTGGATGGTACTGGGGTGGAACCCTACATCACAGCGCCCATCCTTACGGAAGAGTCCTGGGTGGCGTTTGTAGACAGATTACCTGGGTATGGCGACAAGCTATATACTCGAGATATTGATGGCGCAGATTGTAGACTTTAATTTGAAAGGACTTTCTGAACTATCATAAAGAACTCGTTCATGTAGACACCACTTTTCAACACCACATTATACCCTAAGCTGTCTTAACAATTTCTCAAAATCTCTCTTCAAGGATTAATAACCTCCGCGGACATCGGATTCTAAACAGTTCCTGTAGCGTCACAATAAACCTAGAATTCTTTGCTTACTGACAATATGATATTTGACGCTACATGATGGTCGAGTATATTCTGTTTGCTAATTGATTAAAGATGCGAATTTAAGTGACTTCCTTGGTGAACTCCTGCTGGACAAGGATATCAAAAATTCTAAAGCACTACAATATTAGTTGGTACTACATTGAGAACATCTTAACGAGGAGGATACGCAGGATATAGTTATATGGGATAGCGAGGTTAATATATATATAGGCGAGAATGATAGGTAATGCAGCGGTCGTAGCCATAGCTAGATATCGCCAAAGCCCATGAATGGGCCCCCATAAAAGCCCAACTTTGCATAAAACTCAGGTCTTAGCGTTCATAAAACTGCTGATTCATCGAAATAAAATAACTTAACTAGTTGGTAACGTTACTGTTATTTGCCACCCTGTTCTCGCATCCAACTTATTGTAACAACGAGACTGGGCGGGCATGTTGGTTGTTACATTCGCACATCTCTAGACTATAGTTTGTCAAAGTATGACTTCACATTGATTACCATTCAGTATAACCTTGCTGTGGAAACATTCGCCCCCTTTATTGAAGAAATGCCAGATTTGGAGGAATTGATGGATAAGATTCTTAGGTTTGATGTTTCGTATGCTGTTCTATTCTAACTTACATGCCTACCTGTCGTTTCTCTGTCCCTGCTGGCTAATGGAATGAGCAAATCTAATAGAGCCCAATTCCTTCTTACCGAAGTGGGACACGGACTAGATGCCAAAAACATAGAGACAACGGCTACGTTGCTTGACAACGGAGAGTTTGAACTCCACACCCCGACAAGGCGCGCTTCCAAGTTAGTTCATCCGCTACCCTCCCAATAGAACTTGTTAGGCCTGAGCACTCGTTACACCAGGCCCCAAATGACCCTTCCCTGCTACATGGTTTTACAATAAGTCCATATCCGATGCGGCCATATCGACGGGATTTATCAGGTCCTGGTGGTAGGTCCAGAATTTTGGAGAGAGACCAGCAATGTCTTTTGTTGTGAATCCTACCCAAAGCAAGTAAAGTGTTATTTCCGGGTCTCCTCGTGCACACAGGGGGGATATTACCATATGTTCTTGCGATAGCAAGGGCGTGATGATATGCCAGGGCTATCTTCTCTGCATTGTTCATGGAGTCTGTTGCGACTCGGAAAAGGTCCGTCTGGAGGAGTTGACGACTGAATCCCGACATAGTGTACGATTTCTGCAGTCAGGTCAAGGAAGTGGTTGTGCCAGATCTATTTCTAAGAAGACCGTTGCATTTGTGTACTGCGCAGGCCTCGCACAAGCTGAAACTTGGACACTGTGTTTTAAATAGTATATTAACTAATTCTAATTTCATTAGCTAAGCTCAGGGATCAAAGAAGACCCAAACAACTTTTGCAGCTGTCGAGGTACCACTATCTAACTGGCAGCATGTTGAAAGTTTAACATCGCAAAAGTTCCCGTTTACGGTATGGCTGTTAGATAAACTGGATATCCAGCAAGACAGTGTCAGATAATTCGGATATCCGGAGGCAGTAAAAGGAAGTGAACAATCAGAAGCCCTATCTTATAGCCCCCAAAATTTACCCTCTTGATAACTCACAAATCACCCCGCCAAAAGTGTCTATAAAAGACCCGGCTTTGAAACCTGATGGATAGAGAGACGAAGAACTCAATACATACAATCTTGCTAGTCACTTATTTTCTTTGATCCTAGTAAAGCACTCTTCAGGATTGGCCTGGAATAAACCGACTAATCCGACAATGGCTTAAGTAAATGATTCTCTTAGCGTTTCCCACCCTTTCATGCCGAAGGAAAAAATGGATTTACAACTCCCTGAATTAAGGAAGTCCTCAAAGGATTTAGACACACTATATGGTATAGCAATCTAGATCATTCTTTCCATCTAGATAAGATGTGTACAGCGTACTATTAGAGAGTCGGATAAGACAGGAATATGCTGAACATAGTCGAGCATAGCAAGACTATGTTTGATACAACATAGCCAATATAGCCAGGATCGAACGACTATATTAAGCGAAAAGTATTTAAGGACGCTCATTTGCCATGTAATTAGTTTCACTTTATCGTCTTGAATTAACCATGTTAAGTATCCCTTAACTGTGATAACTTGAGTATACGTTCTTCTATCGAACCGGATATTCACGCTTTTGTTAAGACTTTACTTTCAAGAAGCCTTTCGTACTTAGAAGCCTATTAACTTCGATTCGTTAATGGCTATCCGAGCTATACTCGACGGTAGTTCAACCGAAGTTTCCGGCACCCGTCTGGGCCGTCTCTACCTGTAGCCCTAGTACACACACCTAACCCGGCCGCCTACTGCGCTGAGGGTCTCCTCCCGCACGTGGAATTGGACCTAATTGCTGAACACTGGTAGGCAGGGCCAATCTGCTAGATAGGGAAATGTCTGACTCTTAGGAATTCTATAATATATGGCGCAATTCAGGGCCGGCCTTAGGGTCAATCTAAAAGGCGGGGTGATTGTGCAATGCCGCAGTGATACCTGAGGTACTAACTGCGTATTTGTCCTATATAGCCTTCCTCCTTCTCTTTTCTCATCTCTCTCCAGGTCTTTTCACTCCCAGGTGATCCTCCAAGTCTGAGCTCTGCAACAGTTACAAGCAAGGCTGTAGTTCCAAGTTCCATCACCTAGCTACGCAAAACCCACTCAGCTGTCTTGTGCCCAGCACAACACCCATCGAGCACAACATGTCCACTCAACTTGACGCCGCCGCTATCGCCCGTGTCTCCCTACACGACCCCACCCACTTCAGCATCCAGCACTCCCAAACCGTTCACCGCCTGGTGCTCCTGCAGCACTGGAACATTCCCGCTGACTCCAAGGTGCTGGAACTAGGATGCGGGCAGGGGGACTGCACAACAGCCCTTGCCTCTGCTGTGGGGGAGCAGGGGAGGGTGGTGGCGGTTGATCCGGCGGAATTGGATTATGGTGAGTCCTCTTGCTTTTCTTCGGTGCGAGCGGAAAGCAGCCAACTGATGGCTCCTGCAGGTGCACCGTATACTCTCGGTCAAGCACAGAGTTACATCTCGCAAGGCCCGCTGGGTAACCGGATTATTTGGGTCCGACAACCCCCCCTGGACTACCTCTCCTCCCTCCCCTCCCCACATTCCAGCGAAAGTAAGGCCTTCGACGCAACAGTGCTCGCCCACTGCCTATGGTACTTCGCCTCCCCTGAGCTCATCCTTTCCACCTTCCGTGCCCTCAAGCAGCACAGCAAGCGTCTCCTCCTTGCTGAGTGGTCGTTAGTAGCGACGCACCCCTCTGCCCAGCCTCACGTATTAGCTGCACTCACCCAGGCAGCGCTGGAGTGCCGTAAACCAAACAGCGTCTCGAACGTCCGCACGGTGCTGGGGCCAAAGCGGCTTACCGAGCTGGCCCTGGCTGCCGGTTGGCAGGTGGAGAGTGAGACCCGCGTGCCGGGTAGGGAGGGGTTGTTGGACGGACAATGGGAAGTCTCTGCTTGTCTTTCTTCATCATTCGAACAGGAAGTAGAGGAGCAAGTGAGTGATGAAAGGGAACGGGCGGTGGTTCTTGCGTCACGGGATGCGTGTGAGGCGAGCTTGGACGGTATACAGGGGGGTCGGAAAGGAGTTAAGGCTATGGATGTTTGGGTTGCTTCTTTCATCTGATTGGGCAAGCTGAGCGTGTCCTAGCCCTCCTCTAAGCCCGATGTCTGACTCTGCTTACACAATAAATTCTCATCATAAGTCCACCGAGATCACAACTGTGACGGCTCAACTAACAACTCATATTGCTAGGCAGCTATTGACGAGAAATCTAAGCATGAGGAAGGAAAGAAAAAGGAGCTAGCTGAGTGTGTATGTGTGTTTCTATTTGACGGCCGTGGTTCGTGACTCTCACGCTTCCCACCGATCCCTGCTGGGACATAGGCCGCCGAGGGGTAATCCTCGGGCTTCAAGCTCTATATCAGATTTATATACAAATAAGAGATTCTCTGGCGCATTTCAATAGCTGCCATGGTCTTACAGGGAGGTCCACTTCTAAGTGGATTTTAGATATTTGCCAGCTACAATGATCCACCTACACTCAATGACCCATTATTCTTCCACCATAGTAATTGAACAGTAAGTTTTACAAAAAGAGAAAGAAAAAGGGAAGAGATTAAAAGATGGGAGAGAGAAATATAAAGGGAAAGTAGAACTGTCTTAGTTAGGTGCTAAGGAGAGGTTGGCGAGGGTAGATGTCCTCAAAGAAGCGGATCTCTGCTAGCCATGTGGCTAACCTTTGGGTTTCTTTCGCAGTACCCAAATGAAATAATATGACCTCAGAGAGAGGCCCTGGAGGACGAGGGACTCGTATCTTAGCTATATAGTAGAAGAAAAAGTGTAGAGGTGCTTTCTGTGCTCCACATCAGTAGAAAGGATTAGTATTATTATGGTTGAATGGTTCATAGTAGTCCGCGAAGTCTCCGCGTCCAGTACGGACAGCAATAATATGGCCAAGGGCAAGTCAGGAGAGCTGAAGCTGGCCTCGGCACTTAGGAGATATAGTGATTCCTAGGCCTTGGTATGCTATGGTGCCATGCTCTGCCATAGTGTCTGGGCAGCAGAAAGGGCTCGAGCCTTAGCATATCTCTTTAGCGAGGCGTATAAGGACTTATGTGGAGGGGGAGAGATAGAGGCGGCCCCCTCTTTAGGTTTGCGATCAGCTGCCTCATTCTCTGGGATATTCGTGTGTCCAGGGACCCATCGAATTCGGATGGAGCCGCTTTTGGTGCAAAGAAGCCTTTCGCGGAGTAGCTACACAGCTGCAAGTGTGTAGAAGGATTCAAAGACTCCTTAAGAAGATCCTGTGGAGGGAGATAGGAGGCGTGTAGCAACTTCCAGATTATCAAGGCAGACCCAAAGATTAGTGGCAAATCAAGCTTTTAGGAATACTATAGCTGCCTAAGCTCCAGCATCATGCAGGCGGCCTCCTTTCCACAACTGACCTTCGCTTCCTGGGCATTTCTTCTCCTCGGCGGGCCAGCTGGAGCACCCTTCACATTTGTGAGCGCACGGAAAGAATCCGCAGAGACAACCTTTTCCCACAGCCGATACGAACAATTCAGGCCTTACCTTCCAGTTCAAGCTCATATCCAAGGCGATGACCGCTATACAACTGTTGAAGACGGATCCCTATCAGAAGATCGGTCGGGGACTTACCTGGGCGATGAAGTCTGCGGCTTAAAATCCCTATCGTATGATCAACCGTACATTTCGCCCGAGGCTATTGCTGTGATATGTTCAAGCTCAGATGATTATTTTAATTCCATCTTGAAATGCATGGAAAATACTTTTGGGAGCATTGAAGGGATTCCCGATGCGATTGAACGACATTGCTCCCATGTGTCAGACAATCCGTTCATGCATTCATCATTGCCAATTCCTTCAATTTCGCTGCATCTGCCGTCGATATGCCTTGTTTTTGTGGTGCTGGGGGTTGCTTTTTTAGTAGCGAGCATCCTGCAAGCTAGTCGGGACGACCAGCACAACCTATTCCGTTCTGAATAGTCTCTGAGAGAGGAAACGAGGTGCACGCGAAGAATATTTGTTAGTCATATCTGTGTGATGGATGTGAGGGGAGGTTGATACGTATTCATTTTACATACTTCTGATTACAAACGCAGATAAGTGATGTTATTGACGGCGCTCTCCTAAGGTCATTGAATCACAGTTATCTAGGGCGGCAGATCACTCATAGTTAAAATGCATCTTGATTCTTGTTATTGTTAATTCCGATAGCTCCAACATCATTTCCTGCCTTCCCGGACGCGAAGCGCTGTCTGCTGGACCTAGTAATGTCCAACGACCCACCCACGGCCAATGAAGAGCATCTAGTGTTTAATATTGCTTGGGACTTGTGGATTACTGGGATGAGTCTACTGGTTCAAAAAAAGCGATATGGTGCTACTGGGCAGTCAGATAGAGTGGCGTACATTCCCAAATCTCACCATCTTCCTGAAACTCAAGTGGAAGCATACGCGGATTGGGCGAGTTGAAAAGAATGAAAGGAATCGTGTGATCTCACCTCGTCGTCTCGCTTTCTCGACCGTAATAAGTTATGAGACGCCGGAACTACCACCTCTTCGAACAATCCAGCGGATACTAGTACGTACGGAAGCGTCACTGATTTGAGGTGGGCTTGTAATTTCCTTCGTTCTTTACGGTTTATACTTACCTCGGTTGAATCCATATTCTGACCCCGTTGGGGGCACATAAAAGGACAGACGGGCAATGGCCCTACCCTTTGTTAAGTTGTCACCAGTCCAATCAGTTATTTAATTAGTTAGTTGTTAAGTTAGTTAAGTTAACGTAATCCACAAGCGAGCCGCCATCACAAGCGAGCCGCCACCTTTTCCCGAACCCGTACACGATATTGATTTCAAATAATTCAACACGTCAATATGCCACCAATTCGCAATAAAAACCCAAAAGATTTAGTTGAGCAAGAAGGCCAAATCTTATTAGTCATTTCCGATTTGCAGAATGGCAAAATCTCTACAATTGCACAAGCTGCTAGGATTTACAATATCCCTCGTACGACTCTCCGAAATCGACTACATGGCACTCAACAAAGATCTCTCGTACGCGCCAACAACCATAAATTGACTCAATTTGAAGAGTAATCACTTGTTAAATGGGCCCTTGACTTAGATAGACGTGGATTACCTCCCCGGCACTCTCTCGTACGAGAGATGGCTAATCATCTTCTCTTACAACGCGGCAATCAACAGGTTGGAGAAAATTGGGTATACAATCTTGTCAAACGTCGCCCAGAGATCGAATCAAACTTTTCACGGAAATATAATTATGAACGTGCTAAATGCGAAGATCCAAAGATAATCCAGAAGCATTTTGATCGCGTACGAGAGGTTATATCTGAGTATGGAATCTTACCGGAAGATATCTATAATTTTGATGAGACTGGCTTTGCTATGGGACTCTGTGCAACTGCAAAGATTATTACCGGAAGCGATCGATATGCTCGGCCAAAGCTTTTACAGCCTGGAAATCGAGAATGGGTGACTGCAATCGAGGCAACTAATTCAACTGGTTGGGCTCTGCCATCGTACGTTATTTTCAAGGCGAAGCAATATACTCGATTAGGCTGGTTTGAGGATCTTCCAAGCGATTGGAGAATCAATATTAGTGAGAATGGATGGACTACAGATAAGATTGGATTAGAATGGCTTAAAATCCATTTTATTCCTCTTACAAATGGCCGTACAATGGGAAACTATCGAATGTTGATTCTTGATGGCCATGGAAGTCATTTAACTGCTGAATTTGATCGTACATGTACTGAGAATAAGATTATTCCAGTCTGTATGCCTCCTCATTCCTCACATCTTTTACAGCCTCTTGATGTTGGCTGTTTTGCTGTTTTAAAGCGACATTATGGACAGCTTGTTGAGCAGCGAATGAGGCTTGGATTCAACCATATTGATAAAATCGACTTCCTTACTGCATTCCCAAAGGCTCGTACGATGGCATACAAAGCTCAAACTATCCGAAATAGCTTTGCAGCAACTGGATTAGTGCCATTTAATCCAGATCGAGTTCTTCAACAACTTAATATTCAATTAAAGACACCAACACCTCCTCCAAGTCAATCAAGCAATACACAATCATCCTGCTTACAAACCCCTCAAAATCCACGTCAATTCAAGCGCTAAATGACTACAATTAAGGAGCGAATGAGCCGGCGTACGAGAAGTCCATCTCAGGATACTGATGAAGCAATTATGCGGATATCAAAGGCCTATGAACTGACTGTGAATGATCTTTTACTCGTACGGAAAGAAAACCATGATTTACGAGCTGCGCATGAAAAAGAGAAGGAAAAACGTCAAATATCTAAGAAACAGATATCTACTGAGCAAGGTATTACTAGAGAGGAAGCCCAAGCACTCGTACAAAGCCAGGTTGAGGCATCCCAAGCCGTTACTACTACTCCAGGTGAGCCTGAGCTCCCAGCTTCTCAACCAGTCGTACGCCGCCAATTTCGCTGCAGTGGCTGTGGTGTTGAAGGACATAAAATAACTAGATGTCCTAATCGTACTAGTAATTAATTTTTTGTATATAATTTGTATGTGGGTTAGAAATCGAGATTTGGAATCAATATCGTGTACGGGTTCGGGAAAAGGTGGCGGTCGCTTGTGATGGCGGCTCGCTTGTGGATTACGTTAACGTGTTTCACGGGTAAACGGCGCACCCGGGTAAGTGGCACAGCCGCATCCCACTTGGTTCAAAGAACTCGTACAATTTATATGCAAACAGTGAATAAATTAATATTTACCTATGTAGATATATTTGGACAGCGATTGCGCTTATGCCCTATTTCCCAGCAATTACTACACCTTGGTAGGGCCCGTTGAGCTGGCTGCAAAGGCGCGCTCCCGTTGGGTGGAGGAGGGGGTTGAGCCTCTTCAGGAAGCTCCTGAGCAAGCTCTCGGCCTTCAGCGACTGTCAAAATACCATCGGCTTGTAGGGCTTTTGTACGGCGAGTGCGGCGCTTCTGTAAAATATCATTTGCTTCGCGTAGGTTATGGTTCTCCCTAGCTAAAATGGCAGCTTGGTGCATCACTACAAGGGATCCCTTGATCAACTGGTTAAAAGCCGGACACGATGGCGAATTGCTGTCTAAATCTCCCATATTGAGAGATCTCTTGACAGATTTGGCCTGTTTTTCTAGCGTACGGGCATTGTAAGGCGTTTTTGGGCTCCAGGTGCTGCTGCTTGACGTGCTAGGGCGAATTGAGGCTGGAGTAGCCTCCCGGACAGCAATTTGCAACTGAGATAGGACTTTTTGTGGATTATATGGCACAATCCCAGTGTGTGAAAAGCCGCTCTTAATATTTTGTGTGGTATAAGTTTGGATCCGTACGCTGTAAAGCATATCTAAGAAATCCAGCTTATCAACATGGTAAATCCCAATCCGAATCCGGCTCTCAACGGCGGCCCCGTATAAGCGCTTCAACACTGAAAACACCCCTACATCTAGAGGCTGAAGAAGATGAGATGAATGAGGAGGCATGCAACATGCAATAATATTATTATTTTTACATGCCTGATCAAATCCCGGTGTTAAATGGCTGCTATGGCCATCAAGTATCAAAAGCCGATAGGTACCAACTGTGAGAGGCCTCGTTTTTGGCTCAAATATCCTTTCTAGCCACTGTAAGCCGATTTCATCAGATGTCCAGCCATTTGGAGAGTGCGTAATTAACCAATCAGGGGGAAGCTTTGGGCTTGTATACCACTCAGCTCTGTTGGTGCCGGATTTGAATATAATCAGGGGAGGCACCACAGTGCCGGTGCTTCCAACGCACTCAACAACAGTAACCCATTCACGATTTCCTGGCTGAATGAGGCTAGATTTTCCTGAACAATCTGAGCTACATATAACTTTTGCTGTAGAAGAGATCCCCATGGCGAACCCTGTCTCGTCAAAGTTGTATATATCTTCATCGGCAATCCCATATTCCTCTTTGAGCTGCTTAATCTCCTCAAAAAAGCCACCAATAACGACTGGATCTTCACAAAGAGCTCTAGAATAGGATAATCGGCGTGCGAATTTAGCCTTGAGATCCGGTTGTCGCTTAAGAAAGGTTGTTACCCAATTCTTACCAACCTTCTCAGGTATTTTGGTAGGATCTCTTTGAGCTAGCAAAATATTTGCCATTTCATGGAGCATATGCTGCCTAGGCGGAACGCCACGGCGCTCTAGTGAGAAGACCCAACCCCGGAGTACAGCTTCTTCTGTAGGGGTCATCTTTCTGCGTGTTATACTGGCATTATGCGCTGGAACTGAGCCCTTCAGGCGCCTTCGCAGTGTTGTTAAAGATACGTCAAAAGTGCGTGCGGCGTCGCGTAATTTCGTGATTTTTTCGTTATTTAGCGCATCAATAGCAAGAGAAAGCCTCCCTTCATAGCTAGGATCATTTTTTGTACGCGATTTAACCATTTTTTAATGCTGTTGGTTCTGCGGAAAGTTGTTGCTAGAAATCCGGATGGAATTTTGATGTGGTGTGCCACTTACCCGGGTGCGCCGCTTACCCGTGAAACACGTTAACATTATTGGCTTAGTAAGCGGACTAGACTGGTCAGCTTCAGCTCACTGAGCATGTTTCTCAGCAGATGTGAAGCTTACTGATCTGGTCAGCGCTCTCAGAGGCGTGCTCAGTTCTACTCAGTAAAAGTGGCGAGGGGGTGAGCACTAAAATGGAACGGGAAAGTCGAAAAGCGTCCAAGGAAATCTAGTACGTAGGTAGACTTGTAAAATCTGTCTTCTCCAACTTCGGTGATATTCCAAAATAAACACCACAAAGCTGGATAAGTTACATCACAACACATCCACCTACGTCCAACTCATCCGCGTCTTCTCCTTGACGAACCTTGAACCTCTCGTCCGGTATTTCCAGATCATCCCAGTAAGTATGATTTGTGAAACATCCTCGTCCTCCTCATTTAAGACTAACGTTGTCAAAGCTAGTCTCTCGGTGTACGGTATTTCGCCCGTCAGGTGCACTTGAGTATAATAAGGATGATTCGCTTTACGCGGTTTATCCTCGACCTTGTCGAAAAGCATCGTGATCCCTACCGTGACCCAAAGATAGTTGAGACTCGACAGTGGTCGCCCCCGGCCACACACATCAGAAAGTATACCCCATTTTAGGCTCTTCAAAAGCTTTGATTCTAATATGGCAACGTCTCTGCGCTTTTCATAATGGTGTTCAGTGGCCGCTTTACTGCGCTGAGCCTTGTAATCTACTCTGTATCCCCCAGAGAGAGAAGCCAGCATAATTCCAGAAAAACTCGCGTCATCGCTTTCCGTTGCGCACGACATTTTTGATGATATTTGTAGCAGTTCCGCGTCATTTATACCGGTGGCTCTCGCTCGTTTGACCAAATATGTAATCTTTTAGGTGTTTCTCACCAGTCTCCGAGTCAACCATTTGTTGCGTCTGACTAATCCGAATCATCCCCAAGATGGAAGGTATAGGGATCCCATTGTGCATGTTGATAGGGATTTAGGATCGTTGGTTCCCTGGAAAAGCGATTTCCCTTGACACCCAATAGGTTGTGAATATCTATAGCCGAGCGGAAGGCAGTTCGTGCGAACGTTTTTCTTCGAAGCTCAGCTCGACTGCCTCCGGTTTAATTGCTCCAAGCCCCAATATAACCCAATTGGCCGTGTGAGATATGATTCTTTTACTAGCATGTTGTGTAAATGTATTATCAACACCACCTCCCTCATTTGATCCCATGTTTCATGCTTGATATGTATGCAGTTTGCAATCCTTCCATCAAACCCACGCCGCAAAGAAGTGGCGAGAACCCCCATAGACCATTTCCAACAGGTGAAATTATACTGAAGGCTGTCTACGAGGTCATTCTTTGCATGATAGTAGGTGGGATGGTCCTGCTCAAAGATTTGCTTCACAATTCGGGCGGCCTGTAGGTATACCAAATCTCGTCATGTCTCGGTCTAGAAATAGGTCGACATCCCGTTGAAGTCGCGAAGCCTTGCGCCGGCGGCATGAGAACATGGCCTCTGAGAGCGCTCATAGACCAGGAGCGTGAAACGGTGAATGTGTCGAGCATACACTGGAGTTGAAACACATGATGAGGGAGGATCTTGTGGCGAATTTCTGTATTTGCTGGCTGCATAACAAGAGAGGTCACAGAAGTCACCAACCCAGCAAACTCTTGTAGACCAAAAATTCTTGTTTTTTCCTAATAAAGATTAGGAGGAATTTGTGTGATAGCCGAGCCGATATATCCTCAATATCACCAGTATGAGAAGATTCTTCAGAGATCTTATAGTTTCATAAGCCTCTTACAAATAGTGCCTCATATCAGGGTTTATTTCACACTGATTTACGCCATAAGGTTGAGAATCAATTTTGCCACAGAAAGTCTGTTTATAAACGTGATTAGTCACCTCGATGACCTCCAAGGATGATGGAGACCTTGGGAATATTCAACTCAGATAGCCAATTTGTCAATTGTTGTTTCCTTCGATTCTTGCTTACCTACCGTATATTTGCCCACTCCTGAATTGCAGTAGTATATACTGAAAAGGTTCAATTCATTCAGACACTGATATGTTGAAAGGTTCTGAGACCGTGGCGGAGTACATGGTGAGGGGAGGATCTCGAATAAAGCCCTACCTATAGAAAAGTAAAGTTCGTTCTGAAGGTGAGTCAGACCCGTCACAAGGTGTATGGCTGAATACTGCGTAGCAATGTGTAATTCGGATTCATCAATAGTTGATGAGATATGTCATGAACAAGGATCCCATTCCATTTGTAGTAACGACAAAATTTGGAGTTATTATGATGATGCCTAAAATGGTCTTAGCCGCTATTGCCTTGACTCCTATGTGGCTGTAGCTCTGCTTATCACTCTTATTCGATTCTGCATCACTTTAATACTGATCGTATAACTCTATCCAACCGAATCCCTACACCTCAGTGACTACTCAACAAAAGGATCGAAATCCAAAAAAAAAAAAAAAAAAAAAAAAAAAAAAAAAAAAAAATTGATAGTTATCAAGACCACTGGCATTATTTGTACTTCCAATTATTTTATGATGACTCGAATATAGCCTCTACTGCATTCGTGTATTGCAACCCTCGCCAGTTGAGTCTAATATTGGGATAATCTATTACGGTATTCTGCTACAGCGGTGACTACCACTGGGCATTTCGTGTCAGCTTTTTTTTTAGCATATATCAAGAGGCTAGCCTGAGAGCATAATATAATATGCCTATTCTAGTTGCAAGATTGGGTCAGTTGACATCCCTTGCTGATTCAGTACTGTCTGAGCCTTAAGTAGGGCGAGGATCACCATGCTGCATTCAATGTTGCCGTCACAGTCAGCTCGGATGGAATTCCTTACCTATTTATTGGACTCACTAGCGGTTTGATCAATTCAGTAAGCACGAACAGTAGTACCGAGATATGTATATTCGCTCCCAGGCAAAAGATATACCCAGAAATGCCAGACTGTTCCAATACTGGAAGACAATGGCATTGTTTCAGTCCAAAAGAGGCCGTGGTGCCGCACTATGTTACATACTGCGTGATATCGGCTAGACAGTCGGTCATTTCTCCAGGGGTCTTACATTGTATAAAGATTATAAATTATCGTCAATTTTTATATGATATATCACCTAATATTAAGCTGATAAGGTCAAATGGATCCCTGATATGATAATGAAGCAAAAAAAGGGGCATTCAAATGCAACACCTTGTGCATGGAATATGCACATTGATGAATTCGGCTGAATAGACACAGGAAAGGCATGAAAAGCGGAATTTCGCCTTTATACCAATAATGAAACTTCACATATGAATTCCGCCTCTCTCATGCATGATGCAAACTCCAGCTTAAGGCGTCAAGAGAGGGATGTTCAATTTACATGTAAAAGAAATCCTGTTTATTTGAGTAAGACGCCTGCTCGTATCCAGATCGGATCATAGAGAAGATCTTTTTTCTTACATCAAGACATACTCCCCCAATAACCCAACAAAGATTGAGCCACCCACTAACCAAAATCCTTTGCTGAACCACCACCAGCAACTCTGGCTATTCCGGAGGTCGACCAGACTGATCATTGACCCCAGTGTTCCAAAAGTGCCACCCACTCCAACGACATAATAAATTTCCCCGAGATGACTTCGACGACCACAATCCACAAGTAAGCTGGTTATGATCCCCAAAAGCGGCCACAGCACAAATTTAGTCCTGTCCCGTAAAAGAACTGCTAGGCTCTTAATCCCTACCCGGAGATCCGACTGCAGGTCCTGGTGGGCATAGATCGTATCATAAATAACCACCCATATCACTCCAGCGAGAACAAGCGTTAACACACTTAAGTCTAAGCTAATACAGAAACTAGACGAGTTTACGTCTTCATTGGCCCAGGCCAGTGATTTGAATGTGTCTGGAATGGATATAGTGATTGCACGCACACCCAGCATCAACTCCCCCATAATAGTACCCCAAGCCAGACAAAACCCCAAGATTACCTGAGGGAAATAGGTATGTCGCTTAGCCAAAGGATAGTATAAATTTGCAAGGATGCTGGGCAATGCGTAGAGGAATCCGTTTTTGAGACCCCCTGGTATATAGAGCAGGAACCAGGCTGTTGCCAGACCCTGGGTGAGCGTGAAAACAAACGCCGCGAGGGGTGAGATAGAACCGCGAGGTATTGGCCGCTTGGATGTTCGCTCAACCTTTGCATCTAGGTCAGCATCGAGCAGGTCATTCCAAATGTGGATTGCATTGGAGAAGAAAAAGCTGCCGGCGAACATTATCGTACTGGCGTAGAGGACTGCGGTATACGGTGCTTCGGTTCGGATAGCAGCATGTAGTACACCAAATATATGAGGAAAGTATATCAGAAACAGACCAGCTGGAGGAAAAAGACGGGCAAGCTGGATATAAGGGACCCATGCGTCTGGCAGACTGGACAATGCCCGTGGCTTGTAGTTGCCTCCGTACTGATCTCCTCCAGATTTGTCAGAGGTGCTCACAACAGTCATGGCAGGAATTTGGGATAGGATTTTGGTCGTGTCAGTCGAGGACGAGATACAATTATACGCGGTTGTCGTCGTTTTAGAAGACTCAGTCAGATTTCTTTATCTTTCCAAGTTGGTTAAGAAAATGGATGAGTCCTCTCAATTAACAAAGTAAAAACGAAATAAAACCTACTTCACTTCTGGCATCTACTTAAGAGCAAGCAAGAGATGCATGAAATTCCATGGTCTTTAAGTAACCAAAGCCAAGCTGGTCAAAGCCAGGGTCGAAGTATCAAGTAGTCCTGACTCTTGTCATCGCCGGCGTAGCACACTATTTGCTGCGTACTGTCGCTCCAACGACTCTTAGGTTGTCTTACTATAAGTAGATATGCGTCGGTAACGATGCAGTATCATGATAATATCCGATAACACTCAGCCCTCCTCGCTCATCCTTATCTCTCTACCTTGCCTCCCTGTCCGTCCGCTCTTTTTTCTCTCCTAAGACAAGACACAATCATCGATAATTAAATTTTCAACCCTACTATATCACCTACCTCTTTCCATCGGTGACCGGGGAGCCACGGCAGCCAATGCATCCCAGAACATGATTAAATTTTGATAATAAGTTCCTTCTCTCTCCCAGTCAGTGGGATCCAAAACAAATTCCTAAGCAGTCCGAACAGTCACAATCGGAATTTATAGTCTTAGAAAACGGGCGTTATACAGCTGACTTCTCACCCAGGTATGAAGCCAGGGTTGCCCTTGAAACAAGACCCTAAAGGGCCGTAGACATATCGACAAATGATTAGCCTGAAGTTGATAGTACTTAGGGAGAAACTGACATGCGCCAAGCTCTGACAAGAAGTACCAACCTGCCATCAATTCGGTCAATTCATTCCGAGCCAATTCGTCGTCCGCAGCAGAGGAGGCTCACTCGACACTGAATGGTATAGGGACATTAATTGATCTTCAAAATGGGTCTATACCACTCCCAGTCCCAGTACAATTATAAATAGTATGACAGGTAGGCGATGGGGTCAGTGTCTATTTTACGCTTCCACTCTGTGAGATGAGTGGAGGACTTATTCCTGAAGGTGTGGTGGCCTTTTAGCCTAATTATTGGTATGCCTCAAAGTACAGAATGACTACTTTAGGTACACATGTGAGGACAGAAATAGAAATAGCAAATGACTAACGTACATATGGACATCCCGAGGATCACTGGTAGCGGACATTGCCATCCATGGGTATGTCTTCGGTCTCCAGCTTCGGTGGCCTAATTAGGAAATAATCGCATCCAGACGCTTGAAGTTAGGGCTTCTAAGCAACTCATAAAGAGGTGCCGGCTGAAAGTTTTTGCATATATGTTGACATATCGACTAATCATATACCGCTTAATTATAGCCATTTTTGATATTTAAAGAACATTTACTGAATCCGAACTAGATAGAATGCAAAAACCAGCAAACAAGAGTAGCAACATAAAACTGACGCCAAACACACTCTCACAAACCATGCAATAAGATACAAAAATATCGAAATCCGTTGCAAAAATCGTCTCGCCTCCTCGACATCATTATCCATAAAACTCAAAAGCGATGAATGAAAAGAAAGAAAAACGACCCTAAGTATGTACTGTGCACCAGAATCGAACAAGACAAAGTTCCACCAGTACGCATTAAATAAAAACGACGATTTCACCCCGATCATTCCTCTTCAACCGCAATGTGCGCCACAAGTCCTTCTCTTCTTCCAGGCGACGATCCCGATCTTCTCGACTGCTCCGTCCCCGACCGCGACGCTCGGTGCTATGTTTATCATCATGGTGGTCTTCCGATGATTCCAGGCGCGCCGGATAATCACGATGAAACCTCTTGAGAGCTTTGTTAATCGAGCATCCGCGTCCACTTTCAGGGCCCTTTGTGACCAGTGATAAAAAGTACAGAGCCTTGTCGCGTTCCCGCTCCTCCTCGGTTAGCGCTTCATCGTCCTGGTGCTGGTAAAGAACGATTTTACGATTATCGTCGCCGCCACTGTCAGATCCCCCACGCTGCTCAATTGCTTTTAGTCGACGAGATGGTCGCGCCGAATCGTGATAATCGTTACCGTTGCTCTGGGAACTGATTTTACGTTTTGTCTTCCGCACCTCCCCGGTTGCCTCGGTAGTGCGTACGTGTCGTACATTAGGAGTTTTCTTGGAGCGGCGCACTTGAACTAATGCACCTGAGTGGTCGCCGTTAGGAGGACTACTCCTCGTGCGAACCAAGGCTTTGGATGGAGGCTCAGCGCTTCCCCGGCTGCTGGTGGAAACCTGGGATCCGCCGAACATAGATATAATGCGACCAGCACGACCCTTGAAAGAGATTCCCAGACCACCATCTGTGCTCCCATTGCTATGGTTATTACCTGCGAATTTTTCATTCGGGCGAGTGCGCTTGAGAGGAGATTGCGGATCCTGATACCGGCGAAGGTCGTGCTCATCACTTGTATAATCTTCATAATCTGGAGAAAGTGACCTTTCATCACGCAGCATACGATCTAAGCCCCCTGTCAATCCGGAATGTTGAAGGTATGGAGTCCCGACATTGTTGGCGATACTGGACGGCGCATCCGTCATCGGAGTATCCTCTTCATACCGCGAATTGGCTGCCTCAACATCCAGTTCCTCGACGTGTCCGCGCTTTCTCTTCTTGTCGCTGGTTTTCCTTGGCTCTAGGTCGGGAGAGCTGCGTTCGATATCCTTCTTTTTGTGTTTCTTCTCTTTCTTCTTCGGAGCCGGAGTCATGAAGTCCATCGAAACATTGGACACTTGATTTTCGTACAACGATGGCTTGATCGGATCGGCTCCGTACGAGAACCCGTTTTCTTCATATGCGATGTCATATTCACGATCGTCATCATCGACATCGGTATCGTATCGAGCCAGCGCCTTGCTCGGTTCGAACACCGAGCGCGCATTGGCTACCATGGTCATCGGCCCTTTACCACCGGCCAGTGAGAGTTTTGAGGCAGAGGGCGTCTGATCAGTGACGAGAAAGTCAAAGACGTTGATGTCTTCTTCGGCAGGAGCAGCCACTTTTGCTTTTGAGGCCGCAGCGGTGGCCTTTGATGTGCTCGGAGGACTGGGGGCGGGAGGAGGGACTTTTTCGGCTGGAAGATCATCTGCATCTGTCACGTCTTCGACGTAAGGATGGCGAGGTTTCTTGGTGTTGGCAAAATTGGCGTTAGTGTCACTGGGCGTCTTGGAGTTGTCCGTTTGTTTCTTGTTCTGCTTGTTCGTGTTGTTCCCTTTTTGCGGCTTCTCTTTATATAGGGCGCCTTGGTATTTTTGCGCTTCGGTCATGCATGACTGTGGGATCAAGAGGGGAACAGCTCGTTAGCCTGGTCCTATCAAAGACAAGAAAACAACAATGAACTTCAAAAATCATCCAATCGGGCGACAACTGATGCTGGGCAGAAACCAAGTCTTGCACTGACGACTCAAGCAGCCCAATCTGTAACCTAGAGCATAGCGCAGTGCGATAGGATGCGTTGTCGCTGCAATAAAGATCAAATAAGCATAGCAATATCGCATACCGTGTGAGATCTGTACTCATTGCCCTGAAAGTGGACCATACAATCTATGCAAGTGAAGGAGGCGCCGTGACATCGACCACGATGAGGATCGAGTTTTTTCTTGGTGAGCACATCGCCGCAAGCCTATACGCGATGAGGCAAATCAGTATGACTATATTCTAACTCTTCTGTATGAGCACTCACCTCGCATTGAAAAGAAACCATGATTGAGCCCAGACAGTCTGTTCCTGCGTCGATCGTCAGATGGAGAACGCGAAGTGGACTGGCTGGGTACACCGCTATACAGCTGTCTGGACTCTGAAGTGGATATGTCGGTGAAAGGGCTGGAGCCTTACAAGGCTATAGGAAAGAGCCCAATCAAAAGGAACGGGAGCAAAAAGTGAGGCGCGAGTTGGGTGTCGAGAGGGAAAAAATTAAAATGGACGAAAATATTGTAGCTTTTCCGGAAGGAGCAAAGTGGAGATGCAAAGGCCTGAGGCAGTCAAACGGGTGGGACTGTAAACATTAAGCAACTTCTTAGCTTAACAGATATTATGAAAAACAGCAAGAATATTTTGACCTCTTGATTGTACGACTGCAAGAGAGCACATCCAACAAGTGACAACAACAACGAAAAGGGGAGACGCGAATTTTGTTGTTGTTTATCTTTACTGCCCGCATTAGCTCGCTGCTCAGGAGTCAGGCAGGCCATGTCAGCGTTCAGCCTCCTCCTAGGAGATCATCAACACAGTAAAGTTGCTAGTCCAGTTTCAACATCGACCTAACTATGAGATATCATCTGTTGAGAAGATGATACTAATAACATGAGAACTCGAATCGGAGAAATATATTTGGTGCGAAGAGATCCGTGCTTCAGTATCAAAAGTCATGTCTCACAGCATAATGCATTCCTGAGACACTCTTCAAACTCCGTCGCCTGTTTTAAACATGAGACGGGTTCTTTAGCGCTACAGTGACCTATATTCAGATCATCCACGCTGGAACCAATGGTCGCATAACGGACAGGTGAGCGAGTCAGCAGACAGAAATCTCCAGCCAGGGAAGTGTACAGCCATCCAATCGTAGGACTTCATTTTCCGCTATCGATGATGCTAGGAGATGGTGTAGTCAATTTGATATAGTACCAGTATTTATTCTATATACAATTACTCCGTACACCGGGCACACAAGATCTACTATGTATAGATCGACCACACACATACTTTGCATGATTTATGTTAGTATCAGCTAGTTCCCAGATAGTCAAGCGCTGGCATCGACGGCAGTTCTAGAGGTCATGCGCCATGGTAGACTGCCTCCGTGCTTATCGGCAGGTTGCATTATTTTCTGTGGCGAAGTTGTGCCTATGGCGCAACACACCAAAATGAATATGAGTGAGTATACCTGCGATCCAAGGAGACGTATGAATGAACAATGAAAGGTGAAAGATTTGCAGGTCGTAGACAGTGAATGCCGAATATTTCAAGTGACGACATTGGAGAAACGGACAACTGGAGGGGTATCGCTGAAATGGCACAGGGGGTATCACGAGACATGGCGGGATGGTCTGGATCGTCTTGAGGGTGTGGCTGGCCGTAGCTTCATCCTAGCTAACCCCCTCGAGTGAGTCTGAAAAGTGCTGGTTAGTAGATAATGCGAACCAATAAAAGGGCACTGGCCACTCACGGTTCCTTGGTGATCTCAACAGCAGGACTGACGGCATGATCCTGATCCGATTCTTTCGCATCGTTTTTGACAGTCCTCGCCAGGTCCTTCTCTCCGTTATCATCCGCTTCCCCGCACCCACAATCATATTCATCCAGTTTGTTGCAGTCGTACTGGGGCTTTTTCAGCATGCGATTCACTTCGTTGTGGATAAAGCAGGCCCATCCCGCCGCCGCATCGCGCGACGAAACCTGTGGCGGGTATTTTTTCAGATGGCCCTGGAAATGCGATGCACATTCACCGCTGCACAGTAGTATTAGCGTCCATCCACAAAGTGCCACACTCCAGAGGAATCTCACCATGGGTAAAGTCGCGAGAATAAAAAGACAAAAGACCGCAATGCTTCCTGCTCCTCCATAGTAGGTTCTTTCGGATATCTCGCCATCATCGTATGGAAGAACTTCCAAGTAGCCCGGCCCAATTCCGCCCTATACATTTCGAAAGAACGGTTAGCTCAATATCTGGACAAATGATTTTTGGATGAGGACTGGTAGGTTTCGTACTTTGCAGTCTCATTGGCCAACTTTGGCATGACCACACCTCCTTTAAGCACATCCTCGTCCAAAGCTAATTCCGACGGTATTGTATTCTTTGTATCCGTTAAGTGACCCGGTGCTCGTGTCGCGGGGCTTTCGGGACCTCGAGGTTGGAGGAAGATAAAGTATGTGACGAATATAAGCGCAAGTGCGCTGAGGAGCACAAGGCGAGTCGTGGGCCGAGCCGCCATTGTTGGCTTTGATAGAAGAGGCAAGGGGAATTGTAAAGACGCAAACCCGATCAAGGAGTCATGGCAAGTGCGTGTTGATTCGTACTGTGTACTCCGTAGAGTGAGATTTGAAATGGCTACGTTGCTTGCTTCACATTGATTGGATTTCAGCCAATCGGAATCTTTTGCCAGAACAGTGTCACATGACGTCACATGACACTCATCCGATGCTGATCTCTCTTTGGTTCTTTCTTGAATAATCCTCTTCTCTATCGCACAGGGGCTTTGAGGAAGAATTGCTACTTCTCAAAGCAGTCTACGAATGAACGCAAATTGATCTACTGATCTACCTCATTGATTTCAGGTCATTTTGAGCCTACCGCGCGATTGCTTCATTCAACTCTGATGTCCTATCCATCATCGTCGTTGTGATTTACGCTTATCTCCTCTCCCATCCCGAGTCAATACATCGGATTACGCATTGCAATTGGTTGAAAACTCAAATCACAACACTGTCTCATTAGCCTCTATTCCGAGTCATCCGGTATTAGAAGATCACGGATACTTACCTCCATGAGTGCTCAACTTCTCCGTATTGAATATCCTCGATCCAGGTTTTCATTGTGATAGTGATCTCTCCAACTTCCTGTCCCTCTTTCAGTCCACAGTCAATTACTTCTCCATTCCACGAAATAGACCGTATGGGATTGACGATGAGCGCAGTGCCTGCTCCGAACACCTCAAGCAATCGACCTTCCTGGGAAGCCTTCTTGAGCTCGGTCATATACACGCGTCTTTCGGCCACGTGCCAACCTTGAGGTACCAGCCGCTCTTGGGCGAGATCAAGAATCGAATCACGCGTAATCCCAGGCAAAATTGTACCGTCCAATGGAGCAGTGACCAATTCCTTCGTTTGTGTTTCGGGGTTGATCCACGCGACAAACAGATTCATCGTGCCCACTTCAGTCATGTACTGCTGTTCAGGCACTTGGGGGTCTCCAAGGAGCCACAGGACCTGCTGAAATCCACGTGTTCCGGCTGATTCTTGAGCGACGATTGTCGGTGCATAGTTGCCACCGACTTTCTTATCACCCACTCCGCCAGGCCAAGCACGAACCGGAGAAGAGCATGCCTCTAGGGAGATGGCCTTCATGCCGCTGCTCCCAAAATAGTTTCCCACTGGACTGCCAATAATATAGAGCAGAGCCGATTGTGGACGCGACACACTCAAATCCGGCTCTGTACCAATCATTGTTGGGCGTAGATATAATGCGAAACCTCGGCCTCTAAAGACGTTCTGAACTTAGTCATAATTCCTGACGTATCTGGTAAGTAGCTAAGCATGAAGAAGTAAGCATACTCTGGAATCCAGCGACTCTCGGTTTTTGTAAATTCAGCTAGCAATTTCAACACTTTGTCCTCATCAAAAGCAGGCAGAGCAATACGAACTGCTGACGTATTGAGTCGGCGGATATTCTTTTCAGGCCGGAACAAGCGCATATTGCCCTTGGAGTCTTTGTATGCCTTCATTCCTTCGAAGCAACAGAACGCATAGTGGAATACAGCTGCGGCTGGGTCGAGAGATAGCGCCTTGTAGGGCTCTATACTTGGAGCGCTCCAACCTTTATTTGCATCCCATGTAGCACAAAGTATGTGATCTATATAATTGTAAGTCTCCAGATGACTGTTTGCTCTAAGAATGATATCAAGTATCATCGCATGCCACATATTTTGATTGTCACTACTGACCAGTGAATGACCGCCCGAATTTCAGCTGATCGGGCGGCAACAAATCCTTGGGGGAGTCAGTCTGGTGGATGGTGAGTTTGGTTGGCTCAGGGCCGGAGTAGAGGGGATCGCTCATGGTGACCAATTGCGCAGTGCAAAATATATGATGTTTGTGCGATTGAAGATTGATGAAAACTTGATGGTTAATGTTGATTGATAAAGTCGAGTTTGGAAGTTCAAGGGAGAGATAAGAGAACGCGGGGGCTACCTATTCTAGTACAAAACAGTTGGTTACGCCCAGGGACAGAATATCCCTGTCGTACGGAGTACACACTAAGAAATAAAACAATACCCATGTTATTGTAGAAATTGTAACCTCCCTCTAGTCCAAGTTCAAGAAGAATGTATTTACTACCTGCCTAATAACAATCGGACACAGAAGAATTCGGAAACATTGTGGGCTAAAAACGAGTTTAATGCGACTAAAACTACGTAATTGAAGTTGTTTAGTTGGCTCTAAATTCTTTTCCTGTTCACCATATTATTAATAGAGATCCACACATATTCCGTGTCTATTCTATGAGGCAATTGATGCTTATTCATCGTGGAGGTGAAATCGTTAGGACTTAGGGTTTAAGAGTCTATCTCCGATTTAGACCACACTTCCTCATTTGAATTACAGAAACTGTGGTGGACGATCCATTTTCCATTCTTCTTTTCACCTCGTCTTCTAACTACGGGGTTTGATACTCAAGGATATGCCGATTGGTAGAAAATAGACAAGCTCTGGAGACACCGGAGTTAGAACTGCCGGGAACGCTTTCTATTCCGAGGTATAGATATCCTGAAAAAGCTATATATAATCCATCTTCCGCCCAGGCAGACCAGAAATCAGTTGATAAAAATTCCGATAAAAGTCAGACAGAACAGAAATCGAATTCAAACTCTAGTCATCATGTCAAACCCTTTCCGAAAGGCAGCGCCCGCACCAAAGAGCGCTCTCGGCTATCATCGAGTGCTTGCTCCCACTGCTGGCGTGCGGGTGTCGCCATTATGTCTCGGTACTATGAATTTCGGAACAGAATGGTGAGAATCACACTCTATTAAGAGGTGCGTACTTGAACTAATCCAATCGCAGGGAAGCCTTCATGGGTGAGTGTTCGAAAGAAAGCGCATTTGCCATTCTCGACGCTTTCTATGAAAACGGAGGCAATTTCATTGATACGTATGTCTCGGAAAATAATCGAGTATCAAGAGTAATGTTGACTAATCTTTCAATTTGTAGTTCGAACAATTATCAATTCGAGCAAGCCGAACAATGGATCGGAGAATGGATGAAGGCTCGGGGAAACCGTGATCAGATTGTGTAAGCCATCAACAGTCCATCTATAACCGTGGAAATCAGCGGACATTGACTGATACAAATCTCGGTAATTCAATAGTCTCGCTACTAAGTTCACCGCAAATTTCCGGGCTGCACACTTTGACAAAGAGCCCATCCAGTCAAACTTTTCTGGTAATTCCATGAAATCGATGCATATTTCCCTCAAGAAGAGCCTTGAGAAGCTCCAAACAGACTACATAGACCTATTCTATGTGCACTGGTGGGATCTCACTACGGGAGTTGAAGAAGTAATGCATGGCTTGAACTCGTTGATCACAGCCGGTAAAGTACTTTACCTCGGTATTTCCGACACTCCTGCTTGGGTGGTTGTCAAAGCCAATGACTATGCTCGTACCAACGGACTTCGGCAATTCTCCGTATACCAGGGTAAATGGAATGCATCCTTCCGAGACATGGAGAGAGAACTCATTCCCATGTGTCGCGATCAGGGAATGGGGATTGCTCCCTGGGCTGCTCTCGGCCAAGGGAGATTTAAGAGCGCCGCTGCACGACAGACTGCTCATACAGGAGCTGGAAGAGCTGCGCAGCTCTCTGAAAACGAGATTCGTGTGTCCGACGCCTTGGAATCCGTTGCAAATCGTAAAAATACTAGTCTGCACGCCGTGGTAAGTCGATTGGCCCACATTTGAAGGTACAAACAAGGACGATGACTGACATCAATCAGGCCTTAGCATACATTCTACAGAAGACACCATATGTATTTCCAATTATTGGACAGCGAAAAGTTGACCATCTTCTTGCCAATATTGAAGCTCTCAGTATCGAGATGACATTTGAGGACATCGAACATATCGACTCCGCCATCCCATTTGACCCAGGCTTCCCATACAACTTCCTCGTTGACGGAAAATATGACTTGAATGTGACCAGCTCAAACCTGTGGGCAACCAAGTTGGCAGGTCGTCTTGACAGTGTGGAGCACCAACGAGCTATCAGACCCCATAAGGAATAATTGACTTTGGCGATTTGATACAAACATCTAAACAGAGCATATCTTGCAAGGGGAATATGGTTTCAAAGGAAGACTATTCAGACCAGATAGGCGAAGAGATATATCCGAGCAATGGAATGATTGCTACGTGTTATCAGAGATGGCACGGATGAAACGGCATACGTGTAGATTGCGGTAGACATCCGATGTCGAAACCAGCGAGAGCGCCGGTCTTAATTCCCATCTGTCTAGATGCAATGGATTCCCGAATTTGCTACCTAATAGGTAATGAGAATTCTTTTCCGCTATCTCTTTCTAGCTTGTCGTCCATGCAATTATACCAACTGTCATTTCAAACAATCACTCGCTGAATATTGTTCACGACCTGGGGAATACTAAGAAAAGTCATGATTATATGGCCAGTTGAGTTTCACGAGAAGTCAGTTTAGAACCTGGCCTGGTTCTTCCAAGGCTCCAGGGTTGTTCACAACAGTTGTTTATATTCCAACGTACACGTAAGACCACTACATATGTATGTATACTTCGTAGCTTCCGAGGCTGCTGATTTGTCATTCAACTCTCTCGTAACATTTTAATAATCCCAAAGGAAAGTGAACTGAGGTTTTTACGCAGATCCGACTTCATTTCACGTAACGTTGCAGCTGAAAATGTAATTTCCGAGCCATTTCTCTGACCATCAGAAAATGAAAGCCGCGGAGAATTTCTCTCGAAATCGGTGTTGTTCTGTGCAGCTTCCTCCTTAAGAGCATTCTTGCAAAGTCTGTTCATCAGACCTTGCACGCGGTGTAGTTCGCTAAGAACCAACTGGGCCCTTGATCGCCTGGCATCATTGTAGTGCATGCCTGGATAAGCACCGAAATGTTCCGCGTACTCTTTGGTTGTAGTATTTTTTCTGCCGTTACGTTCGGAGCTTCCGTACTCCTCAGAGATCGAGTGCCTCGTGTCCTGTCGTGCTGCTATAGTGTAGCGCTCCAAGATCTTGGATATAATCGTGGATAATATAGCCATAAGATAACCAGTCTTCGCACACAGCGAACACTGTAGAATTCCATCAACAGATTCAATGAAATACTTATTTTGAGTGACAATGGCCTGAGCCGAGGAATGGACAGCGCTGTGGCTTGTGGTGTTATTTGATATAGTAGCAGCATCACTTGGACTGGTCGACATTGATGCTGAAGATGGGGTCTCCGGTATAAACAATTTGCTCATGATGTCCAAAACCTGTATCATACAGCAACAAGCCGATCCAGTGTCGGATACCCCGGTGTTGGAATTTTCGTCATGATTTGAGAGTAATCCTTGTTGATCAACTGGAAGTGCAAAGAAAGATTTAGAGGGTAGCGTACAGCCAATGAGCGGGTTTTCAAAAGATGGACCAGTTTCAAAATTGGACGATGTGAGAAGACCTTCGATATCGTACGATTCTGGAGCAAAATTCGTCATATTGGAGTCCAGTAATCCGAACTTTAGAAAATCTATAGGCGGTGTAAGATTTCCATCAAAATTATTGCTCACCCTGGGAATCCTAGGGGGAGATGATTGTTCCATGGGTGGCATAAAATCAGCTAGGACATTGATATAAGACGAGAACTCGACAGTGCCGGATACGTTACTTAATTCCCTCGCAGTTGAGCTCGAATTTAGGATAGCCATGGAGGAAGGCTCGCTTGAGAATAATCCTGTTCCCGATTCATCTTGAAGTAATGAATTTGGCGGGCTGATCTGATGACATGTTTCAGTAGCTTCGGTAACATGATTATCTCGCTTTCGACCTGGGCGTTTCGTAACAAAATATTCACAGACAACTCCGCGTTTCATGCATCGTGCGCAGGTTGGCTTCTCTTTTGGACATCTAACTTTGGATATAGCACAGGAGTGGCAACTATCACGGATTTTGGACGTCGTGGAACGTGGTTTCCGTCGCACTGGTTCATTCGTGTATAACGGGGTACGTGGGATCTGGCTACTTGAAGTTGATTCCTGCATGACGACTCTATTTTTATCAGAAAATGTTAATGGTAAGAGTCACAGGTCTACTACTTAATCATACCTGGGAGCCCAGAACTTTAATTTAAGGCTGAACCTTAGTGTATGACGTTATAGACCACGGGAATTCCTTTTCTGGCAATCGGTAAATCAGATGTTCATATTGTTCGTCCTAAAAGAGCGAGTAAAAGCGGCATACAACAAGGAGAGTTTTTTGTTAACATGTAATAATGAGCTAAGATAGTTATAAAGAGAAAATAGAGTTTGGAAGATATAAAATTTAGCAACCAGACGATAGATAACCCATATGGAGAGCTCGACTGCAGGATCGATGTATCCATCATCCAGGCATTGATAGGCGAGTAGGTAGTAAATTTTGCTGGCAGATGTTGTACAACATTCGAATTGAGTGATTGGACATACCGTCACAGGTTCCCTTGACTAAGAACGCAGGCACAAGGGTCAGTTAATATTTAAGCAACTAAGCTTGGATAGTGTTTAAGCCTAATAATACTAGCAAAAATACCCGGTCTTGTTATCAGATAATATACAAATGATTCCCAGTCTCAAGGAAGCGATAGGTTTACTGGCATACATTTCTCTCGGATAATGTCAGACTACTGAACATCAGCTTCTCAATACAGGGATGGCATGCCAGAGCAGTCCAAAGTAGCGAAATGCAGCAATCGCACAAACCATGTATTGTAAAGTTTGGTCAGCATTTCCTGAGGCCTCAAGGGCCGTGCTCAGTCCAAGTGTTCAGCCGAGTAAGGTTCGGGGCGCACTGACTGGAGGTTATCGTGTTTGGTGACCCCGATCCTGGGCAAGCGGGTCTCTCCCATACGCCACGTGGGGCCGCGCGATCCAACGATCCACTCGATTGCAGCGGGGAAGACTTAATCTGAGCCCCACTCAAAATTTGTAGAAACGATACGAACTCACACACCCAACAGCGCGAGTGCACCTCATGTAACGAGAAAAATAATCTAACTAAAATTGGCTAGATTCATGTGATTGACTACTAGTGATGTTGGCTTCCTTATATACTTGCTCGTGGACTTGTCGGCTGGATTATTTCCTGGTACGGACGCTGGCTCAATTGGCGTTTGAAGATTCCGAGTAACCACATAATTACTCCTTACGTAACAGTAAACTCATTACATTTGTTTCTCTATTGTCAATTCCTCGTGACAGTCCAACTTATCCTAGTTAGATAATGTTGTCCGTCCTCGGGTACTATGTATGTATTCCCGTATTGTACGTTGTTGCCCTAGATTATGTGTATTTTCTGCTGGCCCTTCCTGTCCAAGTGGCTTCTGACCCCGAGCAATGAGCGAGTTTAGGCAACACTTTGTTCAGTGCATCAGGCAAGAGACTATTTGATAGTGCCCAGATATGTAAGCTTCTCATTCGATAGAGTTAGCGTACTAGCCACAGATAATCTCTTATAATTAAGATTCTACGGATGTACAATTCATTGAACTAGGAGATAAGCTAATTACAGATTCCAGAGGATACTAAGTACTATTTCATGTTCCACCTGTCAGGATACCTTTCCTGCGTGTCCGATTGGACACAAATTATTAATCGTATCTAGGTATCAGAGTTGAGGCTTTACTAGAAGGGTAATACCTGGCCAACATATTGCAGTAATACGAGATCTCAGCCCCGATATCCTTACATGCATGTACTTATCTGCGGCTGTCTTACTTGGCATTGATAGGGTGTCCTCAGTGTAATCACCCGAGCCGAGACCGGGTTCCACAGACGGAGTTCATAGTAGTACATACAGTTCTTTGTGAGTCTAATCTGCGAACTGCCTGAACAAGAACATACTGCGTTGCCCGAGAACGACGAACCTACTCAATTAACAGGTCGGTTTATAAGGATGATTATAGGGATGCAGTGTTGAATAGGAATAGATTCTGCATAAAGTGTGCACCGAAAGATCTTCCATCAATTTAAAGGGAGGATTAGAAGAACATTAAAACTGCACTGATTTGAACAACTCATCGTATTAAAATACAGCCCTTCTTTAGTGCAATTACTTGTTGTAGTTAGACACAGTTTTTAACAATGGAAAACTTGAACCAACTGCAGATCTACAGCACAGAGCTTGCCACAGCCATTGTGAGCCTCTCCAGCCATTCTCAAAATGGTGATCTCCAACAGGGCCCAAGCTCTCAACCAGTCTCTAACTCGGAGGGAGCGCACCGAGCTAGGGAAAAGATATCATCTATTGTTACAAAGATCAGGACACTGTTATGGAGTCCGACTGACTTTCTTCAACACCTTGCGTGTCAGGTTTGCGCCGCACATGCCCCTTCCTTTCCCCACCTAAACATGAGAACAAGATAAGACTAACCGGAGCAAATCTCAATCTAGAACCAGATCCTGTCTTGCCTGAAGTGGCTAGGCGAGAACCAGATCCTAGCTTGTATTCCCTTGGCTGAAATCGTTCCAATCAAGGATATCGCCGATCTGACTGGCGTCTCAGCAACGCAATTAAACCGTATCATTCGTCTAACAGCAACGGCTGGTTTTCTCGCCGAACCAAAAGCCGCCCATGTCGCCCATACGCCGCTCTCGGCTTCGTTTTTCTCGAACCCCTCACTTCTTGACACCGCGATGTTACTATCGGAATTTGTCGCTCCGGCCACTCTGCAGATAGGTCAGCAAGCTCCTCAACAGGGCAGCGAGTTGCAGCAGCAGCAGCAACCTAGCATTTATGACAGCATCCTATCTTCAGCCCACTCATTTCATGTTGCACGCGAGTGCCGACCCAAGTTGAACCGTCAGTGGTCAGCTTATCTTCACCAGGTCGGAGGCCTATACACTGCTACGGACGTGGCCGCGATTCTCACTCAGCTCAACTGGGCCAAGATTAGCAATGTACCAGATGCATGCATATTCGAGGTATTAACATCACCATCTTCTCTAATCCCTGAAATAGCAAGGGGGAATTTTCTCTTCATAGTGACTAACGAGAGACTGCCACATAGGTGAATGTGGAGTCGTTATCGAGCTCAGTAGCCCAGTCTCTTGCAGAGATATACCCAAATCTGCACTTTAATGTACAGGTTCTCGACCGAGACTCCAATATAGCACCTGAACGAGAGTCAGAGAACTTCAACCCTCGTCTCACAGTCACGAATCGTAGACGTGGTGAACGACAGACTGCCAATGAGGCTGTCGTCTACATTCTCCACCTCCCATTACGCTCACCCAATAACGTCCGCAATGAGCTCATGGGCCACATAGATGCCCTTAGGATACATGGAAGCATTTTGCTCATTTTGACGGCTCGTTTACTTCCCGAACCGGGTACACTGTCCGACCCTCATGTGGAAGCCGTCGCCCGCTCGCGCGATCTTGTTTTGTTGCAGCTAGCCAATGAAAGCGAAATGGAGTTGGGAGAGCTTCTTGAGGTTATAGGTACGGTCAAGGACAGCATGGGGAAGTTGGTTGTAACAAAAAAACTCTCCGCTCGTAACGGATTGGTCGTCTCTTTGGTAGTCAAATATGAGGCCAGTCAGCCCATGTATGAACTCTAGTGGCGGTTTTCATCTAGGTATACTTCACCAAATTAGTATCAAATGTTGCCATGAAGAATATTACAACATTTCGACCTACCATGTCATACGTTTGAAGGATCTTTGCGACACATCAAATAGAGGACTTCGTGTTAGTTTATTACGTTTCATTATGTTCGCAACAAGGCCCCGAGCTTATTCAGTGATACTCTCCCCAATATTTACATTCTGTTCGAATAAGCCATCATTTTAACTTCTGTTAGCCAATCCATTTCCTGCTCCATTCTCCGTTGTACAGAAAGTGTAATATAGGGGATCATGATGGTAATGTGCTTCTCATCATACATAATATAGTTAGCTGATTGAGACAGTAAACTACAAAAATATTCTATTACGATTATCGATATCACATTCGAGTGGAGTTAGAATCTTCTATCGTACAAATCTATTAATCACAGTCTCCATGTTAGCAAAACAGTATTGCGCACTTAACGAACGAATTCTTCCCTCCCAAAGTAAATTAAACGATTGATCCACACTTGAGCTTAGAGCTAGTTCTCAATATGATCCTTTCGCTCCAGGGTAACTTTAGTATGACCCTCATGCGAGGCAGTACGTGTCGCCTCGGTGCTGGTGGCAGATGCTGTTTCCTTATCCTTTTCATTCTCTTGTTTGATTTCCACATCTGCCTCAGTTAGATTTTCTTTTTTCTCTTGGTTGGCTTCCATGGTTTTGTTATCGGTTGATTCGGCCTGACCTTTTCCAGCCTCAGAGTCAGGTTTCTTAAGATCCTTCTTGACAGTGCGCCACTCCATGAAGACAGCACCTATAATAGATAGACAGGCCACTATTAAGCCTACCTGGAAGCATACACGAATCGAATCATTATACTTCACCAGAGCCTCTGTATGACGATCAGCGGGGATAAATTTGAGGATATCAGTTGCCCCTGTGCTTTGGATTAGCTTCGCAGTAATTCCGGGAATATCTAGGAAACGTTTGATCAACTGGTTTTCAAGCACATTTTGGCCGACTGACGTGAAAATAGCCCCAAAGAGCGTCTGGCCGAAGAACATGAGCGAGGCGCCGATGGCCACTTGGTCGCGTGGTAGTACTGTCTGGGCCGCCATGTTAGGTGTCTGATTTGAGCAACCAAGACCGAATCCGTAAATTATCTGATAGCCAATCCATTTTCCAGTAGTGGTATTGATTTCAAGAGTAGTGAGTAGGCCAGCTCCAACAGCAGTGAGGCAAACCCCAAAGATCATGAAAGGAGTGTAATAGCCAATGTAAGAAACAAATTGACCGGTGAGGATAGAGGCTACTACAATTGGTATCACCATAGGAAGGAGGCGAATACCGCTATTGACGGCAGAGGCACCGTCAATTGCTTGAAAGTAAATTGGAAGATAGTAAACTATTATTCCATTAGCACATGCTAACATGAATTTCCTTGTTTATGCGTTGACTTACCAAGCAGATTCATGTGAGCTCCGAGGCATAAACTAACCCAAAAGCCAGAGGCGATACTGCGTTGAAGGAAGACACGTGGTGGCAGTGTAGCCTGCTCCGGTTTCCACACTTGGATTAAGGCAAAAGCAATCAGAAGTGCAAATGCAACTACGAGCAAGGCAACAATTCGCCCTTCACTCCACTATATTCCATTAGTAATATATTTTTAATGAAAAATTCAAACAACGAGTAAACTCACAGCGCACGTTGTGCCTCCCCACTGCAAGGCCAAACATAGACAGACAACTCCTGGAACCAGAGCAATCATCCCTAGAACATTCAGCTGATGCAGCTTTTCTTTCAAGGGGATATTGGCAGTTGGGCGGTCTGGAACCTGGAGTAGGAAGAAGATGAATACCATGACCACACCTCCCAATGGAAGGTTGATGTAAAAGCACCACCTCCAGGTGACATCGGTAGTGAAAGCACCGCCAATCAGGGGGCCAGCGACCGAAGCGACTGCAAAGACAGCACCAAAAAACCCTTGATACTTGGGTCTTTTGTGTAAGGGTATAGCGTAGACAATGACGACAATCTAAAAGCTCCATGTATTAATACATTTGCGAGAATCCGCTGGTAGACTTGCTGTGAAATCGGAATTAAACTTACGACACCTGAGAGTATTCCGCCAGCACCTAGACCAGCAATTGCTCTACCGAGTATAAAGGCCACTGAATTAGGAGCCGCGCCACACAGAGCTGAACCGACCTCAAATAGGATGATGGATGTCAAGAAGGTCGCTTTGACGTTGAAGAACGTGTACACCTTGCCAAAAAGGAGTTGGAACGCGCAGTTTGTGAGCAAGTAAGCAGTACCATACCAGCCTATGTCACCGGCCGACTTGAATTCGTTGGTGATTTGGGGAATGGCAGTCGATACGATGAGGCGGTCCTACACGATAGCTAGGGTGAACTACGCACGGCATTTAGGGCAACAGCGTTTCACATACCAGTGAGACGAGGAACATGCCAACAAAGATAGACATTATTAATAGTGCAAGTTTGAGACCCCTGGGATAGATAATATCAGTTTGGTCCTGGCTCTTGCTGGGCTGGCCTTCTTTGCCGAATGCAAGCTTCTCGCCGCCTTCTGAAACAGGGGCAGACATGATGTTGCGCTGTTGCTGCAGAGAAAGTAAATGAAGGACGGCTTTCAGGTTGAAACAGAGTAGAAAGAGAGATTTTTCAGCAAAAAATTTTGTATGCCCCTATAGGCGGCGACGCGTGCTGCTATATGAATCCTTGATCGGGCCTCGGCGCTGAAAAGTCATTTTCTGCCTCCGAGCCCCGACTGCCAACCGCATCAGCAATTCGCTGCTTGGCGACCTTTCCATTTCTTTCATATTCAGTCCGAATGAACAGCAGCAAAATTATCAAGGACCAGCTATTTCAAGTATCTGCTTGTTAAACCCAAAATGTCTCTTCCAGTCCAGTCGCTGGGGCTGGGCGATACCTTGAAGAGCTACTCGTGCTTTACCTGTCGCCAACGCAAGGTTAGATGCGATCGTCGCAGTCCCTGTTCCAATTGCGTCAAAACAGAAAAACAATGCAGTTTTATCCCCCCAGTTAGAGGTAAACGAAAAAGAACAAAGCCCCTGAGAGAAGGACTCCATGCGAAACTAAAACGGTACGAAGAGCTGTTGCGTTCGCATGGTGTCAAAGTCGAGCCATCATCTGATGATGGGGAAGATTCCGACTCTGAAGCTGCATCTCAGCATGACACCGAGATGAAGGATGTTGTCAAACCCCGAAGCAAATTTCTCGAAATGGACGATTCCAATTCAAAGCTCATAACGAAAGAGGGCAGCTCCAGATATTTTGACAGGTTTGGACTCACCATTTACACCCACTTTGAAGATACTAATCTTTGGCTAACAAATTCTTTTAGTGCCCCGTGGTCTAAATTAGGAGAAGAAGTAAAATATCCTTGTCATATACTTCCAGCGTGATCTTGTTAATCATCAGCTAGTTTCAACATCCAGAGATGGGAGACATTGATGAACCAATAGAAGAGTCAAATACTCTGGAACTTGGTATTTTTTTCGAACCGGAAAGCAATCACAAACCTGAAAGTCTGATAAGTCTTCACCCGTCGTCTCAAGCACTACCAAAATTAAGAGAGATATATGCCGATCGGGTTGATCCCTGGATCAAGATCCTGCATCTTCCAACTTTTTGGGCTGCGTTAACGGATGGCGTACGACATCCTCAAATCATGCCTAAAAGTCTTGAGGCGGCATTATTTGCTTTCTATCTCGCTACAGTGAGCGCTCTGTCAGAGAACGAGTGTCAGGAAGTATTTGGGGCACAAAAAGAGGTCATATATTCTCGTTATAGAGCTGCGACCCGCCAAGCGTTAGTGAATGCTCGATTCTTATCAACATCTAGCCAAATGACTCTTCGGGCATTCACTCTCTTTATTGTAACCGCAGTCATTCCTTATTACTCGCGATTCAGCTAACGAATGCTAGATGTGCGTCAGGAACACCTATCGAGTCGATACCTTATTTGTTCTGTCCGGAATCGCTATAAGACTTGCACGCAAAATGGGGCTCCATCGAGACGGAACATCTCTTGGGCTATCTCCATTCGATACAGAAATGCGGAGGCGACTCTGGTGGCATCTTGTTCGCGTTGATTTTCGTACTGCTGATGTATTGGGCACCCGGCCCTCTATGGATCTGTCTTCGGGCGATACCCGAAAACCCCTAAATGTCGAAGATGAGGACCTCAACCCGGATATGGTGGATCAGCCACCAGAGCGAAACGGGATTACTTCAATGACCCTCTGTTTAATTCAATGCGAGACTATGGAGACTTTGCAAAGATTCTCAACATCGTCTCCTGGCAATGTTCGTTGGGAAATCCTCTTTAGTGGGGATATCAGCGTCGCCAAGAAGGACAGCATCATTAATCAAATTGAAGACCATATGGAAAGAAAGTACTTACGCTACTGTGACCCGTCAAATTCCCTTCACATCATGGCATCGATCATGATCAGATCGTCATTATGCAAGATGAAACTGTTCGCTCATACCCGCAGGCAATTTGCCAACAATGCCACTCAAACCTCACAACGTGAGCGCAACATAGTATTTGAGAACGCTATCAAGCTGTTGGAGTATGTCGCTTTGCTAAAAGGGGGCCAACACGGACTGGAAAAATACATGTGGCAGATTGGCACAAGCTACCTCTGGAACGCAATTCTTTACGTGCTCATCGAAACTCGACATCGCAAAACAGGGTCCGAAGTGAACCGATCCTGGCAACTGATTGGAGAAGTGTTATCACACTACCCGCAGGTGTTCGAACAGTGCTCCGGGTCTGTATATACTGCTCTAGGCAAGTGGATTCTAGAAGTTTGGGATAATTATGTCACTGCTTCGAACGCCGAAGGCATTCCAGAACCATTAACCCCTGCATATATCAGTGCAATCCGTCAGTGCAGAAGACCAGAAACAGGCCCCAACCATCCATCATCAGATTCTGGACCTCCTACGGGAGCTTCACTCGGTGATCGATGTGAATCCAATCTCACTGATGTAGCATCATTTGTATCCTATGATTTCCCGGATCTTCTCTCCTTTGAGACGGACCCTAACGAATGGGTGCAGTGGGAGCAGCTGATCGCAAAGCAAGAACTCGTCCAAGTTGACGGTATGTAAAACCAAATCATTTGCCTTCGGTTGCTGTAGATGGCAGGGATTCCCAACATGCTTTTAAATTAACATTCCGGGTATACGCCCAAAAAATGCCTAGGTAATTCACATCTCCACTTTGAAATGTAGCCGACTGTCCCGTCAACTAAGCATACCCAAGGATTCCCTTCACTGGAATTGCATATCCAGCTAGTGCCATTGATTACGGCCCTCGAACATAAACTCAGCTCACCTAACACAGCATTTACGCTACTGAATTGGTCTGCAGTCAGCATGCGGTGTGCTCACTTGGCGTAGCTTAGCAACGCTATTAATGTTCGAGAACAATATCTTAGCGAACCATATCGTGCTCGGGACGATAGATACCCCTATCTAAAGTACTTTCGGAGCAATTCTATGGAGCACAATGAGAAATATTTGTCATCTAGGGACCGAGGAAGCAAGTATCTGGTAGGTATGAATCATACTACAGATTGTCACGTTCACATCAGGAAAAGTAAAAACATGTGATATTCGGTCTTTTGAGTCACAACGGTAGGTTTGGTCGAAAAACTACTACCTCGGTACTTCTAATTGAGGTTTGACAGAATTTTATAGTTATAAATCTTGCTGAAAGGATGAGTGGCGCCGGGATCAATAGACTTTTATTTTTAGCTTCAGTGGGAGATTTCATATCGGGTGCTTCCAAGGTCCTACCCATGTTAAATCAGCCCAAGACATGCTGATTTCAGGAATTACCCCTTCGCTAGGTGTTGGTTTTGATGAATACTTGAAGCATTGGAAAAAGAATCGGGCTCCGAAGTCTCATGCATACTAATAGATTGCCCGGCTGCATTATCATCTTTTATTTTGTTTAAAATATATTTAGATACTTTCCGGATATCTGGTTATTTTATAATTCCAAGTCAGATTCAGAATACTGGCAGCAAAAGGATTTGCTTTTTGAATGTACTTGGAGAGAACCAAGAACCACAATGCCTGCCACAACTGAAAGCAAGACGGAACTTAAAGTGGTATTTGGAGCCATGATTCTGGGCAAAGAAAGTACCAAGCATGCTCCTACCAAGCCAAAACAGAAAAGTCTCACCAACTTATAGGTGCTAGTCCAGCTCGAGTGCACAACTTAGATGACTGTGCAACAATGCTGGGTGTGTTTCAAAACCATGGGCACGTGGAGGTTAACACCGCGCGAGTATATGGCTTCGACTCGTCTGCTGTATCTGGGCCAGTTGAAATGGCAAGAAAGAGGAATTGTCACGGGTACGAAGCTGAATGCCCGTGGTCCATACTCGCACAAAAAGAAAGCATTAAGCCTGGACTTGTAGACAGTCTAAAGCACTACAGACAGACAGCGTAGACCTGTGGTACCTTCACGCTCCTGATGTAAGCATCCCGGCAGTTCCTTGACTTCCCTTCGGTGAAGTACCTCAGACATCAGCTGGACTCCTAGAGTCCGTACAAATAGACTCTATGTTATTTTTCTCTTTGTTGATAGTGCTAATTGTTCTATTTTGCAGCACAACACGCCGTATGAAGAAACTTTAGATGCCGTTAATGAGTTATACAAAGCAGGCTACTTCAAACGGTTCGGCATCAGCAATTATGCAGCCTGGGAGGTGGCACAAATCTGCGAGCTCTGTGAAAAACGAGACTGGAAGAAACCAGATGTGTATCAAGGCGTGTACCACGCCTTGCACAGTCACAGTCCCAACGACCGTGTATACAACCGTTCCAGTCACACAGACAGTTCAATCAGCGTCAACCATCGATGTGACTATTATCAAAACAGTTTCATCTACGACAACAACAACTGTTACGTTAAGCTCTGCTTCGACATGCGGTGTCAACCTCTTCCGAAACGGTGACTTCGCAACCGCCGGCTATAGCTCATGGACTTTCAATCCCACCGGTTCACCAAATGTTACAGTGGTAACTCCAGGATACCAGAATGGCCCGTCTCTTTCTATTGGGTTGCCAAATTCTTCATCATCAGTCAATCTAATTCAGACTGTCAATACTGTCCCTCCGCGTTGTTGAAACAGAGCTTTTTCCCTGCTTGCGATACTACGGGATCGCTTTCTACGAATTCAGTCCCCTAGCTGGAGGCATGCTTACGGACTGGTACCAGCGAGACACCTCAGAACACGAAGCAGGTAGCCGTTATGATCCTAATATCACATGCAGGGCTCAAATTACTTTCGCCGTCAGTACTGGAACGATGCATATTTTGATGCGCTTGATGTCATCAGGCCCGTGGCTAGGAAGCTGGGGATGACAACTGCCGAGGCAGCTTCTAGATGGGCAAGTCATCATAGTATGATGAAGAAAGAATATGGAGATGCTATTATTATAGGTGCGAGTAATATTACTCAATTGGAGGAAAATCTCAGGAGTCTGGAAAAGGGACCTTTGCCAGAGGACATGGTGAGAGCGTTTGACGAAGCTTGGGCTATTGTCAAGAGTGCTTGTGGGCCATACTTTCAGTAATATCTTATATTTAGAGCTTCTGGCAACTATGAACTTATTTGACCATGGAGAAAGCATAGGAGATGTGGATAGTTGTGAGCCATTTCTGAATTCGGCAGTTAATGTCTGTATATGTTGGAGTGAATCTTATTGAATTTATCAAATTTTCTGATACAGAATTAGTTAGAAATATTATTACATACTACACAGAAGCTGTCAAATAAGTAAGAAGATATTCCATAATATTCGTCGAACTCCATGCGGCTTGCCTCGTATGTTCTCAGTGATGTAGGCATGTGCGTCGTATGATAATTCCTTGGTACTATGTAGATAGCGGGAGATCGACCAGTAGTCCCATACGGAGTGCTTAGCGCCGATTTCGGGTCCACTCGTGGGTCCCTCTTGGCCCACATGGAATCGGCCCGATGCTCATCGGTGGGATTCTTATCTGAACTTCGGCTGTTATACATATGAGTCGCAACATTGGTTCGCCATTTCATCGATTTGATCTAAGTTACTCTGCATAGTAAACAGGGTGGGAGTTTCATACATCATCTCTAGCATCGCGCCTATGGCTAGCTTAATCTGAGTCCTCTTACGGCGGGAAAATGCAGATGTTCATGAGGGTGGCATGCATTCCACCGAATAGCCAATTTTTTCAATATGCATTGTGGGCAGGACTGGCACATGATATCCCCCGACAATAAATCTTTTTTACGGAAGAGTAATAATTGCACATATGGGAATAAACGTTCGTTTCTACCTCTATCTACAAGGCCGTGACATTTCTTTTAGAACCTGTCCATTTCATATATCTCCTGGATGAAAAGTTATATGCATCTGCTTTTCAAATGGAAACAGTCACCAATCTGACCTCATCCACTCTAGTAGCAAGGATGGACTTCAACGCGCAGAACTTTCAGTCACCGGTCACGATCAGCCTAGCAGGCCTTCTAGCAACCCTGATAAGCTTGCTGGCATATATGTCATATAGCCCTCCAATTGACAAGAGATCGCCAGCATTTACATCTGATACGGTTCCGTTTATTGGGTCATGGAGATTTTTCACTCAAAAACTGTGAGCGCTCTGTACTCGACTTTCACTGTCAGTTTTAACAGAGATGAATTTGCAGTCCGTTTTGGAGGAATTCCATGGCACTTTCAAAGACCGGAAACTTCAGCTTTTGGCTGGGCAAAAATCACGTCGTTGGGGTTTCCGGCGAGGCGTCTCGCAAGATGTATCTGGAAAGCCGCAGCTTACATCTTATCAAGGGAATCACGCTCATAGGACATGGCCCAGACTTTATTGATGGGCGATCGACAGTAATTCACAATATCTGGAAATCTGCATATACTAATGACCGCACCTATGCCACAAGACGCTTGCTTGACCTACAAAAGTCGGAACATCTCGTTAAGCGTCTTCCTCGCGTCACCAGAGACGCTCGTCTCGCCTTCGAGGAAATGCCTAATAATGCAACTGGGGTCATGAACCCAACCAAGGTTTGCTATCGTCTTGTTGTGATGCAGGGATCGCGTCTAATATGCAGCAATGAGATCGCGGATGATCCTCAACAACTGAATCGCCTTGTAAGATACGTGTCGACTCTACAGTCTACCAGCAGCCTCCACCTCCTTGCCTTCCCATGGCTGTCATATTTTAGTGTATCTTACTGGAAACGTCGTTGGGGGCGTAATGGCATCACCCAAATTGTTAAACCTATTGTCAACAGGCGTATGAGGAAGGGTGCTCCTCGCTTTGATGACTCTCTGCAGTTTCTTATCGAGAGCGGTGATAGCAAGGACTACATTACCAACTTCTTAATTAGCATGTTATTCATTGTGGCGGCTAACGCTGGCGTTCTCTCCGGTGCTATGCTAAACATTGTGGCTCATCATCCCAAGTGGCAGGAAAAGATATACGACGAGATCAAGGCTGCTGCTGCGATACATTCCAAAAACAGCAATGCGCCCTTGGTCGACCAACTCGACTCAATTCCGCTCGGGGCTTGGGAGACATCATTTCCGTCAATTGATCTCTGCTATAAAGAGGCCATTCGGATGTGGGTTGCATTCCCCATGGGTCGATTCAACGATACGCACAGCCCAATCCCAATTCCTGGAACAAATGAAGTTATTCCACCCGGGAGTTTTGCGTGTTACAATACCCTCGATGTGCATTACAATGAGAAGCTATATCCAGACCCTATGAAGTGGGACCCAGAGCGCTTCCTCGAGAGACGCGAAGAGTACAAGAAAGAGGCCTACGGCTGTGAGTCTTAATATTCCTCATGCAATCCCTGTTATATACTTCTAGATGTGCTAAGGTCATAACGCTAATTGATTCCTCTTGAAAGACATGGGCTGGGGCGCTGGTCGTCACCCCTGCACCGGTATGCGCTGGGCGAAACTGCAACAGAACATCATCTTAGCCTATGCCCTAGCCTTATACAAATGGAGTGGCTGTGACGAGCACGGTGACCCCAACCCACACTTTGCCCAGCCAACAACTGCCTTGAACGAGCTCGCTCCTAGGTTACCCCAGGGTCTCTGGTGCAAGTATGTTCCTAGGGAGAATGTGTGAAGGTTTACTAGAGAATGATGCTTTATATTAGGAGATTGTAGAAATATAGGACATCCATAGTGTCTGTGATGCTGTGTAGAGAGTCCAGCACTCGAGAATGATACAGAACTAGCCTGCATTAAGACATCAACTATGTGGCGTTGTTGTACAAATGTAAACCATGTAGAATCCTCAAATCATGTAATAGGACAAGAAAACTTGGGGAAAAAAAAGTAAAGTCAAAATATTGGGATGAATATCATTTAATAATTAAAATTCATATGAACGGTCTGCTCGAGCCGCGATTTTCTTGGTAACCCTCATACACACCAGAAGGCAACTGCTCTTAGTCCATGACTAGCTACAATAGATACTGCACTTCTACTACTGCCACTCAACAATCTGAGGGTGATTAATTACAATCACGGTCTTTGGAAGCACAGGGAAATAGTAATTATCAACACGCCTTAAAGAAGGAAAAGACAAGTCTACGTGCTTTTCCTTGTATCAGCAAAACTTTCGTGGTCACCTACGAGATGCTATCTGTACCACGGATCCTGCTTCTTGCGCTTGTAGTCGTCAACAGACTCAAAAATTACTTGGCTAAAGCAAACAAAATTTGCGATATTACACTCCCGCGGATCAAATAACTGGGACATTAGGGTGCGAGTCGCGGACTGGTTATGGATCTTTCCGATCCCGACTAGTCGTCAGAAAGTAACCTCGTAGTAACATTTAACGGGTAGTCCATCACTTGACGCCGTATTGAACCATGAGATCCTTGGTCATTGGTACCGAATTGTTGACCATATGGTTGCGGTAGCCTTCCTCGTTGATGCTTGGCTTACGATTGCCACGGATAGCCAAGCAGATATACCTCGAACTGCAGGGGCTAGTGTACTCGGGCTTGTCGATTGTGGCCATATTTACAGTAACCATGCAGTGAGTGAATACGATTGTTGATATAGGATGTGTCAGAGGCACAATCAAGGTTCCATATTTGATGGAAAAAGGAGATAAATGGCTGAAAAGTACTCGGGTAATTGTCTCGGCCCCGTAAACAATTAAATAAGAGCTTGGTCCCTCCAATACGTGCTTCAGTTATCAAATTCGAAGAGTCGCGGCCTGACAGACCTCATTTTGATATTCAACCAATTGTTCCTGTCGTGGAATGGTGTTCATGCTTTAAGCTATGAGTGGCGTTGGTATCCAGGTCACGGCCTCGGTGATAGTGGCATTTTTTATAGTTAGGCCAGATCCTTGGGCTTTTTCATGAACAAAGGTGTAGCACAGACATAAAGTGTTTCGATCTAGGTGCAATGATTAGCATCTCAGCCATTTCCATGCCGGTTTTCCCGGACACCAATATTGAGGCTAGTCATGTATTTCACCATGGATATGCCGTCTATGGTTACGTAGATATCTACATGTCTACCTAGGTATCCTAGCCGATGAGGCTTTTTGCATTGGTTGCTCCCGAATATCATACTATCAAAAATCAGCATTGGGGTCTCTAGTTACGCCACGACAGCCGTGCTTACCATAACAATGGTGCCGTTTACCTGTCTGATTATGAGCTCAACTAACAGCACCTTGTTCCGATTAACGGAGGGGCTGCCATCTCTAGACGACCTAGGTATTGCACAAGAGCTTCTGGTGAAATGGGCGTGGTCCTTTCCTCTAGCAGGCGCAGGCGCCGGTCCGTTTACTGTGGTACGTGAACTCGGTGCAGTTGTACAACATTCGGGCTTTGTTGGTTATTTGCTTTGCCTAAAGGGTATTTATCCCGACCCTAGCATATCATTCATCGGGGTGATTGTCTCACGGTTACCGAGCATCTATTTCAGGAATATTTCCAGGACCGAAGAAAAGGAATACGGTCTTTTCGTTTCCACATCCTTTCCTTTTTCTTCAAATGTCTACTGGCAGTTGAATTTGGAATATAGCGCACAAAGCTCTGAAATACGTGTTACGATTTAGTAATGAAATTTGAGAATTCTAATACCGAGCTGTCCGAGCACATCCAATAAGACCAGATGATTCATTTTGTACCAAGCGCCATAAGGAAATTTCCACCAACATTTTCGTGATTGGTCCAAGGAATTTCAGAAATGATAGAGGGATCTCGAAGGTTACAAAGACACCATGATGTTAGCTTTCAGACAAAGTACTATCGATCTTAATAAGCATCAACCATAATAGGATGGCCAATTTGTACGTCGAAGTAGCATTCATAACGGAGGAAGCACAAATTGTAAACTTCATAGTCCTGAATAAAAACAAAAAGTGCCCATTCTAGATCAGGCGTAAATTCCCTGGACATCCACTCTCACAAGTGACGGAGACTTAAGCTCCTGGAATTGGCGCCCGTGTTGAACTGCTTCAACCGAGTACCACTTCTTCTTGCCCATTTTGACCTCAAACGCGACCTTGTTATCGCCCGCCAGCTTGCGCAGAATTTCGTCAATAAAAGGCTCCAAGGCAAGGGTCCGAATAGTCTCGTCTATTGATGCACCGTAAATCTCAGTAGCAACATCCTTTACAGTCGCGCTCTTATCTCCCCTCTCGCGCACCCGACAAAGGGCTTGTAAGACCTGTCGCTCACGACGCAGCTTTGCGCCCAATTCGCCCTCGATCTTGGCAGGTAAGTTGGTTATTGTAACTCCGTGTGCAGAATAGCCAATAGCACACCGTTGTGCAAGCATTTTCTGCAAACTTGCCATGAATGTTCCCAGGTCTTCAACTGCGCTGGTACCGTGACCAAGGATATTGTCCCCCGTAAACATTGCCTGTTCCTCTTCGAGGACAAAACACATGTGGTCCTCCGAGTGACCTGGAACATGTAAGGCACGCACAGTCGCTCCCTCCACTTGGAACATCTGTCCGTCCGTAATGTTCTGCTGCCCTTTTTCTGGCTCGTTCTTGTAAATGGAGTTTTCAAGATGCGGGTACAATCGCAGCAAATCAGGAACGCCGCCGGTATGATCGCCATGCCAATGTGTGAGAAGTATATGTGACAGATTGACGTTCATCGATTCCAGTGTTGACGCGATTAGCGCTGCCCACGCAGGCTCACCACCGCCTGTATCGACCATGATCCGGTCACGACCTGTGCCAATTATATATGTGTTTGTCCCTTGGAACGTAAACTACCCAGCACGTTAGTTACTGAAATTATACCAAAACTTGCCACTGGTTTTTTGTACTTTTCCTGGATTTTGACCTAGGACACGAAGTACTCGTGGAGTAAGTTGTTCAACATCTTCTAGCTTTGGAAGGTTTGCCGTTTGGCCTTTAAGATACTCGTCAAATGCACAAATATTCAACGATTTATTGATCTGCCGGTACCCTCCTTTGTCACCTTCCATGGCAATTCGACTGTCATAGACTACCACTTGATGTCGATAACACAAGCAGAGTAATAAGACTGATTCAATGTGTTTGCTGCAAAGGTTTAAATCAAAAGGAAGACTTGAGTGCAAGGTCGAAATTGTAGCGGAAAACCAGCCCTCCAGTTGGCGAAAGCTAGAAGAGTCTGACTTGACCTATACACATTGATCAAGACCTAATGCAAAAATTACAATAATTGAACCGATATAATGTGGCTCTGGACATCTTTGACGGCTACTCTTCGGTGAGTCGATGACAGGATCCATATTCGGAGCCCGATACTGGGCTATGAGACGCAATAGCTTCTACTTTATCCTCGGAAACTGGTGATATGACTCGGAGCCTTGTCTGATACTCGGATAGTTGTATTCGGGATAAATCATGGAGATGATGGCATGGCCAGGTCTTAGCTGTTTACTCTGCGTCGCGAGGTCCAATGAGAATCTCAGGTGGAATCCGGGAAGAAGTACTACTCATGCGAAGTAGCTGCTCCCAGAAACAGAGTCTAGTGCACTTTACAGAATCTAGAAACTACCCGTCTTAGGTACCATATAGGAAACCGCCAGTCATCCGATAAGGATGAATGCCATCGTGGAGATGTCAATCCCATCAACCCCTTTACCAATTTCAAGTAATCCCGATGAATACGACTTGATATGCCGCGAGGTAAATATTGGTAAGATCAAAAATTACAATAATAAGTCATCACAAGCCCCTCAGAGGATATGTGGATTTCGGAAAATATGATATGACCTAACAATCGAGATGTTACTTCCGTGACTGCTCCTGCATTGCATGCTTCCCACAGTAAAACATATCTTCCGCTTTTCGTATATTGACTCAGTACAAGCAGAGTGTGAACATTTTCTATTTTCTTCATCATTCAACCCCCACCCTTGTGTTTCCTGGCCATCCACATTGATGCCCATCTATACCCCTACAGCAAGCTCAGATTCCGACGACGACTCGCCCAAGATGGAGCTTGTATATTTCAGTAATGAGTTTCCAAGCGAGGACCTACAGAATCTCTTCCGTCAGCTACACAGTCATAGTAAGGACAAGAATCATCCGGTCTTAGCTTGCTTTTTAAACGAGGCTACATGGGCCGTCAAAGATGAAGTCCGGCGACTTCCAACTGAACTAAAGCAGCTTATCTCACCGTTTGAAACCATTCTAAGCTGGGCAGAAGATACTGAGCTCCGAGAAGGACTTATCTGTGGTGCCGTAGACGGGGTTCTCCTTACTGTCGTTCAACTGGCGACATATATTGGGTAGGTATCAATTTATTCCCACTTGACCTTTCATAGTATGTCACTAACATGATGCGATTAGATACGCTGAAAGTTACCCAGAAGAGCTGTGCGACCTGTCGAATACGTACCTTGCAGGTTTGGGTATCGGGCTTCTGGCATCGACTGCCGTTTCACTTTCGTCTACACTGGCTACTTTGCCACTGGCTGGCGCAGATGCAGTTCGTCTGGCCTTTCGCTTGGGAATCCATGTTCAAGGTGTTTCAGAGAATCTTGAAGCCCGAGATCTTTCAGAAAAGCCTGATACATGGGCATACGTCGTTCACAATGTGGACTCAGAGGCTGCCCAAAAAGAGTTGAATGTCATGCACTCACGGTTCGAGACACCAGAGACTGCCAAGCTCTTTGTCAGTGCAGTTAGTCGCACTTCAGTCACGGTGAGCGGGCCTCCAACTCGACTAAAAGCTCTCTTCAACAAGTCGGAATTTTTCCGTGGATCTAGATTCATTGCATTGCCAGTCTATGGCGGACTCTGTCATGCACCGCATATTTTCGGACATCAAGATATTTGGAGTATCGTCCATGGAAGCTCGTTAAACAGTATCAGCAGAAAGGCCTGGCCAGTGGTACCAGTGTACTCGACTAGTACAGGCTTACCATACCCAGCAAAAACCGCGGGAGAGCTATTCGAATCTGTTGTTGCGGAACTCCTTACCCACTCAATCTATTGGGACCGTGTCATTCTTGGGCTGGTTGACAGGGTCAAATGCATTGGGGCCTCCGAAGCAGTTCTACACTGCTTTGGCAATTCCATACCATTGAACGATCTGAATACTGCCTTGAAGGATGGTCTGCCGAAAACAAAAGTTCTAATCAATAACCTTATTCCGTGGATGTCCGAAATTTCGCCAACAGGCACTACCACTCGCAGCCCAGCACAGTCCAAGCTGGCTATCATCGGCATGTCCTGCAGAATCCCAGGTGGAGCAACCAATACAGAGAAGTTCTGGGAGCTTTTAGAGAAAGGCCTGGATGTGTCGAGACGGATCCCACCTGATCGGTTCGACATTGATACACACTTTGATCCTACTGGCAAAGAGCTTAACAAAAGCATGACGCAGTATGGCTGCTTTATCGATGAGCCCGGTTTATTTGATGCCCCTTTCTTTAATATGTCTCCGCGAGAAGCCCAAGTTGTCGATCCGCAAATGCGTCTAGCGTTGGTTACCGCGTATGAAGCGTTGGAGCGTGCGGGATACGTTGGTAATCGCACTGCTTCCACGCAGTTGCAACGAATTGGAACGTTTTATGGCCAGGCTGCTGATGACTATCGCGAGGTCAATCAAGGACAGGAGGTAAGTACGTACTATATCCCTGGTGGATGTCGTGCATTTGGTCCAGGCCGTATCAATTACTTTTTCAAATTTTCCGGTCCAAGTTACAGCATCGATACGGCATGTTCCTCGGGTCTCGCCGCTATCGAGGTGAGTTTGTACCCAGCATATTTATTGCTCAAAATCGCTAATCGCTTATTAGGTAGCATGCCAGGCTCTATGGAATGGCCAAGTTGATACCGCAGTGACTGGCGGTGTCAACGTACTGACTAACCCTGATGGCTTCACAGGATTGTGCAACGGTCACTTCCTTACCAAAGGACACAATGCATGCAAGACCTGGGATGCTACCGCTGATGGATACTGTCGAGCTGACGGTATCGGTTCTGTGGTGATTAAGAGGCTCGAAGACGCCGAAGCAGACAACGACAACATTCTAGGTGTTATTCTCGGCGCTGGAACCAATCATTCTGCTGAAGCAGTCTCAATAACTCACCCACACGCGGGTCATCAAGCATATCTCTCCCGCCAGGTGCTCCGCCAATCTGGAGTAGACCCATTAGACGTATCGTATATCGAGCTCCACGGAACTGGCACACAGGCTGGGGACTATGAGGAGATGAAGGGAGTCATGGAAGTATATGCGCCTCTCACCAAACGCCGTGGTAAAGATCAGCCGCTACACATTGGCTCAGTGAAAGCAAATGTCGGCCACGGTGAATCCGTCGCCGGAGTTACCTCGTTGATCAAGGTGCTTCTTATGCTCCAAAAGAACGCCATCCCACCGCACATAGGCATCAAAACAGAAATAAACCCTAAATTTCCCCGAGACTTTGACCAGCGCAACTTGAAAATCCCATTTGAAATGACCTCTTGGCCGCAGGTACCAGGGAAAAAGCGAATTTTGGCTGTCAATAACTTCGGTGCTGCGGGTGGAAACACGACAATGATCCTTGAAGAAGCACCAACTCGTGATATCGAAGAAAAGGATCTTCGTCGGACTCACATAATTGCCGTATCAGCCAAGACTAAGGGGTCCCTGGTGGGCAATATCGAGCGGCTAATTGCGCATCTCAATGCGCATCCAGATATCAACATCGCTGATCTTGGGTACACGACAACTGCACGCCGCCATCATCACAGCCACCGGATTGCAGTTTCTACTACAGATGTTAATCATCTAAAAAAGCATCTGGCCGCTAGCTTGGAAAAGACTGATTCCGTCAAGCCGGTAGGAAAATCTGGACCGCCACCAGTTGCTTTCACATTCACTGGCCAGGGAGCTTCGTACAAATCCATGAACCTAGACTTGTACAGAGACGTCCCCACGTTCCGAGAGACCATTCAGCATCTTGACTCTCTTGCCCAGGGGCAGGGATTCCCGTCTTTCATCCCCGCGATTGATGGATCACATCCTAAAGATTACGTACACTCTGCGGTAGTTACTCAACTTGCACTAGTCTGCACAGAGATTGCCTTAGCCAAGTACTGGGCCACTCTTGGAGTCAAGCCGGATGTTGTTATGGGCCATAGTCTCGGCGAATATGCGGCAATGCATGTCGCCGGTGTCGTGACAGCCAACGACACCATCTTCATGGTCGGACGCCGTGCCCAGATGCTGGAAGAACAATGCAAGATTGGCAGCCATAGCATGATGGCAGTGAGAGCGTCCCTGGCCCAGATTGCTGAGGTCTCTGCTGGCAAGCCACATACAATTGCTTGTGTGAATGGTCCCTCCGATACAGTGCTCAGTGGGGCCAAAGACCAGATGGACGAAATTGCAGCCATCTTAGAGGCTGCCGGATATCGATGCATCAAACTCGATGTTGCATTTGCCTTTCACTCCGAACAAACAGACCCTATATTGGACGACTTTGAAGCCATTTCGAAGTCCGGCGTAATATTCCAGGAACCAAAACTTCCTGTCATCTCGCCGCTGCTCGGAAGAGTGGTCTTTGATGGCAAAACGCTAAATGCCAACTACGTACGTCGAGCCACTAGGGAAGCGGTGAACTTCCTAGCAGCACTGGAGAACGCACAGAACGTCTCTACCGTGAGTAACGAGACTGTCTGGATTGAGATCGGGCCCCACCCCGTATGCACAGGGTTCGTGCGATCGACCATCCCATCAACCCAACTTACTATACCTTCGCTGCGCCGTGGTGAAAATAATTGGAAGACTATGTCGGAAAGTATGGCTGCGCTCCATCTTGCCGGGATGGATGTTAGTTGGAATGAGCTCCATCGACCGTTTGAAGGAAGACTCCGTCTCCTTGACTTGCCTACGTACGCCTGGAATGATAAGACATACTGGCTGCAGTATAACGGAGATTGGTGTTTGACGAAGGGTAACACATTCTACGACTCTGAGAAAGAAGTCACCAAGGCAAAGCTCATATCAAGTGCCCAAGTGACAAGCGAGGTTCAAACATCTACAGTGCAGCAGATTATCGAACAAGACTTCAACGGTTCTGCAGGTACTGTCGTTATGCAGTCAGATGTTATGCAGCCAGACTTTCTTGCAGCCGCGAACGGCCATCGTATGAACAATTGTGGTGTGGCTACATCGGTGAGTTTACTTGTTACTTGTCAACTTCCTACATTCCTATATTCCAAATCAACTAACCTGTATGTAGTCGATTCATGCCGACATTGCATACACTCTTGGTGGACATCTACACCACAAATTACGTCCAAAAACGAAGGAAGTGCACATGAATATTATAAATTTACACGTCACCAAAGGACTTGTAGCTCAGAGCAACACAAAGAAACCTCAATTGATTCGTGTGACCGCTACTACCGCTAATATCGACTTAGGAATTGTTGACTTAACGTGGCAAAACGTCGACAATGCCGGCAACGCTAGGGAATCTTTCGCAACAGCTCAGATAATATTTGGTAATGCGTCCGAATGGCTGTCTTCATGGGTTCCCATGGCACACTTCGTGCAGGGCCGGATCGAAACGCTTGAGCACATGGCGGCAACAGGTCAAGCAAGCCGGCTGTCACACAGCATGGCATACAAACTTTTTGCTAGCAACTTGGTTGACTACGCTGATAAGTACCGGGGTATGCAATCAGTGGTAATGTATGGACTAGAAGCGTTTGCGGACGTAGAACTCACCACCAAGGATGGTGGAGTATGGACTGTACCGCCATACTTTATCGACAGTGTGGCACACTTGGCTGGATTTACCATGAACTGTTCCGACACAATGGACACGAAGAATAACTACTGCGTGACGCCTGGGTGGAACTCGATGCGGTTTGCGAAACCACTGCTTCCAGGGGCCAAGTATCGATCATATGTCAAGATGATACCAACTGTCGAGGACCCTACTGTCTACTTTGGCGACGTGTATATCATGCAGGACAATGTGATCGTCGGTATGGTCGGAGGAATTCAGTTCCGTCGCTATCCACGTATTCTGCTTGCTCGGTTCTTCTCCCCTCCTGACAAGATGCCGGTGATGGAGGCCAAGGCGCCTGTTGCAAAATCTTCAGTGTCAACACCACAACCCGTGACAGAAGCAAAGCATCCTAGTGCGGCTGATAAGAGCGAATCTCTTCCGTCATCAGTAGAGACTATACCAGCAGAATCCAAACCGGTAGCAAAGGCGAACGTTGAATCAGCGGTGTCTTCCAACAGCATCACCACCAAAGCCCTCGCACTTATTGCCAAAGAGGCGGCTCTTGAAATCTCCAAGTTGGAAGATGACGCGAGTTTCTCTCACCTGGGTATCGACAGTCTGATGTCACTAGTCATCTCGGAAAAGTTCAGGACGGAATTGGATGTCAAAGTCAGCGGGAGTATGTTCTTGGACTATCCCACGATTGGCGATTTGCGTAAATGGCTGGAAGAATATTACAGTTAAGCGATATGAACTAGATATCATGATTGTGATCTCGCCTGGTACTGCATGTGATTAGAGTTTGCCCAGGTAGTGTACTTGCGTGGTTAATAATTGTCTACAAGCGATCCTACATCGTATGCTACGTCTAAACCCACACTTATCTGGCTACCTAGGTCATCATGAGAATGCGTCAATATCGCTATAAATATAAGTAGCTATTGTCCACAGGTGTTTCCAATAGAACGAATGCAAGTTGTCGCACGCCTTAGTCTCAAAGAGGTGAGATGACTCAAAAAGTAACCAGGAGGAATGAATTAAATTAGGTCCATGCATCTGATCCTCTTAATGGGGTTTTCTGGTAAGTGACTTCTGAGTGTTGCAAGACTCATATTATTCCCGAAAAATAGAGGTATACCAACAGGAAAGCTTGCACATGCACAATGAAGCCACGACGCACACAGGTATGCAGCAAATAAGTAATTATTTAAATAGGGGATCGTGTGCAATGGTCAATAGCAAGGCTAACCTGTAGGGGATGGAAAACCAATTATGAACAAGAAGGGAATGGTGGGCTCGACGAAGACACACCCTCCCCATAAATTACTTGGACTCCTGGCTGTGCAAAGATGATCTCTTGTTTCTCTACGGTTTTGCAACCGTTTCCAGTGTTAGCCACAAACATGTCGGGGTACGCTGACTCGAAAGAATCAGGACTTCCCTTGCCCCCTGTAATTGTAACATCGGCACAGTTCATGTACATTTCGCGATTTCCTTCGAGATTGAACCAAGTCCATGCAAAAAGAGCATCACCATCAGCAACATCACTGGGCATACTAAAGTTGTATGTTGACTCCAAGGGACAGCCCCCTTCGATGGACTCAATCACGTGGAATGAAGTGCCGTTGTCGTAGCTGAGTGACAACTGACAGGATCCTCCTCCATGCGTAGCCGAACCAGCTAGGCTGATGTTGTATTTCTGTCCTGCGGTGTAGGTGGTTATTGAGCGCCATGGAGTATTGGTGTGGTAGCCTTTGCAAGGAAAGTTGGAGCCTATTCATATTTCGTGCCGTTAGCTATATTCTCAATTATTCATTATATCCATATTCTGAGAAAAATGTATATACCATCCGTCTTCAATGGATCCGTCATTGAGTAGTCGGCCGAAGTTGCTTGAGGATCATATTTGCTGCGTAGAGGATACGGCCAGCTCATCTCCATGTGTGCGGACGTGATTCCGATGATCGTCAGGCTGATGATAGCATTGAAAATCATAATGAATATTATGTCGACTTCCAAATTAAAATATGTACTAATCCGAAAGGCATAAGAGAGACGGAAATCCGCTTGTGACAACGAAGATACAGAGCTGACGAACATGAAAGTTGAGAGACGAGCGTTCAATTTAAAGCTGACTTCAAGCAAGATTATAGCTATGATATCAGATTATAGACTCATTTAGGCTTGCCATTCCTTGAATTTTTAGGTGAGGGAACCCCATACATGAGGTCTAAGGAATGTCGCATTCCTTCAACATCTATCAAGATGCTCCTAGCTACCTAGGTAGGGACCCAAGTCCCTTAGCACGTCCAAACTTTACATGAAACCAACTTTAAAAAGAAGAAATGTTACAATTACTGTATAATTTCGCCGCTACAGAACTTCCGGAGGTTGACAGAAATACCGAATTAAGAAATTAGGGCTAATTTTCAAGGTTTGAAGCTCGCAAGGCAACCACACCATTTATTTTGATGGAGACGGCATACGTAACGTGCACATTCTTCCTAATGGTCTACACTCCACTGGTTAATCTTATCCCGATAGCCCTAAGAACATTGGATTAGTTAAGTTGAATAAGTAGTGCATACATAAGTTAACTGGTAGATCACTATTGCGGGTAATTTGTTGAATCTCGCAAGCCGTGGCGAGGTATGCTAACGCGTAAGTTAATAGCGATCAAGCGTGACACAACAACAGCTTCTATGATACGTTCTGTGATGTCTACTGGCCTGACCAGACGACCCCCAAACTATTGGCTTCCTTGCCTAAGTATTTTCTATCTAGACATGAAAGGAGAGTTCCCACTGGAATTAAGCTTCTCTAATGGAGTTTCTCAAGCTTTGCAATACGATATATTTAGTTTTATTCACTTCATTCGAGATACCTAAGCTAGTCATTGGTTGTTACAGTTGACTATCGCCATGAAACTTGCCATACTCCCCGATTCATTTGTCACTGAAGCTTCAGATCCATTTCGCTGTGCCTGAATGCCTTATAAATCTTACTGTGGGTGCATCTGCACTAGTACTAGTACGATAAGCTTCCTAACCCGGAATATGGGTTAATTGAGTAGTCTAAGTTGTCTCTCCTTCTTAAGATTTCTGACACCGACGCGTAAGGGATTCCTTGTGTAGTATCGGAACTTGCTATGTACTAGCACAAACTCAGTTAAGCTCAATACTCAAAGACGTCTTTATAGTGGGAAATATTGATATTGACCTAATTCTGCGCACTCTCTTCTATCCACATCTTGACGAGGTTGTTGGACACTATTTATGCTTGAGAATCCCATCTAGAAGATATCCAGACAACCTCAAATAGAAGATTCTCGATATAGAGCTGTAAAACTGATTCGTAGGCTCAATCTTGTGTCTTCAATTCTCGAATTTTCCTTGTATCATGTTTTAGGCTTTCCTTGATTAGGTAATAGCAATCCTGAATCCAAAAGTAGGGCTGTCGATATTGTGCCAAACCTGGGATCGGCAATTGTGTTTTTCCGGGGATTCACAGATTAGTAAGGTCGTCCAGAATGGGATTAGCGTATCAGATATCCAACACTATCCGGATCTCAACTGCACCCTCGCATCCAACACTTACAGTCACATATTTAACCAGGAGAGCTTATGATCTGAACACTTCTTTGGTCTCACATGCTTTCCATATTGCAGCATCACATCATCATTGGTTTATTAAGATTCAGGCAAATTACATACGCATCCCCCTCTTATGGATTGATCTCAGATCAAATACCAACAGTTTTGCCTGACAGACTGTTTGTGTTGGGAGGTATCTTTTATTAGACTGAACAACCTTAACAGCATGGCACCAGTTTCCTAGTGATTCGAAAAAGAACCTCAGTCTTCTTGGTTCTGAACGTTTCGTAATGTACTATTATTAACCGACTCCATCTCTCCAGCTATCGTACGGAGTCGACTTATAAAATTCTCGAGAATTAATTCTTGTACCTCGGCTGGCAAGCCTTTTATCTATCCCTCCAGATCATCGTATCTCGATTCAAGACCTTTCAAAAACTCAAGCACATCGCACCCCTTCGCTCTTGTGAGCTATCTGCGTCTATGGAAACTTCTTGACTGGTGTGATCCGAATTTGGACTTTCCGACTTCATAACATTGGCCATACGCCATGTTTACTTCCATTATACACAGCTTTAACAGTAAGTTTATCAACTCCTGCAATTTCTAGAGCTTTGAGGTTCCCGTTCTGAGCATTCTGTAGGGTTTCGTTAACTTCAGGGGCATTAAACTCAAGGGTCGAATGGTCATGACTATGGCCTTCGGTTGCGGACTTTTCAATAAGCACAAGTCCGGCGCGCTCTGTAACCTTGACCCTGGCAGGACAGGAATTAGGATTCGACTAGGTCGCTGTCTTTGCCGCTCCTCAGCCGGAGGCCCTTTGCTGGGCCTCCATAATCGACAATAGTAGTAGGTAGTAGTCGTTATTTTACTCTTGCAGTGTGTTGAGCTATTACGTACGTACATATTGTCAACGTATCTCCAGAGAGCATTGAACTCTGTAAATGTCATCTGTACCGGCGCGTCCATGTGGAATATTTGATCACGCAACTGGGAGAGATTTGCAGCAATGTCGCTGAATATCGGGAGAGGTTGACTTGGAGAGAACGCCATGGTAAGTAGAAGAATTTCAGAAATGCGATATAAAAATAGGCTCCTTTCTAGCAATTCCATGCGAAGGACTCCTTCACATGGAATTGCTGGAGTCTTGCACGGCGGTCTTTCGGAATGCGGAGAGTTGAAGTTGAGTATTTACAAAACCCATTGTATGGCGTATTGATACAATACGATACGGTATGGTACATGACTTGAGACCCTGAGATTTAACCTTCCCGCTAACCCCATCTTGACTTGCCTCCTTCTCTATCTCCGAACATTTCTTGAGCACATCGCACGAACAACAAGATCAATCTTCGTCATGGCCTCGTCTCGGGTTCCGCGGTTGCATACCTTGGTGAGAACCCAAACCCAGCTGTTCCAACTTCAACAAAGAAGATGGGCGCAAGTACACGATGTACGATTTCTGGCCACCCATCGAGATCCGCAACAAGTCTTGGATAGGTACAAGCACAAACTAGATCAAAAAGCAAAGCAGTATGCCACAGTCTACCCTTGAGACGCAGAAAAGTTAACACTGACCTAAATTGCTACTATTCTCTGAAGGGAAGGCCATGATTCGGTAGAGTCTCTCAAAGAAGCATACAAAGATAAGATTGCCGAATACCGTCGCAAAGCATCCACTGTCGCAACACCTGAGCCATCGCCAGCCTCTTCACCTACCTCCACAAAACCCTCCCCTTCATCTACACCTACACATCCAACCGCATCATCGCCGATTGCCGCAGCTGCCAGAGCAGCCACAGACTCAAATACGCCGGGCATTAAGCCACTGAGTTCCTATCTCAACCTCGAAAAGATCCTTACTCTCCCGCCGAAAGAGATCGAAACACTGTGGAGACTGCGACATGCGAATAATGCCCGCTCAATCTGCGCGGTGATTCCATTAGAGACCTACCAACGGATGGCGACAGCAGCGCGCTCGAATCCGCAATTCATCCTTCCTTTACCACGACAAAGCGGCAGCACACAATCAGAAGAATCGGCCGCTGTTGAAGGTGGCGCTGATATTCATTTCTTACAATGGGGATTTCATCCTCCCGCCGCTTCGTCTTCATCCTCTCTGCAGACAGCCAACACACATACCTCCACGGTCGTCTTCACGCACCTTGCGGCCTACAAACTGCACGGCTCATACGCGCAACCACATACAACAATCACTCACCATCTCGACCTGGCAGATGAGAAGGGATTGGTGCTTATGCACGGACAAGTCATGCCGGACAGTGGCGTGTCAGTCTCTGAGGCCAGTTGGCTGGTCAGTTGCGTGCAACGATTTTATGACTTTGACGGTGAAGGTAGCGGACGCAAAGGCGAGTTGTTGCGGATGTTTACACGTGGAGATGTAGAGGGTTTCAAGATCGAGGACCTAGTCAGTGAGACAGAGACACTTTCCTAGATGTATATAAATTCAGCTCTGCTTTATGTTGGAAAACAATCCTCCTGCTTGACGGAGCACGATATGTACAATTATTATTTTGAATGTAAGATATAGGGGTGTCGCCGAGTGTAATATTATCTCAAGTCCCAAAGTCCCTAAAACCTTTATTTAGCACATCGGATCGTAAGATATGTTATGTCAGAAGCAATATAATAATATTCCAAAGATCTACCAGATAAATCAATAGAGGTAGATACCGAATACAAATATATACACTGAAGGGAACAAACCCGACCACGAAAGGAAAAACAGTAAGACATCCGTCAAAACAGCCAAAAGTCTGGAGCCTTAACGGAATGAATATGAATATGTTGAGTTAGGGTATCTTTAGTAAATGTAAAAGGTATAAAACACCGAACAGGTGCTACCAAAGGATGCGTGTGGCATTTCCGATGCAAACACAATGCTTCCTACTGATTCAGTCAATGGCATAATCCACAATAAATTCCCGGATATAGTCAAAGTAGTTGGGCTCTGCGACACTGTCGTTGTGGCCACCATTGGGTAGTTCACGCCAGAGTTTGGTTTCGGCTTTACATAATTCATACAGTCGCAACATATGCGAGGGACTGCCGTCGATACCGTCAGTTCGTTTCAGAAATCTTGAGTGTTTCAGGAAAGGACCTACGGGATCATTTCATCTTTCAGCCCGCTCAAGAAAAGAATGGGGATCTTCTCTATTTTTGGGAGCACATCTTCGCTGCTCCAATATTGATGACATAGACGGGCAAGGTAGCGAGCAGGAGGAAAAACCCTAAGAAAATTAGTATTGCATGTAAGTCTGGGCGAGCGGATTTGAGTGGCACGTACGATGGGATGAGTTTACGAATACACAGAAACGTATTCTCCAGGATGAGACCTGCGATAACTCCCTTTTCCAGGTTTCTGGCCACAAGGTTGATAGCGACCGCACCGCCCAAACTCTGACCGTACACTACAATCTTTGTATTTCTTGTCTCTGCTCGGTTTCGTAGGTAATCCAGGGCGGTTTGTGAGTCAATATTCAGGCCTCTTTCATCTGGGGTCCCCGTGGACAGCCCGTATCCGCGGTACTCAAGCATGAACACATTGCAATTTAACGCCTTCGTCAACACTTTTGCGATTGGTATTCGATGGCCAATATTGCCGGCGTTGCCGTGGAACATCAAGATCGTGACGTCGCGAGCAGCGTTCTTGTTCGACGGCCGAATGAATAAAGCATTTAACGATTCGCCGTCAGGAGTCGGGATGTGAAGGTCCTCATAATCGGATATGCCAAAGGAAGATGCCTTTGGAACGTTTGTACGAGCATCCACTGGTACGGTTCGCGGATATATTATTTCACTAGCAATAAGAGACAAGTCAATGTCATGTCCTGTATCTAACACAGGAGTACCAATTGAAACGCGCGAGGAAAGGTGCACGTACTTTTGTTTGAAGTATAATAAACTACTCGCAATTACTGCTAGTCCCGATGAAGCCAGCATTGGGAGTCGCAGGAACTGCATGGCATTGCCAGCCATGGTCGCAACGTTCCATTGCGGCGGTGGGGGAGGGGATTCCGACATTATGATCAAGTATTTGTCAATAGACTGTATTTCCAAGTAGCGCAATGGTCCCGTATAAGATCAAGGGTCCAAAAGAAACGTTCGGAAGGCAAGACGCTTGTTGCGAGATTCGTCGTGTCCTATTTACTACTCCGAATCACTACTTAGCAGGAGCATTGCGCGGAGAGTATCCGGCTCGCGTGATTGCGGTCCAAGAGCCGGCTGTAGCAGATCCGATCAGGGAGAATGGAATCAATGGATTGGGTACAGAAAGTACCTAACGGCAGTGAGCGTGAGAATATGGATTATTCGATGATAGCCCAAGAAATGAATGACTCCGATGCTTCAATATGAAGAGAGACCTGATGGGAGTACGGAGCAGCCGTTGCAAGATGGCAACAGTCTAGTCCCAGATTGGCTAGTGCATCGCACCCGAAACAGACTAGCCACATTATGTCGAACGCTTATTGGTAGCTACTCTGATCCAATCACAAGCTTTACGTGCCGACCGCCTTAGTAGCTTGCCTTGTTGGCTGCCTCAGAGCTTCACACCAATATTGCACTCCATCACATCGTCCACTCATCCAACACCAGACTGTCAAACAGTTACTCGCAACCCTTCTTTGAAAGCATCGTTTATTTCCGAGCTTTATAGATAATAGTGCAGACACACAGGATGATCTCGAACGCTAGCGGCTCTCTAGGGGAAGGTAAGAAAGCTCTCGCATTCGATGGAGCTACGATAGGTTACCAACTGACACTGTGATTAGATGGCATACACGTCGACATGAATCATTTGAAGAAGGGCGAGGTTAAGTAAGTTTCTATCAGCAAGAAATTATCAATGTGGACGCTGGCTAACGCTTACAATAGCCTAGGTACCTCGATGTAAGCTACCCGTTCATACATCCTTTGGTCGAACAAGCTAATCAATATCCGCAATGTAGTATGGCAATCAATTTCAAGGACGGCGTTATCCTCGGAGCAGACAGTCGAACAACCACCGGTGCATACATCGCCAACCGGGTGACAGATAAGCTTACACAAGTCCACGACACTATCTGGTGCTGCCGATCTGGGTCAGCTGCGGACACGCAAGCGGTCGCCGATATTGTTTCGTACCATCTCAACATGTACGGTATCGTGAACAACGAGCCACCAAGCACACAAACAGCGGCTGCTCTGTTCCAGGAATTATGCTATGACAACAAGGACCAGTTAAGGTAAGCAGACAAATAATCCATCACGAACAAGGTGACACCGAGAAAGAGACTGATTCGTGGGCAAACCCTACAGCGCAGGAATTATCATTGCCGGATACGACCGACGACACGGCGGCCAGGTATACTCAATCCCTCTAGGCGGTTCCCTCCATAAACAAGCGTATGCCATTGGTGGCTCCGGATCTACCTACATTTACGGATACTGCGATGCGAACTGGAAAGAAGGAATGACGGAAGAGGAGGGCGTCAACTTTGTGAAGAGTGCCCTGAGCGAAGCGATTAAATGGGACGGAAGCTCCGGTGGTGTGATTCGTTTGGTTGTGCTTACAGCCAAAGGTGCAGTTCGTCACCTATATCTGCCCGACAATGGATATACCGGTCCAGGGCCTGCCAGATAGACGATTGTTGTTCTATAGACCAATCGTACCAATCATTGAGTCCAATTCTCTTATTTCTCTTCTTATTCAGCACGTAGACGCGAGTAAGATGTCCAACGTTCTGGATGTGTTTTCCGAGCCTCATCCAGAATAAATGTGACAGCTTTTACAATCCCATCTGCCATCGATAGCAGACATTGAAAGTAGGGTCTCGAGTAGAGCTCCCGCTAGGAGCCGTACACTGTCGTGAGTGTACATGGAGTTAAGAGCCGGTGAGCAGCTGTAATATGACGGCCGTGACGTGACAATTGTATGATTAACCATTTATTACCAAGCTGAAATACGCTGTACTGTAATCATAAATCAACATGCGTCCCTTCGCCACCTGCTCCGTCGCTGTCCCGTCATTCGTCCGGCACTCTCCGTACGATACGGTATTTTACGGTATTTGGGCCGTGACTTCTTACGCAAGTAGACAACGTACGGTCTAGCCGGCGATTGAGATCTTCAACTGGCGATAATCGATCTGTTGCTTTCGTTTTCTCTTTTGTAGTTTTCTTCATCAATTAGTCGATAACTGCTGCTAGGTTTCATCAATTGATCGATCGCTATGCGAAAGTTCTAAGCAACGCCGAACGGCCCGTATATCTAAGATACCTACATGGTTGAGGATATATACATGCTATATATATATATCTATGGTTCGATTGACAGTGTGAGCATTGGGCACACACACCATCTATCTCTTTTGCTCGGATAGCCCAACGGAAGTCACATTAACATATTATCTCTGTACCTCATCTACCCGACTGTTAAAGAATTGACCAACTACAACCGAGGACGTTCGAGCCCAGTGAACCAGATTGAACTTGACGCTATTCCAACGCAATCTCTCCATCCCACCAAGCATCAGATTTGGATACTTTGAAGCGAAAAAGAGTACACAGCTCTGCGCAAAAAACCCGAAGACACCAGTTATCCCATCGGTCGAAGCCACAATCTTCCCTCGGTTTGCAACCTGACGACACCCTGGTATTCGGTTTCCATAACCCCAAAGCAAGCGACTTCACCACGTGAACCGAACCGATATCGAGCACAAGCTCATGCTCGTCCCTGTCCTCGAGTTCAACTACTAATAAAAAAGCGAAAAGAAAATGGTTCTGTTAGGGGATAGCCCATACTGAAGTTGCTGTGACGTTGCGTTGCGGACTCTCGGACTGGCCCAGCTCCAAGGCTGCAAGGCTCCCAATCCCGACTGAGTAAGTGAGGTCGCTAATTCTCGTTCCGGCAACTACCTCCCCTTGCCTGACCTCACCTTTGCTTTGGCTTCACGAAAGAAAAGCATCTCATCAAGATACGCTACACTTTATACAGACTACAATACGCTCACCCGGATCTCGTTCCCAGCTTCTTGTATACAGTCACAGACTTGCATTGCCCGCTCCCGCCACTCAATTCTCTTATATCTTCCATCCCGCATTCTTGTTTTTCCCCTCCTCACCGAGCCCCCGCCTCTTCTCATCGCCTTCTGTTCAGCATTTTATAATTACACGTTCACTGCATGGCCAGCCGGTCCCGCTTTGTCTTCAACAGAAAAGCATCGGTATCTGGTAGCTCGCTACTGTTCGGGGATTCTTCCTTTACTACTTGTTTCTCTTATCGTTTTATTAGCCCGCAATACTGATATGGGCTTTGATATCACTAGCCCAACCACGGCGTCGGATTACGTTCATCGCGCCGTCAATTTACGACGGATCCACCATGCTTGGAAGAAACAGTACGATAAACCGCGTCGTCAATCCCTCAGAACTGTCGTATCGCTCGTCGCCTGTGCATCCAGCAATAGCGCAACAGCATAATTACTATCATCCATCATCCGCCACTCTTGACTCCAGAGAGACCGCTTCTCCGACCTATTCAACAATCACACCGTCCGCTCCTTCTTCAGTTGCGTCGCATACACCCCCGTACTCGTCTTCATCACCGCCGTCGCATGATGTACCAGCATATGTACAATCTCTACCTCATCAACCATACAACAGCAATCACCGCCCTTACCAACAGTTCTCTGACGCTCCATCCTCCACGATGACCGCAGCATCCTCCAGAGAAGCTGGCAACCCTGAATCCACAATGGTAGGAGCCAATTCGCGATACTATCCCCCAGATTATCAAGCTCATCCTTCTGGTGCGTCCTCCGCTGGCCACTCCGGGCCAGTCCACATGTCTGCAATATCCAATATACCCTCTCCTTCGTCGCCACAGCTGCATCCCACCCACCCGTCAACGCGATCGTTAGGGAGTTCAGAGCCAGCTTCGCCTAGTCGAATCAAAGTCCGTTCTCTGTCGCACATTCAAAGCTTTGCTAGTGAAGAATTCTTAGAACAATCTGAGCAGTCGAGAAGAGGGACTGGTGGCAGGCCGTCGGAGCTCACTCGTCAATATGAAATCAGCTCAATGCCGGTGGCGGACATCATTGAAATGGTCGCGGGCTTACTGACAAAGATTACTGCAACGAATGATATGCAGCATGAACATATTCATCGTCATATCCCTCCTCCCGACGGCACTGCTAACCTGAGTGCGCAAGCCAGCAGTGTGCTTGCTTTTCACGGCAAAAATGTGCCATCCATCACCATTCTTAATTATCTCGCGCGAATACACAAGTACTGCCCCACGACGTACGAAGTATTCCTCAGTCTGCTCGTCTATTTCGATCGAATGACGGAGATGGTGAACAGCCGACCTGTCCACCGTAGACGAATCAGGCTCGAGCCCACATCCACACGACCTCATTTCACATCGGCCGCGACACATGGACCTTCGAGTGGTTACCCGTCAGTAGTCACACCGCCATCTTCCAGCGGAATCACAGCACAAGACTTGAAATCTTCCGAGACCTCCGTCCCTTCGTCTTTACAGCTGGATGATGAAGAGGAGGAAGAGTTGACCAACTTTTTTGTTGTTGACAGTTTCAACATACATCGACTAGTTATTGCTGGTGTCACTTGCGCCAGTAAATTCTTCTCTGATGTCTTTTACACCAATTCTCGTTATGCCAAGGTATGTCTATAACTTTGCGAAAGCATATACCTGATCCAGTATGCCGCTGACCAGCTATTAATGTATCTTCGCCGTAGGTTGGAGGACTCCCTCTTGTCGAACTGAATCACCTTGAACTTCAATTCCTTCTCCTCAACGATTTTCGGCTAGCAGTACCGGTTGAGGAACTCGAAGCATACGGAACGATGTTGGTTGAGTTTTATGCACGAGAAGTAATTGCTCAGCAACAGCAAGCTGTCCAAGGCAATATACCCAATGCGATAAATTACCCAGGCCGGGAACATCAGCGTCATCACCACCGTCGCGATGGGTCCGAATACGGGCAGGCGCCAACACCACCTCGGACGTGACGGAGCACCCATTCATTGACTCCACTCGGTGGAGACGAGTCAATCTTTCGGTGGTCCTTTTCTTTTATATATGAGCGTATACAACGTGCCTCTTTTCACCGATCAGTTACATGAATCCGCATCAACATAGAACGGACGTGGGAGTTTTTGTTTTTCTTGCCCCGTTTTTATCTGTTTCCATCAATTGGCTCATACACTTTCTTCTTATCATTGCACCTGTTTCTGGCGAAGCGGATTCTTCTATGTCGCAGTCTAGGTACGTGGATATTTTTTGTGTATGTATTTGTGATGGGGATACATTTGTCTTATTGGGTCCTTGATAACGATTAGTATTATGTGTATGTCCTCCGTTCCTCCGCTTGTACGGTATTGATCTCACATCGTCTCTTGGGTTGCACCTCGTTACGCGTCTCGTAAGATCCGGCCAGTTCACGGAATACTAATATTAGCGTAGCGCAGTATTGAACGTATCTATACATAATACTCTCGTCGGAATGGAAGCGTTCCTCCGAAGTTGTTTTCTCACCTTGATCGCACCCATCCCGATATCAAGTAATTACACACCGCAGTCACAGCCCGATTCAACACTCAGCGCCATTATCGACTGACTCTATATCGCTAGTTCTCGCTAATCACTCATGTAGCGATACAGATTGGCTGAGTCCTACGGCAACGAAATCAGCCAACCAAGTGGTGGATAGTTGCTTTGAAGCTATTCCCACAACCTAAATGCTACGTCGTTGACCTCTGAGTGATCATGTCTGTGGAAAAGTGCCGTTTTCTCCTCTCATTTATCCAACATTATTGTGAAATTGGTCTTCAGTATCCAATTTCTAGACCCTACGGATGGATCAATCAATTGATACACTCTACCAATTAATACACCACTTTCTCGAAATAAAGTTAATAGGAAACTCCCTATGAGCATAGTCCAGAGTTAGGCTTCGCCAGTCCCAAGAATTCATGAACTCCTACTTCTCTTTGATATAATCATCGCGTATAGGATCAACCTGCCTCTTTGCCTGAGGCACAAAGTTGAGATATATGACGAACAGAGCTCCAACACTCCAGAACGCCGTTGCGACGCTATAGAACCATGGTTCACCATGGCTCATAGCAGCAGCAAGCTGTGCAAACGGCCCAATTGTGCCACCGCAAATAGCTGCAGCCATGAGTGAAGCAGCAGTCTTTGCATGTTGCGCTGTTCCACGCATGGACATTGCAAATATGGTAGGAAAGATACAATTCTCAAAGAAAAAGACTATCATTGTCATGGCATCAGCAGCTAGACCGGTCGTATGCATGCAAAGCGCTCCGACAACGATCAGACCGATATATAAGACGATAGCGTCCATCGAGGCTTCAATAATCGCCACATTGTTAGCGCTGTTAATAGACATCCAATTATGAACAGACAACCCCCGATGGATTCAAAGTCACTTGCCCGAACAGATGAGCTTACGCGTACACAGTTAGTCAGCCTTCTCCCAGTAAAAATAGGCTTGAAACATGGAAATGGTCCTGTGGACGAGAATCAAGAAAGTGTAGCATACCTTGGTCTAGTGAATTTCACATAGTCGGTGAAATTCACAAAATGTGCCTCTTGTCCTGCTTGATAAAAGAACTGGGAGCCGATCCCCATTGCCATAGTAAAATAACAAGTTCGCATATTCCATACTTTGGCACGGTTTTCAGGGCGCTGAGCAGCTAATTGCCTCAAGTCATCATTCGGAGCCTCCGGAAGAGGAAGGTAATAGAATAATACTGAGAGGAGCACTGATATAAAGGCGATAATTAGATATGTCCACTGTGCGTTAACCACATCGGTAGTATCCTTAGCATTCTTGAATAAGAATCTCCTTGCCAGCTCCGTAGCAGACACGTTGCCCATACCCTGGAAGGATTGGGCGAGACATAACCGAATTTCTGAATATTCGAGCGGCCCACATATAGCAACGAAAAGATTTGCTGTCGTCTCTAACACGACCAACCCGAATGCTACCACCATGTTGGATACGATGAAAGTTGGTAAAGAGCCGAGGACGGCGGAAGGCCAGAAAAGAAGCGCTCCGCAAGCGTATATGTAAAGTCCGGCGATGAGAGCATCCGCAAACCCCAACTTGTTTAAGAATAGCCGCCCCAGGAAGATGCCTCCAAGTAAGTAACCTCCATGGTAGGCAGCATGAAGTCCCCTGGTTGCCCACGGGCTCAATTCAAGTAGCATTCCAAATTTGATATTAAGGATACCAATGAGGCCGTATGAAAAACCCCATAAGAATAACAGTGTTGCGATTAGCACGTTGTGAGGTAAAGATTCCTTCTGAGTTAGTTTCGGCATTGATGCTGGTCTCATGTTCAATACGTTGATAATTGGAGGTTCGTCTTCGAATGCATCACCAGTTCCTTTCTTAGAAGTTCCGTAGTAGGGAGGGACTGAACCGAGCCACGAGAGGCTTCATGCTTGGGATACAGGCACAAATGAGAGTTGTATTCACTTCCATAGTGGATCACATGAATGCGAACGCGGGCAGACCCTAACATTTCAAAATAGCTGGTTAACACACGTAGCCGAAGAACGTCGAAAACAGAATATTGTTAGGACTAACGAACAAGTGTAATCGCCGGCGATCAGCTGCCCTATATTAGTTACTTGTTTGTTTTTGAGCTCGATTATTGCGGTATGCTCTAGGAACCCGATGCGGATGACGTCTACTATGATCACAAAAATCGCGGCACCGAAAGTGAATACCAGTATCAGCTTTTGTCGGAACGGTAGGGTCATTCGAGTTAAGAGCGGAATAGAAGATAATATTGCAAGGCGACGAAGCCAGGAACGTCGGAAAGATGCCAACACAGTGCTCTTTCAGGGTGTCGAACTTGAACGCTGCCAAGATTGGATGGAGCTTTTGGCGGTCATAGAGGCCGAGTCCTGTGGAATATGTAAGCTTATATGCGTGATTCAACTGGAAATGTCCGGTGCCATTGAGAAACTTACATAAAAGACCTGAAGCAAATATGTTGCCTTATTAAGGGGAATCTCATTTTGTTGCTTGATGTCTTCTTCGTGGAGCCCAAAACCCTTCCCGATTGCGAAGAAGACGGATACTACCAGGCCGAAGTCAAATAACTGTTTCCATTATCATTAGCAGTGCACAGCTCCGGTACCCTGGGTGGTCATATTACCCATGCTAAAATCATCAGATAGTCAGCTAACCTAACCTTCTTCACCACAAACAAGCATGAACAAAAGTAGAGGCCAACGAAGATGCTGGCCAAAGAGAAGAAGATCACTGATACTGTTAGAATGACAGCTTGGCGTCTTTCCATTCTTTATGACTGACATAGTCTGTGGGAGCATGGCTCTCCTGGGACTGATCTATGGTGAGTATACGGACAAGAGAAGATCGCAGAAACAGTAGACCAAGCGCGCCTCGATGGTATTCCTCCACGTATATGATGGCGAAGGCGGCATTCGAAGCGATTGACATGATAGCCATTGGAGGCGGCTCGATGGTGGCGTTCAAGCTCACTCTGAGTTAGGTTGCCATGGCCTCTCACCTTGAGCGCTAGGTACTGGACGATAAATGTCCTAATTAGGAAATTTCTTCCTAAAAAGGAAATTCGGGATTTAGTCTCGCAATGCTATCTCAGTCTATTCTCCAATTTTGTGGGAATAGGAACAACAGTTCAGTCACCCATATGAAAAGACTTGAAGACTGAGGATTCAGTGAAATCGAGTTCAGTATACTACGTACTACGTAAGTGTTAAGGAAGGACTAGGGCTACTGCCCTAACTTAACACTGTTCTGGGCGGATGGCAAATTGAAAAGGGGCAAATCTATGTTGGCGGTCGTGTCACAGCTAACGATTTGCATACAACTTCCGTTAAATGAGATGAGCAAGACACTTGATACCGTTCGCCAGCATGAAGTTTACAGTTGGCTGTTACTCAGAAGGTTCTTTGCGGTTTGCGGGGCAATTGATATTGATACAGAACGGGATCGGAATGTTGTACCAAAACCTGTCAAAGTTGTTAACCGTCACCAGGCATACACATCTCATAGGTACCTAGGTAGTTGCTACTTCTGAGGCCATATGACGAATCTGCTCTGCCGTTCTCGGAATTGCGATAACAACAGCACATCGACGAGGGTGTAACTCAGGCTTCTGAGGTTTGAGTAACGTAAAGTCAAATGCTTATCTGCGTGGAAAGAAGATTTTCGATGGGATTCCTAGACGACTCCGTAGAGCGCGTGTCAAGGTTCCGTGAGGACTTACGGAGTCGGTTGTTCTACGCTCGAAATGCCGGACTGAATGAAATCGATGATTGTTATTCGTCTCCTATTATTTACATGATCGAAGAGTTTCCCACCGCAGCTATGCCTCCTCTGAGCGTGTCGATATACGACATAGTCAATGGGGTACATGCTGTGCAGATACATGACGGAGACCAAAAGCAAATACATAAACTTCAAAAGCCGAAAAGGAGAAAGACAATAAACACATGGAACATGGCATAGTGGCAAAGACAAATAACAGAAGCTCAAGCAAAGGAAAACGAGAATTTTTTTTTTTTGGAGATTTCTTCTGAAATGAGCAAGCGATCAAGGGGGAGGAGGTGAAAAGAGAACACAAACACAGAACAAGAACAGAGAACGAGGCACCAGAATAAAGAACCAGAATGAAGAACGAAAACACAGAAAGGGGTTTTCTTTATAGGCAGTTCCTTCATTTCAAATTTTTTGTGCTTTTCTTCTTTTCATGAGATGCAAAACACGAAGGTAGACAAGTGAAAACGAGAAGCAGATAAAATCAAGGCAAGTCGCAAAGGCATGAGAGCACACAAAACTAAACGAGATTTTTTTCTGGAGGTTTTTTCTTTTCAAGAGAGAAGATGTAAACGCGTTGGAAACGACAAATAGCAGTAGTCAATCTGAGCAAGTGAGCTGATTAGTGTACAGTCGATGGCGCCGAGAAGTCTGTACTTACCTTTTCAGTAATGAAATGCGAGTCAACAGTTTCCGTACCAAGCTAATGTCCGCGAAACAGGACAAATCCGAGGTGGTTGCGCGCCAAAGAGGGACTTTCGAATATCGAAGATGATTAGACCGAAGCAGACTCCTGTACCAGAAGGCCGGGGAGACGAAAGAAAATCGGACATGATTGAGAAATACATGAGAGCAGAAAGGAGTACATCTGGTCAGTACATGGTAGATAAAAGGAAACATGACTGGGCAGTACATAAGAGTCCCAATGAGTACATGCGGCCAATACATCAGATACATGAAGGGTACATGAAGGGATGCGTGAGGGAATACATGGAGGGATACATAATGGGCAACAAGCGGAGAGAGATACATGAGGGGAAGATTAGAGATAATCATAGCCTGCATCACGCGCCTTCTGTCGATAGGCACTCCAAAGAGGCATGAGGTTTTCTCCTTCACAACCTAGGTCCATTCTCTTCAGCCGACAGTACTTGACAAACAGAGCAATAGATCCCCAGACACAACCTTCATGTGGACATTCAATTACATCTCCACTGTGATAGTATAAAGAACTGTGGTCGTGTCCCCACATGGTCATGTACTTTTCAGTCTCTCCGTCCTCGTTCGGAGTAGACAGGGGGGTAATGCGCCAGCCTTGCAATCTGCCCATTTGCCAAAGGCCACCATCTTGGAAGACGTTTCGTTTTCGGTCAATCCAGTAGTTTACTTCACGAATCAGAGTCGGGCCGAAGCGAACTCCCTTCTTCTTTGCAACCTTTTCCGAACCAGGTCGTACAAGGATGCTTCGAAGCGGATTGGCACTGCGGCTGACCATTGATTTGCGAATTTGAGCAAGCTTGAGATACAGACGAGTACGGGCTACAAGCTCAGGTTTGGGATGGTAAGTACGGCGAGACGATTTGGCCTTGACAGGTGAGCCATCGTTCGCGTGAATTGCAGTCATTGGGTTAACAAAGTTGACCCTCTTGCGCAGTGCAGATGGACAGGGGATGACAGGAAGAGCAGAACGAATATCAACAGCAACAGGAATACGTGACGGTAGGGGACTAGAAGGATTATAACTGCGGTTCTGAAGAGCACGACTAACTCCGTTCTTTGACATGGAAGGAGTGGGCCATACACAATAGCGAGTGGGAGAAGGAGGCTTTGACGGAGCATGTGATGGGAAAGGAATGGCACTGGTAGCAGGAGTCGCTTGGAAACCGCGACGACGAGGAGCATCTGGTGTGATGCGACGAGGGAGCTTGCAAACAGGCGTTGATGGGATATCACACGTCCGAACGTTTCGTCTGAACTTGACAGGGCTTCGAGGCAGCTGGAGGAAAGCAGAAGCGGCGGTGAGGCGACCGAGGCCACGAGGACCGCGCATGTAGGGGATACCGGGGATGCGAAGAGAAGACATGGCGAAAAGGTAGAGAGTATGATGAGAGAGAAGAGAAGAAGAGAGGAGAGAGAAGAGAAGAAGAGAGGAGAGAGAAGAGAGAAGAGAAATACGAAAGTGTGGTAGTATCAGAGTATGAATGCGTGAAAGTGCAAAAGTAGGAGCGTGTGAGAATGTAGAAGCGTAGGCGAACAGATGAAAGGCTGCGATGCAGTTGGAGAGAGAAGAGGAAGAAGAGGGAGAAGAGCAACTACTTATTGTTTATTTTGGTCATGCACACAAGGAAGGCGCCGGGCGGTGGTAATCGGGCAAAGTAAGGAACGACACATCTTCCTCTGCATCTCTTCTCCTGTATACAGGCTGTGTCGATGATAGTCGCCAATCATTCGTTCTGCATCCAGCAAATACTGCGGCATGGTTGCTTCTGTCCTCACATGCAATAGACTCCTCAAGCGGGCTGTGGTGTATCATCGAACTTGGAGCGTTGTTGGATGAGGAGTCCACGACCCGTTGTGTCAGTAGGACAAAACAGGTCTCACAATATACTTGCATTGACTGACTGTGGCCTGTGGAAAGCTTCTATTCATGCTTAATTGACGTTCCTTAGGTCTTCTAAATGCCAGCCCCAATGAGAACTCTGCGAGCGACGACTGAAAAGAACAACCGTGTCGAACATGATGCGTCGTGGCCAAAAGTATGCTACTGACATGACCGCTATCGACGAAGTGATAGAGGAGAACTGATGCATACAACAGACTTTCAAAGCGTTTGCAAATGAAGGTTTTGGTCTTCCGCCACTACGGACAGTCGTGATGATCGAGCCGTCAAGGATCCTACAGTCGTCAATGAACAACTTGCTTGCATACGGTATCACATAGCTCATTTACCTCGAGCACAGGTTATGCACTGATCCAGAAACAGCAACTGCCCTCTCCCGCGAAGCAAGCAAAGACCATCACAGATCGCCGCAGGTCCTTGTAAATCCTGCTCAAGAACGCTGTTTAACGTCTTCGAGAACAACGAACGTCGCTTCGAAGCTTGATGGACAGTGCAGAAGTTATAGAGAGGTATTGCCCCAGAAATACCCCTTTTATCTTTTCGCATGAGGCTCATCTAGAAAGCCATCAGCATCACATCAAGAATACCACAAGCACACAGCTGCAAAGCGATGGAAACTCCTCCATCGTGTCACTCACAATGTCGTAGAGACGTCAGTCACAGTAACGGTACCTGATTGTATACTCAGGTGACGTGTTGCGAGTACAATCGGGATTCAGGTAGTTGAATGGTTCCGACCGGTTTGCTTGACTGTACCGTTCATCGGTGAGAAGTATCATGACTTGGGTCAGCTATGTACGTAGCATGCATTCACCACCAGGATTCTTATACATATCTGATCGCAAGAAGACCTTCTTGTAAACCAACTGAGAAGCATCGAATTTGTCATGTCAACGACTCGTTATAAGGTCGGATTTATGTTACTTCATACCGGTACTTATCCCGATGCAACTTTCGTACATCGGCGTACTCGCAATTTATGAACACATTCTACAGATACGTTCTCTCGACATGATATTTGCACAAAACGGTGTAACTTCCCATTTAGGCCCTGATCGATAGAGTAATTATATATACATATCATTATATATTAGAGCCGACCGGCGTATACAAGTCCGATCGGAATACTTCTCGGCTGCACCACATAGACAAGAGATTGCCGATGTACAAACAAAGCCTTTTAAGGCTTTGAAGTTTGCTCCTTTTCGGATACAGTTTTCTCTGTGATTCCTTCTCCCTCTCGTTGTTCTGCTGTCGCTGGTACCTCGGTGATCTCATCCTGTTCGGGAATTGGCTCCACTGGTCCATCTGTCGCTTGGCGTGATCTGGTCGACACAGGAGAGGGGATCTGAAGGTTCTGAGATGATAGGCCACCAGACATTGCCGGTTGAGACTGACGGGAAGGAGACGCTGCTGCTGCCGCAGAGCTTGATTCGATATCATCACCGTTCGATGATCGCGGTGTCAATTGACGACTGATTTCCCCTTGTTCACTTGCAGGAGGCGATACTTGAAGCAATGGCTGTGTTAACTTCGCTTTTGAAGGTCGTCCGACTCGTGGAGGAGCAGGACCGAGCATGGAAGGGTAACCCCAGGTGAACCCGTACTTCAACCACAGACGTTTTTTATCCCAAAACCCCATTTCTTCCCACTTCTGCTGCAGCTCCCGTGCGTCTTCCTCATTTCGCGCTTGAAATCCCCTTCGGCTGAACCCTAAGCAAACCAGAGCGGTTACCGGGAAGATCCAAAACCACCATGTGATTGGTAGGCCACGGCGAGCTTGCCATCCCTTCATCAACCGTTGAAAATAGAAGTAATTCTCGAATAGCCCGGCTACGAAAATAACAAATGACCAGCCCAGAACAGTGATCAGGATGATTGCTAAAGGGGAGATGCCATAGTAACTGGAGTCATTGATCCAACTGACGGAATCGTCATCGGAACTACACCAGTAGTAACCGCAAGAGTAGGTCGTCCCGGAAGAGGATGAAGATGAAGATGAAGATGAGGAGGATGATGATGAGGAGGAGGAGGATGGTGAGGACGATGAGTCTCCCGAGTCAGTATTGTCCAATGATGGATTATAACATGGTGGATACGGTTCATAGCTTGAGCTGAGCGCAGCTAAACTGGAGGAAGGAACCTGGGTCGGATCCACGAAGGCATACACTTCGGTGATGGTAGTGGGACGAAATGGACGACTGTTATCGACTCTAAAACTCGTGGAGGCGGTAGTTGGCACGAGCGCATGTTCAATGTTGTAAGGTGGCTCAACCGGCACAGCTGTGGTAAAGGCCCATGTCGTGCTGCAGTATGATGGCGCAGTGTAAGCGAGGTTTACGACGTAGTTTGTGTAAGCGTAGTCATCACTCGTTGCTGTGGCATAGTAGTCTTCCGCTGTACTAGTTGGAGTTGCGGCAGAATTATATGGATACAAGACTTCGACTATGGTGTATGTATCCGAGTAATAATCCGTCTGTGTGATGGTGGCTGTAGATACTGGAGTGCCAGAGGGGGAAGAAACAGCCACAAAATCGGTGAAGGTCTCCGCAGGTTCTGTGATGCTGTACACCTGGTCCGTGTGGCCGGGAATAACACTGACGATCTCTTCATAATTGGCCGTGACAATCCACGGACTCGCTGCGGAGAAGACGGGAAAGAAACAGGTAATAACGAGAGACAAGCACCATTGGCGCTGAAACAAAAATGAGATGCCTGCCGTCATACTGAGATGCAACGAATGAAATTAAACGAATGATATTGCTATTCAACGAAAGAGCTCCCAGGGAGTGAAGGAATATGCAAGAAGATCAGCAACGATAAGCACTCATCTTGGAACAGGACGAACAGTTGGGCATGAAGATGAACTGTCGAAGGAAAAGCACACGAGCGACATGGCGCAGAACAAGGCAAATAAGGCTCCCGAGAGGCTCTGCACATGACGGAAAACCTTTCACCCGACGCCCCTATCTAAATATACTTCTATGACTAACATGGCCTTCCATGGCCATGATTGGAAGAAGCGGAGGTAACCGACGGCGTCTGGACCCTGGAGGCTTATGAGGCTGAATTCAAGTATTGTGTATGGACAGTATTAGTGTTGGTTTTCGATTTAAAATGATGGGTCTAACTATAACTAGCTTAGTCAAAGGTTAAATCTCATATAGCGTGAACCCTAGACCAGAGTTGGCTTCGGTTTAAGCCAGAGAGTGAAAAATTGCTTCACCAACGCCTTGGCGATGCTTGGCATCGCGATGGAGGGGAACGAATGGAAGACTGTGTAGACTCGGAGTGTGTACAGAGAGCGCCAGTACACAATCCGAAGAAGAGAGCGTGCTGCTTTTGTGCTCCCAGTGTTGTATATTGAGATATTGCTGTCGCCGATTCAAGCATTGAGAGGTTAACTTAAATGAGTGCGCGAGTCATGCACAAACTGCGCTGGTATTACCGAAAACGGTGTACTCTTACTAGCGTCTGCTTCTTCCGAGGAGCGGCCAGACAACTACGGTGTTCAGATCACGTGGGAAGTTGCAGTATTATCTAGAGCGAATCAGACAGCGGAGTAGCTGTATTAACCTGCCTGTTTCGGCATAGCCTGTACAGTAACATCAGTACCGATCTTAATTATACATGCATACCACACTGTGATTGGGTATAGTCATTAGCACTAACTACTATAGGTTAAATGTATACTTCCTTACATATAAAGCCAGCTTCATGCCTTCCCTTTCCGTCTTAGCAAGTTGAGATTCACTTCATCACGAAAATGTGATCAAAAGCCACTTGTGCCCCTCTGGGCCTTTTCTTCTCTTGTTTGTATATCGTCGCGTCTCTGCATCGTCAATCATAGCAGTTTCGCGACAGGTTTACTGCTTGTCATGGACGATCCTATTGCATCCTATACCCAACCGCAGCAGCCACTGGTCAACAACAAGATCCCCAAGAAGAACGTCGAAAGTGCTGATGTGCGCTCCGTCAAGCACGGCGAAAATGACCTGCTCCAAGCGCAGATCGTTGACCAGGTGCTGGCCGCTAAAATGACTCTCATCAACGATGTGAGTGTGTTACAATGCTATTGAACGTTGCACAAAATCAATTAACAGTTGCTTTCATAGGCAATCGATGAAATCGGGCTTACGCCGCACCAATGGAAACTATTTTGCCTCAACGGATTTGGGTATGTGACTGGCTCCGCCCTTACCACTATCTCGTCGTATCGTATGCTTGCGGCTATGTCATGCTAATCGTGCTAATCGTGACGTCCAGCTATGCCGTTGATTCATTGATCCTACTACTCCAGTCAATTATCTCCGGCCAGGCCATTCTCGAGTTTCAACCGTCATATCATACAGGTCTTACCATCGCTGTTTATGTAGGCATGCTCGTCGGTGCACTGTTCTGGGGCTTGTCAGCGGACGTGATCGGTCGTCGCTTCGCTTTTAACGTCTCCCTATTCATTTCGTCCATATTCACTATCGTTGCAGGCGCCTCGCCGAACTGGGTTGTACTGGGGCTCTTCATATGCCTCAGCGCTTTCGGTGCGGGGGGTAATCTGGTTTTGGATACTGCAGTTTTCTTGGAGTATCTACCCAGTCAGGATCAATGGCTGATCACGTTGATGGCCGCTTGGTGGGGTGCGTTTCTCACATTCATGACTCTTCCCAATCGTATTCCAATCCAGTGCTAACATCCGTGCGGCGTGATTCCAGGTATTGGCCAACTCATCGCCGGTCTGTTCGCTTGGGCATTTCTTCCCAATTACTCTTGCTCAACCGCTGCTACATGTACATATGATAACAACAAAGGTTGGCGCTATGTCTGGTACACCTCAGGTGCCTTTGTGTTTGTTCTCTCTGTACTCCGCATTACCGTCATTCGTCTGCAGGAAACACCGAAGTTCCTTGTCACGTCCGGCCGCAATGAACAGGCTGTACGAGTGTTGCAAGACATTGCGCATAAGTACAACCGACACTGCAGTCTTACTGTTGAAATGTTGGAGGCGGCTGGTCTTTTGCAGCAGCCAGAACAAGGTGCCAAGAAACCACGCTTTTCCTTGACTGCACTAGAGACCCATTTCCGCGGTCTATTCGTCACGCGTACAATGGCCTTGTCAACCACGCTAGTTTGGTTTTCTTGGTTGCTTATCGGCTTGGCATACCCTCTGTACAATGTTTTCCTTCCCACATATTTAACATCGCGAGGTGCTCAATTCGGGGTCAATAGTCCATATATCACTTGGAGGAACTATGCTCTCGCCAACTTCTCATGTATTTGGGGTCCCGTTGTGGCGGGTTACATGTGTCGTTCTCGTTGGTTTTGGGGTCGTCGTGGAACTATGATTATTGGCGCTCTTGTCACCATGGTCTTCTTCTTTGCCTATACCCAAGTTCGTACCGAGAGTCAAAACATTGGTTTTACCTGCACCGTCAACTTTTGTTTGAACATTTACTACGGCACGTTGTACGCTTATACACCCGAGATCTTTCCGTCAGCTCATCGGGGGACAGGAAATGGGGTCGCGATTGGGTTGAATCGTATCATGGGTATTGTGAGTGCTGTCGTCGGTGAGGCTGCTAATGTGAGTATTTTACTTCTTTTCGGTACTTTTTGCAATCAGTCGACGCTCCAATACCCCATCGTTCCTTGACTCCAATAGTTGTGTTCTTACACTATCCGTTTCCCAGCCCGCAATGCTAACTCTTGTGCAGACAAATACTCCAGTCCCCATCTACATCTGCGCAGCCCTTTACGCGGTTATGGCCCTTGTTTCTGCTGTACTGCCCTTCGAACCGTATGGTCGACGCAGCGCCTAATCGTCGAGCGGACTTTAATGAACCTCTGCGTATTTTATATATCACCACATACATTGACTATCCCTCCGCATTCCAAAGCTACTGTTTGATTTAAGCATACTTGATTAGTCCTGTGGCGTGCAAGCTAGTGTCTTACTGTGTCAGTACACCACGCGACTTGATGATTAGACCTTAGCCAACATGTCTGCTGTATTCTCTCATAGTAACTCCTCCACGTAGCTATGACCAATTGGTATTCTCATTCCCCATCCCATCACCGAATTGGCGACTGACCGTATATATGGCATGGAAGTGCTGATAACTTGTATTGCACATGGTCCAATAAACTTATTTCGACTTACCGGTTGCAATGGGATACAGGAACGGATAGGATTGACGCATTAGTTGTGGCGTATTAACAAGTGTGAGCGATCGAACTGCGGATGCGAGTTATCTGGCCAATCTGTGAGGCATATCCTCATGGAATATCCGATGTACGCACATGAACGCGACCTCGTGTTGTCTCGAATCAGAGGATTCCGTCGTACGACGGATTGGCAAGCATCGCTGAGCAAAAATGCGGCTGCAGTCGCAATCACACAATTGTCATCCATACGCGAGGATTGGATGAAGCAGACCCAGAGGCATTAGGCACCTAACGGAAATGTGGAAGCAGCAACTCCAGCTCTGGGGCTCGCGAAGGACAAGGATATGACATGCGAACACGTAGCAACACACACGTAGCTGACGTCGATTCCAGGTCGGCATCCTCATCAGTGAGCTCATAGTTGACACAGATACGAGCTTTGGATCAGGGATTTGGGAGAACGCGGTCTGAGGGTATGTTGTGGGCGACTTTGGAACATGGGGGATGGCGAGATCCATAAGATTCTCGAGCGGTGAGGATTGCGTGATCTTTAGGTTGTAGGTTGTCCGCAGAAGAATCAGTGATTGTGATGTTGTGCCCATCGCATGAATTACTTGTCCGACAGAATGGAAAGGGTCATAGGGGCAATTTTCAGGATCAGCGATGATTCTATCCTCCACTCCATACATCTCATCACATGTGTTGATTCCAGCGTCGGAGGAGAACTTCAGCTCACATGTGCAAAGGAAATTCTTCTCTTGCTGCATGACAACTTGTGCCAGTGCTCTGCAACGACATACTTCACCCACTTTATTGCCAGGGCTCCAGCTACGATGCGTCAAATAAGTCCAGGTAAGTCCAGGTATCTCTGAGCAGCAATAATCCCCTGTCGTTCACCCGTTGAACAGCCGTTCCAGTAGGAATATTTGGGTTTAGTGCCATAAAATTGTCTTGTCAATTCTTTGCCCACGATAGCGATGTCGTGCACAGAGCGATAGGAGAAATAAATCAGAGCGTCAAAATCCACCGATCTATCTGCATTGAGCGCCTACGAACCCGCGTTTAGCGGATTGAATCCAACACCGGCATGAGGAATATCCGACTTTAACTGTTGGACCAAGTGTGAAGTCGAGCTCGCCAGCAGCATAACCTGATCCACCATTCGCTTGAAACTTGACATTCTATTCCTGGATTGGGATCGAGACTTTCACGCTTACTTGATAATACAGTGCACCAGCATGGGTGAGCAAGACTGTAACGTCGTAGATGTTGAGGTCCTGGATAGGAACAGGTAGGAACGGATACGTGGCTGCAACTGAGTGGTTCCATCGTTCGGTTTGTTGATTGAAAGCACTCTGGCTCCTGGGACGTGTGGAGCACTTAAATGCGAGCAATCGGTTGGGTGAGGTGTCAACGTAGCTGCTAAGGTAGCAGAAGCTAGACTACCAACAAGGAGAAACTTTATCCTTCATTCTTGGGAGTTTTTTCGGGGTTTCAAAACAATCCTAGCTGTTGCAGATGATAGGGACGTAGGCGAATATCTACAGACGGGTGTATAAATACTCTCTTGCTCAGTCCAGCTTCGTATCCCGCGTCCAGATTCCTGGGTCCGTGAGTAATAACTACTCCTCCAATTCTCAGATTCTGTTGATAGATCGAGAACAGTCGATCTTTCCTCTCTTTGGACTTTCATCCTATCTTATCTAGGCATTTATCAAGTTCCATGAATCTTGAACGGCTGAGGTAAATGCTTGCCTAGGCATCCATTCTATGTGCTCTTTGACTAAAGCCTTGTATCTGAAGAAGCTGGAATGTTTGATAGAGTGGGTAACAGGGGCATGTTCTAAGGAGTCAATGTAATCATCTATACTCGGTTAAGGAGCATTCCAATTGTACCCTCTGGAAGTAGAAATTTGCTTTCTTCATTATTCCGGGGTAAAACCAAGGGATTTACTAAGGCGAAAAGTTTAAAATGAGTTTCTGATTTGGGTAAATGTAGGTATCAAGGTCTGAAGCAACGGAGATACGAGTTAGGGCTGAATTGAAGCTTCGGAGTGGGACCGACACTTTTATGTGCATCTATGTCAGTATTTACTACCTAGTTATCCATGAATCTATCTGATCCCCGAGTAATGAATGAAGTCTGGCATCTTCGGCGTTCAGGCGTCGTTGAAGAAATTGATAGTACGTAAGGCTGAAGGTGTGCTTAATAAAGGTTGTGGACCGGATGGCTAGAATATTAAATTTCCCCTTCCTTGACAAGACCAGGAAGATTTCCAAATCCAATGTTTAGTCAGATGTAACCATTAATTCCTAACGATGTGCCTGAACATCTTTTTTCTCTCATGTCCTTTTTGGCTTGTTTCTGCTATAGCAGCTACCTCAAGGGCGGCTGATGCTGCAGATGCAGACTATGCTTCATTACCTTCGCAACTTACACCTTTGAAATTTACAAATACTCCCACCCTCCTCAACGTTGCCTACTACAAAGCTGGACTACCCAATGGCTCTGCCGTTATTCTGGTGCATGGGTTTCCTTATTCGATCGACGCTTTTGCCTCTGTGGTACCTCTTCTCACAGGGCGAGGATACCAGGTAATTGTATCGGATCCCCCGAGGCCATGGTGAAAAATCCTTCCTACATCCCAACACCCCCGCAGCGCCGAGCAGGCGGCCCTGGGGTCAGACCTCATTGCCCTGATGGACGCAATACATTCGAACAGGCAATATTTGCGGGATATGACTGGGGCACAGTAGTCATCAATGTTGCAGCGGCCGCGTGGCCTGGGACGCTGTAACGGACATGTCATCGGGCGCGGGTATCAAATGGCCTGGGCTGAGCTCGTTGAGTGTTACCGGTATGTCAACAAACAGGTCTTTCACTTTGGCGCTTGAGCCATGAACTATGCGAAAGTCATTGGATAGAATAATACGTAGCTAAGTGCAGAATCGAGAGATGTCATGGTCTTGTGGAGATGCGTTGATAGCAGAAAGAGCGTCCGAAGTAGAATTTGGTAAACGGTCATAGGAATTTTTAGTGATGTGATATCCTGGCCAAGGCTCATATAAAACATACCTAAAGCGAAACTCCAAGAGATCATGACTCAATACGATCCACACAAGAAAAGAGTCAGGCCGGAGATGAGATTCCCAGAAATTCACGGTCAGTGTCGGCGTAAATGCTCACCGTCCATCTTGGATAAACATTCTTAAGGCCATCAGTGAACCTAATCATACTCCGGTCGGAGAAGCTAATGATCGACTCCGAAATCTCTGGGCTCTAGACTTGTGTTTAGATACGTAACTGATCCATTAGATCAACCGTGTGCAGCCCTGAGTAGAGAAGCGGAATAACCATCAACAAAAATGAGTAATCTTCGACAGTGAGTCTGAAGAACATGTATGAGAACTCCTCTTTAATCCTCTTCACCGTACAGAAGCAACATTTAAAGCTCATTTCTAGTTTTATCTTGTAGATATATCAGTAATCTATACAAAATTCAGATCTTGAATAAACATCACATAGTAAATTAGGGCAAACATTACACGTGAGATCCAGTATAACCCTAACCCATCCTTCGCTTTTGTTGGAATGATCATAATGAAATCAGTATGATGCGGAAAACAACCCAGCCGTAGCGTATTTGTCCCCACGAAAACCGGGAAGTCGGACGTTAGGACAACAGAATAGACTGAAAGAGGAGAATAGTATTAGGAAGATGTTATATCTCCACGCTACAAGGCCAGTCAGAATGGATTCACCCCGTGGAGATGAATAATCGGTTGGTTTTCGAGCAAATAACAGAGAAACACTCGAGTTTCTTCGGGCGGCCGGATGACGACTTATGATAGAGGTTGACATGACTTACCTGGAACTGGATATAGTTACGGAGACGTAAGCTCCGATTCAGGTCCCTAGGCAAGGAGGAACCACAGTAAGACAGCCCCTTGTACGTTTGTTCTCTACCTAGGCATTCTCATCATTTCTGTAAGCATATAATAGATCACTTGAAAGTAGTTACAAATGATGTAAGCAGAGCATGAGTCAATAAATATCACAAATAACCAACTCTTCATGTATACAACTTTCTAGACATCAGATAGGGCTAAAAATACCGGACTTGATCCCATTGCGCCAATGCTTGCTTGTAACTGGACCGGTCCTTGTTAAGTCTCGCGCGCAGACGAGTGACCGATTCATCTTCCCCAGCAATTCTGTGGAGATCCTCGTCACTCAAATTTGCCAAAAGCTTCGTGGAGACTGTAAGCAGGGGACAGTTTGGACCCAAGACATGTCTTTCTACCACTTGCATTGCCACGTTGTCGACGAATCGGTTCATGGCAATCTCATAATAGACCTCCAATCGTTTTCGAACATGGAATATCTGGCTCAGTTCAAGGGACATCTGGGCTCTGCCATCATCGGAGCCGACCCTGTCCTCTATGCCGTCTGCCTCTGATTGCCCCGGGGTTCTCCTTGCCTTTGCATTTCTCCTGCTCTGCTCGACTTGTCTCCACAGATGGCGATCGAATCTCTGATATTCACGTAGAAGATATGGCTGAAATGTCATCAAAGGTCTCTTTTGTTGATCATCAATCAGTTCTCCCAACGCAGCATCAACCTCTGCATTCCAGGCTTCCTGTGCTTTGGAAATCATCGCCATCACCTCGCCACGAGTTCTGCTATCCGGTATAGCTGTCCTGAGAAAAACGTCGTGGCATTCCTCTACCAGGGCTTTGATATCATTGACCAAATCGAAGGCGATGTCTCTCCAGTGAGCCGACTGTTTCCGAAAAATCTTCTCCTCGACTTCGGGACTGATAGTTCCAGGCAGGTTTGACCCCTGACATACCTTCGATTCATTGTAGATTTTTTGATAAATATTTGCAGATTCACTCTTTGATATGGACTCCACCCAGTTCTCAGGATCGAGACTCTGGTCGGATAATACGTTAAGGGCTCTATCGATCGGTATAAACTGCAAACCGAGCTCGATCTTCTCAGGGTCTGTAATGTCTCTTTGGAAACGCTCCAATCTTTGATTGACTCGAAAACGAAGCATGATGCTGGGATTATCTGATGGAATATCTTGATAACGAGCGCGTAGGGCCGAATCTGCCAACTTCTGCAGTTCAGTGCAGAATTGGAACGCGTAATATCGTTGTGCAGCCGTACTATCGCGCACCTCCCCGAGCTTTTCGAGCTCAGCCTCGCAATTACGCAGATTATCTCGTATTTCCCCGATGATCTTGGGCATACTTTCCTGGATGCGAGATCGCCGCTCCTTGTCAATGTGATCCATAAGTGCCCTGATACCAGTCTGACTTTTGCGAATCCCTGCCCATTCGGGCTTTTCAAACAGATCAGCCTCATTTTGGTCGCGTTCTTCATCACTGATATTTGCTTCTATAGGCTTCCTGTTTCGAAGACCAAACCAGCCTTGTTCAAGGTGGTTTTTGGTCGACGGCTCGTTTCGAAGCAGTTTTACCATCTATCAGATCAACCAAACAGTCAGAATATCTCATTATTCTTATACGGGTTTAGTTATGCCTACCCAGTTATCGGATGTTTCTTGTTTGCGGTCACACTTGGTCAGAACACCTATAGTCCGACTTTGTAATCCGGGAATCTCTTCGAACAGCTCCAGAGTCTTGTGTCTTTCTATATCTGTGTCATCCACTACCCATCTACAAATGGTCAGCTTCTGATATCATGTTTCAATATTCAAAGACCATAAAAACAGGAACTTACAGCACAATGTTTCGCTCATTTTCAAGAAATGAACGCACCAGATCCTTCGCTATCTTTGCGTTATCCGTGTGATTGCCTTGCTTAGCATTTGTTACAGTTTTCTTCGAGGCTAGCGATGATTCCCCTCGATTTTGCACTAAGCCTGGGAGATCAATAATAGTCCAATGCATCTCATGTGGGCCGGATCGTTCAATTCGGAGAATCGCATCGCTCAAGGTTTGTCCTGCTCCATTGTCGTCACCGAAAATTCGGTCAGTTGCCTATTTCAAAGATATCGACATGTTATTTTGAATCCCGAGAATGGAAAACGGAGAAGGGCAAAACCTCTTTGATAATCTGATTCATAACACTTGCACTAAGTTCGTCACTCGTGAACCGAAAATTCTTTATCCTCTCCATAAATACGTCGTCATCCTGAGTCTTGGGGCCAGGAAGGATCTCCGCTTGGACAGAGGTCGACGTTCCAGGGGTTTGCCGGAAGGAGATTTTGATCGGAAAACGAGTACATAATGCCGACTCAACGGGGAATGAGATTTCTGTGATGGCCTGGAGGACGGAGCTTTTGCCGGTATTCTGGTCGCCTACAACGATGAGCTGCGTAAAGAGTCAGAATATTCTGATAGAATATCTATACGATGGCAACTTTAGCAGTGAACTCACTTCAGGGAGGTCGACCGTACGACTCAAGCCGAGTCTGTGGAGGTCATCGATAAAGGCGAGCTGTTTAGAGCTTTCGACGCCAACAAAGTGACGGATTCTCTTCCCCGCGGTAGAATCATTGGTTAATGCCCCCATTTTTGTATTTGTATGCGTATGCATATGCTGATTGCTGGTAAAAAAAGAATTGAAGATCCAATACAGCAAGTAATGGAATTGTAGGGACTGGAAGGAAAACTATCTATTAAATATCCATTGGAGCACATAGAAGTTCTATTTTGGGAATCAAGAATTTACGCTACGAATTACCATTTTTTAGGAACCTCGATCTTTTCGTGAATTTCAAACCGAAATAAGGATGTACTAGAAGGACTAGGGATATATGACTGCATGTGGCACAGCTACATCGCGGTTCTTGACAGGGATGATGAACCAATTAATAGTTCGCCATCACTTAGTGTCAAGATACTAGTCCACATCGACACGGAAGCCGCTCAGCTAATGCAGGATTGTTTCATATTTGTCGATTCTATTGTAACTACCAGCTGCGAGATCGTCTAGCACGTCAAGTGTAGCTATAGGCACCTAACAGGCTAGGGCAGGACATGATTTAGAACTTTTTACCATGTAACATCCTTGCACTCAATATATATGCAACAATTGACTGTTTAAGATCCATGTAATCGAACTGCAACTGCATGGATATGGATCTATGGCACCTCCAAGGCTGACTGTCTCGTACCTGGAGGTACGAAGTGCCCTTTGGTGTAAATCACTATCAGATATACCCAGGTAACCAAGGAGATCCCAGCCGAATGTGATGCCAACTGTCCTAGACTCCTAGTAATAGTGGAAATTCACGACGATGACGATTGATTAATCATTAACCCTCGTGCACGATTTTCTCTTTCTTCTGGGGCGGTACACTCACAAAAAGACCAAGGCAATAGTTGATCGACACCAAGATCACCCCTTGTTGATTATGCCACTCACTTCGCGCCACCAACCCGTTTCCTCGCCCGCTCGCATCTTTCCGGCGAAGCGTATAGCAACCTCCACGAGCACTGGCGCACATTTTGTTGTTCTTGCTCATTCCTTCCACGCGCGTTGGGGCAATAAGACACCTGGAAATAGACAGTCTTCGGATGTGCGCGGGTCGACCGGTGGAAGACCCTGATTCAATTGGTACCGTCCTCAGGCTTGTGGTTGACAGGCCTAACAGGTGTGTCGAACCGACAGGCCAATCAGCTGACAGTGTCACCCGACTATCCGACCACTATCCGACAGCCCCCAAAATCTCTTGGCAAATATTTACATCTCTCTTTATCCTATTACTACTGCTATGTTTTTATAGCAAGTTCATAAATACTAAGGGATAAAATAGGATTCATGATAATATAAATATTCAATTAGTTAATCCATATAAATATTGCAGAAGAGTATCTAGAATTCCTTGCGCGGCCCAGTCCTTTGCGCATTCTGATGCTTCAAGCAGTCGTACACTAGTCTTCGTACGATCCCATGGGACACGACGACGAGAACCTGAAAAGACTCTCCCTGGCTTGTCACTCATTCCGGGTATCGAGAGAACTTCGATTGCAAGCTGTGAGAGCTGTGGATATCTTCCATGCTAGATAGGCTGACTCCACTATTGAATGGCTGTTGTATCATTATCCAGCATAACTGGGTTTTCATTAATATAGTTATCAAACTCGTCCTGGCTAGCCGGACGAGTTTGCTTCAAAATCTGCATCCGGCAAACTTTATGGAAAGCAGAGAGATTTTCCTCTGGCTGGAGAGTATGCTTGCCTACACTTTCAGACTCGTACAGCACAGCTGAAAACAATAGTTTGTCGCGAAATCTCTCCCAGAGCTTCCGTACGATATAGAGTTTCTTTTCTCCTTTGGTGGTGATCCTCCCGTTCCCATCCTTTAAAAAAGCTATCCGACATTGTGGATTGAAAATGCGCGCTGCTAGATAGTATGGAGAATCATCTAATCTCTAGACGTACGTTGCGCACTTTTCCTGAGCACATTAGAGTCGAGGAACCATAAACTTGTCTTTAGCCTTATTAGCTGTCTCCTACAAGAAAGAATTAGTTAAAGGAACATGGTTAAAAGTATAGTAAGACTTACCAATGTAGTTTGTATTATACTCTAAAGAACGTCAATTGATTCTAGAGCCCTTTCTAACATTGTGCGATCTCCCTAAAGATACAGTGTTGCTTCATGAAAAGATTGGAGGAAATCATGAATTGACTGAAGCTGTACCCATTCACTTGTTGTAAGGATATCATCTTTCGAGATATTATCTTGATAATGCTCAACGTAAAGTTGAAGCCCAGCCTTGACTTTATCCTCTAGAGCCACACTTAACATAGTAAACCAGCTATTCCATTTTGTACAGTTGTCAAGAGGAATGATTTTACCAGCACGATCTTTGAACCATGCTGTATGGTTAGCGGACTTGCGGATATGTACAATATTATTGTGGAGTTTTCTTATTGGTCCCATGATATCTCAAATATTTTTACCTTTTTCGTCAGACAATAGCTCCCAGTCTATTTCCTTATTTTTCTTCTTCCTCCTGTCTTTCGACTTTGCTGGTAGTGGTATTAATTGTAAGGCTTCTTCTTCAGCCTCTTCTCCTTCCTGTTCCTCATCTTCTTTATCATATAACTCCATGAGCTTCTCATCCTTTTTTGAACTGAACAGAAAGGCTTGAACAATGAGATTGATGATATATCCTTGACAGCGAATTCTTTGATACGTTGCGGTCCACGTAATCTTATGCTTGAGGCTAAGCCATTGGCCTATTATACGACAGAGAACGTCATTTAATCCAGCATTATCTCCAATGAGGGCTCCAATCTTCGTTTCAATTCATACTCAATGAGAACCGGACAGAGCGCCTCCCACTAATCTGCTCCACTCTAACTATGTACTGTACGAAGGGCAATCAGAGGGTTCTGATATTTATCCTGGATATCGATGAAGCTGGCACATATTGCGAGAAGAAGGGAATGATTTAGAGAAGGCCAAATATCAACAGCAAGATGGATGTTCGTCTTTGCTGATTGAAGTACCTTTCGCACAGTATCCTGGCTTTGGACAAAGTGTTCAGCAATCCACTCTGCTATTGTTAAGTGATAAATAGGAATAACTGAAGGCGATTCTCAATTCAGTGCTCTCACAAAAACATGAAATTCCGGCCATTCCACGCAGGAGAATGGAAGACGTCGTATAATGATAAGATTTAAAAGTGTTTGTTTCACAACATCTTGCTGTACCGTCCGCCTTAGAATTTCACCCTTAAGACCCTGAACTTCTGCCTTTGTTAAAAGCTTTCCATATATGTTGTGACCTGAAATCTCCTTGAGATTTCTTGCTATCATACGCATACTATTCTCTTCCGGGCTCCATTGAATTCCATGGTGTCTCTGGAGATAACGTTGCAGCCCTTGGGTTAATACATGGTGTCCCTTTTCATCTAGCGGAGGGTAATATTTATAGAAATAATTTTTTCTGGCTCAGATCTTTTCCTCTCTTGTTGCGGCTTGACAATGCTTGTGGATTGAAGAGGATAGTCTCGGGATTGGTGTAGAACGACTTGTTGAGATAGACTCCACATCAGCTTCGGTGTCAACGGCGCTCAGAAGAGGAGAAGATGTATTCACTTCAAGAAAATCATTGTCATTTAGAGTTTCATTATGGCCAGCCATAATGGTTTTGTTTCTTAACTTCTCTCTCCGTGAGGATTTTGAGGAATTATTGCCAAGCCCTGTCAGACACGCTGTCGAACCGACAGGCTGTCAGCTGATTGGCTGTCGGTTCGACAGTTTTAACACGACTGTGTGTCGGCCGCAACTCTGGACCGTCCTTCACCGCCTGGTGCACGGAACCACCTGATGCACAGTATCTATCGGAACTTGCTATGTACTAGCACGAACTCAGTTAAGCTTAATACTCAAGGACTTTTTATAGTGAAAAATATTGATATTGACCTAATACTGTGCACACCTTCTATCTACCTCTTGATGGTATTTTTGGACACTATTTATGCTTGAGAATCCCATATAGACGATATTCAGACAATCTCAATAGAAGATTCTTGACACAGAGCTGTAAAATTGATTCGTAGGCTCAATCTTGTGTCTTCACTTCTCGAATTTCCCTTGTATCAATGTTGTAGGCTTTCCTTGATTAGGTTTAGCTTACCTAATCCTCGACAGTTGAGTCGTACGTACAGGCCTGGGGACGTAAGGTACCCTCAAACCCTCCTACGGTCCCTAGCGTGGGATTGAGCAGTGGAGGAAGCTCACCATTGATCCTATATCCAAGCCAGGAGAACCTAGAGGTCAACCTAGAACATACCGATCCAGATGTCCTCAACCCGATACGTTGATTCCCGAATAAGGTGGCGGAGAAGGCAAATCTCGCGATACACAGTACTTAAGACACCACCATCACACACCAATGCATTGCAGCAGCCCATATACTACCTAGTGGCGATATCATACTCTTACTAGGTATAATGGATGACGTCGACCAGCTCACCCACAAGAAGGACTGGATTAGGGCATTTGGAAAAGAAGCGCGTATACAAAAACACACATGGGGCGTCGTCATATGCTGTGTCAACACAAATATCAACCCCAAACAGCCCCAATTCATAACCATGCTTATCTTAGAGAACGCCCTGGTGTTCGCGCAGCTTCTAGCCCTTATGAATGTCATATATACGGGCTGGCTCCTAAGCAAGCATAAGATTAAGGAATAGAAGCTCATAAACGCCCACCTCATGGTCATGTTCAATAATAAAAGGATTGCTAACTTCGCAATTCAGCGCGGCCTTATTATCTGTAAAGAATGTGACCGTAAGGTCACGTGACGACTAGTGATTCTGAGGCTAATTATAGTCTCAACCCCTGAGTCGTATGTAACAAGAAAGAAGCGAAGTCGACAGGAAAATACACAGAGATTCAACGCATCGAATCAACTCCTTATCAATACTTACAAGCAACTGATCATTAATCACTATTACTGGACGATATCAATCCTCTGAGTCTATACGATTCATTCACCGATTTCTTTATATTATCAAGGGAAGACAGCACGATATCTTAATATATGTTGGGAATATCACCTCACATCACATATCACCTTTGCCAGCTATTTACATCCATACTAGATCATCTAGTACGCGCGCAGCTTTTTGGTCTAGTTGGTCAAAAGCCCAACAATATACAACAAAGCAGCCAATCTCCAATAGTGCTTCAAGTGCTAGATATATAAACATATTGCTAGGCACTGTCAGCGCCAGATCTGCTGCGCATACTGCGCTGAATCTCATGATATAGGGGATTGCCCTATACTGAAAGAGAAAGAATACGCTAAGTGTGCCAATTGCACTGCAGAAATTGTCCATATCAAAGATCCTACTAAGAGACTTGATACGAAACACTTTGCGTACGCGCCAGCTTGTACAGCCATCACACGTTGACCTGTCAACTCAAGAAGTAAGAGCACTGCAGCCGCTTGAAAGCGAGTGGCAGAACAATCCGGACCCAAGCCGATCAGCCCTACATCTGGTGATCCCACTAATAGATCCTCGAAGAAGCCTATGAGAGTGCAGTGGGATAAAGATTTAGTCATAGATGCAGATCCTAATCCTAATCCTAAAGCAGGACCTGAGACCCAGATCAAATATATATACAACACATGTGCACGTCAGAATACAAAGCCTCCATCATGAACCCCGGTTCTGTAATCAGATATTGCTCCATTGGAGGCCTCATATATGGAAGCTGTTAGGACTGTTCGCCGAAGCAAGAGCGTGCGTACAATCCAGAACAATGACTTATCTGAGGATGAGCTCAGCCAACCGTCAATCCACGAAGCCCCTGAAAAGCCAATTGAGCCATCTCAGGAGGCTAACACGCTAATAACCACGAACCTTGAAGACAGTACCTGGGCTAACAATCAGTAATGTATCATGACGCCAATCGACTACAAATCCTACAGGCTAACTGCTGGAAATCGCGGAACAAGGTCTAGATACATCTCTTTGGTGAGAGTGAGGTGCAAAATTACAATATCCTAGCTATCTAGGAACCCTACATCAACAAACATACCGACCCACTAACAACATACTCACTAGCGCTCAAGGGCAGCTTCCATATCCTACTGCAGCCAACACCCTAGGAGAGTCAATAACAACAAGGAATCTGTAATTAGTGCCATGCAAACCGCCATGACACCTAGGGCGCAGCATATTGTATTGGGGGACTTCAACCAACATCATCCGCTATGGGCGGGCACGCGATATCGACACGTTAATAAGGAGGCCACTGAACTGATTAATCTTATGGATGAGCATGGGCTTGAGCAGCTCCTACCACCAGGCACGATCATGTATGAGAGGGTTAATACCAAATCTACAATCAATCTAGTGTGGGCGTCATACGATCTAGCCAACTGGGTAGTGAACTGCAACACCAAGCCAGAGTAATGGTATGGAGTAGATCATGTCCTAATCCTTACTCAATTTGACCTCACCACTGTATGTGTTCCTCCAATCGTTTGCAAGTAGTGGAATGCAACAGATTGGGACCTCTTCCTTAAACTAATAGATATATATAATTGGCAACCAAGGGAGCTCAATGATAATAAGGCGATCAATGAGGCGCGATCAGTGAGGCGATCCACTATCTAGTTGAGGCAATCAATCAGATAGCTGAGCAAGTGACACCCATAAAGCAGATCACCATCCACCCACGAGCGGGCTACACCCCAGAGATGGCGAAGCTTAAACAGCACGTATCTAGGTGTCAACGACACACACATCGTATAAATACAGATCAGGCATGGCAGGACTACGCAGAGGTTAGGAAAGAGATGAAAGGGCGCACCAATGAGCTCGCACGAGATTTACATCGCCAACGAATTGAGCAGGCAACAGAGTCAATAGATGGTTTCTGGAGGATTGCCCGTTGGGTCCGCAATCGGGGCAAGCCACGTGCCACGTTTACTCCAACGCTACACTATAATAACACGAATTACACAGCCCCAAAGGAGAAAACGCAAATAACAACACAGTCTCTTTTCTTTTCGACACGCAAAAAATACTAACGCCATCACAGAGTCGGTACCGAACTCGTCATCCGCCTCAAATGGGGCCAGACAGAATACCGCGGCACACTCGAGAGTATCGATTCGTATATGAACGTCCTGCTCCGGGATACAGAGGAATACATTGATGGGAAGAATACGGGTAGTTTGGGATTGGTGTTGATAAGGTTGTTCTCTTTCTTTTTCTGTTTTTGGACGTGATTGATGAGATGGGCTAACGGATGGGTATCAAACAGATGTAACAATATTTTCTCGATGGCTAGTGCGGAAGGCGTCGAAATGACGGATTTGGGGTTAAAGTGATTTGATTTATCATGTGGTGCTTGATGGGAATTTCAGTTTCTTTGTTATGTTTTCTGGTCCTCGAGTTGTTCTTAAGCGATATCTCGGCTATCGAAACGTGATGCCGGCTAGTTATCGAAGTGAAAGATACAGCAAATGCGAACCTATGTATGCCTCGTCATTATTTTGGTCTATACGGAGGACGGCCCAGGCAGACCAGACAACGAGAACAGAAGAAAGGGTCAAGTCGAGAACAGGAATACTCGGTCATCGGCGTTTTATTTTCTTTTAATGGAGCGGCTTGATTGATTCAAATAAAAGCAGACTTTACTCACGCCATTACGCAGTTTTTGATATTGCAGCTCGTATTTGGGTACGGTGACTGCAGTGTTGTGTCTGCTGGTTTGATGAGATGGGTCAATGCAGTTTGTGCGGTATAAGTAAACTGGTCCAAGCCTCAATCTTCAAGCAATAAAGATCAAATCATCTCAAACGTCATGACGAATTCCATGTAAAAGTAGGTGGCGTATCGCCGTATACTGCCTGCTTACTGACCTGGGTCGGTGTAGCCGTTTCAAGAGGGCGCTTACGGGAAGAGTGCTATTGGTTGAACTGCATATCTAGTACGTTGCAGGGGTATGCAGAAAATGCCCATGTCTAGTCATCAATTCTGAAACGGCGAATAGTCAGCTGCCTAGTCAGGCTGATTCCAATGGCGTTGCTGTGCTCAGTTGTACTTTCTTTAGGCAGAATCATTGGAATGGTGAAAATACCATAAATGGGGGCCATATACTCTCTCAACTTCTCTTATCTATTTTCATAAGGTATAGTATACGCTCAATGACATCCACCAATGTATCAAATTGGGTCTCCGAACCCGACGGACGAGGAACATGGGGTATCCTCTCATCATGTGTCTTAACTATAATCCTGTGCTGCTGGTCTTCCGTCTACCCCAACGTTCCCTCAAGATCAGACGGAGAGTACAAGCAATTTCTATATAAATTCTATCTTTTGTCTGTCGGCATTCTGGGACCGGAGATTCTGCTGTTTATTGCTTTGGGCCAATGGACTTCTGCGCGGATATCGAAGAAAGTGTGTTCTAACATCCCTCTTGCCTGCGTGTAGAGGGTTGAGACTAAGGTGAAGAGAAATTTCATGCAGAGGGATATACGGACTGGACAATGACCCATTCCTTCTTTGCTGATATGGGTGGATTCCTGCTTGCCGCTCCTGGAAGTGAATTATTCCCCATCGACGCAGAGCAGTTGCTTCATCTCGTCAGAGACGGGTACCTTGTCTATCCCGGTTTGGATGCGGAAGATATCAAGGACAAGAGTAAATCAGATCGGTTTACAAGGTTTGGTCGCCTTCCCTCACTATAATTAGGTTCTATACTGACAGACAGGGATCAGTTTCCTTGCAATAATCCAAGCAATGTGGTTCTTCATCAACTGCATCGGCCGAGTAGCCCAACACATCTTCCTCACCACCCTCGAACTCACCACTTTAACCTTTATCCTCATCTTCCTCTTCACCTCGTACTACTGGTACCACAAACCCAAGGACGTCACTCGAGCCATTGTCCTGACTACCCACACCCCCATCACAGCCATTCGCGCCCGATATCATCCATATCCCGAATCGAAATGGTACCAGACACCACTCGACTTCCTATCTCGCAACGAATGGTACTGCAGTCGTCTGTGGCGCTACTATGTGCAAATACTACACTATCTCCGCATTCCGCTTTTCCTTCGCCCAACCAGCAGACCGTACGACAGGTTTCCGTCTGATAATTTCTTATACGTTGATAAATTGGCCGAATGGATGGCCACGCCGGTGATTGTATTTTATAGCTGTATGTTTATGTTTGCGTGGAATTTTTCGTTTCCCACCCTTACGGAGCAGCTTCTTTGGCGTATTTCGGCAGCATATCTTGTGCTTTTTGGCACTGCTGGGATGTGCGTCTGCTGGCATGCTCATGTGTTCATAATGCCGAAGCTGGCGAAGGAGAAGAAATTCTACGTTGAGGGTCAATCTCTTGATCTTCCGACAAAAAAGGGATTGCTGCATCGCCTAGCATGGCGCCTGCAAAACATTCACCCGGACCGAGACCCGGAGTTGGATGTCCCGCTGAAGGTCCTGTTACCCAACGTCTTGATGTGTGTTGTACTCTGTGTTTCGCGCTATTATTCTGGTGGAGGATTTCATTGGATTGAGGAGCTTGCCTGACAGTGCGTTCCAGACAGTGACTTGGTCGAGGTACATTCCTCATTGGTAGTTCGTGTAGAGCGAGGTTTGCACGGATCAGTCGTTCTTGAGTTTATGTGAGAAATTGAAACTCAGCACTTAGATTGATAAGATAGATAGATTCAGAACCACAAAATGCCTTTCAGCAAATGAGTAGAATGCAAAGAATGTAGAATCGGAATGATGAATGAATCTAGACCAGCGATGATCGAGATATCTCCGTAAGCGTCGAGGGAGAGCGATGAGGTCATCTCCCGTGACTTCTATTTTCACTTGCCCGTCAGATTTATGATTATCGCGCCCCGATACGAGGGCCAAAGACCTCGCAGCTGACTCGAAACGCAAAAGTCTCTGCCATCCAGCGTGACGCGTCAAAAGTCTTCTGACTTTCGCCTCTTCTGAATCTTCCTAATCGGTCGCAGTGTTTCAAAGTTAACCCCTCTTCTTAGTTTGCCACATATCAGCATCGACTCGACACCAACCGACAATCTGACTGGACAGTAACTGCATCAACGGAGAACGGGATTCTGGATGAGCTATATCAACGGAATGCAAAACAAAAATTGGTATGGATGCTTGACGAGTACCATCGGTCCTGGAATCTCGAATAGTCAGCATCAATACCAACAACGAACGAATGAACGAAAAACCCAACAAACTGCGACAAGTTTTCGGCTATTTATTCTCTCTTTATCAAGACTTTTATCAAGTCTCAAAAGACTATGATTTGACGACGCAGGGCGATGCTTTTCGTTTCTTCTTTTTCCTGTTTATGGCATGACCAGATAGGTGTTAGATAAACTGGATATCTAGCAAGACAGTGTCAGATAATTCGGATATCTGGAGGCAGTAAAAGGAAGTGAACAATCAGAAGCCCTATCTTATAGCCCCCAAAATTTACCCCTCCTGATAGCTCACAAATCACCCCGCCAAAGGTGTCTATAAAGGACTCGGCTTTGAAACCTGATGGATAGAGGGACACAGAACTCAATACATACAATCTTGCTAGTCACTTCTTTTCTTTGATCCTAGTAAAACACTCTTCAGGATTGGCCTGGAATAAACCGACTAATCCGACAGTTGGATGTGTGTGTGTGTGTGTGTATCTATTTAACGGCCGTGGATCGTGACTCGCACGCTTTCCACCAATCCCTACTGGGACATAGGCCGCCGAGGGGTAAACCTCGGGCTTCAAGTCCTCTATCAGATTTATATACAAGTGAGAGACTCTTTGGCGCATTTCCATAGCTGCAGTGGTCTTACAGGGGGGTCCACTTCTGAGTAGGTTTTAGATATTTGCTAGCTGCAATGGTCCACCTACGCTCCATGACCTATAATTCTACCACCATAGTACTTAAGCAGTGAGTTTTGAAAGAAGGAAGGAAAGAAAGAAAAGAGAGATGTAAAGGGAAAGTAGGGCTGACTTAGCTAGGTGCTAAGGAGAGGTTGGCGAGGATAGATGTCTTCAAAGAAATGGGTCTCTGCTAGCCATGTGGCTAGTTTTCGTGTTCCTTTTGCAGTACCTAAAAGAAAAGAGATAACTTTAGAAGAGGGTCCAGGAGGACGAGGGGCTCGTCTCTTAGCTATATAGCAGAAGAAGAAATGTAGAGGTGCTTTTTGTGCTCCACACTGATAGAGAAGATAAGCATTATCATAATTAAAGTGTTTGTAGTAGTCCGCAAAGTCTCTATGACCAGTATGGGCCGCTATGATATAGCCAAGGTCAAGTCAGTTAAGTTGAAGCTCTCTAGGGTATTTAGAAGATGTAGTTATTTCTAGATCTTGGTATGTCTGTGGTGCTACAGTCTGCCACTGTGTCTAAGCAGCGGAAAGGGATTAAGTCTTGGTGTATCTCTTTAGCAAGACATATAAGAACTTATAAGGAGAGGGGGGAATAGAAATAGCTCCTTCCTTGGCAGTAAGATCAGCCGCTTCATTCTTAGGGATTTTGGTGTGTTTAGGAACCCATCAGATTTAGATTGATCCACTTTTGGTGTGTGGAAGCCTATCGCGTAGTGGCCAGGCGGCTGCAAGGGTGCAAAAGAATTCAAAGACTTCTTAAGAGGATCCTGTAGAGGGAGATAGGAGGCGCATGGCAACTTCCAGATTGTCAAGACAGATCCATAAGTTGGTAGCAAATTGAGCTGTTGGGTATGCTATTGCTGCTTAAGCACTAGCTAGGGCTGCTTCTGCTTCTGCATCAAAGACCTCTTTCCCATATCTATATGAGAGTGAGGAGCGGAGGAACTGATGGTATGCTTAAAATCCAATATATTCATCTCCTGCACGTCAATCTGCTAGTCTAGATCTATCTAAAAAGATTACAATATCTAAGCTAGGGATGGTGCATTAGAAAGCCATGAAATCAGCCACTGCCTATTCCTTAGTGCGTCTTATAGGAGCTTCTATTTAAGCTTAGGCATTCTTATAAGACTTATGAGGGTGCTAGGGAGCATATTGGAGGGGGTTTATCTATTTGGAGTTAGGGAGGGCCAGTATATGGCAAGCAAATCAACTGGTTTGTCAGCTGTTACTAGCAATCTGTTCTGCGCGTCTTCGAAGTAGGTAATAAGGATCAAGACGCTGTAGGTGGACAGTTATAAGAAGGGCTATTCAATCTAGTTCAATTTCTAGTGGAGAGAATCCAGACTCTCGATAGAGGACAGGCATTGGGGTTATGTAGAAGACTGGAAGGACTGCTCTTGCACCTGCTAGTATTACTTTAGTTAGTTTCTTAAGATGTTCTCTAACTTAGTTTAAAGTCTGGGAAGGCCTAGAGCGAGTACGTCCTGGCCACCAGGTTTCAGCACTATAGTATACTTTATAGAGTATACAGGCTGATATAGCCTGCTATAGTAAATGAGGTTTGGCTTCTTAGACAGTATTCTCTAGGGAGCGAAGGGCATTTAGCCATAGTAAGAGCTTTAGATGCTGTTTCTCTAATATACTATTTGAATGTTAGCTTTTTGTTAAAGAGGATTCCTAGATATTATAGATATAGCCATTTAGTGTTTTCTGATATTATAATAGATCTAGCTTTCACTGAAGGTGTGCAGGTTGGGTCCTGGTCTACTTTATATTGGGAGAAATAAAGAAGCTCGTATTTATCTAGTGCGAATGTAATGCCCTCTGCAGTGCCCTAGTTAAGAGCTTCTTAAAGTGATTCTGATAAGGCTTCACAGTTAATAGCAAGAGATATTGAGATTACCAGATTTGCTGCGTCGTCCGCGTAACCAAATCTGTTCCTTGGGTTTCCTAGACAGAACAGAGGTGCCATGTAGAGCATAAAAAGAATGCTAGATACTAGGGATCCTTGTGGAAGACCGCAGGCGATATCTTTTGAGGGGCCTATCTCTCCATCGAGTCAGATCTAAACTGATCGCTCAGTAGCGAAGGAGGTAATCCAGAGAACAAGATTGGTGGGCCAGCCCTACTCACGTAATCTATGGATCAGTCTGCTGGGAAGCACGGCGTCAAATGCGCCCTTGACATCTAGGGTAAGGAGTAAGGCAGTCATGCCTTGATTTAGCACTTGTTCAACATCATATATTAGGCATGTGGTCAGATCATTTACAGATCTTAGTGGGAGAGCTCCAAACTGTTGCCTTGCTAATACTTTGTAATGTATAGAGATCTATACCATATTCGATGCCACTAAGCGCTTAAGTTCTTTACCAAGAACTGATAGGAGAGCAATTAGTCTGTATGATCTGGGTGAGGACCAATCAGTCTTTTTTGGTTTCTAGATAATTGTTAAGATTGCATGTTAAAGTATTTTAGGTAATAACTAATTTTTAGGCACCTTTGGTATATCATTAGTATCTTATCCTTAATTAAAGGCTATGCCACTTTAAGTATGCAGGTTGGGATTTCGTCTGTATCAGGGGCTATGTTTCCCGTCTGAAGTACTGACTCCTCCACCTATGTCATTGATATATCTAGGAAGTAGAGACTAGTGGTAGGGACTATTGGAGAGTCTAAAGGTATGTCTCCTGCCTCAGCTGAGTTTGGGGAAGATTATAGACTAGTATGTCTCGTTTCTTATGTATAGCAACTGCTGGAAAGCTATTAGGTCTCAGTGGATCCTTTAGTGGAGGGCTTCGGAAGGTGCCTATGGACTTATACTATTTACTTATATCGAAGATATCCTTCATTTGTGTTACCGTAGAGAGCTTCTCTCGCCAAAATTATTGTTGAGACTATCTAGTTATCCTGTGGAAGTTAGACCTCGCCATGACCCGGACCGTGGGTCCCTCCTCGCGACCCGCGACCCTCCCCTCCGGAGGGTCGGGTCGTAGATTGACGACCCTCACCGCACCTGAGGGTCATAGAATCTTTGGAGGGTCACCCGCCAAGCGACCCTCACGGCCCGCATATGCATAACTTTCTCACGCTTTCCCTAATTCGGATGGATAATTCTGCTAACAAACATTCATAAATTCCTGTTTTTTATACCTGTTTCGTATGTCCAACTATGAATCCATTGTTTTCTATCAAACCCCTACATATTTTTATGAAATATGTCTTCTAAATAAGCCTTCTTGCTTGGTAATCCTGGATTTACACCTTTTTTCTATCTGAGAAAAACCGTTGTGGTGTGTATTGTGAAGAGTTGGAGAGAGAGGCATGTAACAATGAGAAAATATATATTTTGATTGTAGAAGTATAATCTGAAGAAGTTACAACTTTGATATTCTTAGTTATTAGCCTCAAACTTCCTGAAATCCTAACTTAATTATATTAAACATCTATTATCTACTTTCTACATACCTATGCCGTGTCGAAATTGAGCGAAATATATTGATTATGTTCAATTATGTTCTGCCAAAGTCATAGGGTCGCGAGGTTGACCCTTAGGATGACCCTCACGAACCTCAGAATGACCCTCACGAACCTCAGGGTGACCCTCACGAATTTCAGGGTGACCCTCACGAACCTTAGTTCTAGCCAATTAGCATGATGAGTATTAAATGTGATCTGTCATTTTACCTCCTGAGTCCCTTGCCAAACTGCAAAGGAAATCTAGTAAGTCTTCTCTTCTTCTAACTATCTTCACTATGTCCCAGTTTTCTGACGCATTCTCATCTACTTATAAGGGTCCACCCTTAGATTTTCTTGAATACTGTGACGTCTCAATAAGCCTATTCTAA